AAGAAAATAACCCTAATCTAGTCCTATCTGTTTTGCCTTATATAGCTAAGGATAGTTTAGTTTTCTTTACCCGGAATAACGGCTCTAAGGCTGTCTGCCTCCCTCGTTCTATAACGCAAGAGATTTTCACCCTTGTCTATAACGAACAATTCTACTAAGGCTTCGATGCAGGATAGCAGAAGCTTTCTGATTCAGGTATAATTTTCTATAAAGGAGCTAAGCTGCTTAAGGAATATATTAGCTACTACCCGGAATGTCGCAATAATGCTGTTCCCCGGTACTCCCTATACGGAGCTTTGCAGCTAATCCGAAATCCCCTAATCCCCTTCTATACGATCACGATCGATTTTATTATCGGTATACCGGAGTCTAAAGACTATAACTGTCTAATAACGGCTACCGATAAGTTTATAAAGCTAATTAGCCTGATTCTAGGCTAGGAAACCTAGACAGCTAAGCAATAGGCGGAAGCCCTCCTAAACACCCTTTAGATATCTAATTAGGGTCTACCTACGGTTATAGTCTCGGACCGAGATCCAAAGTTTGTCCGAGGGCTATAGAAAGGCTTCTAGACTAAGGTTAACACGGCTCTCTACTTCTCTATAGCTTATCACCTATAAACCGACGGTTAGTCTAAAAGGACGAACTAAACTATTAAGGCCGCCGCTCGATATTAGGTAGCTACGTATCCTAGTGCCGAATAGCCTAATATACTCCTAGCTTTACAGATAGTATTAAACTCCTCCTAGAAACGTAGCACTAGCTACTCCCCCTATATACTTCTATACGGAGTAGAGCTTCGCTAGCCGTAGAATCTTATCCGCTAAGCTACCGATAGACGTCGCGATACTCTCGTAGCTAGGCTAGATACTAAGTATTTACTAGCTTTCGCTGTAATAAATATAAAGCGCTACTATAATAAGCGCTATAAAGCGGTACACTTCCGAGTTAGAGATTAGGTATATATTAAGCTTAGAGCTAGTTATAATATAGTAGCGAACCGCTAAAATATCCTAAGAAAACTCGCCTAGCGATACGTCGGCCGCTTCTAAATTAAGGAGCGTATCGGAAAGCTAGCGTACCGCCTCGATCTACCCCTATACTAGGGCATCTATCCCGTAATCAGCGTTGTATACCTTGAAGCAGTACCGCGAGGCGAAGACCCGTGGAGGCAGCAACTAGCCGACACCTACGAACCGACCTTCGATACACGCTTCCCGGATAAAACTAGGTTTGATATTAAACGAATACTAGCGAAGTAGGTCCGGCGTGCTCCTAGAAGACCACGTCGTGACGGTATAGTCTAATACAAAATATACTACCTAATCAGATAGGCTAGTTAATCAGCTAAAGAAGACTACTAGATTACAGCAGACGAGGCTATCGGAGCGGAAGAGCTTATTTAGGAGTTTAAGGCGTTATAAGCGGATAAGCTAGTAGCGAACGAGTAGCTAATCTTTTCCTCTTATATTTATATATCCTTCCTACTATATTTCACCTTATCCTGTTATCTCTAATCACCTTTCCCTTAATCTTATAGTTTACATTTATATTATATCCCCTCTCTTCACGCGTATCACGTCTCCTACACTACCCTTGCTGCTTTTATATTTCTTTTATTCCCTATATCTCCTACTTTACAACTCTTACCTTACCTTTACCTAAAACATTATATTCTATCATTTTAATACTATTATTACTATTATTCCTATACCTCCTACTAGAATACCTAAAAGAAAGGTAAGCGAAAGCTCCCTAGAAAAGAAAGGGAGTAAGGACCGTGATTAAACATAGTATAGAATAATTAGGGATTCGCGTAAAGATTTCGATAAAGGACAGAAAAAGCTTAACGACTCCCGAGACCGCGCTCGCGCTACCCTAGAGCGACAGGCGTAGACCCCCGAGAGCCCTCCTCTAATTATAAACCTACGAGGCGTGCCGAAAGATAATAGGAAGGAGCTTTTTAAGAAGCTTCTAGTATACCGCGAAAAGCCGGAACTCGATAACGGTAAACTCTAAAACCTCCCGCTATCGAATATTGCCTTAACCGACGAATAGGTAGAGATTCTATATAGATAGATCTTAAATAAGGAAAGGGGATAGAAATAGCCTCTCGACTTTAATACCTAGGGTGATATCTCAGCTAATCGAGTGCTAGTAGACCCGGTACCCCTTAAATAAGCTCACGGCCTACTCTCGTTCCCGGTATACAAAAGCTATTATATACTCTACGGGCGATAGGTAGCCGAGATTATAGGATATCTTTTCTATAATAAGAGCGATAGCTATATTAGTGCGAAGATAGCCCCGCTAGCTAACTTCGTCTACGGCGCTATCTAGCCTAGGAAGGATATCGTAGTAAAATTTAAGTACGCCCGCTTACTACTAAAGCAGCTATATACCTAGGACCTAACTTATAAAAGCTACGACGTATAGCTAGTTAAGATCATAGTAAACGATAAAATACGAGCAGCTATCGTCGATAGTAGGGAGTATAGATAGATAGAAGAGATTTACGTTAATTCCCGGACCTATAGATTTTCTCCTATCTAGCGTATATAAGACTACACTCTAAGATACTTAGCCTATAAAGAAGCTTCCCTAGTCAAGAAGGGAGCCTTCGGGAGAGGAATATTCACGAAAATCTATATAATAAGTATAAAATATCCTGAAAACTATAGGAATACCGATAATATATAGCGCCTTACCGATACCGAGCTAGCCGCTAAGTTTATCTCCTTCCCGACCGAAGCCGGACCTAAGGATATAGACGAAGAGCGTGAAGAAAATAGCTAATAGGAAGGTAGCTAGTAGACCCTATCCTAGCAGACCCTATATAATCCTAAACGCCGAAATATAACACGCCGGGCTCCCGCCTTTAATTCTACCCTACATATAGCTTAAGATACTTAAGCTTTTAATTCTACGCCCTACCTAGCCCTAGCTATCGGCTTAACCCCTCGTCTAGTTTCTAGCCTAGCCCCTAAACTTTTATCGCTCTACCTTAGTTTACAGCTCCCTAACAGCTATTTAGGGCTTATAGTATCTATCGAAAAGATACACTATAACCCCGACGCTCCTAATAATAATAAAATAAAAGTTCTTCGAAAATATCTAGATAGATATAACAATTTCTAGGAAGCCCTATTAGTCGCCGCTAAGTGTAACGTAGAATTCCTAGCGTTAGAACTCTAGCTACGCTGCCTAGAAATCTAATAAATACTCGAGCTACCGAAGCGCCTCGATAAACTCCGATAGGAAGTAAGAAGCTCTTTAAAAGTTCTAGATAAGATTACGGAATAAGAAGCTAATATTATACTAAGGATAAAGGAGTTAGAAGACGCTACTAACCTCGAAGAGCTTATCGGGAAGTTAAGCAACTAAATAGCGAATACTTTCCTAACCGAAGCTAAGAAGGAATTCGCTAAATAAGAAGCAGCTCGAAAAAGGGATAAAGAAGCTTAGCGAGTTACCGCCGAAGAAGCTTAGCGAGTTGCTAACGAGAAAGCTCGATAGGAAGACAAGGCCCGATTCGCCGCCCGAGAAGCCTAACGCCTCGCAGCCGAAGAAACGTTAAAGCTTATCGAAGATAGGATAACCGCTAAGAGGTTCGACGATATAACTACTATAGTAGAGACTACATAGACTATCGCTGCTGCTGATAATACCGGATATACCGCTAACAACGTCCCCGAAACGACCGCAGCTGTTAATACAGCTAATCCTGACACGTTAACCGAGACCCCGACTAAGGTCGCAGCTATACCTACTTCTAGAACGACTGATAATAACAATAACCTCCGGAACCTAGAGGATTTCGACAACTATTGCAGGGATTTAAACTTGCTCTGACAAGCTGATTCTATTCCCTGTTTTCCTGTCGTCACCCTTTTCTTTTCTACTCCTTCCCTAATCTATTATAATAACAGCGGGACGCTGTTTTTTGGGAAGAGGGCGTATATTACTACGTGACGGCATCGTCACCGGTTAGCTTATCATTAATTCCCTCATAAGAATAAAACATCATCTTTACATCTCCGATAAACCCAGCTTCTTGTTACCAGGGACGAAGCCGTTTTATCTCTTGACACCTGCATATACTTTCATATGCCAACCGAAGATAGGCCAAATTGACGGCGAGAGGATTTCAATAGTGACTTAGGCCAAAGTAAAATGCGCATTACCAGATTTGTGAGAGGCTTTTTGCAATCAAATTATAAAGGGACCCCCAAGCCACCAATCCTTCACAGACCACGAACAGACAACAAGACCACCTGCGAGGAGCACAATCTATTGACTTTCTTTTGTTACTGCTGGGGAGTAGCGACATGAAGATGATATTCATCGATAGGCTTCGGACACCGGAGATGGATGCCTGCATAGAACTGTTGGTTGTGGAACTAGTCCCGATTGGGATGACACAACCTCACACTCGTCAACAGGATCATGATATTATACCCCATTACTATGTTAAGATCACTGTAGACTAAATATATGAGAGCAAAAAGGCCCAACTTGAACAAAATCAATGTACTAAACAAGGACAGAGCCTCTTGGAGGCTTGTTCACATTGCCATTCTCAGACTGAGTTCTAAGATTTGTAAATACAATATATCAAAGCAATAATTTCAAATCTTTTCATTTGAATCTACCAAAATTTTCTTTGACCTGGTTAAATATACTCTTCTGAACTTGTTCCTGACATTTCCATGAATTATTCAGAATATTTCCTAATGTTCCCTAGCTCGAACATGAAATATAATATGGTTCCAATCTTTGTATAAACTGCAGAAAGGCTCAAGAAAGACGCTCGAACTCGGGTCAAAATTCACAAAATTCTACAGCGTAAACATAATATTGATGTTATATGACCCTGGATGTTGAATCCATGTATGATATAGACAGACAGAAGAGTTGAGTCGTCGATGATGAAAGAATCGGCAAACACCTCCCAGAGGAGGAATACCTAATCAAGAAAATGAGACGAGTCGTCCGGCCATTTAGTTCGGCAGTAAAGACAACATTTCCTCTATGTAATCAGAACCTCTGAGGTGTAAGCCGAGAAGGAGGAGAAGAATTGTAATTTTCACCTCAGAATGGGCTAAATCGGCAGTCCCATCTTGGCTCTCATCGGCCCCGTGGGGATGAAAATCGGAAACCATGGCAAAAGCTCGAATTTCGTCATCTGAAGGGAGTTCTGCTTTGATTTCTGCCACCGAATTCGCAAGATATTCTTCAAACCTCATGAATAGTTGATTTCGAGTAGATGTTATTTTCGCCGTGTTGCCGAAGCAACCTGTAACCTTCTCTTGCAGCTGATATCCCAAATTTTGGGCGCCTTCTATGTTTCCCAGAGAAAGCAAAGTCAGAGAACGAAGAAACAAGTCAAAGAAGCCATCCAATCGAACACAAGTATCATGTATCCAAGAAAAGGATGTAGTGAGTAGATGTTTGAGTCTGTTGAAGTCGTCCTCCGTACCATCTGTCACAATCTGCTCAACATCAAATCGCTCAGATGGAGTACCCGAAGCGAACAGACCAAGGTGTTCTCTCTGGAGTAACAATATTTCTTCGAATCCAATTAGTTCAATCAAGTCTAACCAGCGATACCCTTCATGTAGCTCCGATAATGCTTCATGGATTCTTTCGCTTGTGAGATCAGGAATGAGATATCTTAGGTCGTCAACGCGAGAATTTAGCGTGGGAAGAATATCAGGCATCGTTGTTTCGGCCTCCGAGAGATAGTCACGAAACACACGAGCCAGATGTACTTTTTTCACTCGCTCAATGACGGGATAGGCAATGCGGAGGCGGTTAAGTGAATCATTGTTGATATCTTGTGTTCCTTGTTGACAGACGGGGGTGAAAGCCTTCGTCCAGTCAATAGATGGGATCGGTTCAAATAGGAGAAACTCGAGCTCTGAGGTAAGGCTGTGTGATGTTGTATGAAGCAACCCTCCCGTAATAAAGAAATCCATTATTGCCGGGGCTGTAATGATTGACTCGGACGTGGACAGACCCTTCAATTGACCAAAATATTCTTGATCATGCTCATGATTTAGTAAATCTTCTATTGGCGGATGGCGACCAGGGTCGAGATCGCTCAGGACATCGTAGTAAGTAGCTAATCTTGCAGTATGGGTTCGAAGCTGTCGTTCCCAGCACTCGAACCCCAAAGTGAGTGTTTCCAAGTTGTCCAAGCAGTGAAGAAACTCTTTTCTGATTTGTTCTACCAGTGGCCTATCTTGAAAGAGATCCCAGAAATTAGTTCCCTTCGGAAGCTTTGTCCTAGCTAGGATAGATACATAAACAAAAAGTGCGGTACGGATTCGTTCTTGGCGATCTTTGAGGTCATGAAGAAATTCCGAGGGTGGATATTCATTTGATTCCTTCGAGTTGTCAGTGGCAAGGCAGTCAAAATGTGCATCTGACTTGCCTTGGACAATCTAAGAGATTGATATTCCAGCGGGGTTGAGCTAGCGAGAATACATAGTGTCATGACTCTGATCACCTGTTCGGTTTGACTGGGGTCCAAAGACGATAAATCGTCATTGACTATTCTCTCCAAGTACTGGAAGACCTCGATTTCGGATTGGCGCATTGTAAGCCAAACATTCAACATTGCTGCCTCACTCACTTGGTGAGGCTGAAAATCAACAGGGGTATCAATGTCAATGTTTTTCATAGCTTGATATATCAAATGGCCGCATAAAGAGAACAGAATCCTCTTCATCTGAATTATATATCGTCAGAACTGAAAACACAAAAGAGAGGAAACATACAATCCAGCTTTCAATATTGAAGGATTCTCTAGGCATCTCAAAGAAGTATGCCTTGTGGTCAGTAAATTTTCGAAGCAGCTCCTCTGGGGCGTTTTCTAACTGCATCGCAGTTGGAGGCTTGATTTTGTCACCAATTTCCAAGCACTGTAACCAAATTATAGCACAATTTGGTGATATACCAAAAGAAGAGCGAGTCAAAAACATCGTGTCTCGTTGAAATAAAAGATATGAAACTACCATATGGCTCAACAAATCCCTCGTGGTTTGTTTTCTGATGACGAGGGTCTGATATAATGCTGGGACTAGGATTTGTTACTCCCATATGTCTTCAAATAATTCTTTGGGTTCTTACAAGGAAGAACGGAGTTTCCAATCACGAAATCACTGAAGTATGCCTTCGCACATGGTTGCTTCAAAATTCTTGCTTTATGAAGGATCTTCGTGCAATTCAAGCAAGGGGTTCTACCATCGCACTGAATCAATATTAGAAATAAGCCATTATCTATGATGGAAAAGCTGAACGAGTGTCATACCTTCTTTTTATTTCTTTTACACCTCCAACACGTCGCCCTTCTTGCTTCAATAAAACTTTTCTTCTCTTGTTGAGACATAGGTCGCCGTTTTTTTTTCTGCTTTGGAAATAGCTCAACTGGTCGCGAGGGACCGAATAATTTTGGGATGGTTGAACCTGAGAAATGAGGGACTTCAGCTTGAGAAAATTGTGTCGTAGAATATGCTATCGGCTTCGATGGAGTAATATCTGCCATATCATGTTGTGTCGATTTGGCATCTTGCTGGTTAAGATGACTGGCTACGAGGGCAATTTCGTCTGACATTTGAATATTTTCATCAATGTCCATAAATTCTGTATCACTTGGTAAAGGTGATAATAAGTGCGAGAAAAGAAATTCCGAAGAAAAACCTTCCTCTCCAAAAGATGTAACGTTTTCGTCCTGAGCCAACATGCTAATATTGTCAGAAGAGTCGACATATCCCTCGAAATTTCGAAGGCCTTCTTTTTGTTGTTAGAAAAAAGCTTAATGATCTTGGTTACTGATCTACTCACCCATTGGCTGAGCATCGGCACGAGAGAGTGTAGAGCCTTGTTGTTGATAAGCTGAAGAGCTACAATAACCACTATGCGTTTCTGAGTCAATAGCATAATTAATCTCTGCTTGATCTATGAGAAAAAATTGCTGGTCAAATAAATTCGCTGCTGGCTGTGGTGGCGAAGGCTCTGTGCTGTCTGGGTATGTTTGGTCGTCAGTGCCAGCTGCTAGTTGCCTTCCACCTGTGTGAGTGGGCGGACAATTCGTAGTTTGCCAAATTTCAGGCCAGGTTTCACCTATGTCAAGATATGAATATTCTTTTTAGTTTCAAAATCACTCACGACCCTCTATATTACGAAAGAACAGGTCCACATACCGGACAGATTATTCATATTTCCCATGTGAAATATCACAGATGGGTCTACATGAACATTAGACCCGTTAAAATCCTGTGAACTGAAGGACATGTCTCGTGGCTCTTGATCATTTAGGCTTTGAGCCGAAAGAAGGTTTGAAAAGTCAAGGGAAGTGAGACCAGGGCGGTCAAGATCCTCCTCTTCTCCAGCAAGGTTGGACATGGCTGAATGGGTAATTCAGAGATCAAGTATCTTTGAAAGAGAAACAAGGACGATCAAGCTACTCTAGGAGAATTGTCGGCTATTTATCATTGTGAACCTGAGTGTTGGCTGAATTTAACTGACCAGCGGTCAGAGAAAATGCTGGGGTAAAAACCGCTCTTTAGCAGCCAATAGAGCCCCGCTGGGAGATTTGACCAATCACATCACTGACCGGTGTACAATTTACGGGGTCGCATCTCCAGAACCCAATCAGCGTCTAGACCGGAACTACATGAATGATTGATTTCCTTCAACATCTGGCAAAACCACCATGTCATGTGTGATTAATATATCCCACTAGCATTCCGCACACCCCAACACCCATGGATTCTTAGATATCAGATTTTTCCATCACCTATACCACGTCAACTATTTCATTCAGGCTTGACTTGGTTGCTTGATTGGAAGCATCCACTACATACTCGTGTTTTTGGTAGCTCACTAGGCTCACCACCTTCTATACCACCACTAATCCGATCCATTCAATTATATTTAGTGTGCTAAGTAGTGAAGATATCTAGATTCCCAGCTTTGCCGACCGTTAAACCTTGATAATTAGATATCTGATACTTCGATCGAGTGCGCTTTTGGCGTTTCTTTTCATGGAACCTTCGTGAATCTCTTTTCCCCTGTGTAAAACTTTCTCAGTTAAATCACTATTATATAGTCGCTCTCGCTCGCTAAAAACTCTACAGCAAATACTAGATCAATTAATCGAAAGTTGCTAATTATCAATACACAGTAGAGTATTCCTTGATCTCTTAATTATATAGCTCTATAGAGTATAACAGTGCTAGATTTATTGCCAGGTCCACTCATTAGTACCTTGTGTCGGTATAAGTAGTTAAATATAGTACCTAATCTAATACAAAACCGTATCCCTAAATTTTGAAAAGATACCTGAGGCGAATTCCTTAATTTGTACGATACTATCTACTTATTTCCATATACTCTAATATTCACGGGTTACACCACACGATGCAGCACATACGTTTCTTTTATCAGGTTTCTTCAATATATCTTTTAGAGGCATTCTTGCCAACTACGTGGATAGTGAGTAGTGGGGAAAAGCAGACAGGACTAACGCCTTCTGGCTATTTTTAATTCCATCGTTCCAAAATTAGAGTGAAGGCGACGCATCGGGATGGGTATCCTCACCCATTCTCACTCTGTTTTTACCCGCTCTTACCCCATTCTCAATCGCCATCAGTCTCAAGAATTCTCACCCATATCACTTCAAATCAACCTAATATAGAACTTGACGCCGCTTCAAGTTCCAGGGCTCTTCGAAAATTGACTGCTTTCAGTATTTGGCTTAAGCACGGCTGAGCGGACGGGAAGCCCTGTTCTCCACACCCTGTGGTCGTATGTGCTTGATAGTAGGGAAGCGCGAAACTTATATTCAATGAAGGTATTACATATGCAGTTGGTGTAGAATGAAACATATACAATATACGGCTGACAGCCCCTATACCCCCCAAAAATTTGTGGCCTATTACAAAACCTTGTAAGCACCAAAGACCCAATCAGTCGTCAACCTACCTCTCCCGACCAACAGCACTTTCCCAACATTGATTGGCTTCTAAGCCCTATCTCACATTGTATATTCTCGGAACGATAATAGGATAGACAACATCAGGCCGACGAACAAAAGGTAGGCCACCAGCCATGACCGTGCTAATGTGATTCGCGTGATAGTAGCAGCAACCCATTGAGCAGGAACGCTGAGTCGGTAATACTTGAGACTGCTTTTTTCGATGAATGTGCTCACGCCTGATAGTGGCAAGCCACCTATTGTCTAGGGTTGATGCTCACAGACGCGTCCTCATCGCACGGACTGGCTACCGATTGCGAGGAACCCGCTTCATCTTCCAGCTGCTGAATCCTTCTGCTCGAGTAACTGGACTTTAACGACCACTTCCCATTTCAATGCTTGTTTCTTTCTCCGCGGTGCAGACCCTGGAGGTTGAAGAATGCATTCTATCCCTAGCTTAATGCAGCTGGTGCATGGCTGGGTCCATCTACAGCGCGTTTTCCTCGTTTACATTTCTGACAGCTACGGGATTTATAGCGCCCTCGGCAATAATCAGGACAGGTAGCTCCGATATGCTGGTCATCAAGAGATATGAGACTAGGTTAGGGGCTAAATTAGTGTTCGATGTTAGCTGCGGGACGCAGGAGGACATTGCCATCAGACTTGATTTACACTCCGAGATGATTAAAGAACCCAGGTAGCCATCTTTTGTAGTGCTATCCATCCATTTGACCCATGTCAAGTTTCTTATCAGCATACAAATTTCGAATCAGACTTTATAAATCAATAACCATGTCTCTGCCAAACAGTGATTTTGTCTCACACCTGTCCACTCAGTGTTCTTTACATCCAAGTATCGACTATCCGCCATGACTTTCACTCTGGATATTGCCAGAATTACAGGCAAGTTTGCCAAATTACTTGCAGCTCATATTCTGAAAAACTCTGATGTCGCTGTCCCTGGCCACTGTCGCACCCCGAGCAAGGTTCCAGAGACAATTGGCCTCTTCGCCTCATTTGACTCTCATCAAGGGCGACGCGTTTAACCAGGATGCCATCCGTGACTTCATCAACACCTGCGATGGGATCATATAGTGCTATCTTGGTGATAGAAAGCTGATGATTGACGGCCAAAAGGCCGTGATCGATGCCTGTGAGGAGCTTAATATGCCGCGATACGTTGCCTGTGATTGGGCATTGGACTATACCAAGCTTCAGCTTGGTGAGCTGCTCCCCAAAGATCCCATGATACATGTAAAGGCCGAACTAGAGACAAAGAAGGTTCAAATGTGCATATCCATATTGGTGGATTCACGGAGCCCATTTTCAGCCCATTCTTCAACATTTTTGACCCAAGCACCAACACCTTCCGTTATTGAGGCAACAGCGATGAAGTGATGGAGGGAACCACATGTGAGAATGCTGCAGAATTTACTGCCACGATCATTTTGAATCCCAAAGAGACAGTAATTGCTCGATGTGAGAGCTTTCTGTCGATTTTCTTGCTTGCCTGGCGGTGGACTTCGGAGCAGCTATCTACCGCACTTTTCGCTCTGAACACTTAGCATAATGAACAATTCACGATTGCATTTGATCTAAATATTGCATCTCCACTAGAGTCATTGAATCACCCCAGGAGTTAGCTGACACTATAAAAATCTCACTAGAATAAGAATAGGGAGTGCGACTGGTTTTACATTAAGCCGGTCCTCTTGATTATGACAGTTATTTGTCCTGACAAAAGGCGCTCATTTGCGGTAAGATTGGGTCTTTCTGCGCCTTACATTTCGATGATCTAATTATACAGAAATTACTCAGAAAAGGTCTCCCCACCATTCTCTAAATACCCCACCTCCTCTGCGGTTGAAACCCGACCTAAGACCTGGTTCCGGTGTGGGTATCGTCCAAACTGCTCAATAATAACCTTGTGTCTCTTCTCGAACTCCAATGTACTGCTCAAAAAGGCTTCAAGTGCATCTTGCTGGTTCGATAGAACAGTAAAACACCTATTCTCATCGGCATCGAGAGTCGCAGCATCTCTGCGAAGCAACCCTTCCATATCCTTTGCCGTATCTTCATGTGCCGCCATTGCTTTCTCATGCACAGCAAGGTTCTCGGAATGCATTAAGGGCAAGTGGAACCAGAAACGATATGACAATCGATACCGCACATCCGAAGATTGAGTTTGGATGCCAGCATCAATTGCGCGCAGAGCAACCTCTTCCGCGAGCGGATCAAAGCGCTCGAACGCCAGCCTCGACTCATCACCGCGGTAGCAGTTGCGCGGGAGCTGATCCAGAAGCAGAATGATACTGAGCCACGTGAGTGGGGAGGAAGTGTCAACTACATCGAGAATTTGCTTTGCAGATGCGCCAGAGTCCAGGATTGCCTCTAGAGCAGGCTGAAATTGTGCACTGGTTGGCCGTGAGCTTCGTGTCTGAAGAGGGATGTTTGCCGCCGTACTTACACACAAGCTTTATCGAAATCAGCATCACGGCGGAACCAGCGCATCATCGCACTTTGCCCTGGGAGAATCAAATGGTCTTCTCCGCCAAGATGATCAAACCAGAAGTGGCGCACCTCCTCAAGGAGGGCAGGGGTAAGGGCCTGCTTCAGATCCTGGAGGTTACTGGCCATAGTGGTCGCGGTGGAAAGAAATCTGCGAGAAAAGGTCGGCGTGTATGCTTTATGCTGTATACTGCAATGTCTACGTAATGCCGCCTGGGGATAATCTGAAGCCACCTGTCTAGTCCTCGGCAGCGAGACAAATGCCGACGCGAACTGGTGCGGTCGGTAGAGTTTGGTTGCGTTGAACTGTGTTCCGGGTCAGCAGTTTCCGGAGATATAATATGTTTTGTTAAGGGGAAGCACCTACCTTGCTCGAACGCGCTAGATGAGCCATACTTTGTACCGACTACTGCGGAGTTCTCGAGGTACAAAGCCGGAGTTCGGACCGTGAAAGCGGTGTTGTGCCCCGGGGGGAGAACCCTACATAACAGTGGGGCCTCTCGGCGATGATATCAACACCGAAAACTTAACAAGCTGACCAAGAATCGTCGACACTCGCTTCTTCGGCCCCCGAGTGCCTGTGCTGAATTACGCCCTACATATCGCGCCCGGTCTGCATTTTGGACCGAAGAAGGCCAAATAACATGATTGATGTTATTGAATCCACCAACCTGGTCTCAGTACACTAATCCACGTCGTAATCTCGCAGCAATCGATGCTCATCGGAGAGAAATCAAAATTAAAGATCGAGATCCACTACAGAACATTGGTCAAATGACTCAAGACTCGAACACCTAGTATACGCAGCCAGTTAGGTGCAAAGGGTATAACCCACCGGTGGTATTGAATAGTATTAAATACCTACAGGTCTTCCGTTGTGTAGGATACATCGGGTTGCGATAAATCCTCTCATGATCAGTCGCTTTCCCGAAGTCTCATCTCTTACGCAGACAAAGCAAGGCCACAACCAGTGGGTGAACCACCTTCACCAGTAAACTCTGTCATAGCCGCCCTTATGAATAGCATTCGGACAATGGAAAGACCATGCGAGGTTTCTGACTCGCGAAATCAATAGAATTGGAACCGCGATTGGCTAAAATGGGGAGCTTGTCGTCATTACTAATGGAGCTGCATATCATTTTTTATCAGACGAAACTATACGCCTTATCGAAGTAAACACAACATTCTTAACTTGAATCACCAACGGCAACGACATGGAGTGGCCAATCCCACAGGGAGTGACTGGCAATACATTTGATGTCCACAGATCATCAGTAGGTAAAGAAAATCACCCTGGCCTGGGAAGTTGCTCAGACGAGACTGTGAGATGATCTCCTCTGCCACGGTGGAGATCGAATGGCCAACGGGGACCCTGAAAAAGGTGCTTCTCTGTAAGCCGCCTCCTATTGAACCAACCGAAGCCGGATATTTAGAAGGTTGACCCACCATAAGAGGGTGAATTACAGTGCGCATGTAGAACCTGTGCTGAAAGAGTCACTCCATGACTGGACCGAGGACCGAAGTACCAGGCTCAAAGGAATCTTGCATCAACCATCCACTGGCTTCACATGGGGAGATGGGCCAGCAACGGGATAGAGGAGGCGGGCTGTGAGGACGGAAGGAAGGAAGGAGAAAGAAGGAAGAATCGAAGTGATAATTGTATATAATCTCGCCAGACCTGTCCAATTGCCCTATTTGGGAAGCCGCGCAGTTCTCATGCCCACGTGCCGTCCTATTTGGGACTTTATGGATGAGTATGCACCATCTTTCAAGTTGCAAAGAACGCCAGTACCCCAGTTAGTATCTGGGACAACTGAAACCTGTCTTCTGGTGCCTGTTCAGAAGTACTGATACCTTCAACTCTCGGTTCACATTTCGGTCGGATCAACCATGCGCTGTCAACCTCGATCTCAATCATCCTCAGTCACCTCATGATATCTCTTGAAACGGTTTTCGCAACAATACGGCCCTTGTATTTCGGGCTCCCTTACGACTGCCAAAGTGTCTTATTGTCTGAGTGTACAAGGTTATGTTTCAACAGAGTTGCACCGTAAAGAAAAATAAAATCTCCATTTACTCCCTTCCACTTTTCGCCCTTCAGTTCTAGCTCTGTCAATTCCCATACTATTGGCCCCAGAAAATGAATAGAAGAAGAGCAGTAATCCTGGGTCGTATTCATTAGATTGAATAGGCTATGGAGGTGATTGATCTACCACATGGGTGGTCCTTGCCTTACTTCATCTGCTCAACCTATTCTGGTATGAACAGTCTCATTGCGAGAGCATGTCGACGACAGAGCTAAACACCGATACAGATACATCAAGCTTTCTCTCGAGGTTCAACTGGCTGGGGAGGGTGAAATCTGGGTGACAATCATGCATCCCACGATCCCAGCCAACGATCCCACGCCAGCACCGCCGACAAGACCGCGCCAACCCCCCATTAGCGATCCCGATGCCCCCCGTGCCGCCACCGCGAAAGCCCCAATAGCTGCAAACGGCTCACTCCACTTGTCAACAGCGACCTGTCCAGAATTGTATCGCAGCCGCCAGCTGCGGTCTTGCCATTCGATCTCCTCGCGGCCCCACATCCGCGCGACGAGGCCAACTCCAGCGATACCAGTTCCGATGATCGCTCCAGTCCCTGTTGAGCGAAGAAGAACCGGTGCAGTCAGCGATCGGCGCCTGAGAAGGACCGCAGCACCGCTATTGAGCAAGCCGATGGCGCTTCCAAGCTGGAAGCCACGGCTGAGGACGTGGGTGGCGAGGATGGTTCGCGCTTGAGGCTGATCTTCAGCAAACTCGGCCGTCGGGAAAAGGTATGACATCGTGTTACGGGAACTCGGTATAAGTACAGGGTAGATGGATGACTAGCTATGCCTTGAGCTGGCGTAGAAGATAGCTAGACATTTACTTTTGCATCTGTGACCGTCGTGCGAGTCCGGACCATTTATGGAATGCTGCGGTGTGGGGAAATCCCGACGGTTCATCAAACCATCAACTTGCCTCGATAGGGGTAGGTATCATTAAGCACGGGGTAGCAGTGTCCAATAGGCACACGCTAGGGGTCTTGCTTATGGGCGTTGAGTGGGAATTCCAGACTTTACGATTGGCTCCGAGTCATCATTGGGTGACCGTCGGAGATCCGAGCGCGTCATGGACTCGGTACAAAACTAGCTGCTACAGTTAGAATGGTCACTGTTCCTGGGCATGAAAATGAGAGAAGAAAAATTATAATCAAATATAGTCATTCGAGTACTATCTTCAACATTGGCACAGAAGCGCACTGGCTTCTGATCTACGGAATGCCATTCCCCTTGGAATGGACCTTCACTTAAGCTTGGAAAATCCGCAATAATCCAATCAATCACTTTACTTGCACGAGAATTACTTGTCCAATTTCCAATTTCAAACTTATTCTCGTCCAACCAAATTACCTCTCTTTTTAGAATTATGAACTAGCTTTCAGCTTTCGAACTGTGAGAAAATATCCCTTTCAGCTTTCTCAAATTCTTGCAGGATAGTTGCCCTCCTTGCCTCAGATCTCACCGAGATGTCGCATGAAAACGGCCTCGCAGTCAAGACCAAGCCTTCTTTGTATCCGGTCTGTGGATTCACATCTGGTATGATTGGTAACCCAGTCTTCTCATCCACTCCGGCGCTGATATCAAATGCCCATACTATTTTCGCAATCGCAAGCCAGAGATTCCTCTCAGCAACATGCATTCCTCCACAAATACGTCGACCAGATCCGTAGCCATAGTGATCCCGCTTAGAGGAGTCAATGGAGGCTGCAAGCTCTGGTGCTAATGCTGTTTGCCCTTTGAAGTGATCCGGGTCGAAGACATCTGGGTTCGCAAAGTGTTCCGGGTCGTGGTGTAGACCCCACACGTTGATTACAACAGTTGAACCTTTCGGAATAAAGTATCCGTCAATCCAGTCATCTAGAAGCTTCTTTAGCAACCATTAATATATCAGCATAATAGTCAAGGAATAGTCTACCTTCATTGACAGCATGTGGGAAAGCAAGAGGAACAGCAGGTCGCCAACGCATTGCTTCTTTGACAATCGTCGCAATATACGGTAGACGATTATAGTCTTTCCAGACTGGTGATCGATCTTCCCCAATGACGGTATCCACCTCGGCTTGCGCTTTTTTCAAAACTTCGGGCCATTTGGTCAATGCGTGGATAAAGGAAAGAATAACTGACGCGGTGGTATCAGAGCCTCCTTCAACCAGAACACCACCAAGAAAGGCCATCTGATGCTCGTTCAAACCCAGTTTCTCGTTTTGATCCAGTACGCTATCCATCAAGCTGGGCTTATGGGAACCAAGTGATTTTCGGCGATTTTTAGCCTTTTGCAGGAGAGATCCATATAGAGAGTCCATATCCGACCCTACTCCCTTTGCGGTTGTTTCCCAGTTACCATACAAGCGTTCTGGTAGCCAGCGGAAAATGGGAAAGATGTCGACTGGTGGCGTCGCGCCGGGCTCCATGACTTGGACCCAGTTTTCCTGGAAAGCTTGTGAGGATTCATGTCAAGGGAATAAATGACAACAAGTAGAATTCACTAACCAAAAGATGGTATAAACGAAGCATGTGGGGTGTATCTATCTTCGCAGTACGAATACCGAAAACTATTCATGGTGAGACATAGGGAGGCAATGCCAGGGAGAGAACTTCCATACTAAGACTCATGATCACGCTATTGCTGAACCTCCTTGGATGCATCATATGTTGATCCGGTTGCAGACAAAGGTCGCGTATCATCTGCACGGCTTCTGCTTCCTGGATAGGAACATACTCTTTCTCAACGATTGATTCTGTGAAATACTGGTGGGCAATCTTTCTGAAAAGTCGCCACAGTGTACCATATTGCATGACCAGGATATGGTCACCCTTTGTGATTAGGTCGTGCGACACATAAGATGGCGGGCGATAGCTATATTTTGCGCCGCGCTTGTCTACCACTTCACGGACCAATTTCCGATCGGTGAGGACAATTGTCGTACTGTTTCCGATCTTGAATGAGTAGACTCCTCCATACTTTCGAGCCCATTCGGTGAACCTGTGACAGGATTCGGTAAGTTTGTGGTTAGTGGCGTATTTGTGAAAGGTCCTTAACCTACTTTAAAAATGCGCCCGTTTTGGGAAGCTGGTGAAGATTCCCTAGGATTGGTATAGTTGGGGGCCCTATATGGGACACAAACATCATTCAGCAAGAAATTAATAGGACGTAAAATGCGACCATGGAAAGCCCTCCATCTAATACACTGGCCCTTCCCCTTACAAGAAAAAGGTCAAATCTATTACTTACCAGGTGGTAGGCCTTTGCTTCTGTGTCCCAACGTTAGAGTGGCATATAATACGCCACAAATGACAGAAGCAAAAATGACTAACAGAACAGCCATAACAAATCGATATTGGGGCAGGGTTAATCTAAGTCACAACAGAGCTATTAAAAGTGGGAGGGATCACCTTAATTAAAGAAAATCACTTTGTCCTCGTTGCCGACGGCTCGTAATCTCTCTGCAGCTTCGCTGAAAGGATACTCAATCAGCATCCAGAAAATCGAAGCGACGGGAGCTGATTGCACCGACAGATCCATTGACGCGTTGTGTACTGCATTGTGTTAGGTGTGTGATGGCTGCATAATATGCTTGGTGGCTGCAAAGACTGGCGGGAATGTGCGTACAATCGACGGCTCTGATTCGCCTGGACGGGCTGTTAGGTAGACAGCTGCATACAGGCTTGTATCTGCCATGTCCAATTTTACTCCACATTTTTGGGGTCCTCTTAACCTGATGGGGTACGACGACCATCGGCAGGGCCTGAGGGGCCATAGCCTAACGCTTTTCAACCTTCGACTCCGTCAATCGTAATAAGTATCAAGAATCAAGATACTTGTTCAAGAGGACGTCGCACTGAGAGGAGTGTTCATAGGAGGCAAACCATGACCGAAACTGAGTATCAGAAGCCAAATCTCTCTCAGTGGAGTTTGGAGAGTCCAGACAGTTTCACATTCGTGGTGTGGTATCAAACCCCTATCTTTAATCTGCTGACAATTCTGCATCAATAACTAACACTGCTCAGCTCTTCTGCTGCCTCCACTAATTTGTGATCTTCAAATCAACCAGTCGGGAGACTTTATTGACGTTCCCGAGAAGCCTAATCAATATTAAGGATCCAGGGACTCAGAATGGCCCCCAAATTTCCAAGCCGTGTCCCGAAAAGGAAATCACTGCGATGCACAAGAAACAGATAAATCTGACGTTCCCCCATTCTATTCAGAAAAACAGGAAAGAAGAGACGCAGATCGCTATGACTGACGGTACTGTTCTTCTCACTGGGGCAAACGGCTCTCTTGCCATCCCCGCCATCCAGCATCTCCTCGCCAACTATCCCAAACACCAGGCTGTACTGACCGTCCGCAATCCCTCGGCCTCTGACCCCAACACCCAGAAACTGCACGCTATTCTCAAGGAATTCCAGGACCGGGTCTCGGTGCGTGCTCTCGATCTCTCTGATCTGTCCTCTGTGCGCACTTTTGCGACTACCCTTGCCGCCGACATCAACTCTGGCTCCCTTCCGCCACTCACCAGCATCATCTGCAATGCTTACTACTGGAATCTCTCCACGGCGCCCGAGTTCACCGGTGATGGCTTCGAGAAGACCTTTCAGGTCAATCATCTCGCACACGCCATCCTTGTTCAGCAACTCCTAGAGTCCTTTGGACCCGCCTCGAATTCCTCCGAGGTACCCTCTGCACGACGTGGTCGCATTGTGGTTTTTGGTAGCGACACCATCTTCCCCGGCCAGAGCAACCTTGAGAAGTACCCACCCCATCTCCCGGGCAATCTCAATGACTTGGCCAAACCGACCCCGGAGACGGATGGCGACCACATGGGCCACGGCTTCCTGCGATATGCTTTGTCGAAACTCGCCATCGTAACCTGGATGTATGCAATGAATGAGCATTTCCAAAAGGTTGGTATTTCCCTCTCTTTCCCCCTTTGCCTCTTCCATTTTCCCCGTCTCGTCCAGTTATTTCATTTATTCTGTCAACTCTTCATGCACAACTCTCGAAATCACAAATATTTAACCCATCTTTCCAGCCTGAAAATGCGCCACTGAGAGAAATCAAGGTCGTCGCCATTAACCCAGGTAACCTCAGCGACTCACGGGCGCTCCGCACCAACACTCCATGGATGTTACGAACTCTTTCGCGCTTCGTAATTCGGCCGTTCCGGCCTGTACTACGCCTCATGGACCCGACCATGCGAACTGCGGCTGCAGCTGGGGTGGATGTAGTGAAGCTGGCGGTAGATGAACAGTTCGATGGCGCCAGCGGCTATTTCACCTTGTTAGAGAAGAGTGAGGGGCCACCAGAAAGTAGAGACAGAGACAAGCAAGCGGCGTTGTGGGAGAAGACGACTGAATGGAGCTCAAAATAATTCGTCATTTTCTATTATTCTTTTTGTGGAGGGCAATTTAGAGAGGAATATCTAATACAATGTCCATAATTCCGATTACACTAGTTCCAAATACCTAAGAAACTCATTACAAGGGTCGTCTGAAATATTTGTATATCGTTTCCGACCTGCAATAGTCTTTCGAGCAAGAAATCCAGTGCTGGGGATGCTAGAGTGTTGTGGCCCCCTTGATTTACTCGTGCCTGAATCAAGGGGGTGAAGGTTTGCGGACCTCAGGCACACGAACGTCATCCATGGAGGGTGAGGTCTAAAGGCAGAATCATCGGAAAATGGAGTCAAACTATTTGTCAAATTATCTATGTAGGTGTTATAGTGCTCTAGTCGAGTGTCTCTAAGGGCTTAATGTTAAAAATATTGTTAAGACGGAGCAGGTCCATGCATGCTTCTCAGATCCGGGGTTCGTGGGGAAATACATATATATACTTGTACTACATCTTGTGGAAGTGGTCTACAATAAGAGGGACATTTATGTATCACATTTTTCTTCAGATGCCATGCAGATTTCATATCCGATCTTTCGGAAATACGTACGTACGGATATTGTAGAAAGAGCTGTAGATTAGACCTCTTATCAATAAATCATTCTAGCGATTTGCGATGTCTGCGAACAATGGATTTACATTACTTTCCCTACATAATGGCCATTTCGAGGTACCCGAGAATCCCAGTATGTTCACAAAGCTACTCGTATTCTAGACCACCCCAAACACTGAGGCCGATCACATGGTGTAAGGCATGGGTAAATGAAACGCAAGACACGAAAGACAGGAAATCGCCCAGAAAAGACATCATTCCAAATGAGAATATACCGTCAGACATATCGGAAAAGACAGGTTCAATCATGCATAGCGCTCGTAACTTCACAAATTTAGTAATATATGAACAAGAACGACCTCCAATTACTTCGCCCCCGTCTTAGTAGCCGAAAAAGACACAAGGGCATGATACGACTCTGTCAGCGGCCACAGATACATCGCGAAGAGCAGCGCACCAGCCACGAGGAGAAGATAATACATGATCGTCCAACCAAGATGCAGCTGTCCATTGCCCACGGCCGTTGCCGATCCCTCGGAGTCCTCCTTCCCTCGGGTGAGCGGCGAGCTGAGCGGCTCGTCTGCCTCCACGCGGCCCCAGACGCGGGGTAGCCCGCACCAGTTGCAGAAGCTATGGACGAAGATGACAGCCAACAGGGAGCCGGTGCGCAGGTAGACGAAGGTGGCGTACCAACCGAAGACGGTGGTATAGCCGAATTGGAAGAGGGAGCGCAGCAAGGCGGCCAGGACAGGCGTGTCCGGATGCGTGAGCCGGAACTCATAGAAGTGGTGCACATGGGCAATGCCGAAGTACAACGGGGCGACAAAAACGATCCGCACTGGGGATAGTTGGGCGAGCAGGTGCAGTGGCACAATGGCGGAGCGGAACATGACCTCCTCCGTGACAGGACCCTGATTGAGGGCAGTTAGTATATTCCGGATACCATATAATGTCCTGGGGACGTGTGAAAAGTAACGGAGGATTCTCGTGTGGTGTGACAGTGAGACGAATATGAATGTATGAGGGTACGAGGAAATAGCACTTACAGCAACATAGTTCCTCCAGCCAATCCACCCGCCCAGGCTCTCGGACCATTTACTGCGCCGGAACCAGGTGCGCCATTCGCCCTCGACCACACCGCGCTCATACAGCGGGCCAAGGAAGAGAATGGCTGTAAGAAGCCAGGCACGGAGGATGTCCGCAGGGTCCACAGGCCACCAGCCGAGCAGGTTGATGGCAGCGCCGACCGACGAATTGCCCTGGTCGACGATGATCCAGAGAACAATCAGCGAGCACACGATGCAGGAGCCAGTGACGGCACGGATGCGCGCTCGGATCACGGAGGGTGCATCGCGGCTCAAACTGGGCGAAGGCCGCGTGGCAGGCGAGAGATAAAACGGCACCACATAGAGCAACGTAAGGGCGATCTGAATAGGTTCATTAGTTTCTGAATGACTTGGGAAGGATGAGAGTTCAATTCTTTGAAAGTTTGAAGGGGGAGGGGGGCATGAGCTCTATCTGGGTCAAAGACCTACCGAGAAGAGGGCGACTGTGAACGTCGACAAAGCGGGCTCATCTGGGACGCGGTTAGTTGACAGGTCGGAAATTTTCCGGAAGAAGAGACTGGCGGGGGCAGCGCAAAGGGATACGCACTCTGTTGCTTGGTGTACAGGCTCTTGAGACGAGCCAGGATGTCGACGGGCGCCATGACTGACTGACGTCGAGGGGAGAGGGAGTGATCTTTGACGACGACGGTTTATCGAGCTATCTTATCGGGTGATCGTCGACTCTGAGGCGTCAAAGCGGCCAGGCTCTCTTTGTTGGGAACACGACGTGACAATACCAGCGATGCGGTAGGCGCAGTTGGGAACCAACTTGGGGCGAACACGAGTCGCGACGAGTAAGCATGGTAAATACCGTGTCACAATACCCGAACTCTCAACGGGTCCCACCAGCGTGCAATTGGTGCGCAGTACAAAGCAGGTACCAGCGAGGGACAGTACCGAGGGTGTGAGTATAGAGTCTCGGACACAGGGACACGGGCGATATCATGGTTCTTCCATGTCTTCAATAACCCCGGGTTCCACATCCGGGATCGGTATGAAGAGCAAGACAATCTACGATAGGGCCATTGCAATTCCACCCACGTCCATCCCCTGGCCGGGGTCCCGATCGCGATGTTATATTAGGTTTTCTTCCGAGAGTTGCACAACTCGCCGTACCCTTGGAGTGATCATACTAGTAGACGTGCCCAAAGGAAAAAGAAATCACTTCAAATGTCTGTGGCAGGCTGAGAGGTCCTGATTTTCACGATCGAACATGTGGACCGAGCGTCCACGAGTCGTACTGGACAGGCGATCCGCTTCCTGTTCCTGGCTCGGGAAATCTGAGTGTGAGGCATCAGATGCAGGCCACCCCTTGAACAGCCCATCCTCATTTTAAATTCTGAGTCAATGCGAGGGGATCGTGGGCAGAGAAATTCTCCGGGGCTCACGAGTGTCGCTTGCAGGTGGCATTGAGGAAATTATTGGGCCATTGGAAATCGGTCGATCGGGGCGATATTGTATATCTGAAGGGGGCCGCGAGGGTGGGCAATAGACCTTAGACAGGATCGTCCCTAGGGTTGGTCTGTTGCTCTCTCTCTCACTCTCTCTCATCTACACACTACCGATGAGGCTCGCTCATCGTCATTAATCCTCTTTTACCAGAAAAGCGGAATTGACCAACGAGAACCGACACCCTGAATCTCCGACCAATGAGACGGGCGCGGGCGTCCAGACACGCTAATTATGTAGCCGGGGACGAGAGCCAACGCATTGACTCCACCAGGGCTGGGGCCCGGGAGGGGAATCCAAGTACAGAGTACGGAGTACCCATGACATACTGCCATATTCCCCATGTCGAAATCTCAGGATAGAGTTCTTCGACTGAGTAGAAATCTCAGTAGAATCCCCATGGCGGGAGGTAATGCACAGTAGGAACTATATAATTGACCGTCAATCTCCAGTCGCGACTCGGGATGGAATGCAGGTCCTTTGCGATGAGGTCGAAGACACATCTGTTGACCAGGCATGGGATTGATTTGCTTTTTCACTGACTTTTCGGGTGTGGTCTCTACCTATCATCGTCATGGGTAAAAAAAGAAGGGCCCATCGTGGTGCAGCTGCAGGATTGGGGCTGCGCGAACCAAACAATCAGCGCCCTCGCGTGGGCTCCACTGCCCCGTTGGTTGTCGGTCGCCGCCCAAACGGCGCGGTGACTGTTCCCCCTCCCCAGTGCCGCCGGACCCAGAAGGGCCTGCCGGTGCCCCTGCGGTCTGGTCGCATCTGGTCGCATCTGCGCTTTCACCGCCGCTCAGCAACAAAATTCCCGGGGCCCCCTTGGATCGCCCAATGTCTCACGTTGTTCTCCCCTGTTTCTCTGTTGCTCTGTTGTTGCCAGTCCTTCGGCGTTCCTCGTCCCTCTTTTGAAACTGCTTTAATGTCGTGACGCTCTTTTTTAATGTCCCTTTGAAACGATCGAAACGATCTCATCCGCTCTTTTTTGGAATTCCGGTATTCCTGTCGCTCTTTTGAACCTGAACGCCATTTAAACGCCATTGCTACGAAGAATTTGACCCTATAGAAATTGACGAATATCAGATCTTCCGAGCCACATTCCTTACATCGAACCAATTCAGCAAAACCAAAACATCTTCCCCTTGTTCGGTTCTGGCCATTAGGTCATTGATTATTGATTATTGTTTGGTGCTTGTTTATTTGTTCCACGTTGTGTTGGAGAGAGTCAGAGAGATTGCTTGTCTACATTCTTATTGTCGCTTGCGCCGCGGTGGTTGGGAAGCGTTGTTTCCCCTCGCCCCTCGTTCGGTTCAACTCGGTCGATTGTTTCTTGTTGTGTTGTGTTGTGTTGTCTTTCGTTTCTATACTGTCACTCTCTTCGCCCGCTGGATCATGCCCTAATTTCTCTAGCCGGCCCAACTATCACTATGCCTCGATCTGTCCAGTCCGTCTCGCCCCCACCACGGCGGCGACGGGCCTTGCAAGAACGCAGTTCGGCGCATACAAACGAACGATCGCCCACTCGATCCCTGCGGATGGTGCGGGATAAGGAAGATGTGGAGATGAATATAGCTGACATGGCTGACCTGCCCAACATGGCGGATATCTATACCGCCACACCCTTCCCGACCAAACCAGAACAGATCTTACTGCCCATTCCTGGTAAAGGCCAGCGCAAGTATATCTCAGATACCGGTTTTAGCTACACAGAGGCTTCGGGCTCCGCGACATCCACCTGGTCGTCTCCGGTGTTCAGCCAAGGCACCGCCAGCAGCCCGCGAGACCACTCGGTGGGCGACACCTGGGATGTATCGTCCACCGTCGACACCGTCAATTCGCCGCCGCAGATGTGGGATGATCCCACCTCCAGCAAGTCGTCTCTGCCTGAGCTGCCGTCGGCCTCGTTGGCCAAGCCGGTCGATTACGGGTCCGATGACTCGGATGCCGACTTCTCGGACGACGAGCTGATTGTGTTGCCCACTGCCACTCCCACGATCAAGGCCGTGGTCTCAGAACCGCCCACGTCACCAAAGTCCATCGCAGACGAGGATTCTGTGCTGGGCTACTCAAGCCCGAATGTTGAGCGCATCGGAGCGCCTTCCAGCCCGAACTTCGTGACGCTGGATAATTCAAGCGTCAACTTTCTTCCTCCTCGGATCTCCCAATCTGACTCTGAACCGCGCTCCAATTCACTGTCCTCGTGGAATTCGCGAGGAACTGCGGTGAGGCATGCGGGAGCTGCGCCCTGGATTTATACAGTCGGCTCTTCTGAACAATTGGGCTCCGTCTCGCCCTCCTTGCACTCCAGCCCGCCGTTGCGATCAGTGGCATCGTTCTGCTCAATCACCAGACATGCCTCGGGTAGCGACAGCCGATCTCGCTCTGCGACCTCTTCGTCGCGTAGTCTACGTTCTGTCTCGGACATCCAGGCGGCCATAGATAGTGGAGTCAACGTGCAATTCCCGCGCATTCGGGCTCCATCCTCTTCCAGTTCGCGGGCCGATACCTCTGTTTCCACTGAAAGGGATTTCACTCCTGGTCCGGTATCCGGTCGTTGGAACCCTCATCTGTCCCGTGTTTCCTCTGTATGGTCTGCCGAGGAACTGTCTGGCCTCGCTGCTACGGCTGAAGGTACACCGGCCCCAGAGATGACCGAACCAACCGCCCCAGCTGCTGCTGCTCTCAACCAAAAGACAAGCAGATCCACCGTCTGGCTGGTGAACGATCCTGATGAGGAGGAGCGGCTCGACAGCCTCACCAACCTGCCTAACCGCAATGGCTTTCCCAGCAGTCTCTCATCTGGCTCCAAACGCAGCAACAGTATGCGCAGCATCAAGCGCCCGGGTACGGGCTCCAGCACCATGCTTCATATCCTCCCAACTTGGGCTAAGATCTACTATCGCGCGGATGCCATTGGCCTCAACCCAACTCTGACGATGATCGACGCCAGCCGGCCTTCTTCTGCCCGCCCAGGTACCGGCAACTCTAGTGTCTTTAGTCTGATGCCAACGCCGCTTAATATTCCGCGACCCCGATCTTCAGATCGTCCTCGCTCGCCGCCAGAACTGCCTTGCTCTCTGGAGCGCCCTGAACGTGTGCGCTTCGTCCAGCGCCGAATTGAGAGCGACCCCCTGGACCCGCGTGCCCACTGGGTTCCCGACCCGGAGCTTGAGAATGGTGAGATTATTGGCACGCCACGCCACCGACTGCGACACAGCTGGTCGCCTCATCTGTATACCGATCGACGGGGCATTCCTCGCTCAACCAGTGCCTGGATTGCACCATCGTTGGATTCTACGAACGAGCCTGTCTTCGGTAGACGGAACATCCAGGTCTACTCTTTCTGCATCGGCTTTGTTCTCCCATTGGGTATGTCTATAAAACATCTGCAAGGAGTTCTTTGTTTCGTTTGCTCCGTGCGCTAACGTCCTGGTTTTAGCGTGGATTATTGCCTCGTTCCTCCCGCTCCCACCTCAACCCAAGAAGCTCTCAGAGATGATGGAAGTTGGTGACGATGTGGAGCTGGCCCTTGAATCCCAATTATTGGGTCTTCAACAGCGGCGACATGATAACGCGCGGTGGTGGAGGAATTTGAACCGTTGGATGATCTCCCTCGGGGTGGTGATCATAGTTATTATCGTGAGTTGGCCTACTTATTCTCAGCGTCATCCAGCTTCTAATAAGTTCTCATAGATTGTTTTATCTGTCATCGGTACCACGACTGGTTTCTAATATCGCCATTACTGGCTTTGCATTGCATCGCGCTACACTATACGATATACTTTCTCCATTCATTCGATCTCATACGCTTCCACGACTTGGACAATTTCATTCAACACTTTTTCACACAACATCTTCTCGGTTCTCGGGGCCGTTTGCTCTGACCTAATCTGATCGAATTTCGGGACATGTCAACAATTCGCCAACCATTTATCTCTTTTACATCCACGGTTTTGATCTGTTTTTCTCGTGAGCCTAAACAGCTTCTACGACAAAACCACATATCTGCATCTCCTTTGACTTGTTATTATTCTCACCTCGCATGCTCGAGATACTTTCTTCTATACTCGATGCGGTATTTGTTCATTTTTTTTTTCGCTTCGCTGGACATTTTCAGGATATGACCCCCACGACACATGATTTAACGCACATATTATTCCCCTTCTTGCCTTCTATCTTTGATTCGATACATTTTTCTTCCTCTTCAATATTTACCTTCACTTCGCTTTTTCTCTTCTTGATATTTCGTCTTTTGTTTCACCCTCATTTTCTAATCAGAAGTTCGTACTGACGCTGACGACGGGATTTTTTTTTTCTTTTCTTTTCTTTCTTTTTTTTTTTTTTACCTTTCTTCATTTTCACAATTTTCTCTGACGGCATAGGACGCCTGTATAATGGATATTGTTCGATGCCCCTGTCTTACTTTTGTGACTTTTGATGTTCCACATACTTGATCCTTCTCATGTACTTCTCACTACTATTTTTCAATATTTCTTTGTCAAATGCCATTCTATATGATTTGTTACATGAACCGGGCTTCTTTCCACACCCCATAAGAACGAACATAAATCTTTATCCGGTATTCTTCCCAAGTATCAAAAAGACCCCTACAATCCGCTCTAGTCCATCATGGTCTATCCGTGCCTTATCTCGACCTAGGTAAGGTGTGTCCAAAAACCAGGGTAACAATGCGCTTTAGAGCCAAAAGAACTACAGCAGGCTACGGGAAACCAGCTTCTTTCCTGTTTGAATCCTTGTTTAAAAATGACTAAGCTTTTCTCTCGTAATTGAAAAACCGAGATAATGACCATATTGATTAAAATAACAGAGGAAAAGAAGTTCCGTCCGTCAATCCGCTCCTCTAATTCATATGCGGAGGATCAAGAAGCATGCAGACACAGTCTAACATTCTGGATAAAAATAACAACCCAACCGTGACCCAGCCACTCTTCCTGGCAGAGTCTTCTATACAATTCACAACATGCTGCAGTACACAGAATCGTCACAACACCTATAGCTTGCGTCCGATCTTCTGCTCAACAGCGATCTTCAGCTCTTCCCCGGTGGGCATGGTAACCACACTGCCACGACGGCGCCTGGATTCGATCTCCATCTTGATTTCCTGCACGGCCTCGTCAAAATCACGCTCGGGGTCGTTCGGAAAACCCAGTGTCGGGGGCCGCACGGTCTCCTGACTGGCGGTGCGCAGGACGTGTGGGCGGTTGCGGCGCTTCAATTGGCCGACCAGGTACGCCTTGGCGGGGCTGGCGAAGAAGAGGAGGGAGACGGCGGTGCTAATGATGCCATAGAAATACACACGCGACCAGACCTTCATGGAGTCGCCGAAGCTGAGGAGGATGAAAGGTAGGACGGCGAAGCCGAGCGTGAACTGGGTGGCGAACCAGCTAGCAATGTCGTAGTACCGTTTGTTGGGCGTGGGCTTGGTGCCGTCGGGAGTAAGGAAGAAGGGGCGGACGTAGCGACGGAAGTCTGGGAAACATGTTAGTTAAGAAAGAGATAGTTGGTATTGATAAGGGAGGGGACTGTACTCTTGGCGCCGGTCTGGATGAAAGATCCCAGCACGAAGGTCATGTAGTAACCCGGGTAGAAGCCGTGCCAGAGTGCACTCGTCGCAAAAGTCGCCATACTAGCGCGGAAACCGGGCTTCTTGCCCTTAGGAGTGACACGTAGGTAGACATAGTTTCGTAGCCAGTGGTTGGTATTTTTGTTCCAGCTGCCGAGATAGGCGTGCGAGTTCTGGGCCATCTCGAGACTCCACGGATCGACGTTCTCCAAGCGGTTCCAGAAGACTTTGCCAGATTTGGCATTGAAGCCGTTGTAGCCCATACCAGAGAGAATACAGGCGCCTTCGGTCAAGGACCACACGCCGTAGTATTTCAGACGAGCGGTGAAGCCGAGCATGTAGACGGTGAAGGCACGACGCGGGAAAGAAAACTCCATGAAGGCATCTGATAAAACAAAATCCGTGGTGAAGTACGATCCCAGTTGGAGAAATCCAAAGATCCAGACCAGGCCAACAATGGCCTTCTTCACAGCAGGTGTGCCACTGCGCGGAATCTTGCGCTTCTTGCGGGTTGGAGGCACCTTGGATGGATCGGTACCGGGTGGGATATCAAACAAGGTGGTGTCGAGCCAGCGGCGGTAGTCGACATACTCAAAAGATGGGCCAGCAAAGAGCGATGGGAAGAATAGTACGTATCCTGCGTAGTCGATGGCGCTCGGGAATTCAGTGATTGCAGAGTACTTCTGGGAATCAGATAACTGGTCCTGGGGAAGACGTCCATCATGAACGTTCCAGCAGAAGGAGCAAAGCTTCATGACCATGACCATTTGAGCCCCAGTAATATCCACCACTTGTGCGTCGTCAAGGATTTGGCGGTAGATGTGGCTGATCGACATGTGGCCCATCAGGAAGACAAAGCCAATCCAGGGCATTAACGAGCCGTCCACATAATACGCAATTGCATAGGTGCCAACTGCGCCGTAGAGCAGCGTGCGAAGGCCATCCCAGAGATCAAACAGCCCGACAAGGTAGAAGAGCGAGGCACCGATAATGAACGCATTTTTTTTCCAGGGCTGGGCGTCGGGGATTCGTTTCAGCAGGGCGGCGAGTGGGTAGGAGAGTAAAAAGGAGGCAATCAGCTTGACTAACAGGAAGAGTTAGAGAAGCTGAAGCTGCGGCTCTTATGAGCGTTAGCAAAGGTATACATACGCTCATCAACCGATGCGCCTGTGAGCTTTGCAGGGTAGTCGAACACTGCGGGGAGGTCAGTCCGAGCTCTGTGAGCTCCACAAGGGGGACACGAAGACACGAACAGATATCTATATAGGGCAACATTGTGTCGACCCGGATAGAAGACTTGGATTTAGAGCAGAGACTGCATGGAAGCCGAAATGGAGCAAAAGAGAAGGGGAAGAAAAAAGTTGTCAAGAGATCAACAGGATGTCATGTGGAAGCGGAACACGCCCAACATTCAACAACTTCACCTTCTCCACCTTCCCCCACGGTCACGACACCAACCCGGATCAGCTGCTCGCGCTTCGGCACTTTTTAATCTTTCTCTCTTTCGCTTTCTCTCCCGATCTGTTTCACTTCGCCGTGCCCGGGCGCAATCCCTCACCATGGATGTCGTCGCGGCCGTCTCGGGCTACATCTCCAAGATGGTGACGGCCGGCGAGTCGGCCTCGGGGTCTTCATCCACCAAGATGAAGATCTTGCTCCTCGATAGTGAGACAGTGCGACATGCGCTTGCCTCAATACTCTCTGGAACCGATAAACTGACTTGTGATACCCCAGGTACCGATCGTCTCCACTGCCATCACCCAATCTGCCCTCCTGAACCATGAAGTTTACCTTATTGACCGTCTCGACAATGCCGCGCGCGAGAAGATGCGCCATCTGCGCTGCCTGTGCTTCGTGCGACCATCCCCGACCTCCATCCAGCTTCTTATCGACGAGCTCCGAGAACCCAAGTACGGCGAATATTATATCTATTTGAGCAACATCATCCGCAAATCATCCCTCGAGCGGTTGGCCGAGGCAGACAGCCACGAAGTCGTCCATTGCGTGCAGGAGCAATTTGCCGACTTCCTTGTGATCAACCCAGATCTGTGTACGCTGAATCTGGGCTTTCCACTCTCGCGGCTATGGGCTCAGTCCCCCGACTTGTGGAATCCCGATTCGCTGCAGCGAGCTACTGAGGGCGTCTTGGCTTTATTACTTTCGTTGAAGAAGAATCCATTGATCCGATACGAGAAGAATAGTCTTTTGGCCCGGAAACTTGCGACTGAGGTTCGATACCACCTGACACAGGAGGAGCAGCTGTTTAATTTCCGCCGGACGGACACGCCGCCTATCCTCCTTATCCTGGACCGCCGCGACGACCCTATCACTCCGCTACTCACACAATGGACATATCAAGCTATGGTGCATGAAATGCTTGGGATCAATAATGGACGCGTGGACTTGCACGATGTGCCGGAGATCCGCCCGGAACTTCGAGAGATTGTTCTTGCTCAAGATCAAGACCCATTCTTCAAAAAAAACATGTATCAAAACTTTGGCGACCTGGGCCAGAACATTAAAGAATATGTCGAACAGTATCAGAACAAGACTCAAAGCAACATGAACATTGAGTCGATCGCCGATATGAAGCGATTTGTGGAGGATTACCCAGAATTCCGCAAGTTATCAGGAAATGTGAGCAAACATGTCACCCTGGTAGGTGAATTGAGTCGACGTGTTGGCGAGGACAATCTTCTCGATGTAAGCGAGCTGGAGCAAAGCCTGGCATGTAATGATAATCATTCCAATGATCTTAAGGTACGTTCGAGAGAACCATCCCTTTAGTCTTTTGCATCACGTACTAATTATATTGGATAGTCGCTGCAACGGATCATCCCGATGCAAAATGTCCCCGCAGAGAACAAGATCCGCGTCGTGGCTCTTTACGCGATTCGCTACGAGAAACACCCAAACAATGCCTTGCCAGTGCTGCTGGATCTACTCACCACCGCTGGCAACGTTCCCTCCAATAAGGTGAACATAATCCCTAAGATTCTCGCTTACCACCATTCCTTGCAAGCTCCGCCAGTTGCTGGTGGGTTCACCGATTTATTCGAGTCCACCTCATTTTTCTCCGGCGCGCGAGACCGATTTAAGGGACTCAAGGGCGTCGAGAACGTCTATACCCAACACTCGCCCCGTCTCGAGGTGACCCTACAGAACTTGATCAAGGGCCGCCTGAAGGAACTGCAATATCCGTTCCTGGAAGGTAGTGGGCATACTCGCGATAAGCCGCAGGATATCATCGTTTTCATGGTTGGGGGTACCACCTATGAAGAGGCGAAGATGGTTGCGCAGGTTAATGCTAGCTCCCCCGGAATAAGAGTTGTCCTGGGCGGCACCACTCTTCACAATAGTACAACATTCCTGGAAGAAGTTGATGATGCCGTCAGCAGCTGGCCAGAGCCTGGACCTTCGACAGCTGCTGGACGGCTACGACGCGAGGTTGGTCGGTAATGTTATGGGACGTGATAAGCCTTGGCGCTGTTGGCGTACGTTAGATAAATGCATGATGTGATGCCGCTATTCATAAGTGTAATGTGATCTTCGCTGGTTCTGGTCAATGTATATGGAGTCATCTTCCCGCGTTAGTCCCATGGCCTGAAATAAACTTGTATCGCCCCATCTGGCTAGAATGGAAAGGGAGTAGTTGAACTTTTATGAATGCCATGCCATCATCACTTTTCTATGCTAAAAGCGGACTGGTTGGTGGGTTCCATGGTTGATATTCTGGCGCCCTATTGGCGAAAGCTTTAAGAAGTTCCTCGGCTCGTGATGTCCAGCTTCATGGTCACTGGACCTGACTGGATGGTTTCGTATGCTTTGTCAGTTTCCATATGCTTTCTCTGTTGTACAAATTGATCCAAATCCAATGTGCTGTCACCTGATCCTGTGCTATCATTCCTTAGATACAAGCCCCCTCGCATAGAAAAATAACAGCCACAACCCATTCTTCTCCATCAACCGCCGAATAGTACCTACTTGATCGATTCTCATCATCTAAAAGGTCCAAAAAGAATGTCGGAACCTACAGAAACGCCCTCGCAGACAGTCACGGCAGTCGAATTTCTGGCCGATATTGCTGGCACTATCCAAATCATTGCGACCAACCTGCGCGAAAACCGGGTTAACAGAAAGGGCCTTCAGAAATGTCTCAGTGATTATGCAGCTCGTGCCGAATCCGACGGTCGACTGATCAATGCCTCCAGACAGGATGCAAACTGTGCCAACCGAGGTTTATTCTTGGCTTATACTCACATGGAACTCTTGTCTTGGTTGGCAACTAATAACTACACCATTCCCGCGACATCGGTCAAATGGTATAGCTGGAAAAAGCTATCCTCGAAGTATCGCTTGCCCCTTTTCTCGATTTCAGAGCAGACCGTAGAGCTACGGGGTCTTTTGAAGAACACTGAGAGAGTTGCGGAGCAGGTCTATGCTGACCTGGCTGAACACAATGTACTTGCCTGCCTAATATTCAGTTTCATTGTGATGTTTACGGTCTCACTCCGATATACGTAGGTCATGATCCCGCCAACATCTATCCAATACCCCAAGGTGCCCGTGGGAGAAAAAGTTGGCCCACCTCCAGAGAGTGAGTTCATTTCATTTCACATCCAAGGAAGACATTCTTGGGGAAAAAGTCGAAAGAATGCATTATGTTGATAACTGTGTTTGTAGCCATCCAAGATCTATTCGACAGGGGCTCTCGTGCTCGCGAGCGTATCATGCGCGGCCGATCTGAATGACGATTTTCAAACGCGACTTGCAATTGACAATGTAATGCAGGATAGCAAAATTTTCATACTTTCTTCTAATATCCGAGAATAGTCATGAACGAACAATATATGTACTTGATTCCGTGTTCACTGTTGCGATAACTGTAATTGGACTCGCATATAACATACATATTGAAAATTTAAAGTAAACCGGCCATGACCAGTAGTTCTCAGCATGTTATAGAACTGCTATCATCTATGGCAACTTGAACACAGCTTTTCCATTCTGAGTTCGCCACAAATGGCTAGTTTGTAGACCGAAAGAACCCCAGCAGAGGTTAGCAATGTCAAGGTACTGGCCCTCATTCTCTTATCACTTTTTCAGGATGCCGAGTATGATATCAGGGCCTATACCTTATCAGTTGTTCCATTCTTAACGAAAAGAAGATCCAAATTCTTGTTGACGAGTTGAGCTAAGTTGACTGGCTAGATTGGACCATTTATTTAGTAAATACTGACACGAATGAGCAGAAGAAATCGTAGTTTCTCAAGCTGAGCCCAAACTGTAGGAAAATTAACCTGATGTGTGAGGTTTAGGATGTCTTTCATGATGTCATTCCGCATATAGGGAGAATCCCTGTTATAACAGATAAACTAGAGAACACCCTCTTTTAGTCATAGAGTCATCAGCGGAGCTAGTGTATCTTGCTATCATGGGTATAGATCATTACTTTAGTTTTTCCCAATAGCAAAGAGAAATCCCCGAAGCTGCAGTGGCTTATCCTCTGGCATACTTCATTTCAGCCTAGCCAAGGACAACTGAATCATCTTTGGCAGATATTATTCTGAAAATATGTGGCAAGTAGATATCGACTATTAATCCTTGCTATCGGTGCCGTACAGCAACGCATTCATTCTCAAAATATGAAGGAATGGGTGGTCCGGATTGGGTCCCGACATACTGTAAAGAGCGGGAGATGCTAATATTTAGGACGAGGGAAGTCATCCTGAAGTCCTCATTAGTACTGCTCTTAGACAAATCAATGGAGCGTCCACGCAGCCCAAAGACTCTGGTTGAGCCAGGGGGTCAAAGCGGCAAGACCAATAACCGGCAGAATATCCCCGTGGGGGAAGGTGGTGAGGGTGCGGAGCGCAAGATTTCCGTCCCTTCTCTTTCATCTATTCGGTTTCGCGCGCAATGGAGCAATACTCCCCTTCAAAGGGAGGTCCTTCCTCTCCCATTGCTTCTCGTGAGCCACGATTGCATCTGCCCTCGACAACCGATCCGCCAGGCCCGCAGAACCCTCCAAAACCCCTCGTATGGCTGGTAAGCGCAGCACCCCACTTGGCAACCTGCAAGCACCAAGCCAATTGACCCAGACCGCTGACCCAACCCTGCTGGTTCCAGATTTTTGGAGCAACTGGCCATATGGGTCGCTCGCTCGTGAAAACCGCCCTATCGCGAAATGACCTGGTGTCCGCCGTCGGGCGCACCTACGAGAACAGTCCAGAATGCATGAAAGAGCTCGAGGACGAACACGAGAACTGTCTCGGCCTTCTCTGCGACGTGCGCGCCCGCGAGACAGTCAAACGCGTTATTGACCAGACAATCGCGCGATTTGGACGCATAGATGTTATCGCCAATTGCTCGGGGTACGGCGTGATCGGGGCGTGCGAGGACCAGGACGAATTTGACATCCGAAACCAGTTCGAGACAAACTTTACGGGCACGTTGAATATGATTCAATTGTCTTTACCTCACTTTCGTGAGCGGCGCTCTGGTCGGTACTTGATTTTCAGCTCGACATCCGGCGCGCTCGGGGTTCCAGGGCTGGGCCCGTATTGCGCGTCGAAGTATGCGGTCGAGGGGCTCATGGAGAGCATGCTATATGAGGTGGACAGCTTCAATATAAAGGGCACTCTCGTTGAGCCGGGGCACATGCGCCGCGATGATATCGGCGACCTGGTTTCCCCCTCAGTCATGGCGGCCAACCCTTCCGAACATAATCTCTCATCACCACTGCCTCTGTACGGACATTTCTTGGTCAAGCCGCCGAGTGAACCATATAATACACCCACATCACCGGCCGCACATGCCCGGCGTATGTTGATGTGGCTTGCAGACAAGCAGCCTGCGTCGGCGGTCAAGGCTGCTCATCTTGTTTGGGAGCTGGGACACTGCTCATACCCTCCCTTGCGTCTGATACTGGGGACCTATGCGGTTGAGAGCATCCGTGATCGGTTGAAGTGCATTATAGAAGAAATTGAAGACTGGAAGCACCTGAGTTTCCCATTGGGGGAAACGCAGCCTGCTGCGGCCACCAGTCGAGATAAGTCTCTACCGGCGGAAGGGAATGAGAATGAGAACGCTGGGGCTACCGGATGAAGTTTCGAAGATACTATACCAGTGAACAGGCACATATTTCATGTCGACTCTCAATACGCCCTACCAAAGACTATCTCCGAGAAATGCATCCTGCAATTTGATGTTCTGACTACCAGGTCTCCCGTGTCAGCAAAGTGCTATTCAAACTTGCTATGGAAACCGCCCTTGTGAGCATGAGGTTTATATTACATCGAAAAAAAGCTCCAAGTACGCCGATACCTACTACTCCGCATATAACCCGGATTGGAGTTCCATGTTGCAGAACGTTGATGCGGGGTGCATTGGGAATGAGACTCATAGCATAGCGTCGCTGCAAGTTCCAAGAGCGGTCTATGGTACTTCATAGACTAGCATTCCTAAGTTTGCAGCATTTAATACGCAGGCACCAATATCTTCAGAGGTCTTATATTTTCATAGCTGAAATTTTAGAACATCTCATATGTACCACGCTAATACCATATGGATAAGAGAAGTATACAAGAGAAGAGACATGCTACATGATCCATCAATTAGGTCCGGAGTGACAAATATGATATAAGGCAGACCGAAGAGGGTTCTTTGAACATATCATGAGGGGGAAAGGGAAGTAAAACAAAGTCATGATCATGAAGAGGTACAATGACAAGACCTCAGTTGCAAGTTTGGATAACACAGGTCTCTTTCGCATGCCAGATGCGACGCCGTCTGGCCACATCCGCACCAAATGTGTCCTTGATACCGTCGTCATTAAAGCGGTTAGTGCTATCATGACTATCTTTTTTGAGGGCACCATCAAAAGACAACAAGAGTCGTGCTTCTTCGACACTCGCGCCAAACTCGTACTCGCCGCGACAGAGGACTGTCACGCCGATAGAGCTTGTCGATGATTCTCCACTCTGTAGCAAGGGCATTGCCTGTTGGAGCATCCCAGTCCACGCAAGACGCCGGGTGAGGTCCAGAGCAATATTGTTTGGCTGGTGGCGGAGGCTAGGTTGTAGACGGAGAAGGGGATGAATAGGGCGTGAAGAACGGTTGCGAACAGTGACAAAGAGAGTAAGGAGGTCGTCTGCTTGAGCACGGAAGCGGGATCGGCCAGTTTGAACGACTGCGGTAGATGATCCATCTTTTGATGCATCAGACGATGAACTCAAAGAGAACGATATCTCAATGTCCTCGAGACGCATAGCCTCCACCATACGAGCATTGAGGCGGATGTTGCGCAAGTCTATTGACCCCTGGCGACCTGTTGCAGGTTCGGACCAACCTCCTAGAAGCCGCTTGAGGAGCTCTTCGCGGAACCAGAAGGCCTCTCGTGAAGCTCCCTCGGCCTCAAACGACAGTTTGTTCGCACTGACAACAAATTGGCGTCGAGTGCCAGTGTTTACGACGGGAATTGACGCATGAGGGTCGTTCAGGTAGACCCGAGGGAGTATGAGAACAAAGCGGGAGACCTGCCCAGGTTGAAGATTCCCACCCACTGAATACTGACTATCTTCATCATTCTTGGATGACTTCATAGCAGAGCCAAGTGCCATAGAATGTTCGCTAACACGCAACCAGACAGACAATGGGCTCGGCCAGGCATTGCGAAGATCCAGAAGAACAACACAGTGATCTGGTCCGTAAGCTCCATTTCCAAGGCGAGATAAGACCTGTGAAAATGGATCATGATCTGTGGTAGATAAGGGCGAGTCTGACTTCAATGCGGTATCAGACGGGGCATCAAGGTGGTTCTTCCACGCAAAATCTCCACTAAAAGGAAGAATGTCACAACGGGCAACCTCAATGCTGGCGTTCACAGTAACAGTGAGCGGGACAAAGAGCTGGCGAGTGTAGAATACCTCCGGCAAACCGCCCTGTTTGACATTCAGGCATGAGTAGTCTATCTGCACTGTTGTGTCTTGTAGGCCAGGTTTACCAAGCACGTCAACAGTGAATGTGGCCTTCTCTCCTGGTGGAATAGTGCAGTCATCGGGCTGCGAGTCCTCCCGGCGCCATTTCAAGGCGGGCTGAGTGGCCAGCTTCAACTCTAATTCGTGGATTTCAACCGGTAGCAGGTCTTTGTTTCTAAGAGCAGATTGAAGCTGTCGAGTTGTTGAGTCTTGGAAGGTGAACAATACAAAGTCCACGGGGCAGGAGGAGGTATTGTGAAGAGTAATGGCGAACGATTTGACTTCCCCTTCCAGAACCATCATTGCTGACTGCGAGAGTGACATGGAATCAATCAAGAGCGAAGGCTGCTTGGCAATGACTTTGACCTGACAAGTTTCAGTCTTAGGGCCTTTTTTGGTTGAAACTTTCCCATCTTTTGATGTTGTCGAGCTCCAGGATAGTGGACGTTCTGTAGGCGGCTTTTTGAATGCCAGTCCTGTCCGCTTGAATTTCACTTCGGGCTCGGGTTTCCATAACGTCTTAAAGATGGGGAATCTTCGCATTCGACAGTGTCTCACTTTCACAATACACCCAGAAATATTCAAATTGCCCTCCTCGTGCGCGGTGCCAAGAACAATGACATCCTGCAGACAAAGGGGGGAAGAATGATATTTTCGGCCACGGCATCAAATGACACTCCCTCGCTTTCTAATCGTAAATGCTCAACCTCGATTTCAAACTCATAAGGGTTTTGGAGCGTCACTTGGAATGAAGCAGGCTCGTCTGTTACGCTAAGCATTTCCAGAGCTTTGCTGCTGGGCTTAGCAAATGGATTGTATAGAAAGGGGTCTTTCTTTGATTTCTCCGAACTCGTGGTGACAGCATCGAGCTCGGTTTTGGACCGACGAACAGGCCTCTTAGGATCAGGCAGAGCCAGTAATTTGATGTCGCGCACAAGGAAGTCATCCCAATACTCTGCAGCCATATTCTCAGCTCCAAGCCTGTTCCCAGCTCCAACAGTGCGTTTGATGTTGTTCAAAAGCCGAACTTGCTCGTCTTGAGGGAGATATGGTGGCATCTTATAATCTTCGCTCAGCATAAGATCTCCCCGAATAGTCTGAAGGAGCTCGACGGTGAAACGAAGAACGCCGTCAAAGTCGGGAAGAGCTTCGCAGCAGTTAATGCATGCCTTCAAAACATCAATTTTGAGGTTCATATCTCCATATCTGTCCAAAACAACGTGGCGGAAAGATCGCTCAGCAATGCCTGCAATCGAGTCATATTCAAGGCACTCGTGGGAGCTACCACGAGTGGAGGTCTGACTTTGTCGCTTCTCCCATTCGTAAACTGCAGAAGGCTGCACTCCATATATCTCACCTATAGTACCGAGAAGAATACGGACACTCTTCTCCATATTCCCGGGTCCAACGTCAAGAGCGTTCACATCAAATGCGGTATCACTGAGAGATGATAGCCCGGCAGCAGGATGAATTCCGACTTCTGCGGCACCTATTTTTCGCGCTTGCACTAGGCTGGGAACCATGACAGAAAGAAGCTCCCGCATAAGGAACGCTTTCTTACGTGGTAAGTCAAGCGCACTCAGAACGGAGACGACACCCACAATAATGGGTACTGCATCAGTAGCAGGTAGCTCTGCGCCAGGTGCAAGCGGAAGCGCGCGATACAAGAAATTGGCAATCTCAGACTTGCGCAGCACGACTGTCCCACGAGGAAGCTCCGGTTGCATTAAAGGAACCAAAGCTTCATTCATGACGATATGTTTCAGGGCGTTATCATCAAGGGCACCATCGCGAATACGAGCCGAGACCAGCAGTCTTGACAATCGAATGACAGTCTCTGAGAAGACCAATTGCGGCAAAGGTTCTTCGGTAATGTTGGCAGCACGAGTGTAGAGGTTTAAGATAGTGTTGGAAAGATCTGGGAGCAAATTCGCTAGGTTCTGGAGGGAGACGAGTCGATTTCCAGCAGCGCTTGGGGCTTGTATTGCATCTCGAATGGCTTTGGAGGCTTTATCGGCGACGGGGTAGAGCACAGAAGGGATATGGAAGTCCATTCCCGCCCATGCGAGCATCAGAAGACAAAGAAGAATATTTTCCAATGCTTTGCCATGCCAGACATAGTCACTTCCGGCCCGTGCATTGGTAGCCGCTTCAACTAACTCCTTGAGAGCATCTGGCCATCTTCCTGCCTGCAGGAAAAGAGTACCGATGACGACACCAGAGCGCCCCTTGATACGGTTCTTGGTCCTGTCCGTGGCACTTAATCCGCTAACAGACATCCGATCCCGACTATGCTCCTTGGGTGACGAGATTGAGGGGCTCCTGCCTCCTGAATTCGTTCTGGATAGGTGGATCGAACGGGTAATCTCATCAAATGTTGTGGGGGTTTCATGGTCACTAGGAGCTGGAGAGCTGGGATTGGAGCTTAGTGGCGTCTCTGTAGCCGCCCCATTAGAATTGGAGGGAAACTGTGCTGGCAGGGTCATACGATTCATCAATCGGTCCACTGGCCGCGGTCGTAGCTCTGGATTGCGGTGTGGACCCCAGGATGAAGCTTTCGGGGATTCTATCGACGGGATAGCCTGAATGGTCTTGGCGAACTCGTCCAGCTCCGAGAGCAAAACGGATGTAATATCACATAGGACAGTTTTCATCGTAGTTGCTTTGGAAGCCTCAGGGCGGGGGACCCAAAGCACATTATCCGGACCATTGGTGAGTTTCTCAAGGCCGTTGTAGTCAAACACCAGGAGCTGGGTCACAAGTGCCCGTGGGTTTCTCTCCTTCACCGCATCAAGTTGATCTCGCAACTCATCGAGTCCCTCCGGCGTGGGATGATGCTCCTTCATTTCAGGGCTTGTGACCAATTCCGCTCCATCTGCTATGGCAATTATCACCAGCGGTTCCCGGTGTATTTCGAAAGGAAACAGTTCGAGATGTGAAGTGGGGGGAACTGAGAACGATAAATCGTAGAGAATCATGCCGGTTGGAAATGCAAGCGGGGAGAACATATCTATAGAATGAATGAGTTAGCTTTCAGGTCAGCTGTTTCAGAGTCTCCCAAGCTTCTAACATCCATGGGAAGGTTGTGGCGTACTTCGATTTGGTCGAGAATCGGGACTAATGTCCCCTAATCGCACCACATTTTCTGCTTGAAGTCTGGCTGCAAAGCTCAAGAAGCGCGAACGCTTGATCCTGCCAATTGGTAGTAGCAGCGCTCGCAGACGCACTGGCGCAATTGGAGACAAAGGGTCGACCCCCATTCTGTCATTGGAAGGGCACCGGAGTAGAAGCGGTTGACAGTATTAGGCCCGCATCCACAACAAACGCAACCGGCTCGGCTCTCAGGCGGTACCCGTGAGGGAATAGAGGAGAGGGCGAGTAGTCACAACAAAGCGACTGCCGTTAGGAGGCCAGCCGTGAGAACAATGAGCGTCTTGAGCTCAACAAAGGAAATGCAGTCCACCGTTCGGGGCTCCTGAAGCCGCGATGGTGGATCATGGGAAACAATACGGGTTACATAAGCCCCGCTGATCTAAGCTGCTGATAAGCCCGCCGATAAGCCGACCTCCGCGGCCGAGTTGTCGACGGCTTGTCTCACATCTGGCTTTCGGTTTGTTGCTTCACATCTATTGCTGACCTCTTTCTTTTCCACTCTCCATCCCTTATAGACGGGCTTGTTTGGCTATATCCATACCTTATTCTGTCGTTTCTTGTTCCTCTTTGACTCCCCAAGAACTTCTTGATGCGCCTAAAATGATATAGGCAACTTCTTTTATGCACACATCTGCATACTATCGAACCCAATACAATCTTTGAGCATAGAATAGAAGATGGCTTTAAACACAGATTTTAGCGCATTGAAAGCCCGGACCATGGGGTCCGGCGCTGACGAAGAAGCAGTCACTGTTGATACGAGAGGCCTAATATCTAAAGTTCTTGCGCGATATTCAGGGAAATGGTATGTGTTTTGGCTTTCATTTGGTACAGTCAACATCAAGAGCTGACTCTGCCTCATTAGGACGGTTCTCCGAGAGATGATTCAGAATGCCGCCGACGCATCTGCAACCAAAGTGACCATTAAATTCGAGACTCTCCCTTCTACAACCGTGCCATCTCCGTCATCGACAGATCCAACAGCACTCCTCAAACATACCATCTCCAATCATACTCTCCGCCGGCTTCTCATCTCTAATAATGGCCTTCCGTTCAGCGAAAAAGATTGGGCCAGGTTGAAGCGCATTGCTGATGGAAACCCGGACGAGACCAAGATCGGTGCATTTGGTGTTGGCTTCTACAGCGTCTTTGATGACTGTGAGGAACCATTCGTTTCTTCAGGGAATCACGCTATGGCCTTTTACTGGAAAGGCAATTCATTATTCACTCGTCGCCTAGATTTGGGTGAAACTTCAAATCAGGAAACAACATTTGTCCTGGATTATCGCAATGATTCTTCTCCAATCCCGTCTCTGATGCAACTTTGCCAGTTCCTCTCGAGCAGTTTGACATTTGTTTCCCTTGAAGAGATAGAATTAAGGCTGGATGATTGGAGCTTGCTTCGACTAATAAAGAAGAGGGCACCTGGTGTTGTTGTTCCTATCCCAAGGGACATCGAAACTAAAACTGCAGACGGCTTGATGAAGGTCACAGCTATTACGCAAGAAATCGCCCAGGTTGATGCAGCATGGATGCGAATTGTGGAATGGAATCCCAATGCTAGCGTGTTCCGCCTCGATAATCTTCGAGATACTACGAGTTCTCTTCGGAGCTTCTTCTCAAAATTCACCGGACAAGGACCCGAAAAACCGTCTACGACCAAGCCAGTGGAGAAGATCGAAGAGCCCAGTAATATGACGTCCATGTTGAAGGCAACTGTGTTCTTGCATATTAATACCGCGTCTATTCAACCTTCAATAAGCTCTTCTTTGAGCAAGGAACTTGAACGAGCCACACGAAAGCCACCCCCGAAGAAGGCAACAATTGCGATCTTAACGCCTTCTTATGATACTAATATCGCAACCGGCGTATCTGAATCACAATCCGAGATACTTGCATCTATATTGCCCTCAAAAGCTGGAAGGGTTTTCATTGGTTTTCCAACTCAGCAGACCACGGGTCTCAATGCCCATGTCTCTGCACCATCTGTTATCCCTACAGTTGAACGAGAGAGCATCGATCTCAACACTCGATATATTAGCAAATGGAATCTCGAGATGCTCAGAGCAGTCGGCATTGTCTGTCGCATTGCCTGGTCTGCCGAAATGAGCACTATCAAATCTAAAGTACTTGCCAAAGTCGATTCATCTCGCTCCAGAATTAGGAAGGAAGATATCGTGGATGTGCTACCTGAGGCAATTCATACCGCGAACCAATTTGTTTTTCGTGAATCAACGCCGTCTTCAGTTCTAGGACAAACGATCGAGGACGCATTTTGGATGTGCAACAAGACTGCCTCAATCGAAATCCTGTCTACATGCGGCGTCATTCCTAGTCATCAGACTCGCATTGCTCCAAAAGATCTCAGCTTCATGGACTCGATACCCGCTCTGCCCGATGAATTTGTGTCCCAGGCTAAAGAATTTGTTCAAAGGCTCACAGAATTTGGACTGGTCACGGAAATTACTGTTTCGGACATCAAACGTGAATTGGAATCAAACACATTACGACCAAATCAGATTGTTGAGTTTCTGACATGGCTCGGGCGTAAAACAGCCACCGGCCAACTCGACAGAATGTCTGTACAAAGTTTGCTGCGAGTCGCAGTGGCTCACGATGAGAACCAAGAAGGCCAGCCTACCAAGCTTATCATCTTCGCAGACATTACCGGGTTCTTGAATCCACAACGGATTCCGGCGGATTTGCCGGTACCGCCTTCTGTGATGCCTTTTCGATTCACAAAAGCCCTGAACAAACAAGAACTTGAAGCACTTGGTTGGGTTGAGCTTCAGCTTGTCTTCTGGCTTCGCTGGTTGGTTATGAATGCCGGGGACCGTAGTCTTCTCGTAGAAGACCATGATATGACACAAAGTCCATCATTTGCTGGACAAATCCTACCTGTTCTCTCGAAACATTGGGACACATTGAGCTCATCTGCTAAGGACACAATTATTACCACCCTGCAGCCCCAGACCGTGATTCCGACTAAACTCGGGATGAAGCAACCTGGTCAGACCTACTTTGCTTCCGTGCGCCTTTTTGATGATCTTCCTGTGGTTCATGGTCTTAACGGTGTCAAGGAGAAATTTTTGGTTGCCCTTGGTGTCCGCAAAACTGTTGAACTTGGGGTGATATTCGATCGCCTCATTAACGCATCAGAAATGGTGGACACCAAAGGTTCCCAAACCAGAAAATGGAATCATGTGGACCTGATCCGCTATCTCACCTCCGTACGAGAAGACATTCCTTCAAATGATATACAGAGACTGAAGAATACAAGCATTTGCACTGCTGAGAACGATTCCCAAGGCTCGTTTAGTCCTCGTTTCAAGATATCCGAGCTCTATGAACCCAGAGATTCTCTCCGTGCCCTTGGTCTGCCTATCATCGATTGGCCGGGCATATATCATGACGCTAGCAACGAGGCCAAGTTTCTCATCATGATGGGATTGAAGCGCTTTCCCTCTGGGTCCGAACTCGTTCGCCTGATGATTCAAAGTGACTCGGACAAAGACAGCTCTCGCAAGAACAAAGCCTTGGCGTACTTTCTAAATGAATATCACACAAATGGATATGATGCCTTTGATATTGGTTCGGTCACGGTTCCATTTCTTCCTGTTGAGGGATCGGATAGTCTCAGCACACCAAAGAAATGCTTTACCGACGATAACGCTTCTTTGTTTGGCTTTAAGATACTTCAGAAACGCCTTCATCCACACGCAGCCAAGCTGGGAGTGAAAGCCCACCCACCTGTGTCAGACTGCCTTCAGATCTTGATTCGGCAACCTCCGGTTACTCATAGGGACGCCAGAGTGATTTTCAAATATTTAGCGGGGAGGATATCAGACATGAATCCAAAAGATGTTGATCAAGTCGGAAATGCTTCCATCATTCCGATCACCATAAATGAACAGAAAGAAAAAGGTGCACGAAGTCGTCTGGTTGCGCCAAAACTCTGTTATCTTGGAGATGGAGAAGACTACAAAGATATCTTCGATTTCGTTGATTTCGGCCAAGAAGCCAACCTTTTCCTCATGGCTGTCGGATCAAGGCGCGAACCGACTAAAACTGAGATTGCCCGCATGCTGGTGAAAGAACCCGCTCGTATCTCGGCTGCATTTCAGAGCTCTGATAAATATTTGATGCTTTTGAGAACGCTTGCAGAGCATCTCCCAATCCTCAAGAAAGATCGGGAACTATTTAGCGAGATGAAGAGGGCAAAATTTCTACTTGCGAGCCGTGATATTCCGCCACAGTCGGCCACTGCTCAAAAGGAAAAGCAAAAGTCTTCCGATAAGGCCATTGCTGATATGGAAGACGAGCTGGATATTAGGGAATGGAGCCTCGCTTCTGCAAAGGAGATTGTTGTTGTCGACGATTTCCAAAGCTTCAATCTTTTCAAAGAGCACATTCTTGCTGCGCCTCAAGAGGAAACGCTCGAAAACTTTTACGTCGCGTTGGGTGCTATTCCTTTAAGCAGCCTTGTTGAGGAACAAGCCCGATTCGGAGGCGTCGCAGCCGATCAAAGCTCGGGAGCCAAGTTACACAAGATCATTGTCGAACGTGCGCGTCTATTCTTACATGATCAACCCGCCGATTCGATTCAACATGGAACGAGATGGTTGGAGCAAAGCTTTGCTGTTCAGGTGGTCAACTCTATCACTCTGACGCGGTCTTTGAAGGGTCGGCGAGCCTCTCATACTCAAAAACGAAGTGCCATCGTTGCTCGTCTATCCAATAATTATGGGTTATGCATTGTTCCAGGCCGATATGATCTGTATGAGATTAGCCAGTCCCTCGTCCATCTCATCCTCAAGCGGCCGAAGCTTCATTCAACTTTGACGCTAGAGATGCTTCTCAAGACAGATCTCCTGGAGCTTCGTGCCCGCGGGTATAATGTGGAACGTATCCTCAGACAGAAAGCTCATGAAGCCCGAATGGCTGAGGATAAACGCCAGAAACAGCTGGAAGAAGAAAGACGCATGTTGCAGGAGAGAGAGGCTGCGTGGGCTGAATCTCAAGCCCAACGAGCTAAAGAAGAAGCAGTAGAGCCTCAGTCCCACTCGCAAGCCGTCATGCCAGGTGTCTTTCCCGAGTCTCCGAAGAACAGAGCGGTTGCGGAAGAGACGCAGTCTCCTCCATCCGAACCTGCCATGCCCGATAGGACCTCTCGTGGCTTGTTTGCTAATCTGTCCAAGCGGTTCGGCTTGGATAAAGACCGATCGGGCTCCAATTCTGCTGGAGAGCAGTCCCGATCATTACTTTCTGACTCTTCCACGCCTCCTCCGCCTCCTTATTCTGCTTCGGATCCTCAGGAGTCGCGTCCAGAGCAGCCGGTCTCAGTCAGCTCTCCGCATCGACTCAACCAGGAACTTCTCTCTGCTGTTCAAGCCTGTCGGCCACATGGATCCTCCGATGTTTATAGTCGACCAGAAACGAACCAAATCTCGGAAAGCAAGTCTTATTGTGATGAGCGACCGAGTCATGACCTGGAGTTTGTGGCCACTCTGCCCAGTGGGGTCAACGTGCTGTTTGTCAAGTCCGTCCCGGATCGATCTGCTTTCCTCACAAGCAATCGGGCCGGCATCAATCTTTTTGCCTCTATTCTGCTAGATTGCGGTTCAATTTTCTCGATGCGACCCGACAGTCTCAGTATATTCTACGATCCTGGGGGTAAAACCATTGCCTTCAACCGGGCAGGAAGCATCTTCTGCAACTACTTCTATTTTCAACAGCTGCAGGAGCAATCGCTCCTGCAGAGCGCAATGCCCGACCGGACCGATGCGATTGTCTACTGGTGGGTCATTCTGTGCCATGAACTTGCACACAACCTTGTGGGCGACCACAGTTCCGCTCACAGCTACTACACCGAAGGGTTTGTGGCCCAGTATTTCCCCAAGGTGGCCACCAAATTAGCCGCACTCTTGCCGCCAGCATCTAGCTCGGCATGATTCAGAGAAGGTATGCGGTTCTTGGTTTTTTATACATCTCGGATACCCAGTTGCGAATGTTCATCTAGAAATGCCTGTAGATCCCGATAGATCCCATAGATAAAGCGTTGCCACCCGCGTGGGCTCCATCCGTTTTCCGGCGGTACCCGCTTTTTGCTGGTATCCCAACCTTAATTTTTCCTCTCCTTTGCAACCTCAGATTCTGCACAATGCATTGTTAGCAGAACTGCTCAGTTTGATCTCAACCGTTTCCGGGGCTGTAGTCCAAGTCCATCATGCACCACTGATCTGTTCGACCTATATTCCGCAGACTGAGGGCGTGGTGCCGATACGGCTGACGCTCGCCACTCTCCGAAACCTCAATTGGGAACATACCTGACTCGGGTTCCTGAAGAGCTTCAAATTTTTACACCTAGATTTTTATGGGACAAACCCCACCTGACAATTTTCGAATCCGTTTTTTTTTCAGCACTGCTGAAACTTAGCGTGGAGCGCTTCGATCAGCAACATCGTCTTGGCGACTTAATTTGATCATGGCGCCATTACTGGGCAACTGGGATAGAGACGCCACCCAGTCTTCTCAGACGGAAAGCACAGAGGCTTCTCAGAAAAGCATTCTCTACATTGATGCGTACGATTCTTTCTCCTACAATGTGGTGGCAATGCTGGAGGAGACGCTTGGCGTCACAGTCACCGTGATGACCATTGATTCCGACTGGCCAGATGGCAATATGCATGAATTTCTTCGCCACTACGAAGCCATCGTTCTGGGACCCGGACCTGGCAACCCCAATCTAGCTAAGGATGTCGGTATCATGAAAGATATCTGGAATCTCCAAGATACCGAAATGCTTCCGGTTTTTGGCATCTGCCTCGGGTTCCAGAGCTTGTGCCTCCATCACGGTGTTCCCATTGAACGTCTTCCATACCCACTTCATGGCCAAGTGCGTCATATTTCGACAGCTTCGAGAGATATTTTTGAGAACCTTCCCACGGTGGAGGTTACCCTCTATCATTCCCTTTACGCTAATGTGAACGCTCCCGCGCGGTCTTTGGATCATTCAGCGGATGACCTTGATTTTCTGGCATGGTTGTTCCTTGATACAGATTCGTTTTCAACCACTAAAATACCAATGGCTGTTCGGCATCGCAAAAAGCCTTTATGGGGAGTTCAGTTTCATCCGGAGTCATGCAAATCAGAGAGAGACGCATGCAGAAATTTGCTGCAAAATTGGTGGCAGATGGCTCTCGCATATAACAAGATCGTTCAACGCGGAGGCTACGGTACTCTTCCAGAAACCATAATCACTCCTCATGAAGATACCAAGTCCTTCCCGGATATCGCATACGAAATGCTGAGATGGAGCTCCTCAACTTCGCCATCTTCGGCATACAGGTCTCTGGAACTGGGCAACCTGACCGCGGAAGCTATAAGTGAATTGTTTAATCAGCCGGGTGCACCCACAGTACTGTTCCAGTCAAACGGGCAATATCACATCATTTCTGTGCCTAGCCCGGGGTCCTGGCGGTTAGAATATGATACCGAAGTGGAAAAATTGACTATGCGTCAACTCAGTGACGAATCTCAATTTACTGAGAAATCCCTCGCTGTGACCCAGTTGTGGGATGCTCTTCGATTTTTGATGGAAATGAAGAAGGTCAACACTGGAAATATCCAAGTTCCGTTTTGGGGCGGATTCCTCGGTTACTTCTCCTATGAGCTCGGTTTGTCTTGCCTTCCACATCCACCAAAGAGATCAACGCAACAGCCTCATCGCAGTCCCTCTATGCAAGACGTGCCGGATGTCAGTCTCCTATGGTGTGAAAGAAGCATCGTCATTGACAACAGTGCTGGTGTTGTGATCATTCAATCTACGTGCGAATCTGACAACATACCATGCGGTTGGCTTGATGACACACTTCAACTATTACAAGAAAAGTCCGGAATTTCAGATGCTGAACTCAATGATGATGTGCAATTCTTGGATCCCATCCTTTGCAATGGCCAAATCTCGTTTCCTGAGGAGGCGAGCTATAAGCAACAAATTGAAGCTTGCCAGGCCGAGTTGAGAGCGGGTGAATCTTATGAATTGTGTCTCACCTCAGAGACATCGATTACACTACCTTTCCCATCTACAAAGGCCGGTAGAGTCGTTTTTCCATGGAAGCTGTACAAGCGGTTGAGGAAGTACAATCCCGCAGCATTCAGCGCTTTTGCAGATCTAGGAAATGCCAAGGTCGTGAGCAGCAGTCCGGAATGTTTCTTAAACTGGGACCGGGAATCAATGCTCGAAATGAAGCCTATGAAAGGCACGGTTCACAAGTCGCCGGAGATGACGATGGAGAAAGCTCGTGAAATTTTGGGTTCAACGAAAGAAATGGCCGAGAATTTGATGATTGCAGACCTCATTCGACACGACCTCTATGGTATTTGCGGATCAGGTGGAGTCCATGTTGAGAAGCTTCTTGAGGTCGAGGACCATGGCCGAGTTTACCAAATGATTACACATGTCAAGGGTGAGGTCCGCCCACAGCAACTTGGGTACGCCGTTCGGCATATGCCCCAGCTAAAGTCTTCCAACATGGCTGTCCATGGTCTGACAGCTCTTCAACGATGCTTGCCTCCCGGTTCTATGACAGGCGCGCCAAAGGAGCGCTCATGTATGCACCTTCGGAACATTGAGGGTCGCAAACGAAATATTTACTCAGGGGTAATGGGTTACCTGGATCTCGGTGGGGGTGGAAGCTTTTCGGTCTTGATCCGCACTGCTTTTGCTTCTTTTCCGAATGAGGAGCCTGCCGAAGACGAACGTCAAATTTGGCGTATTGGAGCTGGCGGTGCAGTCACCACGCTTAGCACGCCTGAGGGTGAATGGCAGGAAATGCTGACCAAGCTGCGTACTGTCTGCAATGTCTTTACTCCATCAGATCCCAACTAGAGCTCTACTTGGTTGAAAATACTCCTTTTGGAAACCAGTCTTTTTTTTGCATTTTCGTCAATCTTGACCAGATCATGGACCATACGGATTTTATCGTGTCTTCAACATTCAGGATCGGGCTCAAGAAGAAATAATTCATTCAACATAAAGCGTGGGGCGTTTTTTTGTTTCTAGACATCCATAGTTGCATATAACATCGGTTTACCCCGAGAAACTAGCTACACCCTGACTCAGCCTTCTCCGAAGACTTTACTTCCCCAATATGCAATCATTTTTTTCATCAAACGACCAATGAAGCAGCAAGCATAACAAGACCACCAAGTCCGTCCATTCCCGAGCACCATTCCTCCCAGTTTGCAGTACTATCTAAGGAATAGTGATCATCTAGGGACTTAGGAGGCAACAGCGCATCAGTACAATGTACATGGTCGTCATCAAGTTCGACCACTTCGCCACTTGCAGTCAGTGCGAATGCAGTCTGGTATCCTGGAGATCTTTGACTTTCTGAATTCCACGAGAGCTCATCATTTGCTTCCCAGAGCTGTTTCTTCGCCGGTAATGGTGCTATGATGATATTCGTTGGCAAATTGCACAACGCTGCTGGTTCAAAATAAACCAGCATGTTCACAACGCGGTATATCAGACATAGTCTAGATTTTAATAAGAGCCTTGTTCATTTAAAGAACGAAGATTATCATACCTTCGTCTTGACTCTTCAAATATCCAATCCTCCCAGCTAACGTTGGTATCGAGAGTAGACTGCTCTGAATCGATACCCCCTGTCATATCATTTTGAGTCATGCGCTTTGAAATTATCTGACTTATATTAGCTTCTTTCAGTAGAGGGGAATAAGTGCCAGCTCTTCATCAAACGTACAGTCACCGTTTTTATTAATAATGAATCAAAGTTATTATCATCCGTCTCTCCTTCATCCAATCTTATCAGAATATAAATAGAAAGAGCTTGCATGGAAGCAAGCAATCCCCATTTGTCCAGCTTCCCTGGCTGTATTTATTATGAAATCCACTTTATCAGTCTTCCTCTTCCAATTTAGAACACCTTACATACCGCTTCACATAAACGTTCACACTCATTTCGAACATTTCTCCAGAATAATTTGCGACTTCCCTTAATATCGCTGCTGAGCATATGGATCAAACTCATACAGTTGTGAAGCGGCTCCATGCCGTCATTGTCAAAACTGGAAGATAGAATGTGTGGATGAATGAAGGGTGGAAGAGTTTTGTGTTGCAACAACATTCGCAGATATGATTTCAATGTGTGAAGGATCAAATTCGAAATCCCTTGAGAACCAGACTTCATTCCCGGTCTGTGAGTGAGCGATCTAGGATGCGAGAGCGAAAAATTTGGGATCAATTCAGTGGGATAATATGTGAAGTTTGGGGATGGAGCAATGTGCTCCATAGAAGGGGCTGGATAAAGACCTGAGGTCGACCATGGCCATTCAGGTGGAGTGTATTCGTTGGTCTTTTCCGTGGTTTGTGGACTCAGAAGCTCAGTGAAATCCACCACTTGGTTATCCCTATCATTGAGTTCGCCTCCAAAATTGGTGAGGTTTATGTTAGATACGTCGAGAGTTCTACTCTGGAGAACTGTGTCATTAATTTTGCTCGTCTCCTGTTGGATCCCAATTAGGGGAGAAGCTCTTTCCAGCCAGGAGCCTACATTTGGCTCTCCAGTCAACACATGCGGATCACTCGGTGCAACTATCTGGTCTGTGTCCTGCAGCGTAGTCTCTCTGTTGTGGCATTCGACAGCCTTTATCATACACCTGGAGCATTCAGGCTGTCGCTTGTCACAACGCGCCTTTGCTTTTGCGCAAGGAATACAAGATCTTTTTCGGGGCTTTTTGCCAAGTATTCTAGATCGACAGTAGTATTCATGTCTTTTCAATGTGGAGTCTAAAATACACATCTTAGCAACCAATTCAAGGATTGTCACCTATAGCAGACACTCACGCTTATCAAAAGGTTTGTTGCACCGCTCGCACCGTAAAACGGGTTGCATGATGCTTGCCTGCATTTCAAGTTGTACCGTAACAGCCTCGGGGCTCTTTGTAATGATAGACTATCAAAAGTCACTACTTTTACGCGTCTTTCAAGTTGTCGACCCCCGATGCCTCAACTGTTGGCATTTGTCAGCTGTCAACATTTGTCAGCACTCTACCATCTCTTAATTTGACCTTTTGAATTCTCCGGTTTGGGGGCCGGGACGGGACATTCTGAAAATGCCAAGTCTGATTCAAGCCGGAACCTCTAATAGCTTGTTTTTCAATTATAGGTGATTATATGGGCTAATGCAGAACCTCCCTCTTTGGAAGTATCGGAGAGTCGAGAACACGCATACCTCACTCTGCAATTTGCACAACCCCGCAAGTCAATCAGTGTTAATAGTCAAGTAGTATAAGATAAGAAGATAGCAGTCTCTCATCTGAGGATATTTTGCTTGACAAAGAATTATTCTTTCATTCAAGGCAGTTGATACATATTGAAATCACCATGGCGCTTTTTCCGTCTCCAACCTCAACATATCACTCGAAGACTTATCCATCCTTGTCTCCATCTCGCCCTGAGCTTTCTGCCAAAGGCAAGAGTATTGTCATTACTGGCGGAGGCACTGGTATTGGTGCAGAAACCGCTTTATACTTCGCTGAGGCAGGAGCCTCTCGAATTGCCCTCCTTGGCCGTAGAGAGCAACCTCTTCTCGACACCAAAGCCTCCATTGAGCAAAAGTTTTCCAATGTTGAAGTATTTGTGGCCTCGACTGATGTCACTAATAAGACTCAAGTGGATATGGCTTTCGCCAAGTTTGCTGGTGATGGCAAGATCCATGTCCTAGTGAGCGGTGCTGCAAAAATTGGACCCCAAGATCCAGTGAGAGATGTGGATAGTGAGAAATTCCTTGAGACGATCCATCAAAATATTCAAGGATCACTCTATGTTGCACAGGCCTTCCTTCGCTACTCGTCATTTGACGCTGTCGCCATCGACATCAATTCGTCTGCTGCGCACGTCAATTTTGGCCCTGGGTGGACTGCATATAGCGTTGCAAAATTAGCCGTGTTCAGACTTTGGGATTCTCTGGCATTTGCAAACCCGGATCTGAGCGTTTTCCATGTGCAGCCGGGTATTGTTGATACTGCGATGAACAAGGAGGCAGGTGGTATAGATGCTATCGGCTGGGAGGATGATGGTAAGCAATTTAGTAGTTTTTCAGATCAAGTTTCACGCCATCTAACTTTGGTCTAGTCTCCCTGCCAGCTAGCTTTCATGTTTGGCTTGCAAGTCCTGAAGCACGCTTTTTGAAAGGCAAGTTCCTGTGGGCAAACTGGGATGTCGATGAACTCAAGGCACAGGCCAAAGAGGTTGAAGCAAGTACAAGGCTCACAATTGGTCTTGGAGGATGGCCGTTTGAATAAAACTCAATAAAGCTATACCAGTGAATTTTTTAGATACCTCTAGTGATGTATTCACTGCGCAATGGTGTCTAAAAGAACCCTATTGGCCATTGATTTTGTATTGATAACTAGGACTCTGAAATTTGGATCAGATCGGTTAAGCAACTCTTACACATGTTGCTGAACCATAATGACCAGGTTCTCAACTATTCAAGCTCTCTCCACAGATCAAGACGTTTCTATTTCATTAGTAAATTACAAATATATAGGTCTTTGTTGTGAAGACTTTAGCACAGTAATTTCCATGCAAAACAATCTCTAAAGTGCACCTGTTCCCAAATATATATACACTTCGAGGGGCTCCACTTTCATTATAGCGGATGTTTCTCAAGTCAAAAGATCACTAGCATTCTCCAAGATCAAGTGTTATGATTCCACTCCTCTGATATCAAGAAGTATTAATTGTTCATTGAAAATGTTGTTTTGCCGTTATTGAGCGAATACCTGGTACCTATGAGCCTGAGCTGGCCCCAGCCACCGCCGCATACTGAATGTGCAAACAGGCAAAACACATGCTTTTTCTCCGCTGAGGTCGCGCCCGACACGGGATTGGAAGTCTGCGACCTTCGAATCTCTGCGCTTCGCAATTCCTTTCACCTTCAGCTTTCCAAGGGTTTCTTGAAAGAGGGCTTGTCAGGCTAATTTCAATTCTGGTGTCATCTGGGATCGCTCTGTCGCCCACCCCGCATGGCGACCCAAGAGTCCTCGATGGAGGAGATCCTCTGGCGGTCTCCCCCGCACGTTGAGATGATGGGGGGTTATCTGCACTCCAACAACAGTATGCCTGTCCCATCGACTAATAGTCAATACTGTCTAACACTTGCTACGCTATTTGACAGTTCTATTTTATTTTGCCGAATCCCCCTTCTTTGACTTAACCTCCAACAATGCCTCGCTCACTATTCAAGCTAGCTACAATGAGGCTTTTCGGCACTTCGTCGAGACACGCGAAGCTTTCGAGGCCCGACTTAAGACGATGCAAGGGCTGGAATTTGTTGTCGCATATGATCCTTTACAAGCAGCAGCTCAACCAGGCAACCGTTTTGCTCACGAGCCATCCAACGTCTGGGTGATCCGCAAGCAGAATAGGCGGAAGCGGAGTGGCCTGGACGATGAGGTGACAGTGATCTCGACCTATTTTGTTGTGGGTGACTGCATCTATATGGCGCCATCGGTTGCCAGTGTCGTGGGAAACCGGATTGTACGCTCTACTACCCCCTTGCACTGGTCGGCCTTACGTGTATTCCAATTGCTAATGGCTCGTCTTCTAGCTGTCTGCCGTTACATCTCTGTCGCGACTTATGAAGACTGCATCGACACTGCCAAAGTTTACACCAGCCTACGGGCACACCTACATGCCACCTACAGCCCGAAGTACTGAGGCCGGGCCACAAGCTTCTCAACAGAGCAAAGAAAACACGCCCATGCCTGACGCTGGACCATCATCAAGTGCCGAATCTCAAGCACCTAACAAAACCGCTCTTGGGATCTCAACTGGCGGCTCTAGCTACCAGGATACCCGGAGTCTAGCTGAAGCATTCAACCTATTCACCCGATATGGTGACGAATTCATGGATGAAAACTCACTTGTGGGAGAACCTGGCTCATTCATCCTATCACGAAATGGCGCTGTGAATGATCGTGCAGCTGGCACTGCAGCAAAAGCCGTACCCAAAACCGCTCCTGGTACAACGACAAACACACCTTCCGGGGTCCCGGGGCGGGTGTCTACACCGCAGGTCCGAGTCGACACCCCTGGAAAGGCATCAGATAAGAGTAATACACCTCCTAGCTCGGGCGAGAACAAAGGAAAAAAGAAGAAGAATCAGGTTGCGAGCTGATTTTGCATATATGATACCCGCTGTGATGGGCACAGCTTGCAATTAATCCGGCGCTTGGGCAAATCTATTCCATACTTTTAATGAATCCATCTATGCAGATAGAAATTAGCTCTTGTTTAAGAATATCTTGGTAGAAGGGTCGAGATCAGGTCCGGCCATCGGTGTTCTAGAGTCCAACTTTCGATAAGTATACATGTATTCGTACTATGTATGAACCGCCAAATCAACGATCGAAAGAATCCCTGACCTAGTAATTCTAGCTGCAGCCTAGAAAAGTCTCTCCACCGGCCCAAAAAGAAACAAACCAATAGTCCAGCTCGTGCAACCAACCACGGCCTAGCAAGTGCGTACGTGGTCCTCGTCTGCTCCCTTATCTTATCGTCGGTGGGCCTGATCCAAAGTGGTCCCCGACGGCCCTTGGAGTCATAATAGTCGTCTTTGCCACCTGAGATCCCAATTTCTTTTGATTTCCTCTCTGCGACAAAGCTCTTGCTTGCGCTTCTATTTCATATACATCGCTCACATTACAAAGATCATACCACAAAGGCTATTCCTCAACATCGTTCAAGATGATCCCAGAGAAACCGGCCGTTGTCTGCGTCTTGTGAGTCACCCGTCTTCTCCCCTCCCCCGCACCGAAGATCGGACTTCCTCCCCAAGCTTGAATGAAAGTCGCGCGGCATGATGCTAACCAATGCTCCTTATCTGGGAGCGTCCAGCTGTGGCGCAACAGCTGGTAAAGACCCTGTCCACCTCGAAGCAGCTCGTGCGCTCGCCTACGAGTTCCACAAGAACAATGTCCAGCTTGTCTACGGCGGCGGTACAACCGGGCTGATGGGCGAGCTCGCGAAAACCCTAGTTTCTCTTTCTGGACCCAAGGCTGTGCATGGTGTCATTCCCCGTGCGCTGGTGAAGGTATCGGCAAAGAACTGCAACGGCGAGAACGGGTCGGGGACTGGCACTCCCGACGGCAAGGCGGCTGAACGAGTAGTCTCGGAATCCTTGGAGGGTGATGAGATCCCAGAGTCGGAATACGGACTTACAACAATTGTACCAGATATGCACACACGCAAACGCCTGATGGCTACAAAGGTCATTGAAGGCGGGCCTGGATCGGGCTTTGTGTCACTGGCTGGTGGGTTTGGAACGATTGAGGAGGTTATGGAGATGACAACATGGAACCAGCTCGGTATCCACCGCGTGGGGGTGGTGCTGCTGAATATTAATGGTTACTGGGATGGGCTTCTGGCTTGGGTGCGCAATGCGGTCGACGCAGGGTTTATCACCCAGGGCAATGGCTCAATTCTAGCGGAGGCTCACGATGTGAAGGAGGTATGGCCCAAGCTGCTGGAGTACCAATGTAGCAGTGACCGGATGCAATTAAACTGGGGACAGGAGTGATGGAGGTCATGCATTCGAGCCAGAGTGGAGTGTTTTCGGTATTTTGTTGCTACATTGTTTCGGGTATAGGTTGTTTTCTATGTTTTCTAAGGTGTCTAGATATGTCAGTAGAATATAGAACCACTTGGTTTTGAAGATTGAAGGACGCTGAGCTCCATCGACTCTGAAAAAGGCACAGCACAACAAGATTTCATGTCTATGCGATATCATTAAAAACCAGTGAAACTAGTAGTAGGTCCCTATGAATCAACCTCCATTGATTCGCCCTCTGCCGCACCGGAAGATTCAGACCGCTCCAGCGCCTCCAACAGCGGCACTGTCTCCTGGCCCTCGTACAATTTGAAGCTCTCGATCCGAGCCTTCGAACCCTCGGGAGCCAACCCAACGACACCAACAGAAGTATTATCCACCGTAAGTTCCTTATCCTGCGAAAGTGTCTCCTTAAGAGCCTGCAGGCCATGTGTAATCAACTCGTCCCGGCTGCAGTCGGTGAATTTATCGAGGTTACGCTCCAGATATGTGCGCGCCATTTGCGAGCGGGCGCCGATGGCACAAGCCACCATTTCATGAGTCAGGCCAGAAGGCTGGAACTCGAACAGGTGCGGGCCGGCCTCGTCCACACCGGCCACGAGCAGGCCGACTCCGTACGGCCGCTTGCCGTAGTGCTGGGTGTTGGTTTGCGCGCGGTCCCCGATCTGCGTAACGATGCGGTCGAGGGGAATTGGGCGGCCATAAGTCATCTTGGAACCGAGTGACTGCTGCTTCATGAAGTTGGAAAGGACGCGGGCGTCTGATGCCAGGCCGGCAATCGCAATCGCCATGTGGGAGTCTATCTCGATGATCTTCTTCTGATAGGAGGAAAGTTCTTCGGCATTTCGCTGTAAGAATGTGATTTTAGTGCCTGCCCTGCGTCCGTTGTTTTTGCGGTTGGGTTTACGATGGAGAGCGAACCTTGAGTCCAACAAGAACGGCATGTGTTTTGTTCACCAGTCCTACCACAACAGATCCTTGCTTCACAGCTTCCTGTGCATATTCCACCTGGAATATCCGGCCTTGCGGGGAACTTTGGTCTTCGAGTCAGCGGCTGCTTGGTCTTCGTGGGATGATCGGGGGTCTTACAAGGTGACAGCGTCGTTGTCGTAGTTATTTCTGAACATGGCGGAGGGAGAAGGCGAATGACTTGAAAAGCAGAATAGGAGTGAACAATTTGTAAATCAATGGGAGGAAAGGAAAAAGCACAGTAGGATGAGAGAAGGGAGCTCGGGGTAGAGATGGGGAAGCTGGAGCAGGCAGGTAAGGTGACGCGGTGTGAAGCATGAGCTGTTGTGGCCTGAGGCCTCAACACCCAGTGACCTTCAGGCGCCAACGTCACTCATTCCTCGCTCATCTTCAAGCTCTCTTCCCCTCGATTCCTGCCAATGGGGCTGCCATCCCTGAGCTTCTTCTGACATTGCCTTCTGAACTGCACGCCGGTAGCCGCTATAATTCTTCCCAACTCATATTCTCAAACCGGCCATCGTCGGCAACTCCGCAACCATGGCGGCTGGACTTAAGACTATCATCGCGCTCTCGTTTGTACGCAAGCCTACACCCACTGGCTTTTGCCTTTCAACTAAAGGACTCTTACTGATATGCGATAGGTGCTTGCAATCGGCTTCCTGCTCGTCATCCTTTCCTCGGCTCTCTGGCACAAGTACTGGCCTCTGTTGGTTGTCGCCATTTACGTTGTTGCGCCGCTCCCCAATTGGATCTGTGGACGATGTGCAAATCCGGATGATTTCATGGACAGCTCAAGCAACTCAGTGATGGACTTTGGACGATTCATGACTGGTTTCCTGGTTCTGACTGGTATTGGTGAGTTCCTCGTCCCATCATCTCCTCCCTATGTGAAGGAGTCTTGCTCTTTCAATCTACTTTTACTTTCCATTAAGAGTGGTTGAAGATAACCCGTGCCAATTTGACTTATATCTTTTGCTCCTATGTTTGATTCGGCTGATGTTGTGAACCACTTTTCGCTAACGCCCCGGCTCCCCTAGCACTCCCCGCCATCCTGGCGCATAGCGGCGCGATCGAAATCCCAGCCATGATCATGTCGATTCTTGGCGGTCTCTTGATTTACGGCACGATTATTAGCTTCTCTATGTTTTTCCAGGAACAGGAAGAGTTCTGAATGCAGGTAATGGGCTGGGTGCAGGTATTTCCCAAGCTGCGTCAACGGAGTACGGAGACTCTACAGGCATTCAAATTGCTTTGATCATGATATTTACTTTATGCGACTAGTTCTTGTTTCCCACGTATGCTATGCACGATATACTTTGAATGAGCGATTGGGGAAGTGATTTCAGCGTTGATTGCCAACCATTGGCTCTAGCATATCATTGGCTATGATGCTCTGAGTGTACTTTAACGCAGTGTATATATAGAATCTTTTTCATGAATTTGGATTCTCTGGTCAAAAGAAATCAATAATATCTCATCGTAACTAAATCTATTTCGATACCATGTCGCAGTCTGTCACTTCACGTGACGTCGCGCGTCATGGCGCGTCCCACCTGCAGTACTCGAACAATCGCCTATCAGATTCTACTGATTGTCCGCCAGTCGCCCCAGCTCTGTCCAAAATAATATGTGAGACTCCCCGGACTGCAGGGGTTGAAAATGAACATTTGGTCGGGGTCCATTACCTTGGACCCGAACCGTCAACTTGAAGGTAAAGCTGTGAATACACCCGGCTATTTGCGCTCTTGACTGACTGGCCACGATGCCAGGGATTCGCCTTGTCGATCCGACCTCTCATTGGCAATGCGACATATCCAAAGACTCAAAACTCGGTCTGCGTACTTTCGTGAATCCTGCATTGATCCCACTCCATGCTCGCGCGGGCCCCAACCTCGAATTACACACGGCCAATCCGGCCGCGTCACAATGGCTCCAGACGAAGCTCACAGGAGCTATCTGGCTGAATGGAGCAGAGATTGACCTTCATCAGTCCATACAGTGCCCTGTTGGCCTGCTGATCAGTGTCGAGGGTACCCCAGTCAAGAGGACTAGTAGCAACACGACAGACTTCTTGATATATGGCGTGTTGTCCACCGCATCGTCCTGCGCTCGGCCACCCACCCCGCCGCATTCATCTCCCTTTGAAGTCACCGGACAACTAGATGCGACACCAAGTAAATCTTTTGAGCTCAGGGTATACGCAGCGCCGCTCTCGACAACATTACTCACTCAAGCACAAACCTTCCCGCCCCCGCCGCAAAGCGCAGAAAGTGAACATGTTTCAACACAAGCCGAATTTCTCCCGGATAACCGCTCCCCCAGCCCCAAGCGAAAGCGAGTGGCGTCCTTGTTTGAGGTTGCAGCACAGCACCACCGCCGCGTGCGGCAAAGAGGTGGTGAGGCAGTCTCCCAGCTCATGGCATCATCGCGCCCCTCGTCCTCCTCGCAGAATCTCCAATCACTACGCGTAAAGCGCGAGCCCGAAGACGACCCCCCCGGGCTCCCAACACTCGACCATTTCGCTCTTCGCAGGTCACGGTCTATATCTATCGGTGCCGGGCTCCAACGGCCAGGGAGTAGACTCGGTGCGCGCCCAGTCCCGGTCCCAAGCGCAGACCCTCAAAAGCGCAACCCAACCCCCAACCCCTTCGTGGACCCCAGCGCCCGTCGAACATCTGGCACCACCCAACTTTCCACCTTGTTATCTGCTCCGGTCGACGAAAAGCCAGCTACCGCGCCAGGATCTCCGCCGAAGAACCCGGAAGCCATCATCGCCGAAAACAAGAGCCTCATCACGCGCACTATCCTCACCTGCATGCGGCTCTACGGCTTCAACCGCGCCAATCCACGCTCCTTGGCTTCTGGAAAACCCAGCTTCACTGGGGCAGCTGATACAGAGCAGGAAATGAGAAGAACCACGCCCACGCCGGACGCTCTGCGTACAGAAACTCCTGCTCCGGGGGCCTCGACGGACGAGGAGTACGACGAGTTCAAGGCCATGTACCATGCGACATATAAGGCAGCGGCATTCGCACTGCGCAAATATGCCAAAGAGTCGGCTGCTGGGTCGGGTTCTACGCCTCCCTTGCTGGAGAAGGGCAAGGCTATGTCCTGCATTGATGAGTTGCTACGACTCTTCTGTGAAGATCACTGATTCTTCGTGGCCAAAGATGCCTTTGAGGGTATGCCTATTAATGACTTTTATGGACTGCATTGGGTTCGGAGTGGGCGTTTTAAAAGAGGCTGCATGGGAATATGTTTGTATTTCGTGAAGGAAGTTTGTTGTCATCGTATTTCTGGAATCAAATTTGTTTTCTTTATACCATGGAAATATTATTTGCATCGATTGATCTTATTCTTCGGCTTCCCTTCGCCTTACTAGCTGTCCGGCTATGAATACCAATAGTATTAGGATAAGAAGAGACCCATCTACTAGACAAGTCAAGTCACTCCGAAGATATCATATCCTACATCCGTGCTAGAAAAGATCGTCATGCTAAAATCAAGTCTGATTTCAAACCATGCTACGCTCCAGCCCTAACAGCCAGAGATGCGAATGCTGAACACCCAAGCCAAAGTCATCATAATAGCGCATAAAATACAAAAAGCCAAGCCATCACATAGATAGTCACTAGGTATATCGATTCGTCCGGTCAGAAAACCCAATCACAGCGCCAGGTTGTAGGTGTAATCATCCTCAATGTTCTGTGAGACCCAGAGCACGACGGAACTCAGCATGACCAGGCTATTTGCAACGACATTGGCAATGCCGAAGTACAGTGTTTGGATGGGGTAGTCCTTCATTAGGTACTTGAGAACCATAACAGTCTACGAAGCGTAATTGAGTCAGCAATACAGAAGACAAAATAAAGAAAGAGTAAAGAAAACATACCACACTCCCCGCAAGTCCCCCGGCTAACAGCGCAAATCCCAAGAAGAGCACAAACCGCGCCTTCCACGCAACCCCGCTGCCGCTGTAACTGAAGCTATCGGCCTGCAGCCGCGACTTCTCGATCGAGTTGATTACCAGCATGCCTAGTGCAGAGCAGATACCAGGGATCCAATCAACGAACTTGATGTGCACGTTGGAGCCGTTAAGGGTGCTATGAGAGAACGCGGCGACGTCGACGAGGAAGAAGAAGCCTGCGGCGAACTAGAGTATCAACGAAGGATATTAGTACATTGGACCGTAACGCTGTCCGAACAATACACCCGCACCCAGTCTGCATCGAGTGTGCTGGCTGCGATGCGGTGCGATCGATCGGCTGAGAGAGGTCGGGGCGGCGGGTAACGAGTCGCAACTCACCAGAGCGCCAGAGGCGTAGACGCCGGCATTGCGGACAGCAGAGTTATTTAGCCATTCAGGCTTAGACCAGCGGAAGAGTCGGTTGCTTGGGACGTCCATGTTGAATCGTGGATTGTGTGGAAACTGGAATAGAGTGAGCTTGGAGTCGAGAGCTGTGGATGCCAATGACGACGAGGGTGTGGTCGGGAAAATGTCGGGCCGGCGCGCTCTCAGTGTGACTAGTATTAGCTGTTATTGCTCTACTAAGTCAGCCACACTTGACGTGATTGAGATTATTGGGTTGATTTTTTCTCAAGTGGTGTAAGCTCTAATAGATACCAATTCTGCTGCTATAGAGTAATTCTTCTGCCTCTGGCCGAGCCTTTTCCTGGCGTTGAAGTTGTGTAGACTCGTCATCACCTGCGCTTTTTGTTTTTTATTTTTTTTTTATAGTTGCAGGTTCAGGCAGCGATATTTGTACAATTACAGTACAACAAAAATGAAAGAGAAGAGTGTTTTTAGAGAAAGATTGGGGCGAAATGGAGATTGGTTGGTAACTTGATTTTTCATTTCTATTTCCAAATGATGCCACCATAACATCGTAAATCTAGGACTCAAAAGTCCGGGGTATATATGGACATGTCATATCAAATCACTTTTGTCGTCTGCGTGAGTCTGAGAAGCCGAACTCGGACAAACACGACTCTGCCACAAGCGAAGCCGGAAGTAATATTCATGTCTGTAGGCAGACACGCGGCAAAAGACGCTCGGAGCAAGGCTTCGTCGTCAGAAACGTGATCGCCAAGCTACGAGGTGCTGTGTGGCGGCGGAACATCAGGCTGACGATCTAGTGTACGCACACAGCGCAGTCCCAGCGCACTTTATAAAAAGAAATTTTCTTGGCGTATCGTAAATTGGGTGTATAGCTCCCAAGGGTGAGAGGAAGCGGTGGAGAGCCTCCGGCCGTCGCTAGGAGGGCCTCATGCTGAGGGGGCCGGATGGGCACGAAGCTGGTTAATGATGGCGTCGACAGCTTCCATGTCTCCAGAATCAACTTTGTCCTTGGGATAACCCTCTGGCAAGCTCTTCACCAGCTCGTTCATCGCAGGCTGGTAGTTGCGTACAGCGGACGATAGCGCATAGACGGACTTCTTGCGGGCGGCAGGGTTGGCATCGGTAGTGGCCATTGTCACGAGAATTGGGATCGCATTCAAGACGATAAGCTATGTGAGGGAGATTTGATTAGCATCGAGTTCGCGAAAGTACCAAAAAAAAGCATTGTGAAGTATAAACTTGAGACCCAGCGAGTCACACGTACCTTATCTTGAGCCTTCTCATTGTTCTGCACGGCCGTGCCAATGCACCAGGCGGCCATGCGGCGCATGTCTGCCTCGTCATGCTGAAGCAGTTTGACGAGCGGAGTCCACAAGCCCAGCGGCTCGAGGTTGTTGGAATTGTCAATGGACTCGATCAGCTGCTCGAAGTTGTCGAAGGCGATCAATTTGTTCTCCAGATCGGACTCGTCGGAGTGCAGTACCTCCATGGCGGCTTTCATGAGCTCCGCGTCGGATGGACCTCCGAACAGCGCATTGATCATGTCCGGGGTCAGGTTGCGCGACGCCTCTTCGGCGCTGGGAGGGGCAGTGGTGGTGCCGTCTTCGGCCTGCTGTTGGGAATTTTGGACACTCCATTTGAGGAGCTTGTTCATTTGGGGGTCCATGGCGGGCACGAGCGTGTGATGAAGAAGAATCGATTTCGAGTGCGGACAAGGGGCGATCTGGTACTTGTCTGTGTCTAGCGAAGAGGAGCGGGCTCACAATGAAGCTTTTGATGCGGGTTCTTTTGAAATCCTCCGACGCGGGCCCGCTTACCTCAGCCCCCACCGTCGAGACGTTTCGTGCGGCGCCCAGCAGCTTCGGCGGTCAGGTGACTTGCCACTCACCGTCTCGTTCACTGCCACCTTCTTGTCCTTGGGGCGAGTGGGTTCGCGCGGACGAAGGGGCCTCTTGAGGGGGGCAAATCGGGGCAATTGGGAAATGGCGGTAACCACGTTTCCCTGGGCAGCTTGCGTAAGGGCCCTCAGATCGGGTTCCCGGGTTGGCTGATTTACCTGGTTACCTGGTTACCTGGCTACCTCATTTTCGAGGTTTCTAATTTCCTAGTTACGTGGTTACTTGGTTCTCTGGGAAGTCTGCCGTTCCATACCGTTCCATACGTTCGAGTCCAGCCATTGGGACAGCGACTTGGAAGGCTAAGTATCGCAAGATCGAGATTGAGGACCCAGGTCTACACCGCGAGAGGGATGCTACTAAATATACCCTGTCCTGCTGTCCTGGATTGCGACGCTGTCGGTCAAGTACCGGCCAAGTACCTTTGGGGGCCCCCTGAAGTCGGGTCGCGGCTGAAAAGGGAGGGGTTCTATACTTAGAAGTGACCTCGAGGGATGATCGGTCCGCCAATTCCCTCTCCCCGCCACGTCAAAAATAACGTAGAACGATGCCCGCGTAGGCCGGGCCCATCAATGTCGGAGCCTGGGTCTCACCATCGGTGTACCTGGTATTTCCTGCCTTCCTACCTTCCTGGAGGGCCCCTGCTAGCGTCTGGGGTCGATGTGGCATATCTGTATGGGGGAAGTGGCTGAGTAGTGAGGGTTCAGGCAGTGATCATGCGAAAGAATGTAACGAGTAAGTTCAATTGGGGAGGGGGAAAGGAAGAAGAAAAGAAGGCAGTCATAAAAATCAAAGAAAAGAACCATTCTGCCTGGCACACTGGACCCTGAGACGAGAGAAGCCGGGTTCTCCAGGCTGTGTCGATGATGCTATCGGGCGACGCCCCAGCGAGTGGCCGTAGTCGAGGCGCACACACCAGGTGGCCCGAAGTGTCCCAACCATCACAAACCAAACCAAACCCTCCTCTCCACTCTCTCTCCTTCCCTTCCCTTCCTCCCTTTCCACACCCCCCCCCTTACACGACACTTAAACTATACACTCTCCCCCTCCCTCCCCCTCCCTCCCTTCTCTTTCTTTTCCTTCCCTCTTAATCAAACTTCATCACATTCACAATGGAGGGTACGTATTTCTTTCCATTCCCTGTGGTCACTTCCGACTGCTCGCCCGCCATCCCGCCTCCCCCTCCTCTCTCTCTGAGAGCTGGGGTCACGGTCGTTGGAGCTGAGGTCGCAGCAGTCAGCCCAACCTGCAATTTGAGAATCTCAGGCTAATCCATCGGGTCCCCCACAGAGGAAGTTGCTGCTCTCGTCATCGACAATGGGTACGTGATGGTCATCGTGGGAAGCTGGTTTTCTGTTGTGTTTGGGTTCCTCGTCAATCGTCCCGGTCGCGGTCCCGATTCCATCATCCTTCCCTCCCCCCCCCCTAATCCGCCACCCAGGCAGACGAGGATCCCAATCGCCAGCCAAACCAACTTCTAGGAATCAAGATCCAACCCAGAGGTTGCCATTCTACGATGAAAGGTGCTTGTACTGATGAATTGCCTGTAGTTCGGGTATGTGCAAGGCCGGTTTCGCCGGTGACGACGCACCTCGAGCTGTCTTCCGTAAGTCCCTTCTCAACCCCCCACAGATCCTGAACAACGCCCCCCTCCCCCTCCTGACACAGCCTGTCCCGCCGACCCTTGCGTCGGATGGTTTTGGCCTATGGGCTCAATCGGGGATTATTTCCCTCGTGTTGCTGCCCTTTTCATCGCTCGGCCTGCCCTGGCTCCAGAAACGAGAAGACTAACAAGATGAGTAGCGTCCATTGTCGGTCGTCCCCGTCACCATGGGTAAATGCTCCCGTCTCCTGGATTACGGATCGTTCGATCCGAGAAAAGACGAAATCCACTAACATCAGCGCAGTATCATGATTGGTATGGGTCAGAAGGACTCCTACGTCGGTGATGAGGCACAGTCCAAGCGTGGTATCCTCACTCTCCGCTATCCCATCGAGCACGGTGTTGTCACCAACTGGGACGACATGGAGAAGATCTGGCACCACACCTTCTACAACGAGCTCCGTGTGGCTCCCGAGGAGCACCCCATCCTCTTGACTGAGGCTCCCATCAACCCCAAGTCCAACCGTGAGAAGATGACCCAGATCGTCTTCGAGACCTTCAACGCCCCCGCCTTCTACGTCTCCATCCAGGCCGTCCTGTCCCTGTACGCCTCCGGTCGTACCACCGGTATCGTCCTCGACTCCGGTGACGGTGTCACCCACGTTGTCCCCATTTACGAGGGTTTCTCCCTGCCCCACGCCATCTCCCGTATTGATATGGCTGGTCGTGACCTGACGGACTACCTGATGAAGATCCTGGCCGAGCGCGGCTACACCTTCTCCACCACTGCCGAGCGTGAAATCGTCCGTGACATCAAGGAGAAGCTTTGCTACGTCGCCCTCGACTTCGAGCAGGAGATCCAGACCGCTTCTCAGAGCTCCAGCCTCGAGAAGTCCTACGAGCTCCCTGACGGCCAGGTCATCACCATTGGCAACGAGCGCTTCCGTGCTCCTGAGGCTCTGTTCCAGCCTAACGTCCTGGGTCTTGAGAGCGGCGGTATCCACGTCACCACCTTCAACTCCATCATGAAGTGTGATGTTGATGTCCGTAAGGATCTGTACGGCAACATCGTCATGGTATGTTAAACCAACCTTAAATCCTTTCCTCATGTTTCCTTGTTTTCCTGCCTTCCAGGGACTGACTTCAATCTTCCTGTTTCTAGTCTGGTGGTACCACCATGTACCCCGGTATCTCCGACCGTATGCAGAAGGAGATCACTGCTCTTGCTCCCTCTTCCATGAAGGTCAAGATCATTGCTCCCCCGGAGCGCAAGTACTCCGTCTGGATCGGTGGTTCCATTCTCGCCTCCCTGTCCACCTTCCAGCAGATGTGGATCTCCAAGCAGGAGTACGACGAGAGCGGTCCTTCCATTGTTCACCGCAAGTGCTTCTAAGCTGTTTCGGCGCGTTGATCGTCTTCGCTCGTACTTTCCTGGTGTATCAAAAGGCAGGGTGGAGGCACTGGTGGATCGCAAGCGTTGTTGGACTCGCATTATCAAGCGGATAGCCTGAAAATGGAAATCTCGATTTTAGTGGAATAGAGTCGGTCGTTTGTTCCTTGTTCTTACGCCTCCTTTTTTTTTACTGCGTCGCCATTCTATTTTCCATTTTCTTTTTGTCTTCTTCCTTCCCTTTTATCCTCAGCTTGTTTCGCACGAGCCGAAGTCGGCCTCCCCATCTGTGTGCTCCCCTAACTGGGGGGCCTTGGGGGGCCCGGGTCTGTTCGGCGCTACGGCGACAATGGTGTAGGCGAGGTGGTTGTACATGGGGGAGTTGGCACAGGTCGCGTTCCCCTTTGTTCTCTGTTGCTCGTGTTCTAGCCTTATGCGTTGTATCTCCGACCAAATTGCCTCGAGTTGTGACCCCTTGCTGTGCAGTCGTAGTCGTCGATGTTCTACTGCAGTCGTACATACCTGTAGATAAGAGGACGAGGTTCTTGTCACCCTTATGGTACCTCTTAAGGCTTAGGTAGGCTCTGGATCTTCGTTGAAAACGGGCCTCCCCAGACCCTTATTCTGAAACGAGATACTATACTCGAAAGAGATTTCTCATAATCCCTCGACGAATGAGCATGTCGCTCTGACAGGCCTTGGTTTGACTGATAGAATAATCTCAAAGAGAACTCGTGGGGCATCTACACGCATCAGCAACGAGCAATCTCTTAACACCAACTACCACTACACCCCGAGATATTTCCTTCCAGTTGGGGACCCGGGAACTAAGGCCAGGCAAATGCGATGATTACCAGCGTACACATTACAGATTACGAACATCCAGGCAAAAGATCTTCATTTCTTGACAAGATATGGGTGGATATATCATTCCGTCCATCATACAGGATTCAACATCAGTCATTCCGGGGCACGACAAGCCCTAAATTTTGTATAGCACCGTAGCACAGGAAACGTAACAAAGTATAGAAAAGAAAAAATAAAAAGGTTTAATCAACAATCATCAAAAACGAGAGAACAACTGGGCAAAAACAGGAAGAAGGCCATCAACGTATCAATCATGCGCTCCACGACTCCAGGCCGGTCAGCACACAGCCCTCTTCGCCCTCTGCGCGGGCTCGCAGCTCACCAATGGTGTAGACTGCCTCGCCAGCGGCCTCGAAGGTTTGGCGCACGGCATCTGCGGAGGCCGGGTCGACCGCGATGACCATACCGACACCACAGTTGAAGGCGCGGGCCATCTCCGTAGCGGAGACGTTGCCGGCGCGCTGGAGCCAGGAGAAGACAGGGGGCTGGGCCCAGGTCCGGACGTCCACGCTGGCAGTCAGGGTGGCGGGAAGCATGCGGGGGATGTTCTCGACAAGACCGCCGCCGGTGATGTGGGCGAGACCCTTGATGGCAGTGCCGTGGGTAGCGAGCGCGGCCAGGATGGACTTGACGTAGATGCGGGTCGGGGTGAGGAGGGCACGGCCGAGGGAGAGCGGCTCGGAGGACGACTGGCCGGGCATGGAGAAAGGAGCCGGCTCGGAGAAGCCCAGACCAGCGCGCTCGACGATCTTGCGGACGAGAGAGTAGCCGTTGGAGTGCGGGCCGGACGAGCCGAGAGCAATGAGGACGTCGCCAGCGCGCATGGCGTCAGTGTGCGGCAGGATCTGACGAGCGTGCTCGCCAGTGGTGTTGATAGCGCCGACGGCCGCACCGACGGCGTCGTAGGTGTCGTCGACGAAGAGACCGGGCATCTCGGCAGTCTCGCCGCCGATCAGGGCGCAGCCAGCTTGCACACACCCGTCAGCAACACCGGTGACGAAGGCGGCAGCGGTGGCCACATCGAGGTGGCCGCACGAGTAGCAGTCGAGGAAGAAGAGCGGCTCGGCGCCCTGGACAACCAGGTCGTTGACGTTCATGGCGACCAGATCGATACCGACGGTGTCGTGGATGCCGACAGTGTGGGCGATCTTGAGCTTAGTGCCGACACCGTCAATGGCACCGATCAGGGTGGGCGAGTGCGGGTGGTATTGCGAGTTGGCAGCGGCCAGAGAGAAGAGGCCGCCAAAGCCACCGATGACGGCGTCAGTTCCGGGGCGCTTGGTGCGGCCTACAGAGCTCTTAATGCGGTTCACCAGCTCGTTACCAGCGTCAATGGAAACACCGGCAGCGGCATAGGTGAGCGAAGTATCAGCATTCTGGCGGAATGCGCGGTGGGCAATATCCTTGCGGAAGAACATGCCCTCGAAGTGGATGGTAGCAATACCCTCGTAGCTCTTGGACACGGCCTCCTCAAGAGTTGAGGCAGTGGCAGTAGCGGCGATGACACGACCACCAGATGTTTGGAGCTCATTGCCAGAAAGAGTGGTACCGGCATGGAAAATGAGAGCACTGGAGGGAGTAGGGTCCAGGGTGATGGCCTTGCCTTTAGCGTAGGAGCCAGGGTAACCGCCAGCCACGGCAACGACCGTGGTAGAGAACTTGGGCTCAATCTTGATCGAGACACCGTCCAGCCAGTGCTCGGTACAGGCAACCATGATCTGGGCTAGATCGGTGTCCTCGCTCAGCAGGGGCAGCAGGGTCTGGGTCTCCGGGTCACCACCACGGACGTTGTACTCGAGAACCTTAGGGCCGTTCTTGGTCATCATGAGACCAGTGAAGAGGATACCAACGAAGGGGAAACCTGGAAAATGGAGAATTGCTTAGCATATCAATGATTGATGCCAATTGGATGTGCTTGAACATACCATCTTTACGCATGCCATCAACGGAAGGCTGAATGATAGTGCGGTCAATCTCATCGCGGACTTCCTTAGGAGCAATGCGGGTGGGCGCATAGCAGCCCATACCGCCAGTGTTAGGTCCCTGGTCACCGTCAAAGATACGCTTGTGGTCCTGAGCAGGAGGTAGGGAGCGAATGGTATAGCCGTCACTAAAAGTAAGGATGCTGAGCTCGTCGCCCTCGAGGTACTCCTCGATGACAACCTCGTCACCTGCCTTGCCAAACTGGTGGTCCAGCATCATCTCCTTCAATGCCTGGTGTGCCTCCTCCTTGGTGGTGGGAATAACCACACCCTTACCGCCAGCCAGGCCATCGGCCTTAATCACAACATTGTGGGTAACGGAGTCGAGGTAGCGGCGGGCGGACTCGTAGTCAGAGAAGTTACCGAAGGCGGCAGTGGGGATGTTGTGGCGCTGCATGAAGTCCTTAGAGAAGGTCTTGGAGCCCTCCATGCGGGCAGCAGCCTTGGAGGGGCCGAAGCATCTGATGCCAACTATTTAAAGAACATGTCCATCAGCAATCCGGAAATAGAAGAGATTCTGCATCATGAACTTACCAGCCTGGAAGTATCCTTGAATACCATCCACCAAAGGGGCCTCAGGGCCAGGAACCACCAGGTTCACACCGTTCTTCTGCGCAAATGCCACCAAGCCGGGGTAATCGTCACCCTTGACGTTGGCATTGGTGATCTTGGTAGAAGCACCCAGGCCAGTGCCACCGTTTCCGGGAGCGACATAGACGATGTCAACGAGGGGCGACTGGCTCAACTTCCAGGCCAGGGCATGCTCACGGCCACCATTGCCGACGATGAGGATGCGCAACTGTTCTTGAGCCATTATGGGAGCAGTGTCTCGAGCGACTGTGCTAAGATTAGCGATTGTGGGAGCCACCGCGGGGTATATGCCCCTCCCTCTGGGGGGGCATCAGGGAGTGAGAATATGGGATTGGGGATGCTGTGAGTTCAAGAATAAAGGAAATAAGACCTCACGAGCCTCAAATTACTCACCTCGCCGAGAGACCTGAGAAACAACTGCGGGGAGTGTGTATGGGAATCGTAAGTTTCTCGCCGTGCTGCGCGACTTTTTTTTCTGCCGGCGGCGGTGTTTCTCCGGAGTCGGACCCGTTATGACTCTTGTACAAAACCATCATGCCCCATCAGGGTGGAACTATCCAATTAAGGCCTCGAAACGAAGACGGTCGGTAAGAACATCTTATGTTTCGCGCACTGGGTGATGTTTGCTTCTGCTCCGAGGCAGTAGCCTAACTTTTTTACAGACTTTCTTTCTATCTACTCCGTCTGTAGCCTGAAAAAGCTTGAAGAGACGTAAGATTCGGAGGCAATTGGACAATAATATGCCTAAAATACACAATCAAAGCCATTATATAATTTTAAAAGCCTCCATTGATCCAAAACGAGGCAGTTCCAAATTCAGTCCCAGTTTTATTGTCTTGACTATGCTTGTATAGTTGAAGTATAAGTTGGATTTCAGATAAGATTTTGGCCTGGGATCCTCAGGCCAGGAGCGGTGGCAAATGGCAGAAAAAAACCGCGTTGAGTTGCGCGACTTGATCAAGTCCGTGTCCTGTCAAACTGCATTGGTCTTTTTGCAGAATTTCTGTCTGTCATTTTCTTTTATTATCCTCCAGCTAGCGGCCTGAATGTTTCGGGCATCGCTCCGGTCTGTAGCAGACCCCATTCGCGATCATGTCTGCCTCTCTTGTCTAGCTCGTCGATTTGCGGCGCCAACCAACTTGCGCCAGTTCCACCGAACACCTGCATTGCGCACTCAATTTGACAAAGAGAAACATGGGGAAGAATCTATCAGTGAATCCACGCTTTTGTCATCGAACGCGCACCCGCAGTCGAGTTTACCCAGCACCGTATGCGGCCCTGTCACATCCCTTATGGGGTTGAGTGCAACTTGAAGAAACAGAGACTGACATAATATTCTCCTAGCATATTCCGGAGTCGAGCAATGGCGTTCAAGATGATCAGATCTCAGATTTGCCTTCAAGCGATAAAGTCGAGGCTGAAATCATTGCGAAGAAAGCCCAGCAAGCCGCACGACAACGAGAGAAGCGACGTTTGAGGTTACTGGAGAGGGCGCAAAAACAAAACGACTCGGCAACTACATCGGAACAAAAAGGACGTCATTCGAAAAAGGAGAAGAAAGACAATCCCGTTCTGACCAAGGTCGCTCAGATTATGAGCGAAGCTTCTCCAGGTTCCAAGGAGAAAGCGCCCAAGAAACAAAAGGGAAAACTTTCCCATGTCGCAAACTTTATAAATGAGAAGCACACTGGTATGATCGATTTGACGAACCAAAAATTGAAAGGTTAGTACTTAAATATCATTCTATTCAACTCTGGAATGATTTCGTTATTAACATTTCCAAGCATTGGATGTCCCCATAGCGCCTGTTCCTCGACTATCATTTGGCCTCGACCGTGTGCTGTTCAAGTAAGAGCCTTCCACATTCCGGCCTATATTTGGAATACTAACAAGCCATTTTAGTCCCGGTGTTTATCAACTACGTGATCCGCGGTCTCGAGTGTACAATTTCGATCCCTATCTTGGCCAGATCATGCCAGTCACCGAATTTGATTTCAATACCCTCAAAGATTACATTACCTCGTCTAAAGATGAAACCCTGCGCAACATCGCCGTCCAAGAAAAGAAGAAATATGTGGGATCATCTTCAAGCATGACTTCCGTTCTTTCACAATTTCACTATCTTCTATCGTCATGGAGAGGCATTGATGCTCGAACCCTATCCCAAGGCTTCCCGGATAAACTGCGCACTTTTACTCGTCTCCTTCGATCTCCAGCTGCCATGTTCCTGCACTACCAGGACGGCGTTTATGCCATTGACGCGGATAAGGAATTCGACTCCGCCAACATTTTGATGAACCTTGGAAAGTCCATGGAAAAATTGCTCACAATGCCGAAGGAAGACTTTGAACGTTACCGCAGATCGAGTGAGAACAAAATCTCGGCTGAGGAGGAGCAAGCAATTCCTGAATCCTATCACTACTCTACCTTTGGTGATTTCATCATGCGATCCCAGTTGGATGCATACGATCCTCGTCTGCCTGGAACCGGTATGTTTGATTTGAAGACTCGAGCTGTTGTGTCGATCCGTATGGATGCAAAGAACTTCGAGCATGGTCTTGGTTACGAAATCAAACACCGCTTCGGCGCATTCGAATCGTTCGAACGGGAATACTACGATATGATCCGAGCGGCATTCTTGAAGTATTCTCTTCAGGTTCGTGTTGGTCGCATGGACGGAATCTTCGTGGCATTTCACAATGTCGAGCGCATTTTTGGCTTCCAGTATGTCAGTTTGCCGGAGATGGACCAGGCTCTTCATGGATCGTCCGATACCGCCCTGGGAGATCATGAATTCCAATTGAGTCTGGGGCTATGGAATGAAATCCTGAACAAGGCGACAGCCAAATATCCTAAGCAATCTTTACGATTCCACTTCGAGACACGCGATGCGGTGACACCCTTCATGTACATTTTTGTCGAGCCCGTCACCGATGCGGATATCAAAGCCATCCAAACAAAGAACAAGGCCGAGATTGATGCCTACCAGCAACGCATTCTTAATCTCACCCCGAGCGAAGATGATAGTGATCTTGACATTCCTGAGACTGAGGCAATTCAAGAGACTGAAACAATTCAAAGTCAAGTCTCCGAAATCTCCTCTGATGCCGATGAAAATGGAGCGAATGGTGAGCTTCTTGCTATGGTGTTGACCGCCCGGAACAAGATCAACGGCGAGTACGTGGAGCGGCCCATGGATTTCAAGAACAATGATACATGGAATGTCGAATACGAAATTAGCGACCTGGCACCTAAACAGGGACACGTCTTGTACAAAATGTGCAAGAAGCGTCGACAGACAAGTCTACTTGGCCGTGGCGAGGACGAGCTTGAAGTCGCTAATAACGTGTATATCCGCCGCCTGCGACAGATCAGCAAGCAAGGTCGCAAGCACCGTGAACGCGAGAACAAGCTTGATGCAGAGCAAGGTGTTGTTGTCCTGGATGGCGAAGTCAACTGAGATGCACTGCCTTAGAATGGAGCTCCATTCGAGTCGTCGCTGTTGAAAACGGATGGAACCTCCCCTGTACAGTAATAGATGTGATTCCCCGTTGTGTACTAAAGGTTTTTTGGTTGGGTTTTCTGGGTTTTTTTTTTGCAACATGGTTGTGGGGTTGTCTCACAACAAGGTGCATTGGTTGGCGTTAAGTTTTTTTTTTGAATTGAATTGAATTGAATCCCCTATCTATCTGTTCGTACCTTGATTCGGGTTGTTTATACCTGGTCTTACACTATATCTACGCTTCAAAGAGGGCTTTCTTGCTGCCACGTCTGAATCGATTGAGAGAGGGGCGAGCCACCGCTATCCGTGAATCCTTCGAGCGAGGTCAGGTCTACTGGAATAAGTTGATTCCTCGTTTTAAATTCAGTTGATGACTATAGCCTTTTCACTTGTATTTGGTAATTGACGAATAGTCCTGATTATGACCAAACCAGAGAACCGCGATACACTTTTTTCAATATGTCCAGACAATAATAGATCTAAAATCATGATTTCTACATGACTATAGGTAGCTAACTCAGTAGTAACCACATTACAAAACTATGAACAGATAACCTGATATACCTGAGTACACTTCAGGAGACGCCGGGCCTCTATATGGAATCCATCATTCGACCAATGATCAAGATCCGGGATGATTGGGGTTGTCAAACCAAGCAGCAGATGTTATACTGTGTAGTATATATGTATTCCAGAGCTAAACATAGATTTAATAAAAATTAACGATTACCCATTCCAGAATAGGCCTCATTACATCGCAGTCAAAGCCAAAGCCACCAACCAATCACCCCCTTGAAAGACCGTCATCAAAAAATAAGTCGTAAAACACAATAAAATCACCAGGCTTATCATAAGCAGTCCAAGAAATGAGGGGGGTGGGGGATGGAAGAAGAGCACAAATAACAATATCAAAAAACGCGGTCGGAAAAACGCCTTCCTTGTGGAATGCCCAACGCCAACTCACACATAAAGATAACCGTGCAACGGAAAGATGAACGGCCTTAAGAAAACAACAAAACGTGAGGCGCCGGGGGGTTCCATGAGAAGGCGACGCGGATGATGAACACGATGGCCAGGGATGTGATAGGCCCAATAGATTTGCAAGGAATTCCCAACGCCCAGAAATATGAGATAAAAACGAACAAGCATTCAGAATCGGGGTATCAGTGCCAGCTAGCTGACTTAATTCTGAGATGCAGAGAGGCAATGACGGGAATGATAAGGTGGAAAGAAATCAATATAATGAAGATCGACAGGGAAGAGAACAATAAGTATGCACTCGGTGGTTCGATGTCTATATCGATTGGTTATTGGGGGAAAAGCAGAAGAGCGATCTATTGCAGCTCTTGCAGATCCAGCTTTGGTGGCGCCCAGTCCAGCTGCGGAGGATTGTCGTTTGAGACGCAGACAGGGCGAATCGAGTCCACTCGTCGTCGGTCCCTCAGTGCACTGCCGGTAAGAATGCCTCGCAGCGTGGATGAAGCCACACCGTAGGCACTCCGCGCACTAGTGTTCCCGGTAGACACACTGCTTGAACTGCGTGCACTGCGAACACTACTTGCTTTCCTGACTGCTGAAGGCACGGCTGGAACGGGCAGAGCAAGGCGAGCAGAGGGACTCGAGAAACTGTACTCTGGAGGAAAAATCTGTGCGGCGCGGGCAGTCTGGGGGCGTAGATTGGACTCGCTCTTTTTACGAGCTGCCTTCGGCTCAATTTGAATTTGCACTGGCTCACTCTCATTTGACTCTGTTCGAGTAGCAAGGTGGATCGATGGCGTAGACTCCTCTGGAGGAGACGCATGAACTTCATCTGCAGAGACAGCAACATCGAATTTCAAATTTTCAAGCATAGTACCCAGGCTAGCGGCGGTTGCAGGTCGACCATCACTAGCACTGTCGTCATACTCATCAACGAGAGAGTGAGTGAGGTTGTAATTTCGAAGAAGATACCGCTGCAGACGACTAACTTCCAAGTCCCATTTCTGTTGCAACGATTGCAAGACCAAATCAACATTGTGGCTCGTGAATGCGGGCGAGGCTTCCAAGTGAGAAGAGGCAGCAGAAGGTGGCGGTTTGGTCAATCGGTGGCTGGGTCTGACACTCATAGCAGCTTGCAAAGACCGACGGATCGAATTTGCGGTTGAGCTTTGGACAGTGCTTGCATCCCACCGAACATTGTCAACCTCACGGCGCACCTTTTGAAGCGAGAGCGCACGATCTCGATCCATGCAAGAAAGACTCAGTAGAGTACGGTTACACTGCAGACCGTTAACCAATACAGTAAATGATTGGAGGTTGATATCATTGTTCTCGCAATGAACCTCGCGAAGCGATTCGTTTTCCTCTAAAACAGAGGCCAATGTGTTCGCACCCTGGAGACCAAGCTTCTGATGTTCAATTCTCAGCACTTTGAGAGAGGTATTCTTCTTCAAGCCAGTCAATGCCAGGTTGAGACCAATACCAAATCGGGCAACATCTAGATGTGCGTTTTCTCCGCTGATATCAAGGGCTTCGAGCGTCTCGTTCTCCTCAAACATCAGTTGGAGCATGCGGCAGGTCTCCGGTCCGGCGTCATACGGAAGAGAAGCTTTGGAGATATCCAAATATCGAAGAGTGCTATTCTTGCGGAGCGAGTCCACCAATTGTCGGAAATGCTCTTCTTTCTTGAAGTCGATCATCTGCATAGAAAGGTGCGAGGGAGTCAGGTTCTTGGCAATGGCATCAAAAAGGAACGAACATCCGTTATCCAAGCGGTTTTCGTTGACATGCAAATGCAAGCTGCGTGGAGCGTCCGGTCCAGCGGACATGGAATGCATGAACATAGCAACATCCTCTCCACTCAAACCGCACTGGTCAAGTCGAAGCATGCGAAGGTTGCGAGAGCGGTCACTGGCCAGGTAGGTCGCAATCGAGTCCACAGTCTCGGAATTGACAGCTGTGCGGCTTAGAATAAGCTCTTCGAGCGGCCAGTTGAACAACATTTCTGCTGTGATCAGCGGTTCTGAGCCTGATGTACGTGAGATGCGGGACAGGTTAATCTTGCGGATATGACAAAAATAGCCGATATACTGCTGGAGAACATCAGGGCTCAAGCGACCCTGTACACCTGAAATATTGATTGCCTCAAGCGTAGACTCTTGGGCAACAAGAGTAGACAGCAGCAGGTCCAAATCATGCACAGAGAGACCGCAATCACCAACTTCTAGTGCACGGAGATGGCTTTGCGTTTGTGACGCCGCATCCACCAGGTAATCCAAGTCTGACTCGCCCAGTTTGATACCGTTAAGCACCACCCAGTCAACAGAAGTTAATTGTCGACGACAGATCGGGAAAATAGCCTCGGGGATCCCGCAACCTGGATCTCGACTACCCTTGTCCAATGTTGGTGTGCGCGTCAAACAGAAAGCAAAGTCAAGTCGGCGCAGCCAACTGCTTTTCAAGGCTAACGCGCGCACCTCTTGTGAAAGGACAGTCAAGTTAGCTTGACCAGGAATATTCACGAGACACCCAGATCTATCGAGATGAACATCTGGATCAACCCCATGTACATCACGGAGACCCTGTAGGGCGTCTAGATTGATGCCGCGGAATGAAATAGACTGAAAGGACTCATTGTATCGAAGGGCTCGCATGACCGCGATAAGTTCCAACGCACTATATCGCGAAGTTCTTGGAGAAGCCGGACGGAGCAGGCGAAAGCACGGGGCATCCTCACATTCCAAATCAATTGTGTACCGAATGTTCGAAGTGTCAACGTCGTAGCTTGCGGAGTAGGCAACCAATGTGCGATCAAAGCAACCATAATCTTCATCTAAAGCGACAGGCAGGAAGTTCTCATCGTTGTGTAGTTCCGGTGGAACAACAAAATCATAGGGCTGCCTTGTCCAGAGCGGACGCAGAAACTCGGTATGCTGTCGGATCCAGCAGGCGACCTCTACCGAATGTACAGAGGCCAAGAAAACGTTGAATGATTTCCGCAATGGGACCCTGGATTGATTCATGAATGATTTAATCAGTGTTGAAGTGGAGGCTGAAATTCCTTACCTGAAAGTCAAATGCAGACTATCATCGCCGTATTCCATCGAGAGCCCAATTAGATTCATCAGGCCGAATGAGCCGGCTGTCTCCAAGTCAGACAATGATACCACGGAGGAACGATTGGCGGCTTTCTGCATGGGGATCAAATGGAGCTTGTGCAGGCCAATGGCAAGATAGCAGCCGGTCGGAGAAAGTTTTGTGAGGTCCTCAGAAGAAGAGCGGGTGGGGGATTTGCTAGATGCAATCTGGATCACCCGAAACATTTGGAAGGAGTCCGGATCATAGTCTCGTTCATGCTCTAGCATGCGCGTGACATAGTCGACGGAGCCACGATCGAAAGGCAGAGGGTCATTTGACCGCGCCATCTGCGCTGCCTGACGAATTCCTACCATCCAAAGGTTAAGCTCTTGAAGGTCCGAAGTCTGCATTTGAACCAAAGCAGCTTTATGAGTGCGTTCGTCCAAGTAGGCGAGCTCGACAGTGGGTGATAACCTCCCGTCTTCCAACATGTAGACTGCAATGATACTATTTAGCGGGATACCCGAGGAAACCTCGTTGGAGACTAGCAACTGCATGTCCTGCAGCGAACTTATTGAAGCCACCGATTGGCGGTGTGAGGCTGGAACACGGACGTTATAAGAATGAGGGATTGAAGGAAAAGTGTCTGCGGCCTTGGCCTGGTTCTTGAAGCGCACTAGATGTGTGTCGGTGAGCACAAGATATTGGCTCTTTCTCTTCCACATGCCGCCAGTCGTCTGAATTTCGCCATGGTGAAGGATCGCAGAAGACCAGATCCCATTTCGGGGACTAGCATTAGTCGTGCTTTGCTCATCACCCATCGAGGCAACAGAAGCGCTTAATGGGTCATCGTCTTCCCACGAGTGCAGTGACCTCAAGGAGCCAAGCACTGAAGTCCGTTTCTTTTGCAATGACTTTCGGCGAGGACGAGAGTTCTCAACGGGCATTGTTGACGCCGACATGGCTGCGGACCAGGCCACGGTGTCGGAACCCGCAGTGCCAGGTCGACGCAGGACATTGCCCCCGCTTGTCCATCTACTCGGGCTTTGGGACCGGCCAAAGAACCCAGAATTGCGCCGTCCTTTCTTCTCTCTGGTACAGGTATCATCGGACGGGGTACGATCATGAAGATTCGGTCGAAGGGTGGCAGATGTCAAGGACGGGCTGAAGACGCTCAGACTTTTTCTTCGTTCCTTTTTGCTTAGGTGTTCGGCCATGGTGAAGTGGAGGGATTGTGATGAAGGTAGTTTGTTTTGAAAAGCGAGTGTGAGGCGGAGACGGAATCCGCGGCGCGAGGGTTGGTGAGAAGCAAGCTGTAACTCGTCGACGACCCTACCGTCGTACTTCCTGGGAAATGATCCCCGTTAGCAGGGAAGCCCAGCCATTTTGTCCAGCAAGTGGTAGATCAGCTCGCAGAGGGCGAGGAGAACGGGAGGTTGGGGATTTGCAAAAGCGGGGAGGGACCGGGGGGAGCGCTGTTGGAGCACGTACAGTCAAGCTTCACGGCGCCATGAGAAGCAATTGGAGGTACGAAGTGCCAGGGAGAATAGACGAAGCTCCACTACTCCAAAGCGGACCCAGAGGATATATCTAAGGGATCAAAAGTCCCTAGGTGGTGGCACCTGTCAACAATGTGGCGATGAGAAGAGTGGGTTGATGGGTTGCACCGCTATTGTGAGGTCGCCGGAAGGGGGGATTCCGACGCTGCCCTAAACACAACCTGATTCCCCAAAGCGGACGGGTCAGGGTTGACTTGTCTGAGTGACAACCGGGGGGATGGGGAGGGTGAGTTGGTTCCTTGATTCCTTGTTTCCTGGGGAGAAAAGCTAGTCCGACCGCGAATGAGGTCAGAAATGCTGATCAACGGGGGAGAAAACCGAGGGCGCGAAGACGATTGGAGAGGGGGAAAACAGCTCAAGAGGTTCCCAGGGCGAAGATCAAAAGCCCAAGCTGCATGAAAAAAAAGATCCGACAAATGAGCGTGCAGGATCTCGATAGGCGCAGACGAGTGCAGCGAAGCGGGAAGTGGAAAGGGAGGTGTGGAATGGACGGATGCAGTTGGAAGAAGCGTGGTTGAAGTGTGAAAAGACGAAATGTGAAAAGGTGAAATGTGAACCACAAACCGCCCCAACTTCCAACTCCCAACGGCAACAGGGATTTATGTTTGTTGCCCATTCTGTTTCAGGTTTGAACTTTCATGGCGCAGTTGGCCCACTGGTTCTCGTTTGTTTTTCCCCTCGTAACGGCTTATCCTCGTCGGAGCTCCGACCGTGAGCTGCGATACTATAAACAAAAAGTACTATAGATACAAATCTACCTGTCAATCTACCTGTCAATCTACGTACAAACTCTACATAGAAATCTAGAAATCAATAAATCAATAAATCCTCACTCCATTGCCGTCATCAGCTGGCCACCGCCATCTTTTAAGACATGCGTTCACGACATGTCGAATTGCATCCGCATTCGAGCAATCGGGGTCCCCCGGCCACGTAAGAGGCGTGCTCCACCTTTCCAGTATCGGCCAGGACTCAAGAGTGCTGGTCGACAGGGATCATGGGTGGACCTCCGCAGGAACGAACCATTCGGCCTGGGCTTTACATCGGAGAACGTGACTGCTTTTGTACAAGGCTGGCCTAGGGCCACAGGAGTGTATTACATATGCCAGACCCGGCCTATGTACAGTAGTATATGCAAAAACAAACTTCCACCCCCTAACGATCTACCGATAATCAACAGAACGGCACCATCTCCAGGATCGGGATCCTCAGGGGGGAGGATCCCGGATCCACAGTAAAAAGGGAAGATCGACCTGCGCGCTCCACGCACGCCCAAGAGATTACCCATGGAGAGTCATAAATGACGTTCTCGGGCCCACGAAAAGAGGGAGATCGTAATAGATCGACACAACGCCACAGGGGAATAAAGCTCATCTTACCCTCCCCAGGAACCGTCGCATTCTAACTGGTTTGTGGAGAGACCTATCAGCAAGAACCTGTCATACCCGAACCTGTTTCCGAGGAGGGAAGGGTGGGAAAAAAAAAAGCAAGAGGCGAATTGTGATCGGAAAACAGACTGATGTGACGGTTGCTGATTTGACGTTGGTGCTGCCGGCGGTATCCGCGGATTCGGGGCCGTTGGTCTTCATGTTGGTTCCTTGCGTACTTTGCGAACTATACGGGCTGGGCATCCAATCTAAGGGCGATGGCCCTGTTGCCTTTCGGCCTGATATCGCTCTGCGCGCTTGATGCGCCGCATGAGCTCCATGTATTCCGTCACTCGCTTTTCGGCCCAGATACATCCGCCCAAGGTCATCACGGCGATCTGGAGAAACACCTTGAACTGGGGGGTCAGGCCGCGGTAGACCCGAGATGCCGGCGAGATCCACTCGGAAAATCCTTCAAGTGGACGGTAGAACAGGCGAGAGCGTAGGTATTCACGGGAAAAAGGCGACGAGCGCGGACGGGGCTGCGATTCGGGAGTAACAGGCGGAGTGGGGGCAGTGAAGGTGAACGGGTGAGGAAGGATCATGATCATATGGGCGAGGATGGACACTGAACCGAACTGCGCTGCTGATTAGTTATTTCAATTGTTCCTCTGTGATTGCTCGAATGTCGTCAAGTAGGTAGATCTGCGGCCTGAATACATACTCGGAATACACCCGTCATGAAGCCCTTCATGGCTTCGGTGGTGACCTCCGGCGGGGGCTCAATATCGGCCCGTTGATCTGGCGGAGGGGGCATGGCGTCAATGATCGAGGAAGCGTGCAAGAAAGGGTTGAGTTCAGGCTGGACGTGGAGCTATTTTGTATTTTTGCTGTTCTCGATTTCGATGTTTCTTATCAATCCCGAGCTCCAAACATGGGGTCTGCAGAACAAGCACAATAGAAGCCCAATGACGGGGCAAAAGGGGAGATGTAGGATCTCAGGTGATAAATCTGATTAAGAGTGAGCTCTCGCCAGCAATTGCGAAGAAAACCTGGGCCCGCCAGCGTGAAAGCCCATGCTGAAATGCTTCAAGCAAACCCCGAAGTCGCCGAGATGACGCACGCGGATCAACGATAATCCCCCCGATAGCGACTCAGAACCAAAAGAAATGCGATTATCAACTTTACCGGCTCACGACTAACTTTGATCTTGATATCCTTCTATCACTCTCCCTCTCAACCCCGCCACAATGTCTCTCCCCGCCCGGACCGCGACCGTCTCGCGGGTTACCAACGAGACCAAAATCCAGGTTTCGCTGTCTCTTGACGGTGGCGTCCTCCCGCCCTTCGAGCCGACATCGCACTTCCCCTCCCCCACAGATCCCGAAGAAGCAGAGGCCGCGAAGAAGGGCATTGTGCCGCAGAAAGATGCCGCCCATGCGACTCAATTCACCCCAACCCAGCAGATTACCATCAGCACCGGCATTGGTTTCTTAGACCACATGCTGCACGCCTTGGCGAAGCACTCCGGATGGAGTTTGGCCGTGCGGGCCAAGGGCGATCTGTACAGTAAGTTGACCGCCTCGAACGTCTTTCATTCACATTGATACCATTGCCATACCATTGGCCCGCATTCAATCCAACCACATAAGCCAGCCATACTCATCAATCCACCTCCATCATAGTTGATGACCATCACACCACTGAAGACGCCTTCCTCGCCCTCGGCACTGCCTTCACCAAAGCGCTCGGCGCGCGGCAATCGCTGGCCCGCTTCGGCCGCGGCGACGCCCCGCTCGACGAGGCTCTGTCCTGGGCTGTTATCGATCTCTCCAGCCGGCCCTGGGCGGTGATCAACCTCGGCTTCAAGCGCGAGAAGATCGGCGACCTGAGCACCGAGATGATCACCCACGGGCTGCAGAGCTTTGCGCAGGCCGCCGACGTGACGCTGCATGTGGGCTGCACGTACGGTGACAACGACCACCACCGAGCCGAAAGCGCTTTCAAGGCGCTGGCGGTTGCGATCCGCGCTGCTACCGCGCGCCGTGTTGCCGGTGAGGTTGGTGCGGGAGATGTGGTGAGCACCAAGGGCGTGCTATAAAGAGATTCGGCTGCAAAAGCTGATCGGGGTTTTGATTTACATGAGAGGACGATGGCATGGTGTGATGAGTGATACCTTTTGTTTCTCCCCATTATTATTGTTTTCGTTGCGCCCTTGGCGTATAGATTATGGTCTCTAAAGTTGAGAGTATATAGTAGCATTTGCGTCTCCAAAAAAAAGAGTTTATGATTATTTCTATCATCCTCTGCAGACTACTACTAGGACTTGCCTTCGACGTTAGGGTCAATTTTCTACGTGACCTGGATATGTGACCGAGCAGAATCGTCTACGCGAGGATTCCTAGATTGCAAGCCTCTCCACACGATCCCTAAGCTGCGCAACCCGTGGTGCTAGATCACTGGCATCATCCGTGTTGATCGTCGCCGCGATAACACCGGATTCGAGGCCACAAGCTCGCCCGAGCGCAGCCTTACTCTCCACGAAGACATACGGGACATTCCAATCTTCACACAGCCGCGGCAGGGGCATCACGATGGCCAGAGGCACCGTATCCGCAGCCAATATGACGAGACTGGCGACGCCGCGGTTGACAGCCTTAATAGCTGTGCGCGAGTTAGTGCATCGCAGACCAGGTGCGGCCAGGTCCCCCTCGAGGGTGGGGGGAAGGGAGGGAAGGAGCGCGGACGTACATTCATTCGTGCCCTTTTTTGCGGAGCTACTCAGCATAGCATCATGCAACAAATCGAGGAGGTCCTGCGCCAGCGCAGGATCTGCGGAGGGCCAAGCTGCGGCTGCTGTTAGCAATATGAACGGGGACGTGACCAAAGAGCACGAAGCCACACCTATTGTTTCGGAAGTCGGGTCCATTTTGGAGAATGCTGGTAAAGGCTCACCTTTCAAGAGGTTCACTGCCTTGAGTACGCTGCACCGGCTCGCCCGTGAAGGTTCACTGCCTGGTGATGAGGGGGGGAGAAGAAGGGCCATCACCAAGGGCGCTAAATGGTTACTTTCTCAGGGCGCCTTATCTCCGAGCGCTAATGCCCGCTGACTAAGATTGCCGTTGAGCCTCATCCATAGAATATACTATACTGAATCTGAAGTAACAATAAGGGTCAAGAGCCTGGAGACCTACTATAAGCGCCTATGTACCTCGGCTTACCGGGAGAGAAACCATTGTGGATCTACGATAGCTAAATTCGGGTCCTCGAATCCGTCGGAGGCGAATCTAGAGCACGAACAATGACGGGACGTATCGGCCCGAATTCCGGATGCCGAAACCCGCCGGAGTATACAGTTCCTCCGTTGACAATACGATAGCACATGAAGACTTGTATTTCTGATCCTGTAAATATAAGACATAACTCGTGGGAGAAGAAAATGAATCCCTCTCGCCCCTCCCCAAACTCAAATCTAGAAACACGCTCCACTCGAAGCTAAATACTCTCAAGAAAACTGAGAACTAAGAGAAGGAGAAAAAAAAAAACCTCAAAACAAAACGCCATAGTTGGGAGCCTGTCCCGACAGTTCCGAGGATAGGATCAAAGGGAGGAGGAGAAGGGAAGGTGGAGAACAAAAACGACCTTGCCTCTACCCTCTACCTACGCACCCAGAGCCTTCGTAGCCCGCTGCCAATACGCCTTCCGCTCATCCGTCACGGTGGTCATGACACAGCCACTAATATACTGCTCCCAGCCAGTCTCGCTGCCAGACTGGAGTGCCGAGCGCACATCATCAGAGCACTGGGTGGTCAGGAACCAGGCGCCAGAGCCGAAGTCGTAGGTCTCGTTGTCGCGGAGCAGGTCCAATAGGTCGACAGGGCTGTCAGCAACAGCAGGGAGCTTGTCGGCGAGCGCGGGGATGGATGAGGCATATTTCTTGTTGTAGGCGGGGGATTGCATGTTGCGGGCTAGGAAGGCAGTTAGCATGTAGCCCCCAGTACTGCTTATAGATCGCCCAAGATAGAGGACAAGATAGAGAGAGAGAGAGAGAGAGGATGCTTACTGCCTTGTCCAGCAACGCCGGGGAAATGGTTCTTGTTATACTTGAAATCGACACTCTCGAAGGCCATCAGGGCAACGATGGCGGCTTGTTCGGCTTTTGAGGTCACCTTGTACGTGTCAAAAGACTGGGAGGTAAATTTGGCGGCGGTTATGGCGGTGGCGCACTCGCCAGCAGCAGGAGGGTTATCGCAGGTCTTCGACGTCGGCGCGATATCGATTATCTGGTCTTCCGTGATGGTGGTTTCTGATTTGGCAACGGCCAACGGGAGGGGAGTTGCTGCGGCGAAGAGCGAGAAGGCAAGCAGCGAGGCTGCTGTCCAAGTGCATGGCCACATGGTGAACAAGGATGTGGTTTGTAGTGAGATGAAGTTTAGGGCTGTTGTTTGCTCAGATGAATGGAATCTGTTGGTATATAATGGAGGACCAGCAGACAATGGACGGAAGAAAGTGGATGCGAGGCAAGACACAGCAAATGAAAGAAATCAGTGGCTCAACTATTGCAGATCTAGTCAACCGGTGATTCTGATTTAGATCAGGAGGTGGTCGAATCTAGTCTTTATACTCACTGCGCTTCAGCTCATATTTACAGCCGAAGGAGGGGGGTTGGGAAAAACGCTGTGGCGGCAGGGGAATATGACCCACAAAAGCAGAGCATGGCTGGAGCATAGCGATGATTATAGGACTATGTATCATGCCTATCAGGGGGGGGGGAACGCAGAGGATGTCTTCACGCGGGGAATGCCAGGGACGCGGAGGCATGAATGCCCACAGCCAACGACCAGGTTGGAGCAGTCCAGACTTCCCCGAGCGTGAAACGGGCAGAGAACCAATCCAAGTGCCTCAGGGTCCAGTCAAAAGCTTGAATGACAGGGTATCATCCATGCAACGAACAATGCAAGACATGTCTGACCGGCAATTGGCGGGATTTAGGGTTTGAGTTTCAGGGTCGCTGAAACGTCTGGCGCCCGGCGTGTCAGATCAGATAGGCTACACGTTACTCTTTCGTAGACCAGTGTCAAATCGACAGGTCTCAAGCTTAATAATTGTCTCAGGATTGACAATGCAACCATTGCAATGAATCAGGCCTACAAAAGAAGTACAAAGAAAATAAAGAGAGCGAGAAAAGTAGCGTAAGGTATAGGAAGAGCCATTAGATTTCATCATTCGCCGCGGTATCTGTATAGTTCAAGAAATGTCCAAACCCCACGTCCAATCCTACATCGCCCTTCTGTCTCAATCAGATCCCAAGAAAAGTAAGTCTAAGTGTGTGTGTGTGTGTGTTTACAAATTGATAGTGGAAAAATAGATGGGACGAAAGAGACAAAAAGGCAGACCGGAGGTGGGGGAAGCAAGAACATCCCTCACAGCGAGTTCAATCGCACGCTTGCTCAAACGTACCATCTTCACAAAAGCAATCAAAAAAGAGTCAATCCCAAGTGCTCCAGGTTCCAGCCAGCAATCCCGGATCCCGCCGCGGGACCGCAAGGCATAGATACCATGCATGCGCTCCTAAACAAAAGGGTGATCGATATTTGACGATCGAGACAGATAAACAAAAAAGAAAAAGAGGCCGGAAATAAGAAACATAGAAAGGGGGAAATGTATACAATAAATGCTGATGCAGAGATCGTGTCCAAGGCCGTATCGATACACAACAAATCAAGACAGAAAATCATGCAGCTCGAACGAATCATGTTGAGAAAGAAATTATGTCTAGTCGTCACGGCGACCGAGTTCGTAGGAGGTCTCGGTGGGTCCGCCAGCCTCCTCGTCCTCCTTGAAGCTCACCCGCCGAAGCAGAGTAGGCATCAAGCTGCGCGTGCGCCGGTTCGGGGAGGAGAGACGGGGGCTGATAATTGAGGGCACCTTGGTGTAGCGATAGCGGTACTTGGCACCCAGAAGCATAATGCGGCCGTAAGTCCAGAACAGACAGAAGCCGACCACACCGGCGAGGACAAAGCCGAGGAAAGTGAGCAACATCCAGTGCTGACCCATCTGGAGACGAAAGTTAGCACACCGTCAACCCAAACCCAACCCAGAAGATGACCAGATGAAATGATCGGAGGCATGAAGCTTACCCAGAAGATCAAGTGAGCATCCTTGCCGTGCCAGCTGTTGCCCACGTGGTGGGTGAAGAAGCTCCACGAGAACTTGTTGTACTCATCCAGCATGAGGATTCGCACACGAGCCGACTCCACCGGCTTGTCCTGCATGTACTCCTTCCAGATCACAGAGAGGAAGAGCGGGCCAGTGGAGTACATGACAGTAATGTATGGAAGCAGCCAGCTGCGGTCGTACTGTTGGAGCACTTCGATGACACGAAGGAAGAAGGGATGCTGAGGCACAGAGCCCATGGCGTCGTTAGAGATACCCGTGGGCACCGTGCGCCGCACCCAAGCAGGATAGGCGAGAAGGGGGTCCAGGCGACGGTTGCAGCCCTGGTCAAGTAGTTAGCATACACCGGCGCATCAATTGAGGCAGGTGTGTGAAGCGAGAACTTACGTCGTCCAAATCAATATATGTGCCGCCATAGTGCGCGAGAACGAAGTATCGGATGGAGTCCGCGCGTTGAATGGGATACTTGTAGCCGTCAAAGGTATCCAGGAACCAGGGGTATTCTGCGGCAATGAATTCGCGTGATTTCTCATTGGTCCACAACTAAATCGAATGGTTAGCATGTTTCACTTTTTTTCTTTTTCTTCTTCTCATTTTCGCTTCTTGAGTGTTGCTCAGATTTGCGCAACGTACAATGTACTCATAGTCTGGGTGCAGGTCAATACAGCTCTGCTGAGCCTCTTGCCATACTTCTGGGATCGTCTCGTTCTTATAAGTCTGGTGAATGATCTTGGGGATGATCTGGGGTCGGGTTTCGATCAGACTGGAGTTAGGGGACGGCAACTCCGCCCGATGGATCGCGTCGGCGGCCGCATCCTCGACTAGCAGAGACAGGAGGGTTGAGACGCTCCGGACGAGAAGGGTGAGAATTAGGAGGTTGACCAGAATGAAGATCAGGAGACCGCGCCGCATGGTGAAATGTGTGTGTGCGTGTGCGCGGGAGGGAGGGTGGTTCGGCGAAAAGACGTCGAGGGTGGCGTAGGAGAACTTGAAGCCGTGACAAGCAATTGAGTGGTATCGGTACTGAGGTCGTGAAAGGTCGTATTGATTGGCAGGGCTGACGCGCCTCGTAGAAAGCCCGCGGGGAGATAAGAAGAGAAGGAGGTCCGATCTCGAGAAGAAAGAGCCCTAGGATTGGCCAAGGGAAGGCGGGAGAAGGTGCTTGGTACCGCGGTCACGAGAACAGGATCATGAAAGCGTTGCGGGCGAGTCGCGCGTCGAGTGACAAACGTCGAGGAAGAGGATGCAGTTGGGCGTATTTGCGTGGGAGAGGGGGGGAGGAGGGAGAGGAAGAGGTGAGGGCGTCAGGGATGGATAGGAGGCGCCGAGAGTGAGGGAGAGACAAGAGGCCCGCGACAAAGCTTCGGGCAACACGGGGGCGAAGGGCTCAATTATTAGAGTAGCTTTGTAGCTTTGTATCTCTGGGGGAGCGAGGAGGGGTGGTGAAATAGGGGAGGATCTCCGACAATAATAAGGAGCGACAGGTGGAGAAAGGCTAAGGCCAAAAGGAGAAAAGGAGTGAATGTTGCAAAGGGCAATGCTGAAGGTAAAAAAGAGGAACGAGGCGATGAGGATGCGCGGTGGTGGTCGTCGTAATACGCATACGGGGCAGGCCTGGCGCTCCAGGGGGGGCAAAAGGCAAAACCAGAGGGAGTGGACACCCCCGAACCCGTGGAACGGGGCAGGGGAAATTTGGGTAACTTTGCGTAATTTTGGGTCACTTTGGTCACGTTTGGTCCCGGCCGTGACCGTTGGTCGGGGTAACACGATCTACTTTGTTTCCCGCCGCGTTTCCTGCTGGAGTCTCTCGCCTAATAGAGGGAGGACCGAGAGAAGCGAGACACCGAGAGAGAAAGAAGAGAGGATCGTAGCTCCTAGCTCCTAGCTACTACGCACAGCGCCGTCACATTCAGCATTGCCCGCGATGGGCCACTATCGGCGGGAGGAATGAGCCTCTCTGCGCCATTGATCGGATAGGAGTATATCCTGCGTCCCAGCGGCCCAGCGTGTTTTTGCGTATTCTATCATACAGGGTACAGAGGCAGTGCGTCGAGGCTGAGCAGGTCTCCGCGTGGCTGCGAAGAGCCAAGCGCTGGCTGTGGCGGGTCTCCTGCCCCGTGATTGGTGGGAAGGCCAGTCCCGTGGGGCAACCCGCCTTTGTCAGCGGCTTCCGTCGGCCTTCTGACTGGCTGGCCTCGGGCGGTTGGTGGGGCACTAGTTCGTAAGAACAGAGAAGCGACGCAAAAAGGCGAAAAAAAAAAAAAAGAAATAACCAAACGTTGTAAACCGCCGATTACGCAGGCTCATCGGGGCTGGTTCAACGTCGGGTTATTTGGCTGCCTGGCAAACTTTACGCCGTTCTTGACCTCTCTGAGTCTCTCTCCCATTGGGGTTTTTGAGGGACAGGCAATGAGGAGGGGGGAGGAAGAAGGGAAAGCCCCCAAAAAGACAAAAAAAAACATGTTGTTTTGTTCGCGGCGTAGAAACGAGGATATAGTTATCGTTGGATCTACCCCAAATATGGATCTCGATGGACACCAGCAGCCAGTTTGAGGGTCGCTATTGTTGAATATACTTTGCTTGGCACAGGATTCTGCCCCCTTTGGGGCCGAGGCACTACTGTACAGGCCAGAGGACGGCGACATTGCCAGGGCCAACGGGAGGAAATCTGGGATAAACTACGGCCACTAGTCTCGCCCCACCGGGCCCCCAGAACGGGGACCGGTCACCTCAGTGGCGGGTACCGAGGACCTGCTCTTCTGTGCCCGCTTCACTGCCCCTTCAACATCGGCCGTCGGAGCCACGAAGACCGACCGCCAGTTCGACCCAGAACCACAAAGTCGTCCCCAGGCAACAGACCGGATGATTTTTTCTGGACTGCTTGACTCGCTCGGTTCTATTCTGGGTCCCAACCAACCATGAGGGTCCCGAAACACCACGGCGCGTGTGGCGGGCCCTGATGATGATATTTGGCTGTCAGCGGCGAGATTGCGTCAAGCGCCCACAGATGTGATCAGGATGCTGCCGCTGGGGGGGGGGGGGGGGGGCGTGTGTGCACCAGGATCGTATACTCCGGACGACGTGCGTCTATACAATTGGACTCTGTCGAGGACCCGAACAGTTCCCTGCTGTTCCTCGGCCGGGACTTCTTCCTCGCTGACACCCTGATTACGTCCATTACGGTACCGCCATTCCCCCAACCGATTTCAATACAGGGCGTCGTCTCCTGTTTTGCGACTCCGCTACTCTAAATCCATGAACCGCCCGTGCACCGTTTTTTTTTTTTTTTCTCGCGCATAGGATTGATGAGAGACTATCGACTGGCGTCTGATTATTGACCTCTTGACCGATAGACTGGTCGTGGGCTAGTCCAGAGAGACGGGTGCACGGTGCAAGGAGGTGTGGACCTGGGCTCAGGTCGACCACCAAAACTGCTGCACCCCGTACTCGTATGGCGGCCCCGACCAGCCCACACCACTACGCAACCGCGTCCACTCCGTATCCGTACATAACGGCCTCTATCTACCCATCACGGCCCGCAGAGAGAGAGAGAGAGAGAGAGAGAGAGGTGAATGATAGATACGCCATACGCTCTTCGTTTCCCGGATGCTTGTCTGATGCCTGGTGAATGGTGAATCGGAGTATAGATAGCATAGATCGATAATCTCGGCCTATAGATAGAGGGACGAGGGAAGATATACATAGAAACTGATGGTTTCACCAAACCGCCCCCACAATCGGAGAATTCGATTTCAATACGCACCTTACAGAGCTTACAGAGGGACCTACTACCACAACACTGCTGGTTTCCTCGCCAAACGGTTGTCCCACCAGGCCTCCACTTTGCATCAATACGAATCTGCGAAATCCCAGGGGTTTGCAAGCCGGGCTCCTCGCGATCATGTTCGCGATGTATACCCCGTTTGGCGACCAATCTTTTTACGCCCCCCGCCCCTGCCCCTCTCTGGCTGCCCGGAAGATCTCAAATTAGCAAAGCAATGCCGAACAATCAAATAATTGAATAAGGCTACTTCCGGAGTACACTGGACTCTATAGTCACCAGGAATCTGTAGTCCCTGCTCAACACCGTCTTCACTGAGACGGCGTTGGGACCCTCCAGATCGGCAAATGTCGTGGTCAATGACGGGCCCTGTTTTCTCCCCCCGCGCGCTCCAGAAAAACTCCAGATTCCTACCAAATCCGAATTGGATCAGCGGCCGTCGCTTGGATAGATGACGTGAGTGGCCGAGTCGCCAGAAATGGAGGACAGCAGACCCTGTGTCCTTATCGCGTCAGAAGACACCGACCATGATGACCGCTCTGCTCTTCTAGGTAAGAGCCAAGGGAAGCGCCAGAACGGGTCCCTGCGCTGTGCACCGACGACGCCAGCCGAACCCCCGATCCGCGCTCCATCCTACCTTTTGTGGTAATCGTTTCGGCGCTGCGTGAGAGATCCGCCCCAGGGAATCACCACAACAAAAACCACTCTCAGCTACAACCGAAAAATCTCACTCCCCCCCCTTCTTCCTCCTGGTGCGAGAGCCAGGGCTTTCCCTCGATCCTGGCTGTGCCGTCCCAGATCCCTGTGTAGCGCTGTAGTCCAACCTAGCTCTCGGTCCGTTCGCGTGCGGGCTTGGCCGACGCCATATCGCAGGGATCAGCAGCGCAGACGAATGTCAGGGCTCAGAGCGCTCGCCCCAGGCGACCCAAGGAGTCCAAGGCTGCAGGCGGCCCCGTCAACTAGAAAGGCCGTGAGCTGTCATCCTGTTTGAGACTTTGAGACTGCGAAGGCACGGGTGGAGAGAATGGTATGTAGTTGGGGGCAGTGCGGAAGGTGGGAAGATCTTTTGTGTGGGCCAGTGCAGACCATGAGACCATCCTGGTGCATGCAGTTGAGGTCAGCAAGGAGATCGTGCCCTCCCCCTCCACCCCCCCCAAAAACAACCCCCAAATGAGCGCGATCGAGCTGCTCGAGTCCCTTTTGATCTGAGGATCAGCGGATCTGAATGGGACGCGCTCAATCAGGCAACCGAATAATTCATCTAAGCTAGTGAACCAGAACGCCATCGCAGAGAGATACTATTTCGATAAAACCGCAATTCGCAATCTTAATTTCATCGAAGTAGACTTATAATCGGTACAGACAATTAGTCCAGGTATCGACGCTCTTTTCTACAACAGAGACCTCACTGGTCTGTGTTGCGCCTAGCCATGACACCATCTGCTTCATAGATACAAGTCACCTGATCAGATCTACCGGAGATGTACTAGTTCGACTTGTGATTCAAGCTCGTTCTTGATAATCGGCAGGCCAAATCAGGCGAACCCCAGCGTAATACTCAAATACTTCAGATACGTACCCCACAGTGTCTGTAATTCTTCACGAGCTGGAAACATGCAAGGATCAGCGCGTATGGGGAATGTTGGATCCAGGTTGGGATCCATTTGGAAAAGTTCGTTCGGGCTGTTTTACAACAGGTGCACGAATTGCTGCGTAGTAACCCAGGTCAAGTTGGCGGGGAAGTTGGTAATTTGGTCATGGGTTTCATTTGCGCGCCAACCGAAACACAGGTCTATAGATCTAGCAACTAAGGAACCCGTCGTTCTATGTTGAAATCAAACCTAGCTCGCCCACACCCTATATGTGCTCGTCTATTGATCGACTATGGTACTACGCGAGCGTTGCAAGTATTTCTATTTAAAGCATGTAAGATTAGTGGGAATTTGTTCTCATGACATTACCTTTGACCATACCATGACCTAGGCACCTACTAAAGCGCCATGACTATCAGCGTGTCTAAGATGAAGACTTAGTAAGCCTATTCAAGTAATTTTCAACTGATTAAAATAGCCATCAACAAGAATACTATCTAATTAAACGATATTTATAACTTTGAGTAAAACTGACTTTAGAATGGGCTGGATATCTACTACTAGAATACTTAATACGTTAAGATTTCTATAATCGGAAGCCTCGTCTATAGCTAGGAAATCGGGAGTAGGTGATAGTAAGTAGATAAAGCAGTTGCTCCGGAAGAGGTAGATTAGATGAGGAGATGAAGAGGGAGAAAAGATAAGAAATTTGTTACTTCACATGAAATATATTCTCTTTCAAGCTTCGATTCAGTAAAATATTCCATCTATGATGATAAATTTGCATCAATTGGACTGTGACTTTTGACACGCCTAGTCTGTGATGACCGCCTACTTATGGGAGCCTCCTGATAGGATTCAATGTGATTCAATAGCTAGTTTTTTTTTCTAGCTAGTCCCTTCATTCTCTGCTTTTGCTTTTCTAAGGATTTAAATTGACACATATAAGATTCGAGCCTGCAAGAGATTGGCGTGGAATAGCTGCTATGCACCGGCATACATAGAAGCGTATTATCCAAGCGCTATGATAAATATTAAGCACAACATGCCTAGGGCTTTCCTTCTCACAGCGAACCCTTGGACCACTTCCCACGCGCCCTAACATTTGCGCCAAACATGTAAAACATGTATGGGATAGGGAGAAGTGCAATGGATATAAATCCAAGGACACTTGCTGCCCACGGAACACCCAGATTGTGAAACATAGCATCGGTGAAAAGAGGAAAGCAGCCTGCAAAAATAGAACGTAGGAAAGTGTTGGCAGCAACAGCGCTGGCGGATGTGGTTTGAAAGGTGTCGATGAGATAGTTCAATGCGGGTTGAAGGACGGTGAAGAACCCCAACCCCATCATTGCAGCGCCAATATTCGGTGCTATCCACGGGATATCTGCTGGGCTTGTCCAGCCAAACACGAATAGTCCCGCGGCAAAGAAAATCGAGCCTAGCATCATTGGCGGTAAGCGTGCTTCGGGGACCGGACGGTTGTTGTTCAATTTTAACCGCCTGATGTAGAAGCTTTGATTGCTGAAGTTGATAAAAGCACCAAACAACATGCCGATCAAGTAAGCGAGAAATGGCAGGGCACCAACGAGCATATTCCAGCCTCTAATCTCCTGGAACACAATTGGGAATGCCGCCAAGCTAAGATAGAGAATAGCATAAACGAAGGAGGCATATAAAGCCATCAAGAAGCAGATCGGAGTTCCGAGAAGCTGAAACGGCCGTACCAAGTACTTGTTGCCGAATTCTGCCCAAGTTATATCCCATTCTTCATGCGGAGCATGCAACGCCCAATTCCCAGTTTCGAAACGTAAGCGGCGGGCCTTGTTGAGCAGAAGGACAGGCGGATAACTCTCATCGAGAAAAAGAAGATCTAAAACAACGAAGAGCATCATCAATATACCAGTAAGGTACTCAGTCCACCGCCATCCAAGGCTGCTTTGCGAAACTGCGCCACCAACAATAGGACCTAAAACAGGGCCGCCAAAAACGGCAATCGCGTATCCGATGATTGCTACTCCTCGTTGTTCAGGGCTCCAAATATCTCCTAGAACGCCGCCGGTATTCGTAACAGGGGCTGATCCGAAGAACCCAGTGAAGAATCGTGTCAGCATGATTGCTTGTATGTCCTTGGAAACTGCAGTGGCAAACGAGAAGATAGCAGCAAGAAAGTAAGGTATCAAGACAGCTGGCTTTCGTCCATAACACTCTGAGAGTGGCGCCCAGAAGAGTGGTCCAAATCCTAGGCCAAACAATAACAAAGAAGTGCCGAGAGTTGCGACTTCGGTCGACACGTTAAATTCTTCGCAGATTTGGGTTTGGCCTGTTGAATAACTTGTGTCGTGTGTCAATTTTCAAACCGAAATTATGTCTGATAGAAGTTAACTTACATTGAACTGGCCCATGGAGCACCTGTGGAAATGATATTAGTTATCTAATTGTCATCTTCATATGAAATATGAACTCGAGCTGTGAAGAATGAAAAAAAAAAAAAAACGAAAATGGAAGCTACATACCCATTGCTGTAAAACCATAGAGAACTGTTGTAGTGACCTTCTTGCGAAAGCTCCAGTTTCGGGGGTGATATGGATCTCGCGGTCCCTCAAAGTCAACAAGCATCTCGGGCCCCGTTACCATGTTTGAGTGACAATGCGTGAATGGGCCTATCTGGCCAGGCTCTCGACTGCGCAGTCGTGAAATGATCGACTTGGAACGTCCATCTCCTGATGGGCCGGTGGATGAAGTAGTTTTCTGCACCATTGCTTCAGGGCTGCAATCAATGCTCACTTTGGAACAAGCGGACTCGATATCATCCGTGTGTGCATAAGAGTGAGTCTCAACATGGCTCATCTTTGTCATGGAATTAGATTCGAGATACTGTTGGGTTCAAGTTGAACAAATTCGGATTGTATAGGTTAGAGTAACAGAAAGTTCTTTCAAGCGACGTAGGAACCTTCAAGGACTTGGTTTGCAAGGGAGGTGCAAATTGGTTTTTATATAAATGCAAGAAAAATTCTTCTTCAGTGGTCTTCTTCCCATGATGTCCCACGCATATCTTGCCGTCTTATCCGATGGCGGATTGCGCATCAAATGTTAGGACCAAAATGCTTCGACTGAAAATTTTCAAAGCGTGATAATTCAATATTGGCATCTGGGCTTAGTTCACGGGTAGAGAAGATCTCATTATTCAAGTATCAGGAAAAATCCATACTACCGAGATTTACAGGGATATCTAAGTAAGATCAAGACATATCCTGTTGAAGCTTAACCTTATAACCTTGCAAGTATTGCTGTATATTATACATGAGCTCCTGCTTACACTGCCACTGCATCCATTTTATTTGCATTCACTAACAATGCGGGTTTAAATCTGCCAATTAGTTATCAAATCAAGTGAACATGTATTAAAAGTTGGCTCTTCAATTATAATGCCCGTGTCGACAAGTGTTCCAATTCTCACTTCAATTCATACCCAGTACGTATAGAGTCAAAAAGTACGTACGCTTAAAGTTGCGTGGCGCGTTGGACTCAAAACTCCGGACCGATGGTATTCCGCCGATCTTATTACTCAGGCTCTAGTTCTTCTGTGTGGTAGACTGGCATAGATCGCCAAACCTATATCCTTGTGTCCCGGCCTTGTACGCTATCTCCGAGAAAATGGCCGATTCATTAACCAAAAGCCGAAGAGAACGATTATATCAGGTCTTTCGCCGCGATATGGTTCAAACTTTATTAATTGCCCGAAACACCGAAACTCCGCACGGTCAATTGAATGTGGGTGGGTCAACCCGAATCTCCATTTTAGCCGCCCCATAAATGCATTCACGGCAAGATCATCAGTGCTTGCTGTCAATCAAGTAGGGATGCGGTATAGCTTGTAAATGTGGAATTCAATAGAACTGTTTGCTCAATTTCATGATTTGTGGAACTCAAAACCAGGGAAAAGTTTTGTGAGTAGCATTCCAGTTGATGACAGGCGCGTTACGGTGGGGTGGCTCCGAGTGTACCCGGTATACCATACAAAACGGGCGAGGAATCATCTATTCCTGTAATGCTTGTGCTCACACGGTCTCTTGTGGGGCTTCTGTGGTAAAGAATCACTTTTTTCACCAGATACTTGCCAAAAGACTTTATATATATATGTTGCTCCACCCAGCGCCGCCATTTTTTGTCTCATTTTCAAGCCAAAGCGAAGCAGTTTTCCTTCCATTTTACCGTCCGTGCCGTTACAACTTTAAGCATGTCGCCAGTGACTCAGGTATATCGACCATACTCAGACCAATGTAAAATACTGACCAATAGCAGGCAATAATTATCGGCGGAGGCCCTGCTGGTCTCGCGGCAGCTTTGAACCTAAAAAGAACGAATGGCATTGACTGCAGAATCTACGAGATTCGGGACAAACCGACCACGATCGGAGGTGCTGTAAACATTCCTCCGAATGGTATCCGCCTCTTCGATCAACTTGGGCTCCTCAACGCGATGAATGCCCGAGCATCCTCGTCATCATCTCTGATCAAATTACATCAAGGTGACTCTATCATCGCTGAAAAGAATGCTGGCGAGGTCAGTAAAGGGGCAACAGGATATGGTTTTTGGAGGATAGTGCGAACGGACATGCTGGAGGTGCTTTTGTCGGCTATTGAGCAAGAAGACATTCCCATCATGTATGGGAAGAAGATCACCAAAGTGACTGAAACTGAAAATAGCGTCGAAGTCCTCTTTTCCGATGGAACTAGGGACTCGGCGGGCTTATTGCTGGGTTGCGATGGTATTCATTCCTCTGTTCGCCGACTACACGTTGACCCGATGGTTGAACCGGTTTACTCCGGAATATCCAACATTGGCACAATTCTACCAAGCTCAAAGGTCGCTTTTCGTCTGGATCCAGCCTTGCATATGACGTTCACTTCTGATGGCCTCTTTGGCTTCACTCAATGCAATAACTCAGGCGACCGGCTGTATTGGTTCTGTTCGAAGAAGGTTTCAATCCCAGAAAATGGCGATAACAGGGATGGCTGGGAGGCCTTCGGAAAAAACGTCATCGAGGGTTTCAAATCAGACACCCTCAAAGTCTTGAGCCCTGTGCAAGGGCAGTGGGGAGATCAATTAAGGGAAACCGTGAAGGCCACGGAGTCAATTAGTTTTTTCCCCATCTTCAAACTTCCACCAACATCCAAGTGGTCAACAAAGCGTTGTTTGCTTCTAGGGGATGCCGCTCACGCGATGCAGCCTCATGTTGGCCAAGGAACTTCAATGGCGCTAGAGGATGCCTTCATGTTGTCTCGGCTTCTCGAAGCCTACAATGAAACCAAGGAGTTATCCGACATCTTTAAGGTCTATGAAGAGAAGAGACGCCCTCGAGTGGAAGCTCTATCCCAAGCGGCCGCTGCCAGTGGAAATGTGAGAAGCAAAGAAAACCCCAATGCGCCTCAGTCGCGTGAAGAGGTTTTAATGGCTCAGTGGCGAGATGGAACAAGATTGCAAGACTCGTTCTACAACATCCTAGAGGAGCCTATCTAGGAGACTGTCATTGCGATCATACTGTACTTTTTTTTTCCAAGGGATCTCATGTGGGTGTTCTTTTGTGTTTTTTGGATTTTCGAACCCTTGTTTAAGTGTGCTTTTTCTGAATATAACATATTTACCTGACCTTGATATTATCATTTAAATTCATCTTGGCACACCAGCAATGATAGTTGGTTGGCATTTTGGAGGGTGTCAGCTAGGCAGTATAAAAACGACATTGGTTCTTCGTGGTAACAAACAGCTCTACTAATTTGCAATTATTCTTCTATTCTTTCTTTAATTGGACGAGATGAAGATAGCGAGTGAAAATTAGGGTGGATAGTAGACCGATGTAGTTGAATCAAATTTGCACTTAGCAGACTCGGCGTTTGGTCAACGCTCGGCGGTTCGGGGTTTCATGATTTACCACCCAGATTTCTCGACCCGTCCATTGATTGAGCTGCTCTTACTCCTTGATTAAGCAATTAAGAGCCGTATGGATCGAACAAAGCCTTTCACATAGAAGTCGCAGCTCATAGCTTTCTTGCAAGAGAATAATTACATATGCAGATTTTGAATACGAATAAAACACGTGCTATGGAATTGTCCATATTTCTTGTGGTTCTAGCAAAGCTGGAAGCCCATGAGACGTTGAAAGTCAAACCAGTTCAATTTTCTATTCTTGAAAGAGCCTTTAAACCCTATCTTTGTCATCAAACCTCCATATTGGAGTCGCTTTTGCAGGGTACAACAGGACAAGCCACATAACTGACCCATTTTCCTCCAACATGGAGCCTATTTGTTCCCTCTTTGTGTGTTTCACCGTAAGTAATTCTCATATCAGGGTTAATATACCCTTCAATATCTGGCTGCTCTTCAGAAGGGGTAATATCAACCCGAAGCTTCCATCCCTTTCGAATCTTTGCTGCAGCAGGATAAATTTCAACATCGATCGGGACAATCTCACCAGGGCAAAGTGGGGCGTTATCTGCCTTTGTATGTGTGTGCCATGGTCTTTCGGGAAGCGATTTAGCTTCATCAGTTTTTCGATGGCTTGCACGAAGGAAGCCTTTGGCGATTGGCTCAGGCTGGTGTTTTGAGCCAAGGGGAACAACATGTCCCTTTTCGTCAACCGCCCACAATGTAACGACAAAGTCTGCATCGGATGTAGATGAGGAAACGAAGAGACGCGCGCTGAAATGCCCTACAACATCGACATCTTCATCGAAAGGCGAGGAATAAAAGCTAATACCTGACTTGCCCTTTGGTGGCGCTTTGCTGGAATAGGCAAAACTTGTCTCTGAATTTTGATCTTGAGCCGTCGCAAGCTTCCCATCTGCCGTCAAATGCCACTTTATGTAGTTTGTTCCAGGGACTGGCCATGTAATCTCCTTTCGCCAATACCATTTGCCGTATCCCACTCGAACCTGAATTCCGACCGGCTCTGGCTTTGTATATTCATTTCCCTTGAGGTGATGATCCAGAAACTGTAATATCTTTTTCGCTGCTTGCTTGCTAGGCCACGAGTAGTAATCGCAATCAATGAGCTGAAGGTGGGTATTCTCTGGGCTGCGCACTCTCCACGCTTCATACGCCGCACGCCCATGGATCATAAAAATTTGAGGAGCCGCAAGAAAACAAGGAACGTCAAGATGATTCATACTTTTTTGAGTCATTAGCCAAGCTGGATCGTGGAATGGATGTTCATTCATCAATTTGACAAGATCGACCTTGTCCGACCATTTGGGCGAGCATGCCTGAACGCGAGAATACCAGTCAGACAGATACTTAATTGCTGGGATGCCACCCGTATAAGCGGCTTCACGATAGGTATCAAGATCCGCTATCAATCAATGATGTCAGTGGTCAGCAGGTCAAATTCTCCAAAATGATCACTTACATGCGTAAGGTACGAAGCACTTAAGGCCCTTGGGTTTCATGGTGACAACATCCCATTGAGTATTCGCACCATACGAGCTTCCAACTAGAGCAATGCTCCCGTTACTCCAGCTTTGCTCCGTTGCCCATTCGACGGCATCAAAGAAGTCACTACTAAGCTGACCAGGCACATTCCTTGTGCCCGGAGTCTGAGATACACCTCTCGGATCAACTTTCACCATTGCATACCCGCGAGGCACGTAGGTAAATGTGTTAAATGTTGCAATATTCTCGAATCCTCTTTGTGATGCCCAGCTCTTACCCCAGGACTTTCTTGGAACTTGAATCTCCACATCGGTCGAAGTTGAATGCCATTCGTCCTCAGCCTTTTCGAAGGCAACAATTTCATCCTGGTCCTCCAAATCCGGACCAGAATAGAAGATGCGCCGACCGTAAATTGTGCAACTGATTAGCACTGGGTGATTTCCCCTGGGTGAAAGCGGAAGATAGACATCTGCCAGCACGAAGCTTCCATCCCGCGTTGGAATACTAATATCTCGCATCACTTTGAACCCGGCTCTATAACGTCGGAGATGGTTTCGAGTATGCGACACAGTTTTGGGATGGATTCCCAATTCATTGCAAATACCTGTGAGCGGTGCATCGAGGTCCAACAAATTTGAAGAATCCAGGTTGATTTGAGGAGCATATTTGTTACAAGTATCTCGAATCTTTTGTCATGAGAGCTCTAGTAAGTGACCGGGACAGTAAAACCCGCAAATGTCGGGGAAATTACCTTGCTATCAATATTTATCGGGGTCTCAAACCCTTGACCTGAGCTTAGGCTGAATAGAAGTCTTGCTCGATTGATCAATCTCGGGTCTAGGTGATCTGTTTCACCTGGCACGAGATCAACTATGGTAAGTAACGGTTTTCCCGTGGAATTCCCAATCGCAAGATCTCCAATGGAGAAGGTAATATTAAAATCGTCTTCGTAGAAGTAAGCGAAGTCTTTTGTCGTGGCCCCAACTTTGGTATTACAGCGATATGATAGTCCAACGACGTCGGAAAAGATGCCTTGTTTACTCATGATGTAGGAAGTCAGGACACGCAAGGACTTGTAAGAATATTGAAAGATTGATTCAAAGCACTGAAGTTTATCAAATATTGATATTTAAAATGTTGCGATGAGACTGGACCCTGCTCATTCTGCGAAATTTATCAACATCGCTGCGACTTTATATGCTTTCAAGTGCTGTCTTTCGTTCGGCATCTCGGACATTTTTCGTGCATAATAGCTAGGTTTATTATAGCCAGTGCTAGCGATTCTAAGTAATTCTAGGACTACACACTTCTCCATAGGTAATAACTAATATCGGCATTGTTGAGTGGGGCAGCCAATTGTAAAGCTCCTGGCGCAGCTTCCTGGCGAGCCGGCCACTCAGTGATGGGCTACCCCACACAGAAGTGGAATGTATTTGCCAGTTTTTCGCTAGGAGACTCCCGTGCTATCTTATGACAGTTGAACTCTAACAAAGAAAGCCCCCGATTGAACTCATGTGAACAATAAAGTACGAAATTATGGCTGCTTTCTGACTACAGACGCACAGACCTGCAGAGCGATTGCTAGATCTGACCCCCTCGGAATTTCGGGGTTTCACTGTGTTAAGGAAAGGTCCATCATAGAGGCATCAAAAAAATCCCGCATTTCGCCAGCAAAGAAGTTCGTTAGATCAACGCCTTCGGAGAATATAGGTTCGAAGGTCGGAGCACTAAGATCGTCATGCATTGCGGTAGCCATATTCTCGTCTACGTCCCCATGTGTCTGTGGTAGGTGCTGCATTAATTCAAATGATGCGTCCAGCTTGAAGCGCGGTATAATTAGGATGTTTTGTATCTCAAAATTTGGTGGTTCTTGTTTGAAACTCACCGGATATGATAGGTTGGAATGTGGTGCGTTGCCATCTCCAGTTTCTTGAGTTGTCGAGCAAGAGGGTGGCATGCTAGATTCAGCCGCCTCTGTTGGCCCTCCAGTTTCAAACTGCTTTATGTAGTCTCTGGCTATCTGCTCGAGGTCAGATAGAGCTGATGTTTGGAAAAGATCCTTCGAAGAGAGTTCCAATCGGCAGAAGTATCCACATGCCATGCCTATCAAGGCAAGATTGCTCTTCGTATCTGCATGTAGAGGATTGTGTATCAAAAAATCGAAAAGAAGGAAAACTGCCGAAAGTGGGACGGAAAGAATGATCCTTTTTAGCTGTAAGCTGTGATTTCTCACTCGTAAAATCAGGCTTTCGAATAACTGACCAAATCGGAGTGTAGCTTTCAACGTCAATGAATCGCGTCAGTTCGGTAATTGAGCGACAAGCACTTATAAGCTTCATTTCGCTCTTCAGTCGGCTGTCTTTCAAGTCTGGCGATAGGATATTCATCTTGAGTCGGATCAGGGCAATTGAAGCACTATAGTAATGAAAGGCAATCTTTATCTTCAATCCGATGGAAAGACTGTCCAGACCATCAGGTTGCAGAAAGATGTGTCCTGGTCGGTATTTCTCATCTATGGAGTCCTTCCAATTTTCGAGCTCTAGCTCGAGCTCCTCAATAGTCGCTACCATGATGTGAGACGGTAACAAAGTTGCGCTTATAGAGAAGACAGCAATTTGCGCTTTAGATAAAAGCCGACTAAAGCGACATAGCGCACGAAAGTAATCCCAGCCGTGGAATGCCGTCTCGGGGATTTGAGGAATGGGTGTGCTTATATTTGAATCGTTCAAGATCTGCCACTGTCGTTAGTGGAACATTTCCCCATCGTCAAATGAAAGTATATAGATACCGAATCTCTGCTACATGCAAAGCATTGCGTCTTTTCCAGTATGTATATGACCCAAAATGTCCTTCGGCACTGGTCTGTGTTCATATCTTCGTATACGGCCCGGTTTATCCCTAGTGCTTGAGCAATTCTCGCGACTTCAGTGGTGAGCAACTTCTCGATTTGAACGCACGACACATTGCGACAAAAAATAGCCTAGTCAAAGATCAGCGTGAGTGTTCGCGCTCGGAAAGTGGGTTTTGATTAACCATCGCAGTCAGTGCCTGCATGTGTTTTAGTAATGCGATGACATATATCAGAGTAAGATTCTTACTTGAGCATGAAGTAGTGTTTCCTTCGATGTGACTAATTCAGTAAATCGGCCGAGTGCTACTTGAAATAATCTCCAGGCTGTTCCATGCCCAGGTTGAAAGGACCCGCCGTCTCTGCGTTGGCAACCAAGTGCTAGCACAGTATGATATAAGGCTGAGAACGCTGGATTTTGCGCACAAAGTTCTGAGCACCGATCGTCGAAAGCGCTTTTCTCGAACTCATCTCGATGGAGGAAAGGATATATCGGATGCACAAATTTGAAATAGACTGGGAGCAGTGCGTCAATATAAGAGAATGCCCAAAATACAAGTCAAACGCACAGTCACAATAGGTGCGGATAGATTCTATGGTCACTCCAATCTGCATTGTGGTAGAGAAGTATCCAGAACTTGTTGCTGGGTTAGTGGAGCGAATATCACGTCTTGCTCTTGCACTCATCGAATCATCCAGGCGGTGAAACAACGCATGAAACCGTTTATGACCAAGGCGATTTGATATGGACAAGATCTTTTTATCGGAAAATATTGCTATATTCGAGCTCCCAACTGTGAAATTTACTTTAATACGGCCGTACTTACTGCTGGATCTAGGAAATTGAGCGCCAGGACGTACCGTAGTTGTCATGCGCCTGAGAAACAAAAAAAATCAGCCATTGATACTTAGAGGTATTTTCATATGCATATCAAACCTTCATTAAAGAGCTACAATTTTGGTTATTTCTGATTGTTATGTCGCTTTCGAGCAGACGGTCCACAAATAGATTTGGTGGTGTGGTGCCAGAGCTTGTCAGAGGCTGATCTTGGTTGAAGTTGTAAGGCGGTTGAATTTGAAAGCTCTCTACCGTTGTAGATGACTCTAAAAAATATTACACGAGTCATTATATGTCAGTAGGATGGGATATATTGATCCTAGGGCAACTATTCATTCAACTCACCCCTGATAGTTGATGGCCCTATAGAGCGATTAACGCCACTGGGTCTACCTCTTTTCTTCCTAGGACCAAAGTGACAGTGGATACCACGTTTCTGTATATTAAGTCAATGCGTAGGGCATTATTGATTGATTGGTCCTTTGGGGTCTCACTTTGCAGTTGTTACAAGATGAGGGGTCGGTGCCTGTGGACACAAGAAGCAGTCAATGATATGCAATTTAGTTGAGGAACAAAGTGGGCCAGTCTTACTTCGGCACTTCACCTTACGTATTTTGCATTCGTCGCAGGATTTTGAAATCTTAGCTTGATCCATTGTGTCTTGCATTCTTCCATGGCGATATCGGACAATTAAGAGGATGAAATCGCCGAGGGACAAATTTCGGGCATATCTCCGAACGGTTCGTGCACGTGATGTCAAATGCATTGTGCACTGTAGAATGCCGAAGTATTCGTTAACCTTGGATTTTGCCGTATTTTATAGAAGTATAAATATATGTCCTTTCTTTTACCTAGAAATCATGACATAAATTTTCCGGTATCCAGTCAACAACGTTCTGAGACCTGTTTTCAGGAATTCTGGTTGCTCTCCATCTATTCTCTATCTCGTATCTTGTAATTCTAATATTCGGTCCAACGTCTTCAAATTCATGCAGAGCACCTGATATAAATGGAATTCAATTTGAATATTTGGAGACGCCAAATGTGTAGCGAACGGCATATACTCGTCCCGAAAACTGACAAGATCCCCAACATCAATATACGCGGGAGGCAACCCCTCTGCACATCCAACACGCACAGGTGCCGCACAACAAGAGACATCATTAGTCCCAGTCGTATCTCCTATTAAATTCAACCCAGCAAGCAACTTTGTCGCTTGTATTGAATGTGGCAAAGGGCTTCACCGCCGCATCATCCCTGTGGTTACGATCATTGACTATTGGGTATATAAGGATTCACGTCGAGAGGAAGAAGCCATCGAATACCACGAGGACCCAAACATCACTCTGTGCGTCCTGATATTACAGAAATACTCAATTACCTGCTTGTTTCGTATGGTATCCTGGGTATACTCGGAACCCAGCGCAGTAACACGCTAGTCGGCGAGGTAGGAGATATTCAACACTCTCTGCCAGCCAGTCTAGTTATTAAGATATCATTATATTAAGCATCGCACCCTATTGGATCCCACCTTTTCAGGCCTACCGTATACCGCATCCTACCCGATTGGCACCATTTTCTGACCAGTGACAGTCAGTATATAGCCGCCAGTCCCCATTCCAAAATTACGTACTGCAGGCCACGTCAGCAGCAACCCATTTGAAGTGCTTTCAAATCAGGAATAGATAAATGCGGTCCGAATATTTTTGGTTAGAATGGATCCTTGCACTTGATAGACTAAGCTATTGCAATGTTGAATGCTCTCAGGATGACAGGGTTCCCCGCTCATTCGATATTTCGCCAGCCCCAGCTCGAGCAAAGTCAATAACGAGGATCAACTGGACGTCTCTCTGATGAATACAAACATCATGCTTAGTACGTCTTTTTCTATTTTCTCCCATATTAAGCTAAGTGTCTCGCACGAATTCATATAAAACGTACTGATAGCCCCAACTTATTGTGTGAGCCTCATATTTTCACGTCACGAGAATACATCGTATGTCCAAGTTGATATACTCCAATCATCGATACCGTTCTCCTGTGATCCATTTACACAGAGGATGCACAGGTGCTTGAGTTACCGAAATCTACTAATGTCTCGCATAGAGAAATCGCAAATAATACGGTGTCCCTTCTGCAAAGTTGATATATACCCAAGGAGCCCTTCATATATACTCTGGTATGTGACTATAAGTACATAGGCCTCCGTCAAACACTGATAAATTATCATTATATAGGAGGATTCTATAGTTTGGAAACCCCCTTCAAAAAATGCATCTCACTTCGACTTGTCTCCAGGTACGGGGATAGCCACGACTTCCACGCCCATTGGCACGAGTCGTAGCTCACCGGCTACGAGCTCACCGGCTACGAGCTCACCGGCTACGATTCCTACGTCCCTTGAGATTATTGCGATGCATTCCCATACTTGTCGTCCTTTTCATCAGGTCGTTCGCCGGTTTGCGTACGTGTCGTGTCGTGCCTTGCACAATCGCAGCCTCAGAATTGTTCCTCAGATGAGGCCAGAGGCGTGTGCGGTATTTTCGCTATTAGCCTACATCACTACGTTGTGCTTCTGAATATCCATTCATTGGGTGTAGAGGAACCGAAGAGACTATTGATGACGGCAGCGGAGCACTACGACATTCAAACAACGCAGGGGCTGTGCAATGTAACCCCAGATGGCTTAATTAAAGCGAGGCATCCAGAATATAGGGGAAACTGGTACTTTGTAGACATGCAGGATGAGTAGGATATCAGCATCGAATAAGGCGCACTGGTAGAAGGAAATCTAGAACATCCGTGCAAAATGACCACAATGCTGCTGTGGCATGTAGCACTCCAGGTACCCTGTTCTAGACAAGCGGTATTGCAAGCTCGGCGTCGGATGGAGCGGCATCTATGGTGGAAGGAAAGGGGCAGGGCGTCAGCATAAAAGCTAAGTCGCAACCATCGGTGGGGGCGAGACGGAGAGAAAGGGGGCGACGATAAGTGCAAGAGAGAGGAGTCGAATGGGGGGTAAGAGAGGGGAAAAAAGTCGAAAGAGGCACGGGAAGCTTTTATGCCGAAGTAACAGTCGGCGGAACATCCTACAAAGTAGTGTTTTTGGGGCGCTAAACCTGAAATGGTAAATAGTATTCACAGGTCCGGGCATTATATCATAAGTACAAGACCCAGGAAAAAAATCATCGATAATGACATTAGTCCAGCATATGTAGATGTGAGAGAGAAAAAAATCAACAGGGTATCTTCGCTACGATTGATAAGAAAAGGAGAGGGGAAAGCGCCGTTGATACAAACCCGAATCAGGTGTGATTTGCACCTTATTGGTACATTGAAACGACCGATTGAATGAAGGTGGATGATGTGGCTATGCCCGTTTCGCGCCCGTTTCGGGGTTTGATAACACTTAGCCCTCCCCTTTTCCTTCACACAGAATGTTCCGGGCAATTTGCAATTGATCCGAGAATTATGTCTTTGGCTCGAGTCTGTACTAAAAAGCATCGACTTTCACAGCATCTTGCATGCCGATTTTCTCGCCGGATGGTCTCTGGTAAAGTTTCCGTGTCTAGCATATCAAGAGTTTTCTTGCATGCAACATCATGTCCGAAAAAGTCTCATCGAGCCTGTTTTAAATCGAAATGATTGGTAGGGATGCGCTCACCGAACTTCGGGCGCAGCGGCAGCGAGAAGCTCCCCGTTGACCAAGGCTGCATCTGTTCGGCCGGCTTCATCGTTACCATCGGTGTTGATCTCAAATAACCGACGCCACCATGTAGGCGGGTCAAAAGGGCGATGTCCACCGTGCAAAGTCGGGTAGACGTCATTGAAATAGTACCAGATATGGCCAACGACGATGCCACAGATCTCATCCTTGGGCACCACCTGATGCATAATCACGCTGAAAGTCATAAGCACCCAAGGAAGGTATGGCGCGGTGAAGACTAGCATTCCTAGGAAGCTCAGTCGAGTTTCGGGATTTCTCCGAGCCCAAATATACACCAAGCTGGAGGACAAGGCCGTTCCCAGGAATGGAAGAGACAGATAAGGCGAGATTATGAGAAGCGAGGACATGGCGTAGAAGACCAACCAGGCGAAATTTGCCGGGGAGCGGCCGGAGGATTCCTCGAGCAGGCGCGAGTATCGCTGAAGAAAGAACACGTGGAATATTAGATCGAGATTCAACGGGCCGAAATAAAGAAAAGTGGTGAGAAGACGCCAGTATTGTGATTTCGCATATACAGCACGGAAGCTGTAAAAAAGCTGGAATGGAGTAACAACATGACACTGCACCAGTACCGATATCGCCACAGTGGCTACGGTCCACCACCGGGTCACTGGTGGCATCTCATAGAACCATTGTTCGAGAGGGAATTGGCCTAACTGTCCGTTGTTCTCCCAGAGAGCAGCCATGCTGAAGGAGGCGGTAGAGCAGATGGGAATGCGGTGGTGAGGAGACGGTGAGGGGAAACAGCGTGGAGGAGTCGCGGAAAGAGACCAGATCGACCGTATCTTATCGATCAGGTCCGTCACGTGCCGCGACACGACGCGTCTAAATCCACGAAAATCACGGGGCTGGGCGCTAGGGACGAAAGTGTTCATATTGATTCGGTCCCCAGCCCCCTTCAATCTTGCGCTTTCTCAATCTTTCTTCTCGCTTGTTGAAATTCGACCTCGTCTGTCAGGTATCCCCCTGCTGCACTCCCCTATAACAGCAGCTCCTGCAAGGGAAAACAATCGACCTGTCTGCAACGCGTCCGATTCCGCCGCATGAAAGCAATTACTGCAGAGCATCTTAACTGATTGCCTCATCCCGGGCGCCCCGCTATTTTTTGAATTAAATCTGCGGACACACAACTCTTGACCACCTTACAATGCCACCCAAAGCTTCCAAGGTGGCCAAGACAACCGGCCCTCGATCACAATCATCCAAGTTTACAGCTGCTGCAGGTTCACCGAGCAAAGCACGCAAGTCAACAGGAGGCAAGAAACCGGCTGGAAAGAGAACTTCAGATGTTCAACGTAAGTGATAAGCTAAATTAATGGCACTAGCCTATCATTGTCTTTTATTCAATCACCCTACGTGCCCTCATCGATGCCTTTTTGGACCCCATTTCTAACTACTCTCTCCGCCCATACAGCAGGTGACCCTACCCCTCAAGGTCGTCGCCGACGGTATAAGCCCGGCACTGTCGCGCTCAAGGAAATCCGACGCTACCAGCGCTCCTACGACCTGCTGATCGCAAAGCTGCCCTTTGCCCGGCTGGTCCGCGAAGTCGCCCTCGACTTGCTTCCCGCCGAAGTTGGCTCGCAGCTGCGGTGGCAGTCACATGCCATCCAAGCGCTACAAGAAGCCGCTGAAGCCTTTATGGTTCACCTGTTCGAAGACACTAACCTGTGCGCCATCCATGCGAAGCGCGTTACTATCATGCAGAAGGATATCCAGCTCGCGCGCAGGATCCGCGGGGTGTGGGGTGGCCTTGGCTGAGCACTTCGTATCTGCTATGAGGAACCATTCTTTTTTTTATTGACATACGATTCTGCTGGCTTTTAATCTCAGCCAGCGCCTCTTTTTTTCGTTGTACTCTCTACCCTGGCGGGTGGGAGTGCCTGGAGTTTACCGGCGTATTGATGGACATGGAGTTATTTTGTGATGGAGTGAGTCACGTGCTCTGTTCTAGTCTCGTCTTTTTTTGACTACGATACTGTTCGGTGCTGTGTTTTGTTCTCGAGGGTTTCTGGAGTCCTTGACTATACCAAGGAGTTGTACATTAGCATGGATGAAGGGTGTTTGTGATTTTATAGGCAGTGCAGCAGTTTTATGGATGCTTGCAGGGTGTCCTATTGACACGGCTTTAATCGATTCGAACTAAAGATCTGCTGTTTTCCCTCGATATCGCGCAAATATCTAACGAGTTTTAATATGACAAAATATTGTGCGCAAACTTGCCTGGCAAGCATAGCCATGATCTATCCAATCCTTGATTATGCCTGAGATCAACGTCGAGACTGTCCTATATTTTGCTATGGCCTACCGTTTCACCATCATGTCCACCAAGCTTGGCTTTAACTCGACTTGCAGATTATAATAGAAGCCCGAAGGAAGAGGTTACATGAAGCTTGATCCCATGAGGGTTTATTGATTGGATTCCGGTGTGCTAAAGTATATAGGAACTTGAAAAGCAGACATGTAAATAGATGGAAGCCGGCAGCCGACCGCACAAATTTGAAATTCTGAGAGCTTCATTTTTTTTTCATTTTATGCATTTAGAGTGTGTTGATTTCAAAATTAAATTGGATTAAATGATGCTAAAAGTCGGTACTTACAGTCAAAGTAGGCCAGTCCCTGATATCCGGGGGGTGGGAGGGATTGATTATCACAAGAACCAAGTCCATCGGATCAGAAGGCTCGAAATGGATGCAAATGATATTTGATCATAACAAAAATGCACACGCAAACATCATGTCTTTTTGGAAACAGCAAGGGGCCAATAGATCGCGAATCACAATTTGAAACATGGATATAGAGATAGATACTAAGGCCTGTGTCGGTATCATCAGATGGTCTGCTGAACCAACGCTATATTCAGCGAATAGATATTTTCATATGAGCAGCAGTATAAAATAGTCACACTATCATTACTAAATTTTATGGTATAGTACACCATGTCTTTCCCACACCTGTGGTTAAACCAAAAGAGCTATCCCCAAAGCAAACGCCTTCTCAATGTAAATATGAAATGGTATCATAAAACACGCGCCATCCAGAGTATAAAAATCATAACAGATCGGTATGAAAGCAACGCTAGCATACACCCCCACGACACCACTTGGGCTCCTATCAGTTTAAACAGACGATCCTCAGGTCGAACCTTTCAAGCCTGGCGGGAGCCCCTGAATGAGCCGTTGTCCTTCCTCTCGTACCCCACGAGCTTCTTCATTCTTGCCTTGGCGCTCAAGGGTGTCGGCCAGCATCTCATCAGTGACACTCGCCCAGAGGCGGTCATTAGCTCGTTTGGCCATTGCACGACCAGCGCGGGCGCTTTTTTCAGCTTGTTCCCCAACCACTCCACGGAAGTACTTCCAGCTCATGAAAGTGAGCGTCATGCATGTAATCTGGCTGTTGCTTATAGCGGTAGCCGACTGCAGCGCTTGCTGTAGAAACTGCTTGGTCTGGAGGGTCGAATCCGTTTGCACTGTAGCGCAAACCAAGAAGTATGCTGCCTGGATGTACTTGTTCGGGCTGTTCTGGCAGAACGAGTCTAGGAGAGTTTGAATTACCGGGAGATGGGAGTGCGACGGGTGTGCTGGGTCTCGGATGATGAGAACAGAGTTGAGCGCTGCCAGAATACAGGTGTCGCGACAGGGGTCATTTCGTGAAGTCTTACTAGCTGATGGCGAGAGCGACAGCAAGGGCGATTGAAAGATTTTGAGGGCGCCAGCTAGATCACCAGTGGCTTGGGCAATGGTCCCAGCAGCATACTCCATCAAACATTCCACGGACTTTGGAAGGTTAGGTCCGATCTTCCGGGTGACTTGCCTCAGCTCATTCAAACTGTGACTGGCTGGTTCCCAGTCTGTTCGTGCACAGGCTAGGAAGACACGCTGTAAAAGAAAATTGCAATAAAGGGACCGACGCCATTCAACGCGTCGTAACGCATTCACCATCGACTCTGGAATCTCTTGTGGGGCCGTGAAATCACCTTTATAAAAGAAAATATTAGAGACAGTAGTGAGAGGCAGATCAAATATCGCACTCACCTTGAATCATTCGAAGCCCCTCGTCGAGATACTTTTCTGCTTTTCGGCCATCATATGAGTTCTTTGCACTCAACGTAATGGAGCTCAAGAAGTAGGAAAGGGCATAGAGGTCATGCTGAGGAAGCCAATTGAAACTCAGGAGCAGGGTGCCGTTATGAACTTGAAGGATGTCCCCTGTGTCAATAGATGATGGCCCTGCGGACTTGCCATTAAGAGGAACACAGAATGAGCCATCGGCTTGCCAGCTAGGGTCGTTCAAAGTCTCATCCACCAGGGCCTGCATAACCTTAAGCTTTTGAGAAGACTGGTTGACATCATACTCCAGCAGGCTACAGCAAATATCGACTATCTGGATTAAAGTCACCAGCTGTGGAATATGACGAAGCGAATCAGTCAATTGATGGCTTCGTGCAACAGCTACCGCACGCTGGGCTTGTTCGATGGCATCCGATCCCGTCCCCTGTTGTAAATGGGCCAAGGCTTCGATCACGGCTGCCATGGCAGAGACGGCCTTGTCGCCATTGCGACTAGCCATCGCTGAGATCTTGTTCAGGTGCTGGACAGCTTGCACCGAGTCTTGATGGGAAGGAGAGGAGAGCGAAAGTGTCACTCGAAGAAACCGAAATGCATACTCCCAAGCTGCATGGCGATATGCTTCCACATCCTGGATCATACCATCAACAGCTTTCAAAGAAGCCTTGGGCTTGCTTTTGTGAAGCATACGTGCCAAGAGATGCTGCATACTGTACTTTAGATCTAACATTCGGTGTCTTTCACAAAGGTCAATGCCCTTGCTCAGAGCTGTCTCTGCCACGATATCATTATCCGTTTCCTCGAACAATGTACGCGCATAACGAAGACGGACCAGCGCTTCCTTGCGAGGCTGCAGTCTCCAGTTCTTCAAGACTGCCTCTAAGCAGCCGAGCCCGGTAGCGATTAATTTATAATATTCTTCGACGTCTGCTTGGTTGGTGGCCAAAGCCATCATTGTTCCATGGCGATGGGCAGTATTGAGGTACTCGTCGGCCAACGACAGCAGTAAGACTTGGTAGTCTACCGGAGGCTTGTTTGGCTTAGCAGGCTTCTCGGCAATCTGTTGACTAGGTTGTTTCTTCTGCTGTTGCTTTTTTGAAGATTGTTTTTGTGCACTGGTATGAGACTCCTGAGGCAGAACTGATATCATGACTTGCGGCGTAATGCTATTTACAGAGGACTGAAGAGGCTGAGGTCGTATTGGCGGTGTCACTTTGGGGGTGGGCAGGGCCCGCTGCACCTCTGCCTGAGCCATGGGTCTTGGTTTTGAGGATTCAGACTTGACTATAGGCTTAGGCGGCTGCGGAGGTTGCACTTGAATATTTGATTGCATTTGACTTTCAGCCGCTTTTTGCTCGGTAGTGACTGGAGGAGCAGTCTGAGCCGATGCCGAGAGAGCTGGAGGAGGGGTTGAAGAAGAAATAGACGGAATTGGAGGCAGACTGCTAGAAGTTGAGTTCGAGAGATCGCTTGGGTCGACATATTGCGAACTCAAGGAATATCGAGCCCGAGGGGCGGTAGGGAGAGGGGGCTGCACAAAAAGCTCGGCTGGGTTTATGAACTGCTGCTGTGGCTCATCAGGTGGTAAGGATGCGGGAGGACCAGGCTGGACTGGCGGTGGCCGCGGTTGGGGAGGCTGAACCACTTGAGTTTTGAAAGTAGGGGACTGGGGAAGCGGTGGCGGCCGCGGTTGCTGTTGTTGTAGTTGCAGTTCTAGTTGAGCCTGCGGCTGCGGTTGAATCTGTGCCAATTTTTGAGCCTGCGGCTCCAGTTGAGCACGCGGTTGCGGTTGCGGTTGGGGAAGCTGTTGAGGACGAGGGGAATGGTGCTGGAGATGAATACGAGGTGACTGTTGTTGGAATTGGGTACGAGGGGACTGTTGCTGGATTTGAATTCGCGGGGATTGCTGCTGAAGCTGAGGGCGCGGAGATTGTTGTTGTACTTGTTGCATCTGAAGCCGGGGAGACTGTTGCAATAGCTGAGGACGGGGTGACTGCTGCAGTAGCTGAGGACGAGGTGACTGCTGTTGGGGTTGATGGTGCGGGGATTGATGCGGCTGGATGATGGGCGACTGTCGTGGTTGCGACAAAGGAGGATGTGGTGGCTGAGAGAAAGCGGGATGCTGTGGTTGACCAAGTTGCTGAGGGTGGATGAGGGGCGGTGGTTGAAGACTCGGCGGCGGCGGCTGCGGCATCTGATGTTGGAACTGCTGGTTATACATCGGATATGGCTGTTGCTGCGGCATCATACCCGGTGGATAGCCTGCAGGCTTGCCGTAGCTATTGTACGGCGATGGCGAAGGGGGCGCGACATTGTTGTACAACAACCCTGGCGGGGCGACATGACCAGCCTGGTAGGTGGGAGGAGGAAAATACTGAGGGTATTGCCCAGGATTTGGAGGTGGAAAGCTCATCTCCCCGACATACACTCATCCAAGCTGGAAAGCGCTGTGATCCCCTGAGATTCTCGCGATGTTGAAGCGCCTGGCGGTCCGGCGTCCGATTCGGGGCGGAGAAACTCGCGGCGGTCAGCTGATAGAGCTGATTGGCGATAAGCGGCTGCGATAAGTCGAGGCATCATGCATCATTAGATCTATACGGGAGACTTGGCACTGGAACTGTTTTACTTCAGACTTGTATTCGACTCTATACATCTCGACAAAAGGAAAATAAAGAGTTCTAATTCAGAACGATAACAATATGAGAAATAACAGAATGTGACCAGTATAACTCCCCAACCCTCGATGGTACTCGCTTTGAACGCCACGTAAAATGAAAGACAAGAGAGATTATATCACCTCTACAACATGCGGATCGACGAGTATAACGAACTGATAGATTGGTTGTTCATGGCAGGTTGAATGATTTCTTCGCCTATAGAAGGTGCAAATGTGAGGGGTGGATGTTCACGTACAGTCCAAGGGCAGAGCTCATTGCAATTCTCGACCCCAATGGAAGGCTCTGCCGGATGGATTCTCTGAGCACCCCAAGCAGCGTCAGGAACAGGGTCTGTGCTCCCGAGGCACCGCTGAGTCCAAAAGAAATATGTCGCTTTTCCAGATTCTTCGGAACGGAATGGCTGTTTTCGGGGACATTTCAGGGTCGTATTGCATGCACCGCAGACTGAGATGCGGCGACAGGATGTGCAGAAAGAGTCGAGCATGCGACATATGGTAGTTTGGTAGACACTTGAAAGCCATAGATCTACCGATCGATGCGCACATCCAAAGCGAGGAGTCATGAACTCCTCCTTGCCTACCTGGCCCGACTCTGTCGTGAGTTGATATTCGGTCCGAATGATTAACTGATCCGCTTCGTCGAGTTCGGGAAACAGTGACACCTTCAATTCAGTGGGTCCATATTGCTCAATACATGAATGCCAGCAGTAACGGTCCCCAACATGATCACCGAATTGTGTCTTCAAGGCGTTCACGGAGATCTTTCGGATGCGAAGATGGTTTACCAGCTCCATCTTATCTCGGAACGTCAACTTCTTGCATGGACAAAGATCAACGATTCCTGCGAGTTCGCCAACATTGCAACTTCGGTTCTCTGACTTGCGTCTTAGTTCCCGGGAGGTGAAGGCGGCACGGGGATGCAGTTTCAGGCACTTGGAGCACGCCCGCCAGCGGCTATTCTCGAGGAGGTTGATAAATTGCCATCGCGGGGTGACATAGTTGTGTCCATTGCGGTAATGATGGAAAAGGGGAGCAAAATCCCGGCCGAAGCGGAGGGATTTGGACGACAGAATTTCTCCGGATATCGTGAACATGCGTTTGCACGTTAGCGCAAGGGAAGCCTCCGGGATCACGGTCAGATGAGACACAATCTCCAATAGTAACTCGGTGGGCAGTTCCAGGAGATGGCACCGGCCCGATTCCTCCTTCGACTGCTTTCGCGAACGGGTCGGTGACCAGGATTTCATTTTTATAACGGTCTTCAACTTTTCGGAGGCTCGAAATAAGCGCTCTGGCATGTTGGGCGGGGGTTCCTTTAAAGCCATGGAGACCATGGAGAGCGCATGCAGATTTTGCTCTTTGTGTCGAAAACGCAGTACTTTCAGAGCTCTTTTATGATCAGGCCGCATGAGTAGACTGATGACTTAGAATGTGGAACGGTTGGCGATAGACTGTCGATGCTGAACAATCATATTGCAGTCAAGGCGCAGTACATCGTGTGACGAGCATGAGGCAGCACCATCGAGAGAAGAAAAGAAAGAAAGAAACCCAAATGAGGGGGATCTGTTGACCTTGAAGTAGGGCTTGACAGATGATAAAGTTGCACGCAAACGGACCATGGGATTGGATCACCGTGGGTTGTTGGCTATGTTATCAGCATTACATATAGGGCTTGCTGACTATCCGATCATCACAGGGGCAATCCCGTTCTTTGTCCGCTGATCCCGATGCAGCCAGTCTCTGTTGGGTCTTCTCTCTCCAAGCAGCCGTATAAGACTGCGGGGAATTTCATGGCAGACAATCCCTATTGTCAAGCCGCCGGACGGGGAGTCCATCACCAGCGTTGCCGCCGAAAGCTATTCGGCGCTTCCGCATGCGGCAATCAGATTGCCGCTTCAAGCATCATCGCATCATCACTCTCATATTTTTAGCAGGAAAAATGCCCGAGTCTCCCTCCATCCCAGCCCTAGGGTGTTTTCGGCATCAGATCCCCGGACTCCCATGATGACTGTGTCAACTGACCTCCAAACCCGTTCGGCAGCGCCCGTGACTGCACCGCATGGGTTGCGTGGACGCTTGGACCCCCTCGATCGGAGATGGAGGGGATGACTAATGATCAATGCGGGCATAAAATCATTAACCAGTTATGCGCTTAACCCCTGTGCTGACTCATCTTTCTTCAGCATCACGTGGAAACAAAGCTGAAGAATTCTAAATTTACTCTTAGATAAGATGCCCCGCTTAGTCATTCTCTCTTATGCCGAGGTCCCCTCTTTATCAAGGCTTTTTTCGTTGGGCTCCCAGGCAGTTGTGCCATAGGAAAGTCCTTTGTTGCTCTTTGCGCAAATAGACGCGGTTGCATAGCTTGCTTGCATTTATAGAAGACCGCTCTCATGTCGGAAGCGTCAGCTTTGCTCAGTTCATTTCCTACTTTGGCCCTCTTATCGGGCTTACTCGCGATGGGGCTGTTGTCATGGATTCGCCCACGAGGACGCATCGTGTTCTACCACGCTCGAGACAATCAACTCCTCTTGAAAAAGGCATCGTTAAAATCTGGCGTGAAAGAGCAGACGACGCTGGTCGACGTTTGCCGCGAGGCCACTCCTGATGCCTGCCACCTCAACCCGCTCTTGTTCAATGGCCATTTGCAGACTATGTGGACAACGTTCAAGCATGATACTGTTCCCATTTACTATAAACGAAAGATTTTTCAGACAGAAGGGCCGACGGTTCCCGGTCAGTATGCAATAGACTTTGTGGTCAGACCTTACGACATGCCCCCTGAGGGTGACCTCACCGACCAAGCGAGAAAATATACGCAGCCTTCGGGCCTTCCGCCTCGGACATCTTTCTATTCCCAGGAAGAGTTTGCTGGTCTTCCTTCCGATGATACAAAACCAATGCTTGTTGCTCTCCATGGTCTAAGTGGCGGTTCCCATGAACTCTACTTGCGGCATGTGCTTTTTCCCTTGGTGGCAGACGGCGGATGGGAGGCATGCGTGGTTAACTCAAGGGGATGTGCCCAAACCAAAATCAGCACTCCGGTTTTATACAATGCACGTGCAACATGGGATGTTCGTGAGGCCGTTAAATGGCTTAGAAAAAACTTCCCTAACCGACCTCTGTTTGGCATTGGCTTCTCCCTTGGTGCCAACATTCTCGCCAACGTATGTTTCGAAACCCAGGTCATCAAACAAACATTTCATTGGATACCTTTATACTAATCTTATTAATTTAGTATCTTGGGGAAGAAGGTGATTCTTGCCAGCTGAAGGCCGCCGTCATCTGCGCCAGTCCGTGGAACTTGGATGTGAGCTCTGCAAGCTTGCAGCGGACCTGGCTTGGGAAGGAGGTATATAGTAGGACTATGGGAAATAGCATGAAGAGCCTTTTTGAGTCGTGCGTCATTACCTTATCTTGGCAAAGAACCGTTCGGGCTAACAAATGGTTAGACATGCTGAGCAAATCGCCAAGAATCCCGGCATTAAGGCCGAAGAAGTGAGACGCATCACCTACCTGCACGAGTTTGATAGGGCGTTTCAATGTCCTGCCTGGGGCTATCCTAGTGAAGGTGCATATTACCGTGACGCAGCATCTACAGACCCTATGCTCTCTATTCGAATCCCATTCTTCACTATTCAAGCCGAAGATGATCCGGTAAGCTATCAAACTCCCTCCCCACCCCCCTCTTCTTTCTTGACTGGTGCTGACATAGACTAGATCGCCTCCCGTGATTGCTTACCTTTTCAAGAAATAACCCAGAACCCATATGGAGTTATGATGACTACGTCTTGGGGTGGCCACCTGGGTTGGTTTGAGTTTGGAGGGTCGAGATGGTTTGTGAAACCGGTAAGTTGCTATTAGCCCAACGATAACGTGACTGAGATTTGTTGATATCGATGTTAACAATCTATTTTTCTTATCAAGGTCACGAATTTCTTGAACACAATGGCCCAGGAAATTGACACCGAGGTTCCCGGCGTGGTTGAGCACCCAGAGAGACTTTTTGAACAGATAACCAGCAACCCTGAAGCTGGAAAGAACCCTGATATGACCTCCAAGCCTAAGTTTACTCCTGCTCTTCGCAGGCTTGACATGAACCTGTCTTGTTGAGTTTATTACCATTGTGCGATCTATTTCCGCATTATAGCAATTTCGGGGCATTGGATTTCCATTGAATAGCATTTATAGAGGAGGTGTTAGACTTGATTTTAATCTACGGGTGTTTTTCGGTTCAAAATCATAGGTTGTCTCACATCTTAGCCTGGACCTTAAGTAAACTTTACTTCTTAACATCATCAACAAAGCGCTGTTCACTATGCTTCGGATCTGAGATACAGAATAACACCGGTGGAACGCCAAATCCCGTCTAAGTACATAAATATGGTATAGTCGACAAAAAATCATATCCCACTTTTCTTTTTTTTTGTGTTGTTCATGCAAAGGAGACACTCTTGCGCTTGCCCTTAGCTGACTTCGATGTTCCGTTTGCTGAAGCCTTAGAGGCAGTTGGCTCGGTCGCTTTGTCACCACCAATCTTGCCCTTCTTCTTATTCCGGATGGAATCCTTGACTGCTTCCAACTTGGACTTCTTCTGTGCATGACGAGCTTCAGCTTCAGCCTTTTTAGCCTCTCGGATCTCCTCCAATTGACGTGCTTTCATCATCTTTGACTCAATCTGGCCCTCCTTTTCAGCGTTAACCATGGCAAGGATAGTCATCATACCTTCCTATATTAAGAAAAATAAATTGTTAGTGAAATTCTCCATTTTCAGGTTGCGCATATGGGAGATAAAGTAAGTGTACCTGGTCGTCCACGAAAGTTTTTCCCTTTTTTTTGCCCTTGGGCTTCACAACTCCAACAGGTGTGATCGTATTCAACTTAGGCAGGTCCAGCTCAGCCTCAGTATAGACTCGCTTCTTCTTCTTCGCCAAATTCTCTGGGGCGGTCCGCGCTTTTGACTTGACTTCTTGTGGCGGGGGACGCTTGACGTTCTTCTTGCTGGACTTGCTCACACGCGTAGCAGATGAGAGTGTCGAAGACTTGGACCCTTTAGCGCCACCCCCAGAGGAGGAGCCCTTGGACGACCCTTTGGTAGGTGCCATTCTGGATTGCGCAGTTTAGAATCAATGATGACCAGTTCGGTGATTGAATTGCACGTATTATACGACCAAAGTTTAGTGGAACAGGGCGTAACCCAATGAGTACCACGTAGCCGATAGAGCCCTTTGAAAAACAGGGATTTGGGACGTAATAGGAATAATGGAAATTGTCTGAAGGAACAGAAGCTTGCGACTCGACGGCGCCATCAAAATTGCGAAAGAAATTTTGGATCAGGAAGGCGGTGAGGCGGGCCCTTTCCACCACCCAACAACCTCATCATGAAACCTCCTCCACCGGAGCTGGCCAGCGACCAATTCTCACGTTCCTTTCCTCCTCTCAGAGATTGAATCGCACCGGACCGAGGGGAAACAAAGCAAGTTGCCATAATGACCATCAACCCCACCTACCTTGCGCAGCGGACGCGTGCCTGTATGTCCCCGTCCCTTCCACCACCACCACCACCACCACCACCCCGAGGCCTCCCGGCTCTCTGTTGGATGTGTCCAGCAATTTAAGCTACAGGGGCTGGGTGATAGGGCTAACATGGGTGGTTTTCTCTAGCTGTCAACTTCAGCGATGCCAAGATCCGTGTCCTCAAGTCCTACCGAGAGTGGCTCCGTGCGGTAAGTTCACCCTGCGATCATCCAGACCTATTTCCTTGCCCTTTCCGCGACAGGCGGTACCTTGAGGGTTGTTTAGGTTCATCCAGGGAAAAGATTCCCATAATTCGTTTTACTCGGTGCAAACCGTCATTCTATTGAGTCGAATCGGAAACTTAGGCTAACGTGTGATATTTATCAATCACAGTCCCCGGAGATCCAGACCATGTACTCTCTGAACATGCCCGTGTCCGCCATCCGCACCAAGATCCGCCAGGAGTTTGAGAAGCACCGCTATGTGAGCCAATTGAGTGTCGTGGACGTTCTCCTCTTCCGGAGCCATGCCGAGTTCCAGGAAACCCTCAACTATTGGAAGCAGTTGTCCCACGTCATGAAGTACTTCCGGCCAGAGGAGGACCCTGGTGCGCGCTTGCCCCGCAACTTTGTCTCCGGCTTTCTTGAGGGCCGCAATTGAAAAGAATTTTATCGATACCTCATCAACTACTTTTTATTCTTTTTCCTCTATCGGCCGTCCGTGGTATGTCAGTCGGTGGAACTGCATCATCAAGCGACGTGATATGTATATATTGTCTGAGTAGATCGAATCATCCTCGATTATGTTTTTCATCTAGACCCGAGCCAATGTATCGGACGTTCAGTTCCTCTTATACCCTTTTACAACGGACCCACATGTTGCTCTCTAGTGAGATCTCGGGGGAAGTTGTAAGCCAATCAAGCGACACAGAAACATAAGCAACATGGTGCAATCCATCTTAGGAGAGAAATATCAGTGTGACATAGATGAAAATATGAGCAGCAAAAATCCAAATCTGAAATCTTTTCTGTATAACAAAAGAGAAAAGAGACCGAAGGGAGCACCTCTATTCTCGCACGAGATGGATTTGTAATTAATAGATCCAAGCTGCTTGGCAATTTTTTAATCAACTTAGAATATGACTTTTTCGAATGCCTCTTGTAAACCTCTTGCTCTCAGCCATGCTTCCAAGGCCTGCATATCACCACGGTTGGCCCGCTGGCCACCTCTTTCACCAAGGGAGTCCGTTATTTCTTCCATCCCTGAAAAAACCCTCTGAATACTTTCCGTTTCTCTGAATCTCTCACTGACCTTCTTCTGATGACTCGGGATGTCTCCCCAGGAATGGGTTTTAATAAAACTCATGTAGGCATCAATATCCGAAGAGACTCCCTCAAGACAGAGTACACCTGGCTTGCCCGCTAAAACAAAACCCGTCAAAGAATGTTCCGGCGCTAGGTTGACCATATCATTTCTCTTCTTCCGAGTTGAAAGGGAAGGGAAATAAAACCAGACTCTAACAATTGACTTGGCAGAGCTGGATTCTGAGCTTGTCTCCGCCGCTGGTGCTTGGGAGTGCTTGTTTTCAAGAAAGCGACTTGCTCCGGCTTGGATATATTCGAATGCCTCCAGGACATCTTCTTGTGGTATTGAGGCTGCAAGTTCAGACATTTCGGCTTTCGACATCCAGGCCGGTTGCCGAAGTGAGTAGCTTAATGAGGGTGGCTGGTCAATGGTCTCCGGGTCCTCACACTGAAGTGGGACGGAAATATTGACTTGAATTTTCTTTTGGCCATCCTGAATCGGTAGGAAAACAGCGAAAAATACGCTTGAAGGTACTGTTGGAGCTGGAGAATTTGGATCCTGGCACCAGTCTTGAAGTCTCTTGACGCATTCTGTTGTTGAATCAGAAATTTCCAACTCTCCTGGGTGTAGGAACATCGCCGCGAGGAGATCAATTGTTGACAATTGAGCCTCAAGCATGTCTATTGGCAGCATCTTGAACTTTTGAGAGGCCATTTCAATAACAGGTATATAGAGCTGGGCAATGGCAAGAAGCAAGTAAACAGCCCAAATAATTTCAGTTCTTGGGGCCAATGAGAGTTGATCGGAGTCACGGAAGTTTTGACGAGCGTGGTCTTAAGTTACTGGCTGGCGTAAAAGGGGTATTATTAGATTGTCGAATTGCACCTGGTAGCTGTACTGCTACACTGTTCATGTCAATGGAAGGCCTGACAGATTTAATCTTGTGAGCCCCAGTTTCTTTTTTGAGGGCGCGGCGGAGTGATCACCACGCCCCACCGCTTTGGGTAACGATTGGCCTGCTGGCGATATTTAGCCGATGACTGAGCATATTCCTCGCGATATATCACGAACGTCGCTCACGCTACACGGAGTCAATCAAGTTGGGCAAGGTTCATCATTGCGTCAGATCTAACTACTATCGCAAGTTTCGTTATTTAGAATTACCAAGTCTGCCTTTCAAAGTACCCAAAGGGGATTGCCACGTATTCTCTTTCTTCCAAATCATGACAACGGCCGCTCCATCTCTCGCTTTGCTTCTGACTTACCCCATTTTGAGAACTATCAGGCATCTGATATGAGACTTTTGGTGGGAAATTGCGGTGGTCACCACAGTTTCACACTGAAACCTTCTGAAGGGAGAATTTATGTACAGTTCTAGACCCTGGAACACTCATGGGTGAGGAATTGTTATTCGAAGAACAAGAGTCGTATTCATCGACTTCCTAATTTTTTCCGTTCACATTATTCAATCGACAATCGCTGATCTGGGAAATATGAGACTTTTGCGCGATCTGATAGAGTTTCAAACTGGTATGCATCTTGCTCGGATCTTTTTGCGTCGAGGACCGACTTCAAGCCACAATTGAAATTAGACAAACACAGAACTGCACATAGGAGCGTGAAGACCATGAGTATCAGTGCAATGAAAGCAAATAATAACATCATATTTTTGCCCGCCGTCTTTGCCAGGAACCCATGTCCATATAGGATAACGATTCGACTCAACAAGTAAGCAATGATTGCAGTATGACATAGCTGTTTCGAAGGTAGGTATTAGAAAGTCAATTTACACTAGATATGGAATACAAAAATGAGCTCACTATTATCATGACCATTGCTATTTTGTTTTCCCTTCGGACAAAATAGATGGCTAAAATCATCATAAGGAATGAAGCCAGCAAGAGGCCTAGTGTCAAGCCGAATTCTGGCTCTTGAAAGTGGACATCAATGAGATCGTATTGGATCACAAATCCTGTGATAAAGTAGAGGTCAAGTTTTATAAGAACAAGGTATACCTGGTTGAGGTTAAAGATGTTCAGGCTAGGAAAGCGGTCATTATTCATACCTCATAAGCCAAATATCGATATTTCATCCCTATATCACCTCGAATACTTCGGTAAATGGCCCAAGCATATTCTTTGTGTAGTTGATAAGCGCAAGGCCAAATGACCAAAGTACAAAGCCCAAAAACGATTGGACATGTCCACTGAGCGGGTCGAATTCGGTGCCAAAAGTCCACATCCAACTTGACTAGAGGATGGTACTCGTCATCCCGTTCACAAGGCAAGTCGGAAACAACCTCTTTCATCGCTTGGATCTGCAGCCCCGAGAATACAAGGATGCAAACATTCGCAATGCATATTGCGAAGATCAATAGGTTATTTTTGTGATGCACAGCGTCGACAGCAAGAACGAGTTCATAAACACAAGTAAAGATAAAAATGGCCAGATTGATTGGCACGCTGTAAGAGACTGTCACTTGGATGATATTAGGGCGAACCCATAATTGCCATTCGACCAATATAAATCTAATTAGTGGTCAGAAACGATACTATGCTATATCAATCTTGTAGATGAGATACTCAACCTACATTTCTAATGCAATAATAATGGCAGCTTGTATGAGTAAGATGCCACAAAAGAGCCACTCGTTTCTTGTGGCTGGTCTATACATGATTCTTTTTTCGATTATCAAACGTTGCACGGGGGAAGTTTCGAGGTCGATTCACAGAGCTAGAAAAAAGACATAAGAAAAGTTTGAACTGGCTGAAAACAACTCTGATTTAACACGACGACAAATAAAAACTGTTAAACGCATGAGGGACAAAAAAATCTGAATTTGAAATCCCCTACGAACGTTTTTTCTACAACAGGTGGAAGAATGGGTGGACCCTTGTGGGGGCTCAAGATTGTGGTTCTTAAAAAGGTTGAGCAAGATCTTTAAAGGGCCGAAGCTTCACCGACACAGGAATTGTACCCGAAAAGGAGAACAACCCGATTTGGGTCCACCGAATGAAGATACGAGAAAATCAATTTAATGGATTCGAGCCAGGGGAAGATATTTCATCGGGCCATTATTCACATTCGTAGGCTCATATTAAAAGAGCTTTTTCATGTTGATTTATTGAATATTTTCTGTGAGATTCACAATCATCTTTGCCGCGGATTCAAAATCCGATTCCACATGTACATTCTCCAACCCCGATTGTAAAATCTAAGGGCATGAGTGATAAGTCCGTGGAGGTATGATAGAGATAGAATTAGAGACTCACAAGTTTCAGGCCCTTCTCGGAGTTGGTACCCTGAAGGCGAACTACTATTGGCACGTTAAAACCCCCAGTAGCGGCGGCAGCGGCTATTATGGACTCGGCAATCATATCACATCGTACAATACCTCATACCTTCTTAGTCGATCGATACCTTTGATTCACAGTTCTAATTGAAAACTTACCACCGTAGATGTTAATGAGTATACCTTGAATTCGCGGATCACGGTTGAGAATCTCGAATGCCTTTGACAGGGTCGTTTTTGTTGCAGCGCCCCCAATATCGAGAAAATTAGCACAATTTCCTCCATGCAGGCTGATAAGATCATTGGTAGCCATCGCTAACCCGGCACCGTTCACGATGTTCCCGATTTTGCCATCAAGGCGTACGTAAGAGAGGCCCAGCTTGGAAGCTTCGTACTCCTCCTCTTCATCCGGCAGGCGCTCTTCGAGGCTAAATATTTCAGGCTGTCGGAATCTCGCAGAATTATCGAAATTGAACTTGGCATCCAGGCAGACAAAATGACCGTCAGATGTGCGCACAATCGGATTCAACTCAATTAGTGTAGCATCTTTTTCCTCAAATAGCCTGACCATTTGGTGAAGGATGTGTCCTATGACTGACATTTCAGTATCAGAGAAGCCTAACTGTGCTTGGACATAAGCTATAATCTCAGGGGTGATTCCGTGGGATAAATGGAACCAATAACGTTGAAGCTTGTCCGTGTTGGATTCGATGTCAACGCCACCAACATCGGATATTAGTAGGACAGGCATGGAGCGTTCGCGATCGAATGTGAGGGCAACGTAATATTCCTGCGCTACATCTACAGCTTTGTAGATATATAGCTTCTTCACAAGGAGACCACCAATTGGGGTTTGCTTTGTCGTCAGATAATAGCCAAGCATATTTGATGCATTTTCGAAAGCTTCAATGGGCCTATAGGAATGTTAAATTGTCTCAATCACTTTTTCTTAAGACTCACGATGTCATTATTCTCACTCCTCCTTTGCCATCGCTTTCGTAGCTTCCTTTACCCCGCCCGCCGGCGAGGACTTGTGCCTTGACAACTGATGGCGCATCTGGTCGAGGTCAAATTCAGAACAATTGATTGGCAACTCGTCTTGAAGGTGAAGTCACAACATACCGATTGTTGAAACTACTTCTCTAGCTTCTTCTGGAGTAGTCACAACAAATCCATTTGGAACCGGAATGTTAAACTGAGCAATGTAAGATTAGGAGCTCGAAAGCTCGAGTGATGGCTCTAAACACAGCTCATACATCCTTGAGGAGCTTATGTGAATGATGCTCCAGGAGACTCAGTTGTCGCACTTGCTTTTTGAACAAGCCACAGCTCTGTATGATGATTAGTGTGGGTTATTCTTCGTTTAGTCCCACGTACGGAAGGGAATGTTCATACAGGCCGAAGAAGACGTGTAGAGATATTCCGGATAGTCATTAGAAAAGAGATATATATATTTCTCGTTCAAGTTCGATGAAAATTGACGTCGCTATCGAAATTTCTAACTGCGGGGTAGGTAGGACATTGTAAATATGGGGTTAGCGTTTGCCTTTGTCCGATGACATCAACACTGTGGCCATTTTTCTGATGAGAATGTCAGGTTGAGGTTACGATCAAAGCTTAAATACGAAATCTGGGGGGAGTAGGTTTAATTGTCCGGAAAGAGCTATACTAAAGCGGCAGCGCCATGGCAACCCACGGGCCGGATACACGCGGATATTAGAGGCGAAATTCGAGTCGCGCTGAAATACATCCAATGGCCCATATCATTAGAACATGATTGTCAAATTAGTGAGAATAGGCAATAACGACGTGAATTCACTACAAATCTCTACTAATAGGGTTTGAAAAGGGTCTATTGCCCATTATTAACCAGGGGAGATATTTGAATAAGATAACGTAAAGTAGTCTTTATATCTCCGATAGGGAGGGATTATTACTCCTACATCCTCTGTAAGAGACCGTTCTCCATCGTTGTGTGTAGTGGTTTGTTGGCTTGTTCGTTGATCCATCTCATCCCGCCTACTTGTCAGGCTTGGCGTAGACTGCCATGGTTTAGTTAGATAGATCGTTCCCGGTTTCAACCTCCTCCATTGAGCGAGCAAAAATTTGAAGCGCATCACAAAATACATGCATCATCTCGAAAACATGTGTTCCTTTCAAGGTATCAGAGAGTAATCGGACCAATATTATTCTCATGCTGAGCAGATGGCTGCTTCTCACTGGCTCTGCTTGATGAGGAGGTGAAATCAAATCTGCTTCATATAGGACACTAGTGATAATTCTCAACAGTCTTCTTGTATCGCGATGTAAATCTGTTGGATCCAAAGCGAGCGTATCTAGCCACTTGCACAAGAATATGGCGCACTCGAGATTGCAAAGGGAATGGACGGTGCTCCATGTCAAAGTCTGTGTACGTGCAACGTACTCCACACCAAGTCGCACAGGTATAGAAAGAGCATGAATTGATTGCAGAACTGCATGATAAATAAGTGGCGTCTGTACTGGAATAGGTGCCTTAAGGAAGGCAGCTGCCATGGCCTCTGGGTTCCATGTTCCTATGCTGCGGTGTGGTCCAAGGTTGAGGTGTAGTCTAATACATGCAATGCGAAAAATTGCCGTTGCATTGAAACCCAGTGGCCCCTTGGGTGACAATGGAGTAGTGGAAGGATCAGAGCATTTCTCCCAGCTCTTTTGCCATCGTCGCAGCGCGGTATGGAATTTCGTAAGAATCTCAGGTGGCAACAAAAATCGTTGTTCTTCCAGTGACATCGAAAGGCAAAATGCCGATTCCCACGTTAGATAGACGTGTTGGAAAAGGGCGTGAATTAGAATAAGATTTCCGAAAGAAGATGATCTGGTAGGCTCCTTGCGGTTTGGCTTGGGTTGAAATAGTTGGCCATAACCTTCACCAAATGAGACACAAACAGGCCATTTTGACCGAAGAAAATTCCACTTCTCCGGGGTTTGGGCCGTCCAAAGCTCCTCGGGTGACGGTAAATACAGCGATGCAATCTCACTGTTTAAGATCTTGGGGGGCATATTATAAAGTAGGGTTTGGACATTCGAAAGCATGTATGCTATGAGTTTTGTACGTCGTTTTCGTTCTTGGGCTATCCAAGTAATCCATGAATCGTCGCCAGAGGAGCATTCATATGAAAGAAGTCCGCTATCACGAAGATGTACCGACATTTGGCTGGCCATTGCGACTGAATCATGAAGCATATCCCGATTACCCCAGGTACCCAAGGTTGTAAGAATAATTTGTGATTGCAATATCTCAAACCGCATGTCTTCTGCAGAATCGAGATGCTCGGTCTGAGATTTCGGGGTATAAATAGAATTTGATTGCTCATGAATGCTCATGTAGTGATCAATCAATGACTTTGAAGCTCTATAAAAGCAAATTGCTCGGGCTCTCTCAAAGCGATATTGAGCACCCATGGCAATGATTGCTAATATCAAAGATGGATGCAGCTGCGATACCGACAGAGTTGGTAAATGTAGAAATGGCAGGTGACCATGACTTCCAGTAAAGAACCCCTCGAGATATCTGCAAAATACGTATTTTGAGGGAATCTTGAACGACGACGGAAGAATATGTTGGACGCTTTGTATTGAAATGAGGACGGATTCAAACTCGTCCTTGCTAATGCGCCACGGGTAATTCAAGCTTTGAGTGTCGAAAAGCCTCGTGGCAAAATCATCACGTCGATTCCCGCTTGAGGAATCTTGACTATTTGAAGGATCTGCTTGATCAAGGGATGGAAGTTGGTAGTTGCACAGAGAGGCGTCATCATCAGAATGAAGGCTTTGTGTTTCCACTTCACCAGAGCCTTCGCTAGACAGACCTGGGAATCCGGTATTTACAACTTCATTGATATCAAATTCAGGTAAAGAAATAAGTCCATTCGGTATTTCAAATATCGAAGGAAAGGGCCCATCTAGTGCAAAATTGGCATTCAAGCCACCCCAGAGAATGTTTAGGTCTTGTGGACTATCGTTGAATCCCGGTGCCGGGGCGTCTAGAGGTAGTGATTCAAGTATTTGCTGTTGTATTCCTTGGTTAAGGGATATTTCGGAGAGAGAGTCGGGCTGTAAATAAGATTCAGTTAATGGCGAATTTGCGGCTCTGGTCTCTGGCTGTAGAGGCTCACATGGCCCGCATGTCGTCAATTCAATTCTCCAGTTTTCAGCTGGCTGCATGCATGGTGATTGATGCGTTGTTACAGATTCAAAGGGATGCGGGCCGCCACCATTGGTGACTTCTCTATGGAGAGAAGGGTCACTCTTGAGCTTTAAATGACGAGATAAAAGGTCACTGTACTGCATTACTTTCCCAGCCCTAGAATCGGCATTATAAGCACTAACCGTCTGGTAAATCTCTTCCTGCAAATACAAACAAACGGCTTTTCCCGAGTATCTATGTTATGTGAGCCTTTGATCTGAAACTCTCAAGGGTTGCTCACGAGTCCTTTCATGACGCAGTAGATGCTCTCTTCTTGCAAACCGCCTGCGGCAAAACCTACAGGGAGCGACTTCAATCCGCGGGCGCATTACGCAAACACGCCGATCGAGAAGTTGCTTCAACAACAATTGTAGCTATATTCTCGAGCGGACTCCAAAATATCGATACCCCCGCACACTGAGCGCTCCTTCAAATCAGCTGACTTTGTTATCAGTACGCTAAACTCTGCCTTTTTAGCCCAACCCATGATAGGCCGAAAACATTGGGCCCGATAGCGGCTAGTCTAGAAAACATTGAAATTTGGCCAACGTCCTAGCCATTCCCTATTTTACTAGATGTCTAGGACAATATCTCCTCTCCCATTTCCCCTTAGGTATATGAATAAGGGGGTTAGTAAAGCTAACGCTGATAGAAGACTAATCCTAGCATTTCATTGATATCTGCTATGACCAACGTCTTAAGCGAATCATTGATCTAGTATCTTGCAACATTTAACAGGCTAAAAAGGTTCACCAAGGCTTCTTGGTGGCTTGTGCTTTATCAATCATAGAAATCAACATCTGCGATCACAATATTGATGCCTTTCCATAATAAAGTGAAAACCTCAGGGCTAAGCATTTAATTATTTAGGTACAGGAACCTTTGATATATTGCTTGCTGATTATAGAGCATATTTCAGGCCATAGATATTAGCCAAGCTTCCAATTGCTGTGTCTCTGGCTTTTCTTCAAACCCATTCCTGATTTCTTCTCTTTCTGTCAATAGAGGCATCCCGATAAACTCCTCTCTTTGCAGTTTCCAGGCCCTCTCTAATGAGAGAAACTAGAAATTGAACGCCTAGGCCAACACCATCTAACACTTGAACACCAGTTCCTTCAAGAGTGGTCTCACAAGCAGTACGCATTTCTGTCATCCCCGCACATCCCAAAAGTAAGCAATCTGCGCCTTTTTCATATACGAGGACCTTCGCCTTTTGTGAGATTATAGCAAGTATTTCTTGCCTCGGTTTTGTATCAAGCTCCAACACCCCAAGCTGAGTCGCTTCGCACCCACTGAAGTGGGTTGAGAATCCGTAGGCAGAGGAAACAAGTCCATGACTTATTGCAGAGCGTTCAGAAGTACAGATAATTCCAAACTTTTCACCCAGCATACGAGCCGCGTACATTGCGGCCTCCATTATTCCTAGAACTGGCTGCTTAAATTCTTCTTTGAGGACGGCAATGAGAGGATGCGCCCGAAAACAAGCAACCAGGAACGCATCATATCGCTCTGCGATTGGTTTGATCGCTCTTATGCAGATTGCAGTTGAAAGAACTGCATCTGTCTGAGATTCAACAGCGGTGGGTCCGGGATATGGTGCGGTGAACCCGTGAACAGTAACATCAGAAGGCAAATTGGGTGCAATAGCCTCCAGACAATCTTTTGTCATATATTCGCTAGAGTTGGGGTTTACCAATAAGATATTTATTTGATGACTGCTAGCAGGCCCTGAAACAGCAGGAAGTCCTATTTCAGTCGTACCGGTGGCCATTTTGTCTGGTTATGGGGCCAATGTTGGTGAAGTATCGAATGAATATAGCTCTTAAATTGGAGATTCTGGGGGATGTGATACTAACGGTATAAGACGACCCTGGCTATCTCGGTGGAGACAGGATAAGCTACAGTGCTTCGGGTGAGACTAGACTTTTGAAGATAATCAAATGGGGTTCTTTCTTGCTATCGAGGTGCGTAAGCTCGGCTCACAGGCTTGGAAAATTGTTACATGAAAGTTGGGGTTTTTACCCCGATTTAGCGGGTCCGGCGGGAATGGGGGTCGCCGATACCAATTCGCTCTTATCTTGAGCAGGCTTTCAGTAGCGATCAATTGACTTGGCTTCGGTCATCTCCACCCGAGCGAAGATTAGAAGCAAAAGAGAAGAAGACGGAATGTCTTGATAGGTGCTCTCGTTATCGTCGCATTAGAAATGCCCCTCTTGATACGTAAGGCTTGTCTACGGAAGTCAAATTTTATTTCAAGGTTGAGATCATGATTGTTATTCAATATTTTTTGCAAGTGGCAACAATTTTTCGTCGTCCATTTGTTGTCCAATGAGATAAAAATTAAAACTTCTTCTGGATTCTTTCCATCCCTATATCCCTATCTATTTAGGATGGGGCGAGAGTATCAAAAATTTGACCGACGCAGGGGTCGAACCTGCAATCTCTTGATTCGTAGTCAAGCGCCTTGCCATTGGGCCAGCCGGCCTTGTTGAAATGTTCGGGCGTATTTGGCTATATGTGGGACTTTTTTTTGATCCGGTTTCTCCGGGCCCCACTCTTAGGGCAAGCAGGAGTGCCCCCTTTGATGGCGAGTTGAGTGTAGAAGCAAAGGGAGTTTCAAGCAATTATATTCAGTAAAAGCAGACTTGATTATTGTATGGATAAATTATGGGATGGAATTACTATTGTCGGATATCTGTAAAAGTCTTCACACGATCGGCAAGTTCATATAGAAAATTTACTTCGGGGATTGACCTCGACGCTCCGAAGTTAGATACAAAGAGCCTGCGAACTAGTGTGGCATCATTATTTAGCTTTGAAAGTTCTCTAAGTACCCGCCTTGTCTTACTTATGCCATGAACCTCTGGTTATGTGGAATTGCTACTGTATGCTATAGGACGGCAAATTAAGAGGGGCAGCAACATACCGCAGAGCATTGACCAGTTTCTGGCCCTGGAGGCGAGCGGCGAGCGTGTAATAAACAGGTGCGAATATTGGTAACACATTAGGTCGCTCTGTAGCCCATCATTATTGTCTAAGAAATTCTCTTGGGTAGGAATCGTCGGCTGTCTATCGGTTTGAGCTAAACATATATTTCCCACTTTCCACTGTGAGATCGGTATTTGGCATGGCTTTTCTTGTCCTCCCAGGCTGATGAAAATCCAGTCTCATCCTTTGAGTCAGTAAATAGAACATCAATTGAATTAAAATACATCGATGACAGAGTAGTCACTCATTAGTGCTGGTGAACTCAACTCTCAACTTCGGTAAAGTTTATTTTTTTGTTCTACAGACAACTGCTAAATCCAAAGATATTTATTTGATTGATATGTGGAATTTAAGATAATGCAAGATTTCTTGGCAGCCACATATCACGTTCACCTTCAATCATTCCAGAAGCAAGCTGGCCTACCTTTCCAACAAGGACCTGACCATTTTCCCGTTTCAAAAATTGCCCAAAGCCCTTCACGCCAGTCACACAGTTTTCATCGGCGCTCCAGACTACCTCTCCCCGTAAAATCGTGAATCGGGGCCAGTTCCTCACACGCATTCCTTCAAATGGTGTGTAATCCACGCCATGATGAAGGTAATCTTGTGAGATAGTTCTCTCGCCTTGGTTTTGCGGGTGCCAGATGACCAAGTCAGCATCATATCCTGGCATGATAGACCCCTTTTGGGGTAGCCCATACAGTTTTGCTGGATTCCCTGACGTGAGCTGAACAAAGCGCGCCAAGCTGAGTCTTGCCTGGCTTTTGGGAAGACATGCTTCTGACTCACTGAAAAGAAGAGATAGCCGGGTTTCGATACCAGGAATCCCTTTGGGTATTTTGCTGAACTTTGGAATACCGTTTATGATCCCAGATTTCTTCCCCTGGGGGTGATCATATTTAGATGGGGCATGATCCGATGAGAATACTGTAAAGGTGCCATTTGCAATTCCTTTCCAGAGCGCCTCGAGATCTTCAACGTTGTGACGCAGGGGAGGAGAGCATACTCCCTTGGCCCCATGAAATGCATCATGCTCCTCGCAAGCTAACTTTTCTGATAAAAGAAACAAATAATGCGGACAGGTTTCTGCATGAATTGGAAGCAGTTTAGTTTGAGATTCTCTGATATGCTTCATTGCGCCGTCGGCAGAAACATGAACGAGTAAGACAGGGGCATCAACTAGCTCTGCGAGTCTAATAGCTCGGTATGATGCTTCATCTTCTGCTACCTTTGGACTTGAGATTGCGTGAAAGAAAGGAGCTGTATTCTGGTTTTTTTCAAGTCCTTCAATCAAGAATTCAATCATATCGCCGTTTTCGGCATGGATCATGGTAGTCAAACCAAGTGATCGACAAGCCAACATTGTCTCAAGGAGTTGACGATCGGAAAGCTTATACAGCGGATATGTCATATATAGTTTGACACTTGTAATGCCTTCTTGCTTTGCAATTAAAGGAAGCTCGTTATGAAGAATCGTTTCAGTCGGGTTTGTAAGGACAAAGTGAAACCCATAATCACAATAGGCTTGTCCTCGGGATTTTCCATGGTATTCTTCAAGAACAGGGAAAAGTGATGTCATCTCCTTTGTCTGAGAAGCAAATGCTAAAACAGTCGTGGTACCTCCAGCAATTGCGCTGCGAGTGCCTGTCTCCCAGCTGTCTCCTGTGGGCGCGTTTTTTTGTGCAAGATGAACATGAGAATCTACACCACCGGGAGTGATGTAAGCCCCTTCAGCGTCAATGATTTTTGTTTCTGAGTTTTGTGGCAGATTATATCCTATAATGGATATCTTTCCTTGCGAAATTCCAATGCTTTGCCCAGCAGGAAGCACGCCTCCCTCCGTAGCCTAAAGAAATGTAAGAGTTATTCCTCCTAGTGTAATAGTGATGCACCTAAAGAATGTGCAATAAAACAGAGAGTCCAAAACAGCAGACCAAAAATTTCCTGCATATGGTAATAAAATGAACCTACAATGAGACCGTTTTTCACAATGGTATCTAATTTCATGATGTTATTTCGCAATATCGTGATTCTGTTCCGAAAAAACTGAAGGCTGCCCACACAAATGGAAAATATGAATTTCTAGAACAAATTCACAATGAGCCCTGCAACCCGCTATATTAACATGACTAGCAAGAGGATGTGAGTTAAAGAGTATTTACCCCAATTTTAAGCCTTATCCATTAAACCCCTCGCCCCTCATTCAATGTCATCTTCCCTCCGCACTCCGCTCCCGTGATTTCTGATAAGCCGACTCGGATAGCTGACAAAACTATTGAGTCAGAACCTCGTGTACATTCTGAAAGGGCTGATTGGGAAAAGAAAACGTTTGTCAGTATTACTTTGGCTCAAGTCCTTTTATAAAGACCCACTTGATTTCCAACTTTTGCCAATAGAAACAACACGGATATTTGGTAAATCCGCTACCGGATATGTCCATCGCAGCAAGCGATCCATTCGATTTTTTTGATTCATACCATGGCCTTAATTGGTCATAATGGCCATCATGGACATATCTCAGCTTTCCAAACAGCTGTCGCCTCTACCAAAAAGATTTCCTGATTGTTGTTTGGCAATCTCTACGTCCTTAATCGTCTACTTGGCTTCACTCTTGCCGAAGAACCCCGGCTTCACCGTCTCAATCGGAAGCGGATCTGGTCTCCTTGAAAGTCTCATTGCATATGGCGATGATAACACCTCAGTTGAGGGAGTTGAAGTCAACTCTACCGTCAATCGCTATATTGCCGAGGAGCATATGCATGTTGTCGGTGGGGCATGGGGACTCTATCCAGGTATTGAAAAGGCGGCAGCGTGGATGTTTGTCTACCCGCGCGATCCGAAGCTAATCACCAAGTATATTGATACATATGGTGATTGTGCGGTTGAGTTTATTGTTTGGCTAGGGCCTAAAATAGACTGGGCTGACTTCGAGCCATGCTTTCGCGATTCGACATTCTCTGAGCTGAGTTGTCCAGAAAATATCGGACTGACTCCTTACGAGAAAATGGTGCTCGCTAAAAGATCGTCCTGATGTATTTAATAGACCTAAAGAGTTCTCTACATCTCATTTGAACCTTATAATAAGCTTCTATCATGTCGGAGATTTTTTCAGCTCTTGAATGATGAATTTAAAGTAAAGCTGATTCGTAGCAGTTATCTGTTAAGGATCTTCCAACAATTCTGGCTCAATGACCCCAGTACGCTCCACAATTGGACCGTAATGCTCGGTTCGCCGATGCTTCTCGAATGCAAAGACTGTACTCTTTGGACGATCGCAGTCTGACAAATCAATGGTAGCCACAACCAGCTCATCTTCCTTGGTCTGTGCCTCTTTAATGATATGACCAAGAGGATGCACGATTATTGTTCCCCCAACCAAGGGGTTTCCATCTTCCGCGCCAGTTTTCGCAACATTAATGCTGAAGCAAGCATTCATGTAACTGTTGCCTTGACATGAAAGCTTATGATGAAGCATGACCAGATCCTCAGCAGCTTCTGGGCTCATGTCGACCATATGGCCAGTAGCGGTAGTTTGGAATGCAGTGGTATTGTATCCACAGCACATGATTTCCATCCCCTGAAGGCCATAGACTCTCCAGGCTTCGGCCCATCTTCTATCATTGCATATCAACATCCCAATTATGGGATCCCCCTTCCCAGTGACAGATGGGGAACCACTGTTGTCATTGGCTGGCTTCTTTGACGCTCCTACCACAAGTCCAGGAGCCCTGAAAGCGGGAAACCCAAGATCACCAGGTTGGAAGTAGCGCTTTTCCAGCTGTTGAAAGGCACCATGAGAAGTATGTGGCTCTTTGGTGCCTGGAAGATGCACTTTCCGGTATTTTCCAACAATCCTGTTTGCCTGCGCCGAATAGTATGCACAAGAGTTGTAATCAATATGGGAGCCGTCGTCTTGGATGCTTCTCTCCGCATACCCCACATAGACATCGATACCAAGAGAATGTGCATGGTCAAATAGTGGTTTTATATTACAAGACTGCACAATCCCACCCCTATTTGGGTTCTCAACATCAAAGTATTGATCTAAGTCTTGTCCCACTAGCAGATATCTGGGGAAAAAAGTAGTGAAAGCAAGTTCGGGGAAAACTGCGAGTTTGACGCCTTGTCTTGCAGCTTCATCTAGAAGCACAAACATGCGATTCAAGACATCTTGGCGTGAATCTGCAATGTTGATTGGGCCCAGTTGACAGGCGGCAACGGTCACTAATCTCTGAGAAGGCTGGTTCATGTCGAAAAGATCGGCCTGTGTTCGATGGAATTGCTTGGATTATTGAGAATTCCAGGATCCAATATCTTGTATTATATCAATATCAGAACCTCCGCATTGGAATTATGTTTTTGCTTGCGTGTAATACCCTACACGAAATCATTATCCGAAGTATCTGATCTAGGTTCAAAGTTGGGGTTGAAACCCCCGCGATTTGGCTTAGCGGGTGTTTTTACCCCGAAAGTCAACATCACTCTACTAAGAACCTTCTTGATATAGGAAATTCGATTAGAAATATTGAAAATTGCGATTTGGGGGACTTTTCAATTTTGGTGTTATCAGTCATTTTCTAGCCCATCAATGCCTGCGTGAAAAATGTCCGTCGAGAGATGTTTAAATGCACATGATTGGATCTAAACAATTGCATTAAACCAACAAAGAATGATCAGAACCTCATCGCGTGTGGTGAGTGACCACTGATTCATTACTATTTGGCAAATTCGAGTTTTGCCTATGAATATGGCTAGTGCAATCTTTGTGCCGAAGCCAGCCATACTGAATCCTATTGGAGACAAATGTCCTTTATTAGCTATTAAGTATATACAGACAAAAAGCGGGGAAAACTTAGACCAATAGTGAAATGAATTCCATGCCAAATGTTTACTGTTATCTTTGAAAATAGAGATAAGAAGCTTGTTCAAATAACCTATAAATGGACAAAAGCTCTGTGCGACTTTCCTTAATGTACGCCATGCCGTCCTAGTAAATCATTTTATCTTTATGTCCATAATGAAGAGCCCTCTTAACACAAAGATTCAAGACGAAGAACAGTCGATCAAGACTGAAGTCTATGATCATCATGAAAATTACACGGAACAGCCCTTCTCTTTCCGAAGTTATGTAGCGACCAGATTTACCTCGCTCAAGCCACCTATGGAAAATGCTGCCAATCCATTCAAGCTTTTGGCTATGCTAAACTCCCAGCAATGGGCATTTCTGGCTGTCTCCTTCCTTGCCTGGTCGTGGGACTCGTTCGACTTTTTCACCGTATCCCTAACTGTTTCAGATCTAGCTAAGACCTTTGATAAGTCTACAACCGATATTACTTGGGGTATCACTTTGGTACTGATGCTTCGATCTGTCGGATCAATTTTATTCGGTCTTGCCGCAGATAGATATGGACGAAAATGGTATATTCCAATTATCTGATTTAATTATATTGTCTTTACTAATCGGAAACAGGCCATTCATTCTCAACCTTTTCCTTTTTATCGTTCTAGAGCTTGGCACAGGCTTTTGTCAAACTTACAAGCAGTTTCTGGCAGTTCGGGCTCTGTTTGGAATTGCTATGGGTGGCATGTATGGAAATGCGGCGGTCACGGCACTTGAGGACTGCCCATATGCGGCCCGGGGCCTTGTGTCGGGATTAATGCAACAGGGGTATGCATTTGGGTATCTCCTCGCAACAGCTTTTGCACGGGCACTGGTCAATACCACGAGTCATGGCTGGCGCCCCTATTTCTGGTTTGCTGCTTGCCCTCCAGCTCTCATCATTCTATTCCGTCTTTGTCTCCCAGAAACAAAAGCGTTTCGAGATCGCCAGGCTGCGCGTGAAGAACAAGGAAGTCTCGCTATAGCTTTCGTTTCTGAAGGAAAGCTTGCTCTGAAGCATCACTGGCTCTTACTTGTCTACCTCGTCCTGCTAACCACTGGGTTCAATTTCATGTCCCACGGGTCTCAAGACCTCTACCCGACAATGCTAAACAACGAGTCCAATTTCTCTTCCGATGCGATCACAGTAACCCAGGTTGTTGCCAACTTAGGCGCAATGGCAGGTGGCACGACAGTGGGCTACTGCTCGCAGATCTTTGGACGACGATTCAGCATGATGGTCGTCTGCATCATCGGCGGGGCACTGCTATACCCCTATACCTTCGTCCGAAACGAAGCCGTTACTGCAGTGGCATTCTTCATGCAATTTTGTATCCAGGGAGCCTGGAGTGTTATTCCTATCCATGTCATGGAGCTATCGCCTGGTTCATTCCACACTTTTATGATTGGTTGTGCATATCAGTTCGGCAACCTCGCCTCCTCTGCATCTTCAACCATTGAAGCTATGCTTGGTGAACGATACCCGCTTGCACCATTGACCCAGGCTGATGGCACTGTCGTAAAGCGGTACGACTACGGAAAAGTCATCTGTATCTTTATGGGTGCTGTTTATGTCTACAATATTCTTCTTATATTAATTGGACCAGAAAAGCGAGGTCATCACACGAGCATTGAGCATGATTCAGAGATGACTCAGGCGATTTAAGAAGTTCAGATACGACATTGAATTATAGTTGTATACATTTCGAGGATTTATTCTCGATTGATTATGGATGTATTACGTGGATGGAGTAATGATCAAGATGGAGGCTATTCCGTGTGAAAATGAAAGTATCAAGGTCCTCTTCCCGGGTCTGGGCTCAGAACATCGCAGATTCTTCGGTAAATTATGTATTCCGTATTAAGCACCGGGGTGTGTATCTCAGTTGGCTTCAGCATTGACACATGTCAAGGGGTATGGCGGCCATTGTTGGAGACGGGAATGCAGAAGATTATTTGCTCCACTACGTGCAAATAGTTCTGCGCCACATCGCCTCCCCCTCCTCCCCTCCTGGAGGCGCTGGCCGCGCTAAGGTCGCGGGATAGATTAATTATATTGTTTCAGGATCGCCGGCGGAGTCTGTTGCCGCATTGGGGGCTATCACGTCTAAGCGACCTAAGATTCTACCGAGCTTCGAGCTCGGTCTCTAACCCACGCCAAGCTTAAACCATCGCCCAATTATAACAAATCTACGAGTCAGCTGAACGTGAAGCACGTATAGAGAAATTAAACAGGGAACTTGCTACAAGGATTGCCGATAGAAAAGAGCTGAAGCTCATTTGACAAAGCAATCGTCCTGTTGTACCCTCGAGTGCCTTACACTTTACCCAAACACTAGATTTGGTTGATATGAAAACTACATCATATTTTTTTCACAATCACATAGTTCAACTTGGGCCCTTGCCATGCTACCACAAAAAGCAAGGCCGGGCGTAAAAAAGGATATAGTAAGAAATTCTAAGCTTAAGTCCAAACGCCTGTCAAATCCTTATCTGAAACAGAAATATGCAATGTAAAGAAGTCTTGTCGTCAACGAGTCGGTATCACGACTGCATGCGGTTGCTATTATCTTGATTAAACTGGTCGCGGGCGACGGTAAATTTATCGGTCACAACGTCGCACAGGTCCATCAGGTCGCTGAAGCCCTTCTCCAAAGCCTCGAGGGCGGTTGTGGAGTCTATTTGAGAAAAACAGGTCAGTATATGTTTAAAGACCCGACGGAACTCCCTATGCGGATTTTTAAATAGGTGGGAAGGTCCTGGGGGCAGAAAGCGAAAGCAAGCGTACCAGTAGTCTGGATGCGGAGGTGCATCTTTGCATCGGAGGGGTGAGGGATGGTATAGCCACAGAACTCAACGGAGGGGCTAGAAAGTCGAGGATGGTTAGCATGATATCTGACTATGTTCCAAATCGTTGGTAGCTTGGATCAAGATATGCTTCCGATCAAGTGACTTGGGAAGCCGAGTCCTCATCCACATCCACAAGGGCGCACTCACTTCTTCATGATCGCAAAACGCAGCGCGTTACCCATAGTATGTCCCTCACCCTCGAACTGAAACGACGCAGCGGTCTCGGAAGAGCCAGGGAGCTGGTTAAAAAGACCATTAGATTCATTCCCCAGTACGTTCGAATTGAGGGCACAAGTAGAGTGCTCGGGGAGGGGAGCGACGAACCACCACGATGCGCTTCTCGTCCAGCAGAATAGGGTTGACGGGCTCATTCTCGGCGTCCATCATGGACTGATCATGCTCTTGGGGCTCCTCGGAGTGCACAGAGGCCGGCATTTTGTATGCTGGTGCAGAATTTGCGGTTCAGAAGATCTGATTTGATCAAAGGGTATCAAGCTCGGGAACGTTGCTGTCAAGAAGCCGGTTCCGATAAATTTACTGATGGGTCGGAGCAGGGAACTCTGTGTGGAGTGTGGGTGATTCAGTCGGATTCAATTTGATCTTAGAGATAATATAGGGGAAAGCGCAAAAGACTGACTGGCAAACGCAACAATCGATCGTCAAGACTTTCTCTCGATGATCGCAGAAGAAAAAAAGTGGGTGGTTATCGATAGCCACCCACCGCCTGCCATTTTCGGGTTATCTATGAGGACGCCTTCGCGGAATCCAAGCGCTTCTTCATTAATTTTCGATTCTGCATACAAAATTTTAACCTAGGAGTGGTAAGTTTGATCGGACCCAATTGGATCTGACCTCACTGTTATTTTATATGTACGTGATTTAAAAACCTCTGCGCATTGCAATAGCTGTCAGGTATGCAGCAAGTAGGGTTGTGTTGCTAGGTAGCCTCAAGAGAAATGGCATTGCAGGTTGTTCCCTCCTACCTGTAAGAAGGAAAGACAAAAGATTATTACCAGTATGGATATCCAGAGATTCGAAATTTGGAGTCAGAAGGAGGGGGGGGGATAAATTACGAAGACCATGCAATGAAAAGTTCGCTTCACACTAATTCGCAGGGGTTTTGGCCGCAAATTTGCCCATACTTCGGGCTTGTAATCACCACCATTTTTCTGACTTTGTATCTTTTATTAAACATTCCAGGAAATTTCCTAATTAGATGCTTAGACTGTGGATACTCCAATATCAATTGAGTTTATCCTGAAGGCTTTGCGAAAGGATATAATTACGTCGTTCTATAAAGGATAACATCTCAAGCAATCCAGACACAACCTAGAGACACTGGTGGTGAATGAATGAAAATTCCCTTTCTAATAAATTGCTTTTTCAATGTCAAAACGATCATGACAGAACTCACCCCTCAGTATCGTCGTCATAGCCGCCTGCATAAACCAATTGCTTCGACCAATCACCCCTAGATAATTGACGCCGTAAAACATCCCTTGGGCGCAAGCGATTTCTATATTCGCCTCACTTTTCTCCACACAGGCGGTAATCCTAATATTAGCCTAAGTGCGGAGCAAGTGTAGGAAACCTATTGAGTTAACTCCTCACGCAGAATGTTTTGCAACTTGAGGTACGGGGAACCCCAAGTGAACACCATACACTATACCCTAGCTGGTTCTCGCTGCTGTATCATGCCTCACAGGGGAAATTCGCGGTTCCAGGGATTCTACAACCAGACAGGGTTGGAGATCCTCCTGCTACTACTTTAGGGATTTGTACCCGGTTCTATTGGATTTTAGCTGCTTTTGCTGTGGGTGACAAGATTCTGACCCGGCCATCCGAGAAATTAATCTTGGCTATACCGTTCATAGGCAAGCGTAACTGGATTTGTAACGAAATTTTCGCTGTAGGACGACTCTAATGGTTATTTCGAGCTATCAAATTGTCCCAGGGCAGTACATATATTTAGATGATAACTATTGACCAGTAAGTTTACTCTAGTCAGAAGGAATTGAACACCCGGGCGATGAGAGTACTCAGAACACTTTCGCTTGAATGAATCAATACAAGGAACCCGAGAATTTCTTGGTAAGAGAGTCCTTTGAGGGAGCAAAAATCGGAGCCTTTCTGCCTTGCAGCCCCTCAAAATTGCCTGTCGGAAGTGACGTGAGGGCGGCAGCCAATTGACAGGATGCTGCTAGGGTTAGGCGACCGAAATTTTGAACCAAACATCGTGCCTGCGGTCGGCAAAGGGTTCCGTGCGTTAGCTGGGACTAGCCACACATCTGACCCACACGAGGAGAGGAGGGGCGCCATGCGATGCGTGTTCCTGGGGGCGCAAGACAAGATTCAGTAGCAGGGGGGTACTGTTGTTGGTGATGGTTGGTGATGGTAGGGTGATGGTGGATCGGTGGAGAGGGCAAGGGTGGATGCATCACTTCCAGCCCCAGTTGGTGTGAGCGTAATTCTTTTCCCGGGCCCCTGCTTCCTTGAATTTCTTGCTTGGATTCTATGGTTCTGAGGTGTTCACCTTTTTACCCCCTGATCGCCCTAAGCGCCGTGAACGCCATGTTTGACAAGCCACGCATCGTGAGTCGTTCGGGTAGTGTGATCAGGTAGAAAGGGCCGCAGGATGCAGATGAACCAGAGCAATGATCCGAGAGCGCCTCTTGCTGGCGTGGTGAACAATCCCAGTAGCAGTGTTGTCGTCCATTCAATAATTATGTGATTTAAAAAATTCCGTAGATAGTGGAGGTCTGGACTATGTGAGAGAGTGGTTGGTCGAGGCAGCCAAGAAAGATGAGAATTATAAATCAAGAAATATACCATCATCCTATACTCCGTATTCGTACTGCATATGAAAGATAATTAATAGTCAATCAGCATTAGTTACGGTTCTTTTTATAAATATTATTAATTCCCCGTCCTTTGATCCTGATTATCATCGTCAGTGCACCCAGCTGTGGCTTGGGTGGGAAGGGACAGCGGAGATAAGAAAGTAAGCCACTCGCCACCTGATGGAGATCGAAGGAATCGAGGGATTCGAAAACAGTTAAGATGGCCCAGATTGTCCCAGTCGGAGCGAGTGAAGATGTACTTCCAAGGATAGCCAAACAATAGTGCGCTGGGGCCCTGGTGGGTTCACCTGGCGTTTCCTCCACTTTGGGATTTGGATTGGAGAGAATGAAATCAGGTCTATTTCTGTGATTTCTTCGAGGTCGGCATAGGAAAGGGAGCTGCGTCTTCTATTCCAAGTCCATCACAATGTAATCTCGGTTTGATCACATTTCTACCGAGGCCAGCGATCTCCCACACTTCACCCACAATGTGTGGGTGACATGAGGCATGTCACAATGTGACGAGAGTCGCCGATCGTGGCCAAGCACGGATGTCTCTAATTTCTGACGGGTTGGAGTCCCAAATATTCAGCGAACGCCCGGGCTCTCTGCTCTAGCGAGGACGGGGGACGAACGGGAGTCGGGTAGGTACATCTCCATCTTGTACAGAGCACGGAGGACAGAGTACTTCACGAGTAATATCCATCATGGGAACCTGTCATGGGACAATCTCTGGAGGTCTGTCTACAGTATGCACGTATGCGGAATATATGGAGTAAAAGCAAAGACTGTATAGAGACTATACAGACTATAGGGACTGCTCCATAGGCAAGGTACACTGCGTAGGTGCTTGAGGTACCTTTCGGACTCCAGATGAGATACGCCAACAGTGGTTGAGCTTTCCGGGTGGGGAGATTTGCCCCTGTCAATCGTGGTTCATGCCAGACCCGAAGAGTATGGTTTTAATTAAGCCAGGGTCGACTTGTATACTCCCGCTTCCCCCTCCTTAATACTGGCACGATACGCCATCAACATCGCCCTGGGTTACTCTGCAAAGGTCGCTAGTTCATACAATAAGAGTCATAAGGGCCCATAGTAGATTCTCGTATTTTCCCTAATTCCTCCATTTCTGCTCCTTGGTTCCTCCGCTCCTACAGCCTTGGAGGGGGAAAGTGGATGTATTTTGTTGAGCGGTCGAGGGCGAGTAAAGGAGAGAGAGAGGGCAACAGGGGTCAAGACATGGAAACACTGGAACACTGGCGGTCGCAGGAACCAGTGGCAGCGTCACTTTGGCAGGGCAGAAACACGTCGTGTCTCAGGCGGGCGATCCTGATACGCCCGGCGCCGGCAGCTGTGCAGCAAGTGTTTGAGCGTAGCTCCACTCTGAAACTCTCGACTCCAGCACGAACAGGGAGAGGTACATAGAAGGACTTTAATGGTACATAGCCGCACTCGAGCAGAGTATGTGGTACATGTGATAACCCACGGTACCTGTAAGTACCATTGAAGTTCCCCAGTTCCAGCCCCAAAGCAAAAGCCCCCCTGGGTGCCGAACAAATGAACAAGGTCATCGGGCCCATCTCATTGCCCCCTCCTCTTTTTTTTCCGCATGCTTTTTTGGGCTTTTTGGGGGGGGCGTGTTGGGGCTTGTTCGTTTCTCCTTCTGGGGCCCAGACCCTCACCCTCCATCAAATCACCTCGTCCGGCCCTGTACTATACAGCTGCTATACACAGCGCTAGTACATCATTTCATCTTCACTGACCTTTTTGGGCTCTGTGACAGGACTGAGGGTCTTTGCTCTTAGTGGCTATTTACTTCCTCCTCTTCCTTTTCTTTCTCTTTTTTTTTTCTCTTTTACACGCCGGTCGATTTCCCTGGTCTATTTTTTGGGGGCACGACTGGTCACACCTGCTTGCCGCCTAACCGCCGTCCTTGGCCCCCCCCCCCCTCCCTCCACCAACTTCAACTGAACTCCTGCTTCCTTCCATTTTCCACTTTCACTCTCCCACTCTCTCCCCCCCCCTCTCCCACTCCGACTCCGCTACTTTCTTTTGATGGGATCCTTCTCGAACACTCTTCTAATCTTCCCTTGAGTGTGCAAACGTCTCTGCGGCCCGTGGTGTTCTTCGCCTAATATATCGCAAGACGATCCGTATCGGAATCTCAGCCCTCTCAACCCGCTGGTGCATCATTCCCCTCGCCCATTGATGCTCCACACCCGTCCGACAATATACTTTGTTACCCAGTCCTGTACTGGGAGCTGTCGATTAACGAGAAATTGTTAAAGGACCAGACGCTCAATATTCAGGTATAGGGTGATCGTTGCGACCTGCGACCACTTGTGCACCTGGAGGGTTGTGCTTCCCCCCGGACTCTTTTACATTCTGTCGGGAACCATGTCAACGGCAGTTGCATCCGCGACCGCGGCCCCATTGTCCTCACCACATACCACCCGCGATCCTAGCCCGAAGAACTGCCCGACTCTCGCTCCTCTCTCCAACGCTCCGGCGAATTCCTCCCTACCCCGAATGTCAACCGCCGGGCAGGATGCTTCGGCAAAAGGCACTCCCGAGAACAAAGACCCTTCACCTCCGTAAGTTGGAGAATCCATGAGGCTGGCCGCCAAGACATCTCCCGGGGACACTCAGTCGAGGTCCGGCGGAGAAAAGAATCCTCCGTGCGTTGATGCTGATTACTTTCTCCCACAGGTCGCAAGGGAGCGCCGGCCCGAAGATCACCGTGAAAAAGGAGCCTGCCTCTTCTCCGCGAATGCAGAGTCGCCCAAGACCCCAAAAGTTAGACCTGTCCACCAGCCTCCCGTCCTCCGGCGGTCTCCAAGTGCGCCCTCCTGGAGGGCCGATGACGGCCCGGGACGGATTGAAAATGCAGGATGTAGGACTCGCATGCCTGTCCCCGGGCTTCCAAACCTATGATCCCATAATGCGAGAACAGTTACAGCGGAGTTTGTCGGTCCGGGACCAGCAGCGATCTATCATCGAGGCACGACTGCAGAAGTCCGCCAAGGATGAAGGACCGGACGGCATCAAACCGTCCGAGTCAGGATTCGCGGCGGGGCCGAAGAGCGCTACAAAGCGACGTCCTCCTCCTGGACTTTCGATTGTCCCTCCTTCGGCGTCACAGTTCGCGAACGAGCGTGTGATTCAATCTGCGCCGCTGAATCAGACTTTCACTGGACGATATCAAGCCCAGCCTTTGACGCGCCACATCGTCAATCAAAGCCCAACCCTCGGTTCGACCTCGCACATGCACCATGTTCCAGCCACTCAAACAAACAACCGCCTGCCTCCTCTTTCTGACGTATTTGGCTCAGATGCAATGGGCACCCGTGAGCGGGACCCCAGTCGTCCTAGCTTATACCCGAATGCGTCGAGCAGCAATTCCTCCCAAACTAATCTTGCTCCTATTCCCTCCCCGGGTCTGCCTGGTGGTATGTCAACTCCTAACCGACCGCGGGAGTATCGATCCGCCGAAGAGGCCGTGCAGGAATTGTCTGGTGGCCGAGAGGAATTACTTCCCCGGATCGTTCACTATGGCGGCCACCAGCCACCGACACCGCCATCACCTCAAACTGGCCACGCTGCCCCTAAGGCAACGCCTCTTTCGAATGACACTGGGCTCAATGCGCCCCCAGCTCCCACCGCCCTTGGCTTTGATACCACAGCCCGTCGTCGCCCACGCAGCGAATACGAACAAGATAACGGCAGTCCGCCACTGGGGCATGGCCCTGAGCCGCAGCATCGGCTCAACCCTGCTGCCAATGCAGGCCCTCACTCGACATACTATGGCCCCTTTGGTGCGGGTAGAGATTCGCCTGAGACTCAACGGAGAAAGAAGGAGGAGTTTCTGGGCCTGTGCGCACGGGCCTGGGACCTGTTCCATTCTTAAAACGGTGCTGCGAAGCGCTATTCAAAACGAATCCCTCAAAGATACTCAATTTCTTTTCTTTTCTAAAAACCATTTACCATCCAGGTCGAATGAGGGCCAGAAAAGACCATTTTTTCGACCTATGCGATGAACCAGTCTATCACCGAGACAGTGTTCTCAGTGTAGACGAATACAAGGCAGACCGGGGCATGACTTGTTCCCGTTTTGCCTCTTGATGTGCAATCGCCTGGGCTCCAGGGATGGTTGTCCGTTCTCACCTTTATTTCTTGTTGCTTCCCATATCATCTTGATGATTGCATGATGGGGATTGGCCATGTCACATGACATTGATGTTTATACCATACCCATATCTCAATGGTGAGCCTGCTGCTTTTTCTGGCTCACTGGAAAATATTCTGTTTGTTTGTTGTTGTTTTGGTCAACCTGGGACACTTGCATCATTGTTTTCTTGTACCGGCGTTTGGAGGAATCTTGCTTATTGTTACCATATACCTACTTTTTTTTGGCTGTTATTCTTGTGAGAAATTTAGCATTTGTGTGAATGGGTTTCGACTTGAGTTCGAATTTCCCCCTCCTTGATTATTTTTCTATCTCATCTCTTCCTCTTTTATCGTTCTATTCTCGTTATCATTCGTCTTGGACGGAGCGAGGCCTGCCTGCCTGGTTTTTGGGATTTGCTCTCTGCATGGACTCTAATACAGTACAACAGGACCTTAATGGCAATTGTAGATTCAGTAATGATTCAACTTCGCTTTTTAACTAAAAATTTTACACAAGAAAACAAATTTTCCATGTACGTATTGAACCCTCAGGAAAACAAAATCCAGTCGAAAAGGGGTATCTATTCCAAGCGGCGGCGCTTCCCTCCACGAGGCGGCGGCTCGTCGCCCATAGCCATACCACGGCGCTCCATAGGCATTTCCTTCCTCTCTTTCGACGCCATCTTCTTCCTGCGGCGCTCCAATGCCTTTGCCCGGTCCCGCGAGCCCATCTCCTTGTACTTCTTCTCCATGACCTGCTTTTTTAGATCCGACTTCTTCAAGTAGTATGGGTTCGCCTTTTTTCCCTCGCGAATCAACTGTTTCTCCTGCTTCCGATGCTCGGCCATAATATCCGCTTCGCGCTTACGGTTCTCGCGCGTCTTCATCTGGTCTGTTGCCGAGCGGATCTGCTTCTTCAGCGCCTCCTTCTGCTCAGCATTCTTCGTGCGTGCGTGCTGCGCCTTGAGATCCTTAAGCTCCGACGCCCGGTACTCGTCCAAGAAAGCATACGCCTTGTTCGCTGCGTGCGCGTTCTTGCCAGCGCCACTGTGGCCCATGACCGCGGCGTCGAAGCGCGGGTCTCGCGCTTTGGCGGCTGCCGGAGGCTCAACCACGGTGCGCTTGCGCGACACCGCACGTTTGGAGGACATCTCCATAGGGGCATGCTTATTGGCCCGGCCAGCCTTCTTGTCACGGGCATCTTTGCTAGGAGCGGCTTTGGCGGCGGCTTCACGTTTCTGCTCGCGTGCTTCTCGGATGCGGGCCCGGATGTCATCAAGCGGAGAGGCGGTGGAATCGGTGTTGGTGGTGGATTTTGAGATCTTTCCCTTACGTGATTTGGGGCCCATTGAGGCTTGGGCTTTGGCGAGAGCACCGAATGAGATGTTGTTTAACGAAGATTGAAAGTTATCGTCTTCGTCTTCCTGATCAGAGCTGGCCTCATCAGAGCCAGCGTTGTCGCTGTTCTCAGAGTCGTCATCATCATCATCCTCTATTCCATCAGAAGCTTGGGACTAAATTTCAAGCCGTTTGTCAGTAAAAATCCTCTTGTGCGATAAGAAATGAGCCAGCATACATCTCCGGATTGCAAATCTCCAGCATCAGAGTCGCCATCCTCACCCTCATCTTGGGATTCCCCGAGGTTTGAATCTTCTGAATAGACTTCCTCATCTTCATCAGGCCTGGCCCGCACACGGCGGTTCAATTTATCTGAGATGGCCATTTTGGTGTCTCTATTGCAGATATCGCACGTAGGAAATCATCGAGTCGGGGAAAGAAAAATATTGCCGACCTAGGCGGTGAGTGCGATAACGCTGATTAGATATTTTTTCTGACTAGATTGTCGTCAGCCCGCGATCTCCACCAGCGTAACAAGTGGTAGTCCATGTCTACTTCACCCTGTTCAACTCACCTCTGGAATTCAGTCAATCGCTTTAAACAGTACAGGGTTAAATACCAAGGAGCTTGCCAGGTATGTCCATGTGAACTACCTTTATGAACTCTTGTTTACATCCTAATTCCTGAAACTGACCCCATTGATGCTTGATAGGTCGTTTCGCGCGCCTTGCCCTCTTCCAACACGTCCAATTCCCTGGTTCACAAGTCTTGCACATCAGTCAAGCTGACACGCTCAAAGAAAAAACAAAAGCGTGCGCATGACGCCGCTGGGCCTGGTGTGCCTGCTAGGCCTGTCGGGCGATATGCGGGTCCGACCAATAACGCACCAATTATGAATGTAGGAGAAACATACATTAAACAAGACGAAGGGCTGTTTTGGCCAGCGTCTTCATTTACTGGCTTTCCTCATTCCACGTTGCCACACAATCCAATGCCATACGTTCCCAACCTGGTACCCGCAGGGCAGGCTGCGCCTTCCCATCTGCCATTATCATACGCCCCTGGGATAAGTCACCATTCGCGTGAACCAACAACGCCAATACATAGCACAAATGAAAGAAATCCATACGCTGGTGGCCCTCCTGTTCCATTGCCGCAGGGATCACCAACCAGTTCCCTTGGCGCCTTCAATGTTCCTTTATGGAACCCTGCAAATATGAGAAACGCTTCCGGAGCACCACCGATGCCATTCATGGATCCTACTTTTTTCCATCAGCCAGCCATGGGCAATTTCCCTGGTAAATTTCCCATGATGCCATTTAATCCAATGGCTCCTCTCCAGAGCGCCAACATGAGCACAATGGCGACAGGACCAGGACAACTCCCTGGCCTATCCCAGCCACTACCTCCAAGAGCACGATCTCCCACACCGCCAATGAGACGACCAGCCCCGACAAAAGAGTACATGGAACAATCCTCCAAATTACCGCAACGAAGTCCTCAAAAACGACCGTTGCTAATCATCCTCGACCTTAATGGCACCCTGATCTACCGCAAACATCGCAAACTTCCACCCAACTTTGCTCGTCGTGCAGGGCTTGACCACTTCCTTGATGTCCTGACGAGTAATTATGCCGTGATGATTTGGTCCAGCTCGAAACCACCAACTGTGAACGCCGTCTGTGAGAAACTCTTCCCTGGCGACAAGGCCAAGAACGTTGTGGCCCTGTGGGGACGTGACAAGTTTGGCCTCAGCAAAGTCCAGTACAATGCCAAGTTACAGGTATACAAGGAGCTCCGCAAAGTCTGGGCCAGCCCCGAGATTCAGGCTGCATATCCCGGCAATGCGGCTATGAGGGAGGCTCCATCACCACCCAAAAATGGCGGCAGCAGGTTCAAATCACAAAATCAGAATCGAGCCCATCCCAGTAATCTCCCTGCTGGCCAGCGTTGGGACCAGACAAACACCATACTCATTGATGACAGCAAATTGAAAGCTCTCAGCGAGCCTTTCAACATCCTTGAGATCCCTGAATTCACCAACAACCCGGCAGTGGATGAGAGCACGCTATTTGCCAATGTTCTCGCCAAGCTGGAGGTTCTCTCTCGCCACGACGATGTGAGCAAGGTGCTCCGCCTGTGGAACGGGCGCGTCGAGCAAGGCGAAGGAAGAATCCTCGACCTAGCCATCGAGCCGTGCGAGGACGACACCGACATGGACGAAGACGGCGGAATCAGTCTCCTTCCACCCGTGCTTGCTTCAATCCCAGCGCCCGCCGACCCCAGTGCCGAAGTGCCACCTCCAACAGATGCAGAAGAAGCTGCACGAATCCGCAAGGAGCGCAAGAAATTGCGCAAGAAGGAGAAAAAGCTGCCAAACAAGCCGCCAAAGAAGCTGCTTTCGTCGAGGCTAGGGCTGCCGCCGCCGCTGCTGCCGCTGCCACTGCCAGTACCGTCCCCATCCCCACAACCGAGACCTCGAGCGTGCCCGCCGGCAAACGCCGCAATAAGGGCAAGGCCAAGCAAACACAGCCCATTCCTGCCCCCGATGAGCCCAAACAGTACAACTTCCACTCGCGCCCTGTTCCTGCCAGTCTGAACACGCTCCCCAACGCGGAAGACAGCACCGCGGCTTCGCAGCCGAGCCCAATCTCGGTTGCCATCCCAGGTCTGGCTATGAGCATGATTGACACCTCGACGACCACCCCAGCGTCTGCCGGGCCGTTCCCCGAACAGCCGTATCCCATAAGCTTGGACCCAATGCACCGCTCGGTGTCGCCAGCGACGTCTTCTGGTTCGAATAACTCGCTGCTGGACCGACTGGAGGACGGACTTGGATTCCCACGGGACAAGCAAGAGTGAGAGTGTGCTGTGAGTTGCGATCTCCGATCTCTCTTCATTCGTTGCGTCAGTTCCTGTTGTCTAGGTCCCGAAGGGCTCTAGGGGCGGAAGGCTGAGGACATGAGTGATGCAAATCTGGGCCGGGTAACCTGGTGCCTTGAAGCAAAGGGGTTTCTGATGAGATCTTGAAAGTTAAGGTGTTCGAAAAAGGTTTGAGGGACGGGGTGGTTGGTGGGGGTGTTTTTGGTTACGGTGTATTGTTTCTTTTTCAGGGTTCTTGACTGGTGTAGATGGGTACATATATGAGCATTTCTTTTAGCGCTGATGGAATTCACATTACTCCAGGGATTTGAATGATACACACAACCTACCTACCCTTGTATATAGAACAATAGAATGATCCTTCTCTGTTCACCCTTGATTTTATAAATCTTGCGGATGCCTTGAACCTAGGAATTCTTTCTTTGTTCTTTATTTGCTATTCTTCAATGTAAAGCTATGAATGGATATGATTAGCGCACTATATTATATGACTGTTCAGCTTGAGTTATGATATGGGAAGTCAGTGGAACAAGATCTAGATCATATTGGCCAATCCCCTCATCGCCTAATACATTAACATCGCCGGACTTTCGTCAACAAATGATCATAGCTATGATCGTACACTTCTGGAGAATATATGTCCAACTGTAATTCTTTTTGGCACATTCTAGAGATCCAAAAGTTGCGCCCGGAAGCTGGAAAACTTTACTGTTGTCGAGCGAGGCTGGACTATGATTGACGACGGAATTCAACAATTGAGAGTGGCTTGCAAATTGAATCAAGAGGCATACTGGCGATGAGTGATAATGCAACTTTCCCCGTCCACACTTTGGTATAAAGTTCATCGGTTGTAAAGGTCCAGTAAACTGTTTCACCACAAGCGATATTGATATAACTATGTCCGAAGAGACAAAGTATTGCTTGATCGTTGTTAGTACAGTCACTATCAAAGTCTCCATGCAATCCTCTAATCTCTAATTCAGTCTTTACTTACCACTAAATAAGATATCAGAGCATAGTCCATCTTTAAATGAAATTAGAACCTTAGGCGACGGGCTCGTTACTCAGTGAAACCCCGGTTCGGCTGGCATGGCACTAATTTCCAAGTCGATCTTCTCACAGGTGTTACCCGACTCTAAGAGAGTCAAGAGGGGTTTCATGTAATTGAATCATGGTGTTTTATTGCTATTCAAATGCATAGACCTAACATAGAGGTGAGTGCTAATCTAGTGCATTGTCAAAATTAATTGTAGGTGGTAAATATATATCCCACCCATCAGAGGTTGGGAATGTTTTGAAATACTGTCAAAATATGGTGCACATAGCTCAGATATACGAATATCCGCAGTAATATCGTCAAGAAAATGGCAAACTTATTCACCATATAGCAATTTCATACTGTTAAGATATACAAGTCGAATGGCATCGAAAAGTGTAGCAGAGCGAACCGTGATGCGATACGGTCTTCCAGCGTACATCCAATGTAAAGCAACTCTTCATGCATTCCAGAAGTTTTGAAACTCTCCCAAGTCAACTCGACTTAAACAGGGACGCAACAATTTAGATTAAAAACAACGATCTACGGAGGATATAAAAGATTTCCACATAAATTCGCCAGAGACAACACAGTCCCGACTCCTTTACTTAGATTGCTAGTGATTTTTTTCTTATCTAGCAGCGACAAACACAAGTTCCACCCTCGGCACCAACACGGCACTAAGCAAAAGGGGAGGGAAACAAGTTAAGTCGATCATCTCATCTCGCATCGCAACATATCATAAGCGTGAACGTGGACCACATCGGCGCGTAACAAAAAAAAATGGAGGGAGTCATTTTAAACCCGGTACTATGACACAGTCACAGGGTAGGGCATATGAGAAAAGGGTAGAGAAGAGCAGGAGGAAGGATCTCCTAGGGGTATTTGGAGGAGGAATGAGGAAGAAACAGGGGCTTCGGCTTCCAGGGGCGAACGCACACGCTTATTTGAAGACGTGGCCGTCGGCAAAGGCCTTCTCCTCACCGTTAACGGTGACGGGGACGTCCCAGGCCCACATGTCCTCAACGTACTTGCGGTCAGCCTCGGAGCTGGGGTCGAGCTTGACGAAGTCGTAACTCTCCCAGTCGGGGGCGACATCGAAGGCGGGAGCGAACTCCTGACCACGGGTCATGAAGACACCCTTGATGACGCAGTTGTAGTTGGTACCATAGACACCCTGGGCACCGAAGAGGTACTTGCGGGAGGCCTCAAGACGAGCGTGGAAGCCACCGATCAGGTTGTTGGCCATGAAGGTGAGCTTGAGCTCCTCGTTGTACTTGTAGTCGACCTTCCAGAGAGAGTACTCATCGGCCTTGAAGTTCTGCCAGAACCAGGGGAGGGCAACGGGGCGAGTGTCCTCGTTGGAGTACTGGCGCTTCCACTCATCAAGGATGAGGGTGGGCTTGCCAAGAGCCTCGAGGGGGTGCTTGGGCTTGGGGGCCTCGACGGGCTTCTCCTCAGCGGCGGGAGCAGCAGCCTTGGGCTTCTCCTCCTTCTTGGGGGGAGTGTACTTGATGCACTCGGCAACGAGCTTGGCCTCAGGGACAACAGCCTTGAAGGCGGACTGGTTGACGATGGTGTTGTACCAGCGGGTGACAGCGGGGTTGGCATCACGGAACTTCTTGTCCAGGACGTTGGCGAAAGCGCGGGTCATGAGAGCGGCGGTGAAGATATCAGCCAGGGTGATGCGCTCACCGACCAGGTAGGTGTTGGCAGTGAGGTGAGTCTCGAGGACGTCAGTGGCCTTGAGGGCAGCCTTGGCGGCCTCATCGACGGTCTTCTTGTTGTAGCCCTCGAGGCCCAGGAGGGGGCGGTACCAGGAGCCAAGGCGGGGGAGGAGCTCGCCGTTAGCGAAAGACATCCAGCGGACGATGGAAGCATAGTCCTGCTTGGTCTTTCCGAGAAGGGTGGTCTTCTCGTTCTGGGAGGTCACTAAAAAGAACCAAAACACGTTAGTTTAGGTTTTCTCCGGCAGGTGGGGATTCACGATGGAATCATGCAATCAGAGGCGCCAATGGGACAATGTGAAACGAAAAAGGGGGCCAGGAAGAGAGGATTGGTTGGTTGGGTTGGTCACGCAGGTTGCGGTTCACTTGGGTGAAGCTCAACCTGGGACCACCTCCAACCAACCCCCTCTTTGAAAAATTTTCCCCCTGAGCGGGGTACTCATAGTGCTTGGGGTTGTTTGTTTCAGAGGTGTTACGTTATCAACAGTATTGTTCTGACAGGGATAACTAAAAAATTTGCTCATCATAAAAACAAAGGGCAGGTGGCGGAAGGAATTGTCGAAGTCCCGAAGTGGCGTAGGGGCAAAAGAGTGAAAGATGAACACTTGTCAACATACCGTAGATGGCGATGGCGAGAGCCTCGGAGAGAGTGAAGCCATTGGCACCCTCGAAAGCAGGGATCTTGCCAAGGGGCTGGATCTTGCGGTACTCAGCACCGGCGTTGAAAGCAGCGGCGCTGTTGGGCTCAGTCTGAACCAGCTCGACATCAAGGTCGTTGTGCTTGGCAGCGACCAGGATGGAGATGGTGCGAGGGTTGGTCTGAAGGAAAGACAGTTAGAAGGGCTCACGACAAATAAATGGAAGCTGGAGAAGCCAGTAAGGACATACCGGGAGACCGTAGAGCTTGCCGAAGGCCATCTTGAAAGCAAGGGGGGGGGGATAGGAAGAGTATGGAAAAGAAGAAGAAGAGGGAGGAAACGGAGAGGGGCAGATGAAATTTTGTGCGGATCCCGCCATTCGGGACTCGGAGGAACTGTTCTTGCATAAGTCACGTGGCGGGAAAAACAGCGGTGCCCGTGAACATCGAAAGAAGCCCGGCGACTTCAGGGCCACGGAAGTCGATTTCTAATCTTCACACCATTCCACCCACCATGGCCCGGGTTACACCCAATGGCCTCGCACAGGCCTTCCAGGCCTTACGGCTACACTCCGCGACATCAATTCGCCCCACCACCCGGTGCATGGCCCGACAGACCCGCACCTATGCGACAGAGGTGCAAGGGCAGCGACAACCAGCAGCCCCCGAGGCCGAGGCCGTGACTGCGGCACCCGAAATCAACTTTACAACCTTCTCCATGAACCCGGCGCGGATTGTACCGGCTTCCCCGTCCTATTTCTCCGGCAGCCCGCGGTTCATCGACCACGTCCTGAAGCTGGAAGCCCTGCAAGCGAAGTACGCCTCACTCCCGACTGTGGCCGCAGGTGAGGCACCACGGATGGCGTGGTTCAAGCTTGCCCAGTTCCGTGACTTCGTGGGGGAGCAGGTGCCGATGAAGAAATATAAGAGCCTGGTCAAGATCCTGCAGCAGTTGAACCGCATCCAGCCGGAAATGGTGCCCGACGAGGTGAAGACGGTGCTGGAGTCATTCCTGCGGCCAGGCAACCCGTACGCCGTGCAGCATGTGCGGCGGACGGTGGACGAGGACGGCTGTGCGCGTGCGAAGGGCAAGCGTAAGGAGTCGACGGCGGTGGTGCAGCTGGTTGAAGGCGAGGGCGAGGTTATTGTCAATGGCAAGTCGCTGGTTGAGGTGTTCCAGCGTGTGCATGATCGGGAGAGCGCTCTGTGGGCGCTGCGCTGCGCTCAGAGGCTGGACAAGTACAATGTGTGGGTTACCGTCCGGGGCGGTGGTGTAACTGGCCAGGCGGAGGCAATTACACTGGCGATTGGACGCGCTCTGTTGCTTCATGAGCCGGGTCTGAAGTCTGTTCTGCGGAAGGGTATGTTTCTGCTATATCTCCGATTCCCCTTTTTCATTCAATTCCTTCATATACTAACACCCTTTGCTCTCTAGCTGGCGTCATTACTGTCGATGCCCGTCGTGTGGAGAGAAAGAAGCCGGGTCACGTCAAGGCTCGCAAAATGCCTACCTGGGTCAAGCGTTAAAAAAGTGCAGGGAAATTTCTTGTCGAGCGATGCTTTACCTTTCCTTTTTCCCCTGTTTTTTTTTTCTACTCCCATCTATCTATGTATTATTTTACCTGCATGGCAGCTCGAGTCGCCAATTCTGTTCTATATCCTGTACAATGCATATGGGGCTTCGAATGAGATGTGAAATCCATAATTCCCTCGAAGCATGACAAATCCAAGTTCTCGGTTCAATTTTATTGCGAGTCAGTTGATCTGTCTCAGGTCCCAGCAAACTCTAACGAAGTGTCAACCAAGCCATGCTGCCATTGTACTATTCCGTTCGATTCAGGCCCGGAACCCCCTCCCTTCTCCTCCCGACAAAAGTACTCTGAGCATTGATCGGATCTACCGCTTCTCTGTTCACTAAAGAGAGAAAAATCTTTTCTTCTATCTTCAATCAAGGAAAAAGAAAAAGGAAAAAGAAAAAAAAAAAGAGATATACAGAGGGAGCCAGGGCAGATTTAAATATAAGGTATCATGACATGATCTTCAATGCAGAAGGCCTACAGATATATGTAAGTGATCTAACGAGAGTTGCACACCAATTTTGCGCCGAGATACCTGCTTCCCAAGGAACCCCATTCTTTGGTTTTTTTTTGTAACCACACGCCCGGATGCATCAGTCCCAATGAAGCTAGAAAAAACAAAACCGATAGGGAAATAAAGAAAGAACGGAAGGAAGGAAGACATAGTACCCATAACCAAGATTCGTAAACCAGTCACGCCGCGAGTAGAAATAGGAAAAGCTCGTTTCCCCCATCTGCTCCTTAACACCGGGAAGTAGTCAAGTAGTAGTCGCATCGGACATTTGAAAGGGAGGAGAGCGGGAGGGAAAACGAGGCTAGCCACTGGCGATATGTACAACTTGTCCATTTTCATCATACCACGCGTCCAACGCGCGAGGCTAAAAAACTAGTGAAGAGGATGGAGGGGTGGGGGGAGGGGGAGGTTATTTGCTCAGATCACAACCGGGATACGAGTACGGCTAGCGACGAACTATATCGAGGCGTGAGGGAGAGGAGATCTGGTTGGAAGGCGGGACGGGACGCTAGATCGAGATGGGAACGAAATGACAGAGAAAGAGGAGGGGGTCAGAGAGCGCCGAACCAGCCCGGCCGCCTTTGGATCCATCTCTTTTTGAGGGAAAAGGAGGGATCGATCCCAGTCATCCATATTGGGGAGGGTAATTTGGGGAGGGGGAAGGCAAGTGAGGAGGTGACCAGTGCAGGCGATCTCCAATATCACATCGGCGTTCGATTGGCGCGGCGCTAGTAAGCAATAGCGTCTTCCGTGGCGGCGGACGAACAAACCCGGGCCAAAGTCCAGAGTGCCCCAGACGCCATGTTCCCCCCTCGTCCCTCGACCCGCACGCGCGGGATCACGGTCCAAGGACCCGGTCTTCCCGGCCCTAGTGGAACCCGAAGCTGTGGTTGAGGTCGGATTGACGGCTTCGTGACTTGCTTTTTTCTCTTTTCTTTTTCTTCGTGAGGTGGGGGGTGTCAAGAGAGCAGGGGAGAAAAGAGACGGGTCTGGGGTATCATTCAGGAATCGTGGATCTTCATAGATCGTGGATTGTCGGGAGAAGTCTCAACTCGGCGGGATTCATGGACGCGGCACTGTCGTGGCGGGTTCAGGGACCGCCTGGAGCCGGAGTAGGTCCGGTCTGCTCTCCATGAGATCCAGACATTGACCGAGAACTATCGAGCGTGTGGATTAGAACCCGAGTACTAGAGGACTAGGGTATGGAGAACATGCGCTCCCCTGGCATTCCCCCAAAATGAATCGGAGAAAGTTGCAGTTCAACCTACCAGATAGAATCTCTTCCTCCCAGATGCCCATCTGGTAGTCCACCAGGCCGTGCTGCTCGAGTTGGTCGCAAAACTGAATGAGATCCTTACCCATGGCTTCGAGTCGATCTCGACTCAAGAGAGTCCCCTGCCCGGGCTGTTGGGAGGCCGCTAGATCCTGCGTGAGATCCTTTTGTCTCTGGCAGACGGCCAGCCAGCACAGATTGAAGTCATTCCAAAGCGCCAGTCGGTCGGGGTAGAGCAAGTGATCGTCGCGCAGAATTCCTATGTATCACAAACCATTAGTCTCGTTAGTCTCGGTCCTCGTTCCCCGGGGAAAAGTTCATCTTATGTGTGACGTGGGTCTCGAGGATGCAGGAAGAGTCCTGTCCAGCAGGACATTTGGTATGACAACTCGGTGCTCTCGAGTCTTGTACCTTACGCTAGATGCAAGACCAAGACCCTCGCTCTCAACCCCCCCGGCCAGTATGCGTAGGGCCAATGCCTTGTTTCGGGATGGCCCCAGCCACGCAAAGAGTGGACACAACTCAGAACAAGAATGATCAAAAGCAGAAAAATGAAAGAAATAAAAATAAAAATAAAAAAGTGTCAGAGAGAAGTAAAAACTTACCCAGATCCCGGGCGTTAGTCACAAGCCACTCGGAAATTTCCAGCAGTGATCGGCTCGCTTCCACCAATCGTCCGGCACGCGTATGGTCGAAGGTGCTGCGGAGAGCCCGCTGGTACTGGGCGTACGCTTCCTCCAAACTGGAGGAATCGGCCGGGGCCTCGGGCTGGGATGGCGGATCCAATCGGCCAGACAGTCCGATGGACGTGAACTCAGCCATGGTCGCGGGGAAAGAGTGCGAGGTGTTCGGGCGTGGCATGGGTCCCGGTTGATTATATGGCAGCGGCGCATTCAGGTAAGGTGAGAGGCCAGCAACTCCCGGGGCTGTGGATTCGTCCGGGGTGAAATACTGCGGTACGGCAAATGGGTTCGACAGGGCTTCAATCACTGCAGACTGCCGTGTCGGGTACTGTGGAACAGCGTCGAAAGATCCTGGCGCTGGACCCTGCTGACCAAAGCCGTACAGCATCGCCGACTCATACGGCACGAACGTGTCTGGTGGCCGCCGCCGGCTGGTGGATGGAGACGGCATGGGCTGCTGTGGATGGGTCGGGCGAGACCGCACGAACTCACCGTAGCTCTGCATCTCATTCTCCTGCAGGGAGCCGTGGAAGGAGCCGCCTGGATAGCCGTAGTCATAGGACAACGGAGCTCGATCCGGGCCCTGCGACATGCTTGGGTCACCGCGAGGCATGGCCTCGAAACGATCGGTAGCACGGCGGCCATTGCCTGCCCGTGCCATCGACCTCTCATGCTGCTTCATGCGTTGGTCGCCATCCATGAGGCTGTCCCACACAGACCTGCGTGGGTCGAGATCGGCCCAATGCTGGGGGGACAACGGTGGACTTGCGTAGGATGCCAGCTTGGGTAGACACAGAGCTCTGGTCGTCAGGCTCTCAATTGGGGAGAGAAAAGGGTCCACGATGGCAGCAAAGAGCAAAAGATTTGAAGACGCCTAGGCGGGAGAACCTCGGTTAACTGGAGAGGATCCGAGTTGAAGCTGGAAATCGGCGCAAATTGAATCGCAATGCGCTAATGGACCAACACTCAAGTCCATATAAAAGGACAAAAAGAATCAAAATAGTCCAGTAGATCGGATGCGTCGATCCCTCAAGGCCGAGGCAGCGTAGGTCGCAAGTCGAACCGTCAATGTTGAAGAAGAGTCACAACCCGAAGGCGAATGGGAGGTATATAAACCACAACAGCCAGCTGGACGGTATATGAGGAACTTGCTCGAAGCTTTTGCCGGTGAGAGACGAACTTGGCAGGCCGAACACGAGAGCAGTCAACCAATAAATAAAAGCAGAAGAAAGAAAGATGACGCTGGAGGCCAGATTAGGGCTAGACCATGGCAGACAGTCGAGGCAGAGCACAGAGAAGATTCAGGGCTGACAAAAGCAACCAGATCGAAAAGAATTAATAAACGAATATAATCCCAGAGACAGCAGCTGACAGCAGACAGAGAGGATGACAAAAGGACTAAACGTCTCAACCCCAAATAAATTAACAGAGCAGAGCGAGAAAAAAAAACATACCTGTAACACCGGGTTCAGCCAAAGGAAGTGGATAAATGCACGCGCGATCTCTTCATCGGGCTCGTGGGGGACCAGGTACTTGGGTAGGAGGAGACGGGTCAGGGCGCGGGATAGTATTTGAGAACTATTTACTTATTTGATGCCCCACTGGGGGTGGGTGGAAAGGCAAAGGGCGCTAGACGTCGATGATCACACACGGATCTACGCCTTAAACTCGTTCGGGGACCCGTACCTGTGCGTCTGCGATCGGCCGGGACACCCGAAGCGCTGGGTCCTGGTGGGCTCCCGAAAGCTAGGGATGATTTACAGCGAAAGGGGGAAGGAAAAGAAAATAAAGGGTGATAGATCCATGGATCCAGATCCCTGGTTATAGTTTGAGAAGGGGAGGAGGGAGGAAGGAGGAGGAACGTTCCTCACGGGGAGTCAGAAAATCGAAAAACGAAAAACGAAAATCGAAAAACGAAAATAGAAATTAGGAATTAGGAATTAGGAATCAGTAAATAGAAAACAGCCAGAAAACAACCATCACACCAAACCAAACAACAACCCCCCCCCTCCAACCCCCCAGACCCCGAGTGGAAAGGCAGAAGGGCCTGCTAGGCTGGTCTCAGCTGTCGGGCGATCGAGGGTCAGGTGGGTGTGTTTTGTCATTCTTACATGATGATTCGAGTAGAGGATGTGATTTGTATTTAGGAATTCCGAAAAATTTTTTTTTCTCTTTTCGGATGGGATTTGATTTTTGATTTGCGATGTGTAACTCTTATTTATTATGCCTGGGGCTGACGATCCATGGACGCGGTGGCGGTGCCCTAAAACGAACGAACTGACGGACTCACAGACTCGCAGACTCGCAGTAACAAGGGCCCGCCTGGCCAGGGCAACTTGTTCCATTGACAGCGGTTGGATGTCATGTAATTTGAGATTAGGATCGAGATTGTGTTTTTTCTTTTTCCATCCTTTTTTTCCCGTTTTCTGTTTGGATTTTATGAAATTTCTACCTTTCGACCTTTCTACTTCTCCTTAGAGTTCATTGCATTCATCGCCGAATGCTCCTGTCATGCTCGGTGCATTCTCGATCGATCAGCGTAGAGTCCAGGTCTCTTTTCTCTCATCGTTCAAGTGAAAGCCCTACCATGCGAGGGCAGATTTGGATCCCCTTGCTCGGGCTCGGCTCGATCTTCGAGTCTACTACCTGGAGAGTCGGGCGGTTCGACAGGAGAAGATCAGCATTAGCCAAACACCACAAGCCGACAGAGACAGGAAAATAAAAAGCAAATGCCATGCACGGCAGCACTGCAAGTGTCAACTCCAGACCCAGTCGGCTGGGAGCAGTCGAGGGCCTCTGCAGTGCCTTTTTCGAGCCGAACAAGTGGGCCAAACAACCTTACCATACACACAGCTAGGGGACTTCCCCCCTCCCCCCAAAAAGAAACGCAACAATAGAGAGCCATATTTCAACACGAAGTCTTGCAGTTGCTATGATAAAAAGACTATTCCATTGTTCCATCCAATTTCTTTCTATGTTCTCGGAGATTCCAGGGAGAATCGACGGTCGTCGAGGGCGCGGTGCTGGGACATTCCACGGATAGAATTGCTCGGACAGCTGCTGGGCGCCTCCTCGCTGCATCTACCAACCCCCTTTCTCCCTTTTCGGATATCTGCAACATGAGAAGGAGGAAAAGGGGAAAGCAGGAGAAAGTACATAATTCGAGGGCGCAAAAGAATTTGAAGGGCCACCCATGCTCTGGTACTATGGGGTTCTTCTGGTGGCATCAAAGGATACACAATCCCGACAGAGCACAGGGTGCTCTGTACTCTGGAGATAAGAACTCATTATTACATAGTTGCAGGAGTCTGCGACGAGAGAAAAAGTAACTCCCTCCATCTCGCCCATCTCTCCTCCATCGGCAATTGATCATGACCCACCAATTCTTTCATCACGTCTTAGCGTCCTGTCATCGGGATGGCCCTTCCCTCCCAGAATAAGTCAAGACATCCTTATTGTTGGGCATGGGGGTTGTCTGCCCGATTGGCCGATCTGCATCCACAACCTCCAGCTAGGGACTTGTCAAAAAAGCCCGGGACTGGCATGTCATTCCGCCCCCAACTGGATCCGGCGCTCTGGTTGAAATGAGGACTGTGCCGAGGTTGGGTGCTTTAGCGGCGTTGGGTGCATGATTTGTACGAAGGAGTTAGAATGGAGCGCGAGTTAGGGTTCGAGTGGATTCAAAGTGACACCCTTTAGGAAGTACGTGTTCCGAACCTCCGTGCCTTGGCATCTACAAGAGAGAAGAGTAGGGGAAGGTTAGGTATCGAGTAATCCGGCCATTAGGTGTAGTAGTTGTAGCTGTGGAAGGAGTACAGCGACCCATTCTCCCCTCTCTCTTCCTCATTGTTCTGTATCCATTTGTATCCACCAGGCTGTACCTATCGGAAATAATTCCATGCCCGATGGTGTGCGGACTGGAGGAGCACATTGGCCGGTTTCAGGTTGTTCCGAATAGAGACGCCTGGCTCATAGAGGAAAGACAAGAGACGAACTAAAAAAAGCGAGACAGGATCTGGTACTCTGTACATTGCATGCGCTTCGCTGATTAGACAAAGGCCGGGCTCCACCACGTACGACAGAGACTCGTCCGCCTCCGACCCGTTGGCCAGTTGGCCCAGCTGTTCAACCGCTACCAAACCCCCCCCCCCCTCTCTCCAATTCACATCCTGGATCTTCATCTCACCATCTCACTGTGATCTCACACCAGAATCTCACGTATCTCCGTCACGATCAGCCATAGATGGTCGTACCAAGCGAGCGGAGGAGAGGGCAATGCTCTCGTTCTCCCCTTGTTATACCCTCATCCACGTCGTGGGGTAAATGGTCGTACCCGGAGGCCTCCCCTCGACACGACGCCGGATGATGCAATCTGCGCAACTCGGGACTCGGGTCTAATCGTTCACGAACGCTAGGTGTCTTTGTGCACTTCGGTATACAGCTTGCAACCACGAGCCCGGTGGCCGGAACAGGAGTTGCACCGCGCGGCTGAGGCTTGCCACACCCGTTCTCTTCGTCGGGGAGTTTTCTGCGGCACCTAGTTCTATTGTACCCCCTCCCATCCCGGTCCAGGTGCCTGTCTCTCTCTCTCTCTCTCTCTCTTTATTTGTCTTTGCCTTTGCACGATTGCGTGGCTTTTCTTTTTTTTCTTTTTTTCTTTTTCTTTTTAATTTGTCTCCTGTTTGGCCCTCGCGTTCTACCACCGGGCTTCAGGGTCCCGATGGGACCTCCTGTCAGCTGACAGAGACCGTATTCGGGATCTAGAAATGGGAAAGAGGGAAGAGTCCGAATATAGACGCAGAATAGCAGGGAGAAACAGATCCTCGGGAAAGGGAGACGCAAATGCGTTTGAACTGGCTCGGTTCCGGGGCTATTGTCCTTCCGAATGATTGAGGATGAGCAGAGGATTGGGATTGGGACTGGTTACCCCCCTGCTCGGTTGAGATTGCACCGCTCCACGAGACCTGCAGGCTGGACGGGGAGAGGTTGGCCCGACGAGTTTCATGGGTTTCGAACGAGCGAATGAGACTGCCGTTGTTGGAGGTCGTTTTCTGGCTTGTGGCGAACAGAGAGATAGGAAGAGGCCGCGAATGAAACACAATGCGCTCATATCAAATTTTCGGTTTCTTTGGTCCCGTGAGATCTTTCCAAACTCGTAGGGGAGAACTAAACTACACAAACATACGTAACGGGTCATAGAGTCATGTCATATGGTGATCAAGACCAAGGATGAGAGGGCAAGGTCGGGAGAGGGAATCTCAAACAGAGCGCCAAACAGTGGGAGGAAAGGGCGGAAAAAAAAAAGGAAATTATCAGGAAAGACAGTCGGGATGCGCTCGGCATTTTGACATCTCTGCATCTCGACCGTACTGCAGATCCTGGTGCAGGGATGCCTAAAAGATAATGTCTGTTATATTTGATCTAGGATGGTATGTCAGCACCCAATCGTGGACGAGAGGAGTGAGATTAAAACATACCAGAACGTGCTGAGAGTCATGCTGAGATTCACATCAGTGCTCTCTACCATCTCAGTAAACTCCTCAAAGCTGATACGGCCGTCACCATCCTTGTCGGCCTCCATGATGGTCTTATCCACAATCTGCTGGAGCTGGATATCCTTCAGGTTGTTGCCAACCATCATCTTTAGCACAATGAACAGCTCGCCGTTGGAGATATAACCGTCGCGGTCGATATCGTACACGCGGAAGGCAAAGCGGAGCTTCTCTTCCTTATTGCCCTTGGAACTAAATGCCGACAGTCCAGTTACGAATTCTTGGAAATCCACGTCGCCGCCACCATCCTCGTCGAAAATCGCAATCATTCTAAGGTTGTAGAGACGGTGTTAAGGGCGAGATCATGTAGGGGTGTTGGACTCATCATCTCTTCTTCTTGCGTGGAGAGGAGAGGCATGGTTGTTACAATACGAACCTCGTGGCCAGCGGGTTGGAAGAAATCTGCGGCAGGGAAAGGAATTCGTCACGGTCAATCGTGCCGGAAGCATCCTATCAGACAGAGTGAGCAGGTTGTCCCAAAACAATCGGTTTCTTTGGCTGTAAATTATTGGACGGAGATTTTGACGCGGTTGCGTACCTTATCCAGCTTCATGAAACGTTTGCGCAGGCGGTCCACTTCATCTCTGTCGACTAATCATGCCAGTCAGCCATGTCCCAACTCATTTGTGAAGTATTTTGGGCCGGTTCTACGATCGCCCGATTAAGACGGCATACAATTGGATGTGGAAACGATGTTATCGAAAAGTTGCGAGGTACCGACCGAGCCTCGGCGGCGCTGCACGCTTTGGATGGCGGCGGTGTTGGGTTCACTGGGTTGGGGCTCCATGAAGGGCGCGGAGGAATGTGAGGTGAGAGTGAAAGGGAGACAAGGGGGTACAGAGTGAAGGAAGAGAAGAAGGAGGGAGGAAAAGAAGAAGATCACCAAGGAGAGTGGAGGATTTTCAAGGAGGAATCAGATAAGCAGAGTAAGGAAATAACCAAACAGACGAACAGCTGAAAGGAGGGGAACCTCAGCGGAGTGGAAGGCGGTGGAGGCGAGTCTAGATGCCTTTGTGCCTTAATGCCTCCGTGCCTCGACACCAGGGCGATGTGATAGACACCTGGCGGATCAGGCCGCAACAACGCGCATCGATGATTCTGATAATGCCCAGCCCCGCACTAACCGCTTCCGGTCAGGCAAGCGAGCCCCTGAGGCCGTGCGCGTAGCCAAAACAGGCCATCACCGGGTGACATTGCAACGTCAACCCAACCGCCCGCCGCGAAGCTGCCCGTCTTGTGCTGTTAATAACTCCCCCCACTCATCGAAATTTATCGTCAAACTACGATTACGAGAAAGCGCATGACCTGACCTTCCGATCAATCCCAATTTTACCCCCCCACCCGCCCATGTTCGTTGCCCTTTTGCGCGCCCCGACGCTATGACTCGGTACGGGGGCCTGGGCCGGACGCGCCCGAAAAAGCTCACCTCCAAAGCGTCCATCCCCATCGTCCGCGAGCACGAGATAGATGCCATCGACGACGAGATCCAGTCTACACTCCAACAAATTGAGACCGGCGTCGAGAAGGCCGAGGAGTCGGTGAGTGCCCCGTTCAGCCACCTATTTTTAGCCTCATCCCTGCATGTGATCACGTGATCATATCGCCAAAGAGACACGAAATTTTCACGATGCTAACCCCGGCGCGCCACGCAGGAAATCCACTTGCAGGCTGCGATCACTGCTGCCGCGCAGGGCAAGGACAATGACGCGCACATTCCCACGCGTGAGACTATCCTCAGCGACATCCCGTATGCCCAATTATACCCGCCGCTGTTTTCACAGCCGGCTACGTATATCCGCTTCTCCTCCACAGTGGAGGACTGCTGCGGATGTCCGTATAACATGACAGAGGAGGACGATGTCTTCCTGAAGAGCTTTAATCAGAAACGCGACGCGTCTAATCAATGCTCTGAAGATGACTTTGAGGCTACCATGAATTTCTTCGAGGAGACCGCACAGGCCAAGCAGCCCTTTGCGGCTGTTGATAGCCCCCCAGTTCTGTCCTTTGCCGATATGGCCGAGGCCATGGATGCTGCCGTAGAAGATTGCGTAAAGCGCTTTGCCAAAGACATATATGAGCATTGGCAGTCGCGTCGTATGGTCACGGAGAACCGGTCCCTAGAACCAAGCTTGAAGGTGCGTTTGCTTCTTCCCAATGGCACCCATCATGGGACCAAATATGTAAATACTGACATGTTCTTTGCAGTTTGAAACTGGTCAAGATACCGATGATAGTGACCCATTTGTTTGTTTCCGACGGCGTGAAGTCCGTCAGATCCGCAAGACTCGCGGCCGAGATGCGCAGAGCGCGGAGAAACTTCGGCGACTGCGCAAAGAGCTGGAAGATGCTCGACAGCTGGTTGCCTTGGTGCGCCAACGCGAAGTGGCTCGAAAGGAGATGCTTGCAATGGAGCGCACATTATTCATGCAACGCAATGAGGTCAAAGAGATGAAGCGTAAACTCAATATCAGGGACGACGACGAGGACCTCATCAACCAGAAAGTAAGCATAGCCGATTCGGTCAATATTCTCGCCGCATATACTGACTCTGTTCGCAGCCCAAGAAGAAGCAAATCGAGGTTCCTTCCCGACAGCCCAATGCGCCTCAACTCCGAATGCCTCTCAAGCCCGGCTTGCAGAGCGCAGACGATCTTCAGCTACTGGAAGATGTCCAGGCAGAGAAGGAGAACGAAATTCTGCGCGATATCAAGCAAAATATCGCCAAGCATATCAAGTGGAACGAGGGTTATGTGGATCATACCCGAGCACCATTATCTCCATCTCCAGAGCGGACATTCGACACGGCGGCATTCCGTCCGGCGTTTACCGCGCAATTACCCACTCCTCCATCATCAGAGTCATCTGGCGATATGATGGATACCTCATTAGATGTCACCAGTCCTCTGTTCTCTCGCGATAAACTCGCTTCCCGTGCGCTAGAGCTGCACGAAGAAACGCACCGTATGCCATCATTCAGACGAAGAGTCGGGCGAGGTGGTCGACTGATGATTGACCGTCGAAACGTTGCGGCACGCTGTAGAGTCGAGCTGGATCCGATAAAGGCTGATCGATTCAAGTTTGACCTTGAGGATTCCGACGAAGAGCCCATTTATGAGACCGATGCATATAGCATTCAGATCATGCAACACCGAGCCATTACGATGGCCAAGGTCCGTGAACAGGCCGCAGTAGCTCATGCGCAGGCGCAAGCTCAGGCAGCCCAGCAACGACGCATGCAGGCCGATCAAACGGGCAACCCCACGGGTGCCAATCCGAACACCAACGGCGTGACCGCAGCGCCTGAGGCGTAAAGTGGATTGTTCCTTGTCTTTCGACATCTCCTCCCCCTCTCTCTCCCCATGTTCCCCCTTTCTTCTTTCATAGCATTTGGCGGGCGTTTTTCGAGGGTTGCTTGTTTTCCCCCACCTCTTCGCCTTTACCCCCTTTTATTACCTTCTATTCCCTCTTGTAGTTTTAGTACCCCCTCATGTTTTGATGACACCCGCCAGCGGCGAAGGGATTTGATGGAGCCCGGCCCTTTTGAGTTCTTGTTTCGTTGTCGCACACCTACCCTTCTTGCTCTCCTCGATCCTCTTTTCATCCTTTCAACCCGTGACAGATACCATGTCGCAACTGATTCTGCTGGTGGGATGCCTGTGGATTGGCGCACAGCATTGTTGCCGGCAAAGCTTTCTGCTTTTATTAGTGTACATATTATTCTTGATTTCCCGGATCGAGGAGGAGCACAAGGCCAGGAATGGCCTCTTGTATGATGGATAACCGAAGTTATGATGCCAGCACGATGGAAGAAGCGGAGAAAGGCAGAAAAAAAGACTTCAAAATCTAACAGAAATATAATCACTTGCGAAAAACTTTTGGCAGCTCTTGCTTTTGGTTGTGTTGTAATTGTGGGAACGCTTTCAATCAAACACGCTGAGCTTTGAATTGTCTCGGGTCGGTGCTATCGCCATTGGCCATGCGCTTGAGAGAACCCGAGGCGACGGGCCCAAGCATGTCCAAGACAGCTTGCAAAACTTCTTTCTCGCCGATGCGCACTTGCAAAGCCATTTTTTGTCGTCGAGCAGATCCTTCGAGCGAGGCGGGGGCATTTGGAGGAACAAGACCCATCAGAATCTGTGTATCATCAGTAATAGATGAGCCGTACTGAGCCTGTTTAGCTTGAAGAGTCTTGTAAAGAAGGCCAGCCTGATTGGCATCCATGCAGGGCTTGGGTGGCTTGTTCTTAGAGCGGCGCTGCTCAAATTCCTCTGGTGCCAGCGACAGTGTGGTCAGGAGAACAACCAGTTCAACTGGCAGAATATCTTGCAACGAAGCACTGGCAGCTGGCCTTGGAATGACATAGCCGTCATCCAGCATGTCGTTTTCATCAAGAAGTTGCAGCTAATAGAGAGATTAGTTGTCTGTTTGTAGTAAAGGGGAGTGATGAGGCTGGGAGAATTACTCTTGGTTGAGACTCGACATCGCTGTTCGAAAGGCCAGCTGCCTGGCAGAAATCTCCAAGGGACAACTCAATCACGTCGTATTGTGAATAATTGTCAGTTACGTAGCCGTACCGACGAAGAAGATCTGCACGTGGAATTTCGCCGTAGTCATTGAAAATCTCCTCGCCCTCTTGGATTGGCTTGATGGCTTTCATTACCAGACACTCTTCTTCTTGGAAAAGACGGGCCTGCTCACCACATAGTCAGTACCAAAAATCTCTTGTCAAACAGCTCATGATGTCAGTGATATAATCATACGTTATTTCGGTCAGCATCGGCGTTGAGCAGATCAGCGAGAGGGACCATGCCTTTTGGCACTTGTTCATCTTCGTCATCCGTCATATAACTCTCGTCCTCAGCATCGTTATTCTCATCATCGTCATCCTCCGCCTTTTCGATGTCAAAGGCATAAGCCATGATCAGCGAACCCATCACGTGTGCCAGTTCCAGCAGCACCGCAGTTCCCTGCTCGCCTTCATATGAAGCAAGCCCATTCACAGGTGGGAATAGAGTTGGGTTGGCCTGAATAATAGGCAAAATGGACTCAAGAATAGAATTGTCCGCTCCTTGTTTGCCAATCTTGTCCACAATGGCACTCGCCTGCAGCTCCTGCAATTCCACTGGCGACCAGAACATCAGAGTATCAAAACGAGAGGGAAAGACACGGAAATAAGCTGCCCATCTCGAGCGAGCACCTTTCAGGTATTCATACAGCATAACTAGCATCAGAGATAGCCACGGACCCAGACTATCCACATCCTGACCGAGCAGGCTCTTCAGCTCCGAGTTCTGGACGGCGAGGATAAGCGAGCGCGGGATCGAGAAGAGTTCTTCACCTTCAGAGATACTGTTTCGAGCCACTAAAGTCCATAATGAAAAGAATAATTGATCAGAAGGACTGTTTTCAGGGAACGTTTTTGTGGACACACAGTGGGTTTTGTGTGGCGGGTGGGGGGAAATAGAAGCTAACTTACCAACTCCTCGGCCTGCGCCAGTTGATCTGAGATCAGCCAAAACAATCTTGGGATTGATGTTGACGCCTGGGTTTGCTTCCAGCCATGCGATGAAGTCGTTTGATTGCTGCTGGAAGCTTGGGGAGTCAGGGAAGTGGGCAGAGGAAGACATTGCGCAAATGTCCGGGTACAAGATAAAGAGGGGCAGGGAGGGATGGAGTATTACAGCTAGACACACATGCGAGACACAACGATATAGTATGGCAAGCACGAGTGAAGAGTGCAATAAAGAGAAGGAAAAGGAGGCAGGGCGTGAGTGGGAAAAGAGAGAAAAGAGAGTATGTAGATGGGTACAACGTACTTTTGGTTCGGAGAAACGGGAGCGCCGCGTTTAGTGGCCGATGAGCCCGATAACGATAACGAAAACCATGAATTGGTGCCGCCAATTCATCCAGTCAACGAATTCATCAAGTCGCGCAACACCACATCTCACGTCGGTCTTTCTCATACCGTCTGAAATGATGATTGGCATTGGAATGGAGGGCTCTGCCAATAAAATTGGCGTGGGCATTATGTTGCATCCCGAAGATGGCAGCCCGCCGCAGGTCCTCGCCAACATTCGGCACACCTACGTCTCCCCACCAGGCGAGGGTTTTTTGCCCAAAGATACGGCGCGCCATCACCGAGCCTGGGTGGTGAAGCTAGTCAAGAAAGCGCTTAAGGAGGCGCATATCTCGGTGCAGGATGTGGACTGTATTTGCTTTACCAAAGGTCCTGGAATGGGTGCCCCGCTTCAGAGTGTGGCAGTGGCGGCGCGAATGCTGAGCTTACTCTGGGGCAAGCCATTGGTGGGAGTTAATCACTGTGTTGGCCGTATGTTGTACTGTCTAAGAAGGGAAGGAATTGCGAAGTTGAAGATCCCAACACTAACACGATTATTTATAGACATCGAAATGGGCCGTCTCATCACCGGCGCTACCAATCCCGTTGTTCTCTACGTCTCGGGCGGCAACACACAGGTCATCGCATACAGCTCGCAACGATATCGCATCTTCGGAGAAACCCTTGACATTGCCGTCGGAAACTGTTTGGATCGCTTTGCACGTACACTACACATATCCAATGATCCGGCGCCGGGATATAATATTGAGCAGCTGGCCAAGCAAGGCAAACAGCTAGTCGATTTACCATATGTGGTGAAAGGCATGGACTGCTCGTTTTCAGGAATTCTGGCTTCAATTGATGCATTGGCTGCGCAGTGGGGGCTTGACGGCGAAGAGCGTGCCAAAGAAGACGCCGAGAAACAGACTTCAAATATCAGTAACGGCCCAACAAGCGAGGGAGGTGACGACAAACCCACCCGTGCAGACTTGTGTTTCTCGCTCCAAGAAACAGTATACGCGATGCTAGTTGAAATTACTGAGCGAGCTATGGCGCATGTTGGATCCAAGCAGGTGCTTATTGTTGGTGGCGTAGGCTCGAACGAACGGCTGCAAGAAATGATGGGTATCATGGCAAGGGACCGAGGTGGCAGTGTATATGCCACAGATGAGCGTTTCTGTATCGATAACGGTATTATGATTGCCCAGGCCGGCATGCTCGCGTACCAGACAGGCTTCCAGACCCCGTTGAAAGAGTCTACATGTACACAACGGTTCCGGACAGATGAAGTATTTGTGAAGTGGCGAGAGGATTAAAAGTCTATGAGGCATTGAAGAAGATCACAAAACGAATATCATCACGTGTTACGAAATGGGCATATTCAAGTTGAATAGAGCATGCATATTCAATCAAATAGTTCGGCCAAGTGGTTCTTCTAGAGCTTGAATCCCCTGACTAAGATCAAACTTTAAATAAAGAATACCCTTTGGAATCGCGATTAAAGCCCAAATTTATTGTGCAATTATGACAGACCTTCAAACTCCTTGCATGAGAGAATTTGTAAGCCTTTCAACATTTTATCGAAGCGATGTGATGGAAATCGTGCAATACGTCAGCGCGAGCTAACTTTCTCTCTGGCTCTTTTTCTTGGAAAGCTATCTTCTTCGTCCATTCTGCGAATAAAAATTGCTTGTATGCATTCCCCGCGCAGAGGCGCCAGAATTTGGAAAGTAAGAGATCGTAGAAGATCACACAAGAACGGGTGCCATGCACTATAGAGAGTGGCAAATGCGCCTGATGCAATATGGAAGATTATGTTTTCGACAGATCTTGAATAGATCTTGGTCTCTGAAGCCAGGTTCTCTGAATGGCACGCATGCAAAGAGAAAATTTGCACCCTGTATGGAGCATCGATCACTCCGTAATATCTCCAGTGGGTTTGTACAAAATTGTGGTGACATACTACCATGATAGAGTCAGAGGTAATGTCTTGAGTCGTATATTGCAAAGATGTTATCTTACCTTTCGCTTGTATCTGGTCGTAACACTTGTGGCAAGAACACCATTCTTGATGCTGCTTGTGGCAAGATGATTCAAGACAGTATGGTTAGGGTAGTTGAGAACGCTACTGTCATCCTTTGTGGGAGTTGTGCTGTTGAGGATTGATTTTCCCAAAAACAGCGGAAGGCTGGGCGGTGTCGGTGTGTCTCCGATAACATTTGCAGCCTGCAAATAAGCAGGGCTGTCTTCCTCTTTGTCCAAGTCGGCCAGAAACTGAGGTATCGTGCTTCCAAATTCACCCGGGGGAACTTCCTCCTCGGCATCTTCCTTCTTCGGTGAATCATCAGATGTTTCTTCGGATTGACCCTCCTTGGAACTATCCGTTACCGACTGTGGGGGATTCACACCAGGTGTGAGATTATCATTCGGATCATCTGCGCTAATTTCGATATAATTGACCAGGTGATTTGTGAAATCAACAGCAGTCGGAAGAACATCTGATGCGCGCATCTCACCGTCCACAATGAACTTGAGATGGTGAGTGCCAGGCCGCAAATTTAACGTTGTGGACATGACTGCTCCATCATTTTCACTTGAGAGGGTATTAGACATCATTCTTTGGGATATGATCTAGCAAGTTATAGAAATTAAGAAGACTTCACTTACTTTCTGTGCAGTTTGAACTTCTTTTCCCAATTGACGAAAGTGCCAGTTACATAGACCTTCTGGCCAGGACCATTCCATTCAATGACAGTGGGCACAGCCTTACCAACACCACTTGTATCAAAAGGCTGAAGCTCATCCATAATCTCATCTCCATCTAGGGTCACACTACTAATATTGGACTGTTCAGGGTCCATGTGCTGATCCAAGACTTGGTCTGCCGGTAGCGATTGAATATGCGAGTCCTCAGGCCCGCTGATCGGAGATCCGGGAGTGGTTGTGGCATCGCCGATGGGCAATGGCAAGCGAGGAGGCCGTTGCAAATGTGTTGTGGCATTGTAGTAAGAGTTGAGCGGCGGGCCCGAAGGTGCCACAGAATCTCGCCCCGCGGCATGGCGGGAGATGGGCACTTGAACCGGGTTTGAGGGGTCTTGCGAGCGAGAATTCTGGCTCTGTGAATACTCTGCTATGGCGACATTGGGTTGTACGGTTCTTCCTGCGCTCTTGGCGGGGGATTCGGGAGGATTTCGTGATTGGAGGCGTTGCTGGACAGAGCCTTGGTACGCAGCAGAATGGCCGGCTGCAGTCTCCCTGGATGCGGAGGGGTCGGCTGCAACGGCCTTTTGTGTGGGGATGGCATTGAGAGAGGTTCGGCGCACGACTTTTCGTTCGCCGGTATGGTGGTGGACGTGGCCGGACGGCGTGTCGCCGACTGGGCCTTTGGAAGGGTTGTTACCCATCGAAGGCGGGGTAAGAGTGGTGTGAGCGCGGAGGTCGGTAGGGTGTTAAAAGAGGGAGAGGGAAATCGGCAGCGGAGGAGATTGAAATGGAGTTCAATCAGGCTGGCCTCATGAAGACGATATAGAGATCAGCGGAATCGAATAGCTTAGGCGCTCGAGGAGTTGAAGGCCGAGACGATGACGCCGAGCGGTCAAATCGGGTTAGGGCTTAGGGCACGGGCGGCGATAACTCGGCTTCCCCGGATTTTGCCCCTTTCTGGATCGTCCCGAGCCAACTGTTCGTCTAGATTCCACACCCTGCTGGAGATGGAGCTTGAGATCGTCCTCAATGGTCTACTGCTTGTGCTCAGCACTCTGTTGAGTATCCTGAAGCAGCTCTTTTCATACGGGCTTTTGCTTCTCTACCTCCTGGCCTCTCCAGTGCTCTATCTCGGCCGGAACCTCCTCTCCCTGGCATTACTCCCGCTCCGAATACTGATCAAATTTGAGGTATGTCTCTACCAGTTCCGTCAACAAGCGTTTTGCATATAAACGAAGGGAATGCTTACTCGAAATAGGCTTTCCTGACATTTGTCACGGGAGCAGTGCTCACAGGGGTCACAGTCGGCCTGTTTTTATACATCACTGGCGATACTTTGTCACAGTTCCTCCGATTGCAACAGGAGAGCCAACTAATATCTCCAGACGGCTCGATAGATCTAAAGGACCCATCATTGGAATGGGAGGCTAAATTGGAGAGCCCATTTCTTCCATCTACAATATTGGAAGAAGAAGAGAGCAGCCAGTAGTCAATTTGATTTCTCGGCAAGCTTAAAGTTGCGGGACCCATTTACACTCTAATGGCAAATCCAACCTACTATTTAATGATGACTACAATCTCTACATCCAAGGACAACATAATCTAATGTTATTTTCGTGAACTTGCCGGAGTGCAACTAGATTGCATTCGATGGCCCACAGCTTTCTTGTGCCTGCTATTTATTCAAATAATTTTTTGACAGAGAGCTCTTCAAAATACCTTTCCTCCAAATGGAAAGTACTCAAAATATGGCCCTTTGGAAAGGAAGAGAAAATGATAACCTAGTCATAGATTGAGAGTGAATGAAACTGGTCGGCCTTATTGGCTGCATAAAGTCTTCCGAGCTAAAATCAAAAACCGCGTAGTCAAATTACTCTTGCAAAATACTTGGTGACAAGGTGTTGATGGAAAATTGGTTTCGAGGGCGGCAAGCTCGACGCGGCTCTTTTTATGTTCTGACTTAAGCAAAAGTGATATATGGTGCGGCCGACATCTAAGAAACGGCCCCAATGTCTGTACGCTTCTTTTTTCGCCGGTTCGATGTCCTCTGGTTTCAGCTAGGTCGGTTTTTCTACAGATTTGCTTATCTATAAAAAGGGCTCCCCGTCTCCCAGATCGAATGTCGGACTCTCGGAGGCATCGTTTTCAATCAGCGGCTCCTGTGCCCAAGAGCCACGAACGACAACGTTCGGAGAGAACGTCATCGCTACAAATTGTTGTGGGCAAGTTCATTCTGGAGACATCCCAGGGACTGCTCAGCAAGCTGCTGAACGTAGTCCAACGTTTTTTTGCTACAATCGTCGGTCCAGAAGGGACTTTCAGCTCTTGCGGCTTTCCATTTTCTTCGGGCTTTGCGTCGCTATCTCTCGTGAAGGGCGCAGAACAATTGGGTGCAAGCTGAACCGTGGAATCTGACCAAAGAGCTTGTGTTTCTTACTAGTGACCGGGGTGGAATTGAAAAACATATCATAGATGACTTGACCAAGTCGAATATCAGGATGATCATCTTGGATATTCAAGAGCCCCATTTTGAGCTACGTATGCAGCATTGATGCCTAGTCCACGAGGCGTGTCTGCTAACGCAGTCAATTATTTTCAAGTGTGGCTTTTTTAAGGCCGACATCACCTCCACGTCTGCTTTGAAGGAAGTGGGAAAGCACATCATAGCGCACTTTCAATAAGCTGACCTAGTCGATTATATGTGTTTTAAATCCCAGTCCCGTCGTCCTAGTTTAGGCTAGACTAACATACAGTGCCCAAGAACCGGTGATCGAATATGTAGCCCAAGCCCCGAGACTTCCTTCGAATTGCCTCAAAGCTATTTGAAAATATCAAAGGGTGGGGTTGGGGATATTTGTCGCTTCGGGGGATTCGGCACTAGATCAACACATGTCGAACGAACTTGTTGCCGAAAGCGGTTAGTGAGAATCCGCCGAGCTGTCAAGTTCCCGAATCGTCGTCGCAAGGCAACAGACCAGGCTACGTCTGGTCAGACCCTACGAAGTTGATCGAATTGATAACCTTGTGACCATTCTGTACAATATTCGACTGGATAGGAGCTCATTACCCAACAGCTAGGCTGGTGGCTGTATCCTTTCCTACGGCGGGTCATTTACGGGGCCCCTTTTGGACATCACACTGGGCCCCCACACTCTAGGGATCATGCTATTGTTCCTGCATAATATCAGCTAAAAGATCGAATGCCACAAATGCTAGGCAACAATCGATCGTGTGACCAGTGTTACGCACAGAAGAAGAAATGTCAAAGACAGGAAGACCTGGCAGGCTGTACACGGTGTGTCAACCTTTCCCTGGATTGCTCGACGGTCCGACATCGTCGACTTCCCGGACGCCCCGCTCGGTCTAAAGTTTTAGGTCCAGCGGGCCGTGTCCAAGTTTGGAGATCTAAAAAGAATTCCCATGGCTTCGAGGCTGCACAGGAAGAGCGCCTCGCTCAGTCATCGCCGCAAAGCTCTGCCACAGATGCCCGTTCTAGTAGTCCAGATCATGTATCAACCGCGAGCAAAGAGAGCTATTCTGCTGCATCAGACGATGAGACTAATAGATTATTGTTGTCTCTTGGATCCAAATGGCTCAATCCCGAAGAATCCGCGGTCCTAACCCCTGCAAGCCGAGAATTCTATGCCCTCCATAACATTTTCATGATTGGACCCACCTTTGCGGAACCCTTTCGCCGGGCATTGGAGTATTCTCGCTCGAAGACCCCGGAGCTTCTGCAAGATACGTTTCTCGCGATGGACAAGTATGTGGAGGGTGCTCGATCGAATTCCACCGCACCGGCAGAGGAGATTGCGAGAGTCGCTGGCTTGCTAAAGAAGTTACAAGCTACGTCGATCGTCAATGCCGATGAGGCTCTGGCTATCTTTATACTAGGCCAGAGCCTAGCGGCATTTGATACCTTTGTGGTATCCACAGGATCCATGCTAATATTGCGTCACTCCTTATTTCTGGTTAAGCCCTGGTATCCCCAGCTGGCCCAGGTGGAGTTCTTGGATTCGGTTACCATCCTTCCACTCTTCTGGGATATCCTCGGGTGTCTGTTTAAGCGGGAAGTCCCTATAATACGGCCGCAGATCTATCGGCCTCTCGCCGTGGATCGCATAGCCGGGCTTTGTGTCTCGTTGATGCCCATGCTGTACGAGCTATGCGAAGTCAGTTACGAAATAAAGTCCCAGTCACAGCCACGAACCGAGAAGCTGGAGCGTATTGAAGCCGAAGTCCGCTCTTGGGCTCCCAACCCGGCATCTTTGAAAACCCTGAGGTTCACCAATACTGAGAAAAGCGCATTACAAGCACAAGCTGCCATGTATCGATCAGCAATCCTCCTACTCATCCATCGTCTGATACATCCCTTATCTTGCCAAGATGGAGTCGCAGTATCACATGCAAATGACATTTTGGCAGAAAGAGATAAACTTCTCGCCGATGGCGGCCCAAATATGAAGCTGCAGTATGTCTGCTTTCCGTTGTTCTTGGCTCTTCTCGAGATCCCGCTGCGGCCAGAGAGCCTATGGCAAAGCGTAACCCGGTTGCCGATCTGTCCAGCCTGCGCTGATCAGTTTTTTGCTTTTCACAAATACTTTTGGCAACAAAGATGGGGTGGCTTCACGGGTTATCTGTTCGATCTTATGGATAAAGGACCGTCATTTGTGGCTGTACCATAGCAGAGAGGCTTTTGCTCTTGACGCGTAGGTCCTTGCTCTCGTCTGCTGACCCAGAAGAAGCCATGGCTGGATCACGTAGTTGGGCGAACTCAAAGTGAGATAAATCAAATTATCTCAACGCGTTGAGCAGCTGACGGGCCTAATGAGGCGTAATACTCCCTTGGTGGTTCAGCTGGGCTTTTGCACAAAATTTCTTATCCCGGTCTTGATGGTGGTTGGTGTTGGCATCTGTGCACCGCCCCTTCAACTACCGTAAATTAACCCGCAGGAAACAATCAATAAAGTTCATATTCGTCTGCTGCCAACACTTTTGAAACACGAAGGATGGTCTAGCAGACTTGAAACAATTATTATAAAGCAGTGTAAACGCCTATTATACCTTGCCCGCATGCAATTTAAACGACATGGAGCAGAATGAACGACATGAAGTAAATCGTCCAAGAGGGACTAGCTATTTTGTGGATTTTACCCCTTCAATAATTTGAAAGCATATGTAAAAGACCAAGTGCCGAAAGGCATCCCTCAATTCCTAAAATCATAGCACCTGGTATACTCTAAACGGAACCTGTTTTCCTGGTTTATCTTTCGGTGCTGTCTGCTTCGAAACACTTCCTAGTACTACAATATTTGAGACCACCACCAAGGATATCATCGGTGATGACACCCGTGGCTGCTATGGCCTCCTAGAAATCAGCAAAAAAGAAACACTTTGGCTGCCATGGCACCGACCCCTAAAAACAGTAGTATAGAAATTATCATTAATAATAGATACCATAGTAAGATCACTAGCCTTCGGGTCTAACCCAGTGCTGGACTTGCTTATTTTCAAAAAAAAAAAAAAAAAAAAAAGATAGAAAGAATATGAAAATGAAAAAGATCCTGGTGGTTCAGCACAGCCGAGACCTACTCTTTAGTTATTAATTAATTTCAAAACTCCAAAACTCTTATATATCTATAAAATATTCAATTCTAATGATTTTGTTGATATTCAAAATCGCTGACTATTCAATTATGTATAGTTGGTTACAGTTCTATGTGGTATTTCGGTCCCTCGGAGTGTTTTCTGTGCCAACGGCTAGTTATCCCACCTTAGCTTGAGGTGATGTCCAATTTCATAACTATGAGTCCTACCTATGAGTGGAATTTATGAATGACTATCATTGCTTAAATGTACGCTGTGATCACTTAGAACTGTAGTAGTGTACAAGCTGGTTGTAGTACAAAAATTCCTTGATTTTGTCCGAACTTGACTGATCCCATCACAATTCCTTCCTACAGCAAGGACATCTTATGCTGTCTTCCCTGTGCGCATGAACAGATTGAGCGGCCTTTCACGATCCGTGAATTCTGCATCGACGGTGTATTGGATCTCAGATCCTTCCGGTTTGAACCCCATCTTCGCATAGACATGTCGTCCCATCGCAGATGCCTCGGTGATGCACTCCGGAATGCCGCGTAGCTTGGCTTCATCGAGACCCCATTGCGTCAGTGCCTTTGCGATCCCTTTTCGTTGGAAATCTGGGTCGACGGCACACATGTCCAAAATAAATACTGCTGGTCTCGCCTCGGTAGCCTTCTCCTTGATCACCTGGTTTCGGCGCCTGTGCAAAGATCCGATGGCCTGACAAACATAGCGTTGTTCTGGCTCGTTTTTGGGAAATAGGGCCTCGACGTCCATAGATTCTTTGAGATTCTCCACAGGTGGGTCCCCATAACCTTCTACCGCCGAGGCCTGTACCCAGATAGCGAAACCGGCAATGACACGGCACCCTTGCTTAGAACTTGGCATCGTGGCCTTCAAAAACATGAGATTTGGATTTCCATTCATGTCCTTAGTCCTTGCACGCCATCGAGATATCATGCGAGCAGCACCGGCCTTTTTACCCTCTGACGTGTCCCAGTTAGGGTTCATGGCGATCCACAGACCATCTTGCGCCTGGTGACCAAATGCCTTCGATATGGAATCAAAAGCATGGTCGATATCATCGGGCTGGTCGATTAGCTCGACGCATAACCCTGTATCTCCGTTTGTGCTGGTAGACATGAGTATAATTTGTCTGTCTTCCGGGAGCAGGGGGTCCACAAATGATCCTAAGTAATAAAGGACACGCAGCGGGATCTACGACATATTTAAAGACCGGGAAAAGTCCGGAAAAGAAGTCCGGGCGGAAAAAGTCCCACAGCAGAAAAAACGTCAAAGTGGCAGCAACACCTAACAGGGTTGGGTCTGTAAACGAACTGCGCAGCCAAAAAACATGCAAAATGCAGAATTAATTTGGTCCTAATTTGAAAATCACGAGATAGTTGACCCATTTATTCACATACTTATTTCACTTATTTTCTCAGTGAAATAAGTGTTATATATTAATTCAAATTGACTCAGGGACTGAGCGAACAGGTTACCAAAAATCACACTGAAGAAAACTACTTAGATATACATTTATCTCCCAAACAGCCCTTCTATGAATATTTCCAGACCTTCAAACGATCAGGTCATTTAGATCGTGAATATAGCCCTCCCGATATATTCCAATTTGAAGTATTAGCACGAAATTTGGCGATCGCATACTGTATCCCCATACATCTCAGTTTAAAAACACTTTTCAGTGGCTTTTCATTGACCTATATCAAGCTAGCGTTGGAAGCAGCTCATTTGAAGAAATGACAGTATTCAAAACATCGATATAGCTTATGCTTTCCAGATCCGCAAATAGGTCCTGCTGCACCCACATCGACTCAATCAGTCTCTTGACAGAGCACACTTTCCACTGGTACCTCTGCCGTTGTGTACGCTCAAGGAGAGAGAGAATCACCTCCCGCTGTTTATCTGAGCGCGCTTCAGAAGCGATGAAAAAGAGTGGAAAAGGTCGCTCGCATATACTCAATTGTGCTAGTATTTCAAAGGCTTCGACAGACCATTTTATCACACGCATATTGCCTGTGGAAGACGTGTCTTTGAAGACACGTTCAAAATATATCAGTCCTGCCAGTCGATAAAGCTGGGACGTCTTGCTCCAACGATCAACCTCTTGTGCAGGATTGGTTTCGGCAAGATGCGACGTATCTTGCCGAATTCCGATCAATTCGTGTTCGATAGAATCCAGGGCTTCTAGCTCATTGCTTCGAAGACTACCGCGTATTTTGTGGTGAGGGGGAAATGCTGACATCCGCGCAATCAAGTTTAACATCTCTAGTGAACATCCAAATATGCCCAAAACTTGCTATTTCATAGTTAGCAGAGTATTCAATGATAAGCCAACTTGGAGTGAATCTCACCTGTTCATTCATCGCAGAGCAGACCAGGCTGGACGCCATGCCTGGGACTTTGAAGATTGAGTGACTTTCCACTGAAGGATTTGTCCAATGCCTTGAGACAAATTTTCCTAGAACATCATGGTAATGAAGCCAGAGTAAAAGAGGGTCCACCTCCAAAAGTTTAGGATGTCGGCCGCCGCAAATGATATGGAGCATATCCTTGGCTCCAGACACGTACAAGGGCCATTGAAAAGAGCTTTGAGATGGGAAGAATATCTGTTCCCCTTAGCATCATAGCATTGGCTGAGAAAAGATGTGGGAAGCATACTTCAAAGGTACAAAGTAACATGCCAACTGCTACATGCTGATAGATTTCTCTTGTTCCAATCACGCACCCGTTCATCGATCTGCCTAGAGATTCTAGCGCGGCGATCTTTAGACGGAGCGCCTCCTCACCATGGCCGTGGCGATAGAGTGATGCCAAAGACAACATTGCGCGTAGTACGGCCATTGAAGCGGGTGAATCGTCGGATAAAGAGAGCTGAAACAATAATTTCCAAAGCCTCGAGCTATCTGTTTGAATTGGGGTCAAAGACGAGACCACTTTTGTCATAACTGGGTAGATAAGCGTAAGGAAGGTTAATTATTTTTTTTTTGGACTATCTTCCCAGGGGTTCCATACAGAATGTCAAAAGGTGGTGCCCATCATTTACACTTGGCCGCGTATCTGCGAAGCTCGGTAGTGGAAAGATCGAGATACTGTACATTGATTGTTTCCCTAAAATGGTAACAAAAGGGTCAGTGAATCATATCCCACTGAGAAGAAATTCCACACCGATTTGGATAGAATGACCTAATCTTTCCACTGTTGGTCGATAGAATAGCTCGACATCGGTCATCAACGTATTGATGAAATATTCATTTTGGACGGTACTTAGTGGGGCATGTGGATTGTCCGGATCGGAGTGTTGGAGCAGTCTGCGGGAGCCTTGTTCGGGCCAGTTCAAGCGGATGCCATACCCCTGGCAGCTGCGCATCGAGTTGACGCAGTTCTGGCAGTTCGGGCGGCCCAGGTCACAGGATATTTTTCGGTCTGATATCAAGTCAGAAGGCTTGTCATGCTCCCGCTGATACGATATCCAATCGATCAAAAAGCGGGAAGGCGAGAAAGCGAGAGAAAAGAACGTGGGACATCCTACCACGACATGTCCCACAACCTCGGTTCGATGAGGGTCCAACGCGATGTAGACGGCGCGGCCTTGCTGCAGACATGCCGGCACAGACTCCTCGACGATAAGCTTTGAATGGGGGACAGAGTAGCGTTTGGGCCTCACTTGGGATACCGGATTAGTCATCTGGGGCAGGAGACCCACTCTACTCCATGACGCTGATTTCGATTGGCTCGCAAATAGTTGCCCTGCTGGAGGATCGGCCCAATCAGCGGCGATCTTTGGATGTGGGGCTGTTGGTAAGCAAATGGCATCATGGAGACGTGTGAGATTGGGTAATTTACCATACCCGCCCGTTACGCTCAGAGACCCCGCATTGCACCTCCTCTCGTCGCGGGGGCTATGAGACACATCTCCGCTGCAATACAGGAAAGTTACCGACGACGAGGTGTTCCTGAACATCAATCTCGTATTGATAAGCTGCTTGTCGACCACGATGAAACCCTCTCGGTCTATTTGGGGAAGGAACTAGGACAGAAAACATTATATATAGCGCGTGCATGCGACCTCTTCAGAGATCTTAACTCTCTCACTTGAGTCAATCACATCCCTTCTTCTCTCCATCTCTTCGTACCAGTCTCCTTCGATCAACCTCAGTAATGTCTTCATACCTCATCACGGGCGCCAGCCGTGGCCTTGGAGTTCGTCATGATTTCCCGAATGCCCGACTGTACTATGATAAATGTGAGCTGATACCAAGTGTAGTTCCAATTCCTTCGGGAACTCGCTGGAAACCCAGAAAACACGGTCATCGGCCTCGTTCGCAACAAGGCTGCCGCTGAGGCAAAAGTCAAGGAAGAGGGACTTGTCGGGGTCCATATTGTCGAGGCCCAATACACCGACTTGGCATCCCTGAAGGTCCGTAGACGGACATAAACCTAACGATGAGGCCCCTGCTCACTTCCATCTAGCAAGCCGCCGAAGCTGTCAAAGAGATCACCGGTGGTGGTCTTGACTACTTGGTGCACAACGCTGCCATCGTTTCCCAGCTCACCGAATACAAAACCTTGGGCGACTTGTACGTATGGCGCGCCGTAGTTTGACGGACCATGAACGCTGACAATCAACAGTGACGACGATTTTGAGACCTTGGAGAAGGATCTCCGAGAGTCACTGGATGTCAATCTTATCGGCTATATCAAGGCAGTACAGGCTTTCATCCCCCTCATTCGCAACGGCAAGGACAAGAAGGTCATCGCTCTCTCCAGTGGCGTGGCCGATATCGACCTGATTAACTCGATCGACCTCGCTTTCGCCGCCCCATACTCTATCAGCAAAGGCGCTCTCAATGTCGCCGTTGCCAAGTACAGCGCTCTGTACAAGGAACAGGGCATTCTGTTCATCGCTATTAGCCCTGGATTCGTCATGACCGAACGAAACACTAGTACGTCTTGAAATGCCCCTTTCTTGCTCCTTAAACTTTACATACTGAGACTTTGTTTGCAGTCGCGCCTTCACCTGAGGATGCCGGCAAAGATGGCATTCTGGTGGGCAAGTTCAGCAAGTATGCGCCGCACTTTACTCGCCCTCTGACCCCCGAGGAGTCTGTCGCTGCAGTTCTTTCCGTCTCTCAGAATGCCTCAATAGCCAAGGGGGATGGCGGTGCCTTTATCTCGCATCTAGGAAACAAGCAATGGCTGTAGCTGTAGTGTAGGAGATACTGAACCGGGCGAGCGTGGCACAACTCAAAGCGATTTGACGAGTTTGGTGTGCAGAGGTTTCAATAGGTAGACTAAATCAGCCATCGTTAGGCCAATATGAGATATGAGATACGAAGACCTAACCCACTGGACTTGATAAGACTATATAGTAAGGTTTCTCTCCCTCTCCCATCATCCTGCTCCCATGCACATAGGGTTGCTGTTTCATTTGGTCATTGGTGGGGGCCCCCGCAGCTCGTCGGCCGTGGGGGGTCGGAGATGGCCAGATTCAACTATCATCTCGGTCATCGTGACCCTTTACTACTCTGTGAATCCAGCTGAGAGCCAACCACGAGCTCGCCCCACGCAGCATAAGATGAGCTCATTATCAACCCCTCTTTCCCAGCGTGAAGGTGCTTGTGCATTTCCAGATCGCACTAGCTTCTCCACGAAAGACACTATCGAGTATATCTGGAGGGAACTTGGCCTGCCTCCCGACGCCCTACAGAGCATCAATCTCCCTGGACAAGACGGTCTTGGGCTCCCTTCATCATTCAGAATCGGCCACTTGGCTCAATCTTCGATTGGACTGTCCGCTCTTCTCGCAGCGCAAATATACGCTCTCCGTAACGACATCCCGGTGCCTCGGGTCATGGTCCCCTTGCAACATGCCGTTATCGAGTTCAAGTCTGAACGCCTCTACAGATATCCCACTAGCCCACCACCGTCACCTTGGGGCCCCATCGGCGGCCTCCACAAATCCGCCGACGGCTATGTTCGCATGCACGACTCGTTCCCAAATCATCGCGAAGGCGCCAAGGCCCTGCTAGGCTGCCCGTCCGATGCGGATCGAGCCCAGGTGGCGGCGATGATCGCGACCTGGCGCTCGGTGGATCTCGAAAGCGCTGCGTTCGATGCACAAGTCGTCATTTCCGCGCTGCGCAGCTACGCCGAGTGGGATACTCTCCCGCAGGCCGCCGCCATTGCCAACGTCCCAATCCTGCTGCGCAAAATTGGTGATCGCCCCCCACGTCTGCCCCAGGGCATGGACTCTGCGAAGCCAGACAAATGCCTGCGCGGCCTCCGCGTGCTCGAGCTATCCCGGGTCATCGCGGCGCCGCTGTCGGGCAAGACGCTCGCCGCACACGGCGCAGACGTGCTGTGGGTGACCAGTCCTGGCTTGCCTGATCTTCCGGCCATCGATCGGGAGTTCTGTCGGGGCAAGCGATCAATCCAGGTTGACTTGTCTGCTGAGAAAGGTCAGGCCGAGCTTTCGAAGCTTTTAGATGAGGCGCATGTCTTCGTGCAGGGGTTTCGGCCTGGAAGCCTTGGATCCCGCGGGCTGTCTCCCATAGAACTGGCCAGGCGCTTCCAGCACAGGGGTATTATATGTGCAAATATGTCTGCATACGGGCCTGACGGGCCTTGGAGTGACCGACGGGGGTTTGATTCGCTGGTGCAAACATGCTCGGGTATGAGTGTATCCGAGGCGGAGCATTTTGGGACTGGAGAGGCAGCACGTCCAACACCATGCCAGGTGCTCGATCATGCTAGTGGTTATTTTCTGGCTGCGGGCATTATGGCTGCAATATACAAACAGGCTACCGAGGGCGGCTCGTGGCAAGTTGATGTTTCGCTCGCTGGGACGATGAAGTACTTACGATCTTTGGGTCAATATGAAGGAACTACTGGCTTCCAGGCCCCGGACTATGAAAGCCCCAATGATGTGCCAGAGGAGTATCTTGAGACTAGGCAGACCGGATTTGGAGAGATGACAGCCGTGCGACATTCTGCTTCTATTGAGGGCGTTACGGTTGGCTGGGATTTCATGCCCAAGCCTTTAGGGTCTGATGAGAAGAAATGGCTCGATATATAAGACAACAATTTCATTGGGAAAACTCTTCATATACTATATCCTGCTGGCTGGGGTACTTTGTACATATTTGCAGATCAATGGTTGTAACAATACCATCCAAATAAATAGAGAAGTTTCCGTGATCCAGAGACATGAAGTTTCCTCTTCAATACATATCAAAGAAGGTGGGCTGGATCGTAATTCAATCTGCCCAAAATAATAGCCGGGGCTTGGTTGTTTGATACTGCGAGGTTGGGAACACTTAGTACCCGTCTCGTCCAAGTGTCCCCTCTGTTTTGTTTATTTGCCCTATACTTTTTATTTTCTCTCTCTCTTCAAAGTAAATTACAAAAGAAAACTACATGGGGTGTGTGTCTTGTGATCGTTTCATATGATTCTCTGATCCATCAATGAGTCCTAGAACTCTTCTGGCCCCCAGCTGAAATTGTATGCAAACCCACAGCTCAGTTACATTCCAGGGGCGCTGGTGGGCCCGTGCAGCTCCAAAGGGGGGCAAACTCGGGGGCAAACTGGGGGCACCGCAAAACACGGCCGGTGTTTCAACTGTGTCCTTGATCCCTGGCCCATTCGATTCTCCAATTTCTCACTCACTGTCAACCCTCCTTTACAACAACTTTCCCATGAACCGCCCATGAATCCGTCAATCACCCACCTATAAGACTGCCGCCGCCACCCGTGGTTGCAGATCCCCGTCAACTCTATCTCCAACCGAACTAGCGCGCCCCCGGCCCCCGGTGGGGTTGCTCAACAGGGTCTCTCTACCGGAACCCGCGACGGGCACGACCACCGCGGCCTCGCCTCCGTCATGGCCTTTTTCCCACGATCCTGTTTGCGTGCGCGCACTCTCATCACCGCGCTCTCGCTCGCCTTGCTGCTAACCTGGACCATCTCCCAATGGCACTACACGCTCCCCGACAGCACCGCCCTCTCGCCCTCCAGCCAGGAGCCCCCGAGCTCCACGCCCGCGCCGGACCTCACCGAAGCACACCAGGACCTCTGGCTCGAATTCCACCAGTCTCTTGAGAAGCATGTGCCCGGCATCCCGCCGATAACGGACTACCCAAGAGCACCAACGGAGCGCTTCGACGCAAATGAGCCCGGCCCGCGTCCGGACTACCTTGACCTGGCGCCGGACGATGTACACACCATGCAGCGCGCACACACCGAGTTCGTCGCGTCGCTGACAAGCTCGCCGCCCCAACTCCCGTATATCCCCGGCACGAAAGGCATTGTCTCAACCGCCGGCGGCGCCTACTTGCCCGTGCTCGTGATCTCGCTGCGCATGCTCCGGCGAACAGGCTCCACGCTCCCAATGGAGGTCTTCCTGGCCGACGAAACCGAGTACGAAGCCTACATCTGCGATGTGGTGCTGCCGTCGCTGGGTGCACGGTGCATCGTCCTCTCGCGGATCCTCGCCGTGGCGCCGGCCCACATCGCCAAGTACCAGTTCAAACCGTTTGCGATGTTGTTCTCCTCGTTCGAGGAGCTGCTCTTCCTCGACGCTGACGCATTCCCGCTGACGGCGCCGGAGACCCTGTTTCGCAATGAGCCCTTCCGCGCGACGGGTCTGGTTACATGGCCCGACTTCTGGGCGTCGTCGACGTCCCCGCACTACTTTACGATCGCTGGGGTGCCTGCGCCGGCGATGGGCGTGCGGCAGTCCGGCGAGTCCGGTGAGCTGTTGCTGTCGAAGGCGGTGCATGCGCAGACGCTGCTACTGGCGACGTATTACAACTACTGGGGGCCGACGCACTACTGGGCGCTGCTATCGCAGGGGGCAGCGGGCGAGGGCGACAAGGAGACGTTTGTGGCGGCGGCGCTGGCGCTGGGCGCGCCGTTTTATCAGGTCAGCGAGGCGATCTGCGCGCTGGGACATCGCAAGGCCGACGGCGGGTTCGGCGGCTCGGCGATGGCCCAGTTTGATCCGGGCCAGGACTGGGCGCTGGTGCGACAGGGGAAGATGCGGGTCCGGGGGGACGAGGCGCCGGCGCCAGATGTGTTCTTCGTGCATGCGAATTTCCCCAAGTTCAACCCGGCGACCGTGTTTGATGCGCATGAGGTGGCGCCGGCCTTTGGGGAGGACGGCGAGTATGCGCGTGCGTGGACGATTCCGGAGGATGTGGTGGGCCGGTGGCATGCGAACGGAGGAGACATGGAAAAGGCGTTTTGGAAGGAAATTTTGTGGACGGCATGCGAGTTGGAGGATAAGTTTGTCACTTGGCAGGGGCGCAGCGGGATCTGTGCCCGAGTCACGGAGTACTGGCACAGTGTGTTTGAATGGAAGCCGCTACCGTCATGAACAGGGAAAACCTTGGGGGTGTTGAAGCGGGTCTGAGATGGCCTTGGAAGTCTCTCGACCCTGGTTGATATCCATACCCATCGATCGGGGTCGCTATTGACTATCTTGGTGGTCACTATGTCTGAAAGCCGCGCAGTGTCCGCACCATTGACGATTATCGCCGCTGTCCAAAACCAGTCCAACGCATAATGGTTCTGAAGGATATCCCATGTTTTGTTCGCAATCTCGCCAGCTCTCTGACAAGACAGAGCTTGCGGAAAGGGAGGGAGGGAAGGAGGGAAGGAGGGAGGGAGGGAGAGGCGGAGAGAGAGCTACTAATATCTAGTCTTGCACTACCGTTGACATATCTCGAATATCATTCCATCCAAGTCGCTCTGAAGGATGCAATATACGCCAAGTACAGTATACCTGCTGTTACTGGCCAAGATGACCTGTGCTTTCTTTGGATTTGACACTGCCTATACATGCACAATGTACTATATACCTATACGATTTCGAGCGCACTTTTATCAAAGATAGATGCACTATAATGTTACATATGTCATTGATTGAATTGATTCACCCTTGAGCCTCACGGACTATCTTTTAATTCAGATTTTTCTTTTTTTCATAATCGTTTGGTTGAGGAGGCAAGCATTTCAAACCATGAAAGAGAGAAATTCCTTCCATTTTCAAATAGTCTCAATAGACACAGACAAGAGTCACAGCCCCCCTGGCACTCCATTCTTCATTCTCCATTCTTACAAGACATTTATACATACAGCAAGGCCCTGCAAACTAGAAGACGGCCTCGTAAAGCAAATCTTATACTCGGGGCAGATACATACATGCATAGGCACCGGTGTCACTTCTGCTTTTTCTTCCCACTCTTGCAACCCCAACAAGCCAGGGAGCCTCAGACGCAAGGATGGAGTCGAAGTAGACTTCAGGGTAGAAGGTCGGTGGGCAGTCATCATGCTAACCATCAGAACGGAGGAAGAGAGGCTAGGGACGGAGATGAAGGGAAAGGGAGAGGAGATGGCATGGATGAAGATGAAGATATCAAGCACCGGACGTGGAAGGAGCAGGAGGGAAGCAGTAATATATAACCCCTTTTTTTGTGGCTGAGTGGTAATAATAATAAAAAAGTAATAGACCGGGCTAGGAAGAGAGACAGAGAGAATAATAATTTGTTGCGTCACATCGTCAGGAATCACAAAAAAAACGCCACCCAGAGGGAATATTGGGTTTTGGATAGAACAGGAGCAGAACAGAGAGCAGGAACAGAGGGCAACGAAGAGAAGAAAAGGGGGAACATAGAGGCTGGTGAAGACAAAGCATAGGTCAAATCAGCGCGTAGAAACAGGAGCACACAAATGTGCCCAAGCAGAAAGCCGATACAAGCCTCACACTCCTGGGATAGACACAGAGCGAACAAGGGAAACAGAATTGGACCCGTATAAACAGACATTGAGTACAGCGTGAGGGGAATGGAGAGAAAAATAGGTTGTGTTTTGTTTTTGAAGCTGTGGCTTTGAGTGGGGTCCAATCAACTCCCAGTGGAGGAAGATCAAGGAAACAGTGTATATAAACTGAACCACATATTGAAGTAGTGAGTCGGGTAAGAAAATATAGCCGAGGGATCAAACATTGATCGGCTATCCCAGCACACTGCCCTGTGAGTTCATTAAATCCTTCCTGTCCTCATTCCTCCCCTGCAATCATCTCAAAAACCAAGCCAGAACAGAGTCTATCATCGAGCAAAAACAGGCCTCCCATAGAAACAGAACAAAAGTGTCGGGTAAAGGTATAGGTTCAAGTTGAAAAGGGGGTTAACGAATCAGAAGACACACGAAGACAAGCGATAGAAGAAAATTAAAACGAAAAGAAACCAGAGAAAACCGTCCTGACTCCCCGCGCTCCACAAACAGATCACAACCCAGAAACAGAAAACAAAGGGGGAAAAAAGTGAAGACACAACGGGTGGGGGAGATATAATACTAAGAAATTTCCAAAAATCCTATCCCAGAAACAAAGTGCAGGAAAGACGCACAAGGTTGGACATTCCCTCCAACCCAGAGGCACAGCCTCGAGCAGACCGGAGCCATACAATGACGCAACAAGGCTGCCGTAACAGCCCCTTGAAACAATTCTCAAAACAGAAACCAGAGCCCTAACACCAAGGAAGCCACCGTGCAAAGTTGTTTCAAGTAGAGCAGAAGACATCCCGGGTAGTAAAAAAACAATCAAATGGACGCCGCGAGAAGGACGTGCAGTCATCATGGCCAGACAGCAAGACAAGTCATCAATAATGGGAGAGTGCGTATCATTAGATTTGCGGCTGTGCCGGGGCGGTGGTCGTCCAGGTTGACAGGGGTTGCGCTGCCGCATAGTGCGAGTGATTCACTGGAGTTGCTGCACCGACGTAGTACTGGGATCGGTCCGCGGCGGGGTTGTAGTAGGATGGGTGGATGGGGTTGGATTCGCGGCGCGGGACAGTGGGGTCAAGCGGGGCCATGCCGCGAGATTCGAGAGGAGTGTTAGGGTTGCTGACATCAATCTGGCCAGAAAGACTGAAACTGCCTCGGGAGTAAGTGGCCGGGGTGGAAGGGTCCATCGGCGAAGTGGCATCTGTTGCGACGCTGCGGGAGGAGATGGAGGAGTTGCGGTAGGCGGATTGGCTATGATCGGAGCTGGAACGGTTGCGCTCGCTGATAGAGCTGGGAATCGTATTGCCGAGGCCCCCTGGAATTGAAGAGGACAGTGCACTATGGCTCATGCTGTCCATGCTGCCACCAAAAGGACCGGCACGGAAGGAGTGGTAGTCCTCGGGCTTGGGCCCACCCATAGGGGGCGCGGCGGCGGGAGAAGGGAGATAGGGATTTGGCGCAGGTTGACCCGGCATCGACCCACCGAGGGAGTACCCAGGAATAGGACCTGTTTGAGGTGCATGAGTTGCTGTGTACGGGCCCGCGTGCATATAGAAGTCCGCGGAGGGGTTGGGCATGCCGTATCCCGGAGGCGCCATCATCTGCGGCGGGCGATAACCGTACAAGGCGGCATGGGAGGGATCATGCGGGTTCTCCAGGGCACTGGTTTCCAGATCATCGATGGGCGCGCGGAAGCTTTGTTTCTGTGTGAGTTCCACTCGGGGTCGGATGTAGCGCAGCGAGTCGACCATCGACGGCGGGTTCAAAACGCCCCGCATCACGTCGTCCACACTGTAGTATGACACCAGATGATGCGTGACGCCCATAACGGTGACGCTCATGGTCTTTTTCACAAGGCCCGAGTCCTTGAACCCGTACGAGTCCACCAGGGATCCGACCAAAGCGCGCTCCACCTCCGACTGGTGCGGTCGTTCGCCGAATGCCCCGGAGGTCGACGTGGGAGAATAACCCGAGCCGTTACTGTCGTGTCGAGGATAGGGCTCGCCTGGTCTGGTCGCAGGGACAGGTCGTCGATTGGCCTTCTTCATTGCGCGCTTCTTCTCTCCGGGAGGGAATGGCTTCTCCAGTTCGCGATAGACCAAGAAATTCCCGAGGATGCGGCTGGGACTCCAAGTAACCCCGTCGGTCCATCGCTTAATTCCAGACGAATTCTCTTCATATATAAACACACTGCCGCTGCGCACCAGGTGGCTCCGTTCGCGATCGTGTGGGCGGCGTGGGACATGGTGCAAGACTCCGGTCAAGCAGGCCTCGAATAAGATCAGCGCGTCCTGAGTGGTGGCCACATACCCTGTGAATGTGGGTTCCAGCACCGCCGCAGTCCCGTTCACCATGATGAGGGGAGTGAGGGGTGGTGCAAAAGGGAAAGAGAGTTGATCTGGAGAAGGGGAGAAGAGGGGGGGGAAGGAGATCGGGGGAAGAGGGAAGCGGGAAGCGGGAGGTGTCAGTGTAAGAATCACGGGGGAGGTGGCAGGTGGAGTTTGGGGCGGGTGATGATGTCGAGAGCGCGAGCGAGCGAGGGCTTGGACGGGCCCTCGGGACCTCTTCGTCTACTCGTCTGCGTCTGCGCTCGTGTGCTTGGGCTTAGTGGTTCTCTCCTCGCGCCTCTAGGTCTTCGTATTGCTCTGCTTTTTTCGGTTCGTTCTGTCTTTCCCCCGCGAGGATCCAGCGGCACAAAGAGTGAGCAGAAATCCGAGAGATCAAACCCGTCTCACACAAAAAAAAATAAGATAAAATAAAGATTTAGAATTCCCACCCAGGAGACAAAAAATAAGCTAGGAGATCGACCAGGGTCTGGAGAAATCGAGCGCGACCAGCGTGGTGAAGTAGGGAAAGCAAAGGACCACCCCCCCTCGTCCTAGGGCTGCTGAGCGGTTCGAGGGTCAGGAATTCCAGGGATCGACTTCGAAGCACGGACCGCAGAGTCAGCGAGTCAACAGGTTGCACCGATCTCTGGAGCAGATGGGGATCTACTGGGGGCCGGTTCCACGGATCCCTCGGTGCGGCAATTCCCAAGCTTTGGGATGAGTTGGGCGGGTCCACGAGAATAGTCAGAGGAAAGACCCAGCATAAGAGGTGGGGATCGTGCGTCTCTATTGGATCCGCGGCTTGGGGAGGCTTGAGGGGGAAATTCGGTGTGACCAGGGAGCTTAGGAAGAAGTGGGAGAGAAAGAGGAGGGAAGAGCAGACGATGGCGATGTGTCGGCAGGTCAACTCCCGAGTCCCAAGCCGGATCAGAGCCAGGCCTTGGGGATGCTGCGAAGATGACAAGCAGGAAGAGAGGGTTTGTGCAGAGAAGTGTGACGACAGTCCGGGTGGCCAGGATTGTCAGAATCGTCAGGGTATGTCACGTTAGTGTCCCAGGCGATCCCTGGGTTTCCGTCGGAAAGAAAGCCTAGCGTGAGCAGAGAGCATGTATGGCTCAAATGATCAGGGGCCGCGCGACCAGACGAGCGGAGAAGGCCTCTAAGCGCCCGCCGTGCAGAAAAGAGACCGGGATCGCCGTGGGCTTGGGGCTTTGGGAAATTGTGTTTGGCTTGGGTGAGGGGGGTGTGGGGGGGAAGGGAAAGACAGGAGTCGATGGAGGAGCGAAAAGGCACCGGAAGTCTAATAGGCAGGTAGGTTAGATGGGTTTAATCTTAACGTTTAATGTTTAATGTTAAAATGTTTAAATGTTAAACCAGGGGGGTGGGCACCGGAGCTCGGAGGGTTCATTGCGGGGCGAACCGTCAAGTCAGCCAGGAGGGGAGAAATTGGAAGAGGGCAAAGAGAGTTTAGAGAAGGACGACAACCTTGTAGCCTATCAGATGGAATGATGGAGCGACAGATGAAGCGATGTATACTCCGTAGAGGCTGTCTGACGCATTGGTAGGTGGCGAAGCCGTGGCGAGAGAACGGTCTCGAACTACGAGGGAAGAAGATAAAAGAAGTCGTCGAAGGAGGAGGTTGAGATGCCAGGGCCAGCTAGACGGGACCTATTAGTATATAAGGAATGATCTAAGGGGTCTCCAACGGTCCTGGAGAGTCTGAATTTCTTCTGGGGGCAGCAAGTAGAAAATGAAAGGCGAGAAAAAAAAAAAAAAAAAAAAAAAAAAAAAAAAAAAGGCATAAACGGGCAAATGGAACGGGTGTTGGGGCGTGGTGGGGGAGAACAAATCACGATACACAAAGAGGAGGGGCTACAAAAGGTACAGGAGTTATGAATATAGAGCAGAAGTTCGAAAATCGAAATGGGAAATTGACGAAACAAAAAAAGGAAGAGGAAAATCAGGAAAAAGAGGGGTGTGCCCCGTCCGAAAATCCAAAAGAATAAAATAAAATACAAAATTCAAGACCAGGGACATTCGCAGCTCGCAGGAGAGCGGAGGACGGAGAAATACGGAGGTGCTCGAGGGATGAAACATCGAGTGGATGATTTCACCAAAACCCTCCGGGGGAGGGGGCATGGGATGATGACCGCTGAACCGATGTCCTGGTACGCCAGCAGCAGCCAAAAGGAAGCAGAAAAAAAGCAATGAGCGAACAGAGAAGCAGGTACCGTTTCATCTTCGGTAGTTCATCCCCCCGTTGGATGGCAATTTTATGTAAGAAGATTCGAACGATCCGGAGGTTAGTCAATTGACACGTCGGCCAGAACACTACAAAACTATCATCGGGTCACTAAAAAAAACAGGCTTCGATCTTATTGTGTTTGAGTTTCTTCACGATCGTCTTAAGTTAGGGTTGGGCGCGTCGTCCCAGGGTGAGGGACAGCGCCATGGATCCAATCACAGAGAAGCAAAAAAAAGACCACATATATTTCCGCGGACTACCTCCTAGAAGGAGGAAAATTGCCCTTTCACGTCTTCCCCTCGATGGTCCATGATCACCAACATGGTCGGAGTCGTGTTGAGAGAGTGCAATCATCATCGACGGAACCCCGTGCCATGGACGATCCCAAGTGGAGCCCGTCGATGATTGGGCGATTGGGCGGAGACCACCACGGGCCAAGGAGAAGATGGGTGGGGATGGGGGGGGGGGGGATCGGAGGGTCAATTCCCTCCGCCGTCATCCTCGTCAATCATTGCCCATTTATTATTTGCTTTCCTGCCGGACTACTGCTCATTGAGGCCATGTACGAGGACGGTACAGCCTACTCGGTATGACCGACACAGCCCTCCATACTTCCCAGATCCTTCCTGGTGTGCGGAGGACATTTGGTGCTAGAGTGACTTATAGTTGACTTCTATTCAACGTGTTTCAAGCCCTACCACATCAATTGTACATATTGTGAGAAGGTTCTCAGGGTCCTCCAATGCATACTGTTCCTCACGGCCTTGAAGTGATTGGACCACCCCCGATCGCGACTGGGAACTATACCCGGGATTTCCCACCCTCAATAATGATCCTTGTCAGTGCTTGCGCCCGGCACAGTCCCTTGGTGGTTTTGTTCGTATTTTGTTCGTATTTTGTTCGTGTTTTGTTTTTGTTTTTTATTTTTATTTTATTTTTTTATTTACTTGGGGAATCTGGTCTTTCGTTACAGAGGGCGGAGTACGTTTGACGAATTAAGCCGTGGCCAGTGGACGAACGGAACGAATGTAGCTAGCAGATCGCTGCCTTGAGAAAGTGCACGACGAAGGTTCGACTGCCAGGTGCAAATCCATCGGACGCGCCCCCGGTGGGTCCACATCCTTGGAACCTCCTCTTTCCCTCTTCCCCTCCGCAAGTCCAGGCCCAACTCCACCCGTCCAGCAGCCAACCACGCCCATGGATTCCCCCGAAGTGCCAGGGAAATCCGTGTCAGCAGGGTCCGATCGAGAACTGTCCATGCGTCTGCCCCAGTCATCGGCGGGATCAAAGCCTTGGGTTTGCGGCAATTCCCAACGGTCCCAGCAGCAGACACACCCAGTCCTCGTCGTCTGCCCAGAACCATCTCAATCTTGGCACTTGGGCAGACGACGAAAGAAACGTGGATAGGCGAATAAAAAAGAGGAGAAAAAGAGAAGAAGAAAAACAAAACCAGTGGAGGACCACAAAAACGAGATCCCGCAGAGCCAACCGCAGGGGACTCCTATCTCCGACTCCTCAGCCCATAGTCCGCGCAAGAGAGGGAGAGGGGGTGGACACTTGGCCAGTGCACGCCGCGACACTATTGAAAAAAGGGCGCGGTGATGGGGCGGAAAGCGCGAGAGGATCACCAACGGCACGTCAGAGCCAGATCTTGGGGGCCTAAACCATGCGCTTACAAGCTCTCTCAACCAGCTCTAGACGCTGCTCCGGCCGAAGGGGAGTGGAGACTGAGCAAGCTACCCCTTCGGCGACCGAAAGAGGTGGGGGATGGAGACATCACACCAAATGCTCGTTGGGCAAGATATCCAGTATGATCCAGCAATGAGGAGACTCGAGGGAAGACAGAAGGGCAAATACGGGAAAAAGCGGGTGACACTATCCTCAGCCTGGCAAGGGGACCAACCGTGCATGTCTCCTTCACCTCTCTTCACTCCTGTTGTGATGCCCGCCAGAAAAAGTAGGGACCCGAGGACCCGTCCCACTTTCTGCTCCCAATTTTCTGCTCTTGTCGTCAGCGCGCCCCAGGGATGGGGAATTCCACGAGGACTGAGCGCTGCGCCTCCTCTCTCGTTGGCTCTCCCAAGTCCCCGAGCCCATCTGCGTCTCGGTCTCCGCTCGGATGAGCCTGGTGCCTGGACTACGGCAGTCTAACAACCATCTTGGACGAAGAAGGGAACGGTGAGAGGGGGAAGGGGACCGGCGCTCAATTCCCTCTTTCTCTTCGGGATCTAGTGGCCAATTTTTGGTCTCTCTTCCCTCTTTCAGACAGGAATGCCTTTGTGTCTCTGCTTTCCATCCGAGGCTTTCCAGTGATTTCCCAATCAGCGCGACCGGGTGTGCAGAACCGGAGCCCGGTTCCATACCCACACGTCGCCAGGGTCGAGGCTGTGGCCCGTCACTTCTGACTTTGTACGCCCAAGCAGGATCGAGTTTAGTCTTTTCCCAAGTCCGAAGAGGGGTAGGAGGGTCTCGTACCTGGAACGGTGGATGGTGGAGGGCTTATTGGATCCTGGGCGTAACTTTCGCGGGAGATCCTCAGCAGATCCAGACCACACACGGCCATTGCTGACACCAAATCCACCGAGACCATTTGGGACACTAAAACCAAGAGACGTAAGAGATGAGACAGGCGTCGCAGCATCGCCCAGAAACTGAATGGGCGAGTTTGGGGCGTCAGCTGGGATCTCAAGCCACCATTTGTCGTTCCCCCGGGTTTCTCTGGGCGTGGCATCCCCCGTGCATCCTCACCATGCGCTCGCGCCCCCTCCCCCACCCCCCTTGT